CCTAGTATTTTTTAAAAAAAAAGGCGTGATAGGCTTATTTTTTAATAAAAAAATATTTATAGACTAGTAGCTATTCTAGCTATTATTAAAATAGGCTAGGAGCTATTTAATAGCAAGCTAAAAAAATTAAATAAGCTTTTATATAATTAAAGCTAATACCTTTATTACACAAACCTTAGGGCTTATTTTCTTATTATAAGCCTTTATTACTAGTTTAACCTAATAATTAAACATATTTTAATAATAAATATATTTATTATGGTTACCGGGGTTTATTTATTATAAAAAAATAATATTTTTTTTTATATAAAATAGCAGGGGGAGACAAGTGCCCTTATTATAAATATAATAAAAGTAGTTACGCCCGGGGGCTAAATAAATATAATTATTAAAATTATTAATTAATTTATTATTTTTACATGCTTAAACACACTTTGCACACTATAAGTAAACTTATTTTTTATTAACTAATATTTATACTAAAGCTATTTTACCAGCAGATTAATTAAAAATAAAATATACTTATAAAAAAAAAAAGGCTAGAGGCTAAAAAAAAAGGAGCCTAAGGGGGTGGTAATATAAAACCCGTAATAAAAATATTAATAAAAATAAAGGCTAGTATAGCGCCAGGTAAAATAAAAAAAAATAAGCTAAAAAATATAAGGGCTATAGTTAAATAATAAAGTAGCTATTATAAAATTAAAAGTTAGTATATTTAGTAAAGCGCTGGCGGAGCGCCATTAATTAGTAGTTATTAAAGTAAAAAAAACTTACTAAATTATTACCTATAATCTTACTATATATTTTAAAGGTGCCTATTAAATATAAGTTATACTAGTTATTACCGCCTAAAAATTAATTAAAATTAAAGTTTTTAAAACTAACAGGGGACTAGTATAAAAAAAAGATTAAAAATATTAAGGGCTTTTAAAGTTAATAAAAATATTATACTAAAAAAATTCTATAATTATACCATAATGGGAGTGTAAAAGGCGAAGATAGGGGTATTTTAAATTATTATAGTTATAGCCAGGCGCTTTTTTTTTATTTACTAAAAAGCCAGGGCAGCGCCTAAAAGGGCTTTTTTTTAGCTATAATAAAAAAAGGGTAACTTTTTATTTAATAAAAAGTTTAATAAGTTTAAAAGTTTATAAAACTATAAATTATGCTATAATTTATACTTTTATACTAGGTATTATTAAAGCGCCGCCTTTCCCCTTTTAATTATAAATAAATATTATATTTTATTTAAAGCACTATAAATAATAAGAATAAGACACTAAATTTAATATATTAAATAATACTTTAATAAAGTTAAAAATAGCAATAATAAAGCTATGTTTAGTATTAATATTAATAATAATAATAGTATTTTATTATTATTTTTTTTTAATTTAGCAGCGGGTTGTGGACAACCCTTTAATTAAAAAAAAAAAAAATTATTAAGGCTAATATTTTTTTATTTAATATTACTAAAGCTAATTTACTATTAGTCCGGAGTTAATACCTTAGGTAACCTAAGTTTTAACCTTAGGCTACCAAGGCTTAATATACCTTATTATTATATTAGGTTATATAACTTAACTAGGTTATTAATATTTAGGGTTTTAGCTATTAATTAGGCAAGACTAGGGTAGGCCTTAAGTATAAGCTAGAGTAAGGACCCGTGCGTAAAGTATTTAAACTTATATTTATTTTTTAATTAAAAATAGCTTAAGTATAACTTAAAGGTTTATAAAGGTGGCCTTAAGGCCAGCCTTTTTTCTAAATCTTTAAGTAACTTTTTTAATATTATTTAATAGGGTTTAAAATACTCCATTTTTATTAATTAAATTCCTTTGTTAATATCTTTATTGTTAGTAGAGATCTTCGAGACTTGTTGGTCTTACATTATATTTATAAATATAGTTATTTATAAACTTTTTATATTAAGTACCTTATACGCTATTTTAATTATTTTACTAACTATAATAAGTAGGTATAAACTAATAATATAAATTATAAAAATTTTATAGCTAATTATAACTTTAAGCACGCTAAGTAAATTTATACATAAAACAAGAGTTTATAGTAAAACCTATTTTTATACTTTACTTATTTATTTTTATACTTTACCTATTTTTCCTACTTTTATAGTTTATAAAGACTTCACGCTTTACCTGTTTTTTTTACTTTTATAATTTATAAGAACGTAGACTTCTTTGTTCCCTAATACTATTAATAATAATAGTTTTTTGCTGTATTATGTAAGCTAGGCAGTAGATAACCTTTATACTTAGCTACCTTAATTATTAAGATCCTAGGAAGAGCATCATCTTTTACTTTATAAAAACCTCTGCCCTTCACAGCCATTTATTATATTTTCTGCATGAATTCCTGTAAAATCTATAGAGGAGACAAACACAAGGCACAGTCAAAGCTGCGAGTATTTACAACAGTATAAAGAAGCAATCATATCTGGTGATACAGCAGCTGGTTAATAATCCATATACCCTGTGGGATCGCCACCGAGTTGGGTGTAGGGTAGCCAACCCACTTCACCCGAAGACAACTGACAAACTACCAGACGACAATGTGCACTGACGGACGGGCTTATCACATACTACATGAGACCTTCAATGCCCGACCATCGACTGGAAGATCGGAGCGAACCTATCCCCAGTCGGCTTCGCCTCATCCACGATCTTCCGCATCTCCTTCAGCTCTTCCTCCGTCAGCACAATGTCCCGAGACGCCCAGTTCTCCTCGAGCCGCGAGGCCTTTGTTGTTCCTGGAATGGTAATCAACCCCTGCGCAGCAACCCACGCGAGAGCGATCTGCGCAACCGAGCATCCCTTTCTCGTTGCGAGCTTCTTGATCTCGTCAACGATGGCTTTGTTCTTGTAGAAGTTCTCGCCTTGGAATTTGGGGACTGTCGAACCCGAAGGGATAGGGACTTAGCACACGAACAGAACAGAAGTTTGAGTGGGTTCCAGGGCAGGTTGGGCATACCGGTGCGTCGAAAGTCAGTAGGCGCAAAGTCATCAGGCGACTTGAACTGGAAGTCATCGACCAGCCAGCCGTGGCCTAACGGGCTGAAAGCTACAAAAGCCACGCCTAGTTCCTTTGCTGTTTCGATCAGCCCGGTTGTCTCATGCAGGGTCTCAAACGCAGAGTACTCGGCTTGCACAGCGTCGATTTTGGCGACTAGAAAGGTAGGGTATAATTGATTAGCAGGCTCGTTTCTTATGTGATTGGTAGATGTACGATTGGAGGGAGACGAACTGGCATGGGCCTTGCGCAAGGTCGCAGCAGAGCATTCGGATAGACCAATATACTTGGTTTTTCCCGTGCGGCGGAGCGCATCCAGAGTGCCGATCGACTCTTCCAGAGGTGTGTCTATTCAAATGGTTACTAGAGTTAGAGACGGGTCCTGACTGATTCCACCAAGGTTTCTGATCTCCCTCAGGATTTCATCATATACGTACTCGGATCGATACGATGCAGGTAGTAAAGATCAGGGGCAAAACCAAGCCTGTCAATCGTCCCTTTGATGTATTCCTTGATGTGAGCAGCCGAGTTGGTGACCTTGCGTTCTGGGCCAAAGACATCGAATCCACACTTGGAGGCAACTGCACGAAGACGGCGCGCGCATCGGTAAGCCCCGAGAACCGAGACAGCAATGGACAAGTCAACAAAGATATCTCACCGAAAACCTTGTCGCGGACATTATGCTTCTTGACGAATTCGCCAAGAATCTTTTCGTTCTCGCCCTGCTTGTAGGCGACCGCGGTATCCCAGAACGTGCATCCAAGCTCCATGGCTTTCAAGAGAATCGGCTCAGACTGCTCATAGTCGAAGTCCGTCCCCATGGCAGAATTCAGGCCCATCGCGCCAAACCCGGGGACGGGGACCTGCTGGTCGGCAAACTGGAGTGTCTTGACCATTTTGGTGGAGTTGACGGATCTGGATGAATGGTTAGCAGGAACATAATCTCATGTCTTGCGAATCGTCGTATGCCGGGGCGGGGTGCATACATCCAAGATGTGGCTTCCTGCGAATTGAAGAGTGAACCTGCGATGACCCTGGGAAACTGACTGGGAAGGTGTGAAGCCAAACGCCAGATCATCAGCGGCATGCCAATTCTTATACCAGTCAACAGGTCCCGCATTGCGTAAATTGCTTTCATGATTTTAAAGAGTTGACCACGGTTGCCTCGTTCATAGTTTCTAAATATTTGGAAGTGTCATCAATCATCATACACCTGCATGGTCTCCGCAAACCTGGAGTTGAGATCAGCCAATTACTATGGATGGATTGCCTCTTGACCCACATGTCATCAACCTGCAACCCACATGTCATCAAGTGGACCCGCTGCATTGCGCTTGCCCATAAATGACGCTGGTTGCTTCTAAGCTAGGGCAAGCATAGGCGGAGTCATATGGTACAACGCATGGCTCATCTGTATACTACAGGATGTACATCATCATGGAGGCAGCAAAACACATTAAATTCGGTTCTCTCAGACCCGCCGAGAGAAAGCAATATCCTACAGTTAATTATATACAAACAAGTCCCTATTAACCAAACATAGCACCAGATCACAATGGTCTTAGACCCAGCCCAACATAAAGACAAATATCAACGAACGGAAATCCCAGACACGTTGCTAGAGACAGCAGCACCAACAGCTGGAGCACCAAGCTTCACCCCCTTTTCAGCATCAGCAGCAACAGCCCCAACCTCAGCCCCCTTTCCAGCATCAGCAGCAACATCACCAACCCCAGCCCCCTTCCCAGCATCAGCAGCAACATCCTCAAACCCAATCCCCGCCGCAGCATCCGCAACAACAACCGCGTCCGTCTGCGTTCTCCAAGACCCAGAGCCGCTCCCCCCCGCCGGATCAACCAGCGTCCCCCACCGATAAGCAAGCGCACGGAGCTCCCTGCGGTCAAGGATGCTAATCGCCTCTTTCGATCCGTCAGGGTTAAGGGTCGTGCGCTCTTCGGGGCGCGCAAGCCGCCGCGACCCGTTGGCCTCGTACGCAACGTAGATGTGGGCGTCGTATTCGTAGTGCAGCGAGTTGCCCATGTGTGCGGTGATGTGCGGGTCGTCGGGGACCATGCGCTTCTCGATCCCTGTTCTGGTCCGCGTGATCGCGCGGGTTTCGTTGTGGTCGGTGCAGCTGGGTTGGGTTGGGTGGTTAGCAGTTAGCTAGGGTAGGGTTTCTTTCCGAGTTAGGGTTGGGTTGTTGGGAAGGGGGTCAGGCTTACCGGATCCACAGATTGCTCACGCCCGTCTTGATGCACACGTCGTAGCAGATGCTCTCGATGTCTGCTCGGCGGGCCTCATCGGCTGTCTCGGACTTGTGCAGCCAGTGGACCTATGTGTGGACGCTTGTGTAAGTTCGGGCTCCTAGGCAAAACAGTAAGGGTGGGAGAGTGAGTGCGCTAACCTTGGGGTGTTCGATCGACCCCTCCTTATAGTTCTCGGGCAGCCTGGCCTTCAGCCGATTTACAGCATCCACGTAGCTATTGTACGACATCTTGCAGCGCTCCTCTGGGGCGGAGGCCTCTTTCGGCTTGGAGGCCACATCTGTACCAGCCCAAGAGCCAAAGTCGAAGTTCGTCTTGATCGGGTGCCGGCCCGACGAGGCATTTGGCTGTCTGGAGCGCGGAGGCACATAGGCCGACCTAGAGTTCGACTGTGAGAAACGTTCGGATGTGGAAAGCGATGGGACGTAGCCTTCTCTGGAGTGTGGAGGGACATAGCGGTCTGCCCTGGAGGCTGTCGCGAGGGGGCCGGGAGCTCTGTGATTGTGGATGCGTCAGTCGTCTACCCTAGTTTCTTCTATACTTATGGTAGTTTGCAGGCGATGGGTACGGGGAGGGGGGGTGTGTCATACTTCCACTTCACCGGAGATCCTGCCTTGTTTCTTGTGGTGACAGATGCGCACCCAGCCTGAGCCCTAGTTTTGGCTATTGCTAGGGCCTGTGCTCTCTCGACGATTGGGGATAGTCCGGGCATGATTGGAACAAGTGATGGTAAGTAGTATAGCGTAATCAAATAGTATAGATGTTGAGGGAAGATACATTCTAGAGTACTCCCATCGCGCCAGCTTTTTTCTCTCTCTATATACCAGTACATGTTCTTTGTTTCCTGGTCTCGCCTAGCAGACTGTAGGTAAGGAACAATGATTGTTTCATCAGTATGCCCTATATCTGGTCATCAGGCTCTGCGTTCTTTTGTTGTGAAGGCAGGAGTAAAGACGATGTTTAATGTATGTACTAGGTTGAAACTATACACCCCACGGCCTTGTGGCATGAAACATGACTCTACGAGTTCTTTCAAAGAAGTCTCATATACGCGGCGCCTCGAGTATCATCTAGCATAGACATGAAGTCTACTTGGATATGGTGACAGCGCCGCCATCGCTGCCATGATTACCTTGCTAATAATTCAGCCTTCTTGAACCGCTGTACGGTAGCAGATGCGAGCCTCTACTGCCATGCCAGTATTGTAAGTGTGGGCAAAACTCGATCACTTGCAAGGACAGCGGTATTTCATTCCTTACCTACATAGACACACAACCTACTAGACTTGCTAGAAATATGCAAGCCAATGAGAGTGCATTATCACTACCAGATAGAACCGTTCTATCCTTTGTGCCACTTCCTTAGGTTGAAGGTTACAGGATTGTATCAGGTCAGCGATGCCAAAGAAGGGTTTTGGTTTGTCTAAAGCTTTCCCTTGTCCGAATCTGTCAACAAGATATTCTCGGAGCTGCTCCTTGAATGGCTCATTGTTATCTACTGTCACCACTTGACAAAGAGCTATTTCGGGAGCCCTTTCTATGACAAAACATGTCTTTGTCTTTAGAAGCAAGCATGGCTGGTTTGCTCGCTGGTTCTGTTGCACTCATCGCAACAAAGAATATACATTGGCCATCCACGAGCAACATGTCTTGCATATAATCACCCGTGTCTCATCTCACTTTAACCCTATTTCAACTGTAACTCTCCAAAATTCGAGTCAGCATGTCGTCTCAAGATCAAACTGAGCCTTGCGCGGCTCCAAATGCCCCAGTGTCCCCGAACGAATCAAACCACGAAACGCCAGAGCTTGTTCCTCCAGAGCAGGCCTCAAGCGACGTCTCTGGCCATGACGAGCAAAATCTTGGCTCCAACCATATCCAAGCCGAGCGTCCTCCCCAGCCGTTCACCTTCGGCACCGTCCATGAGGGCCTCGGCGTGGACGACACGCTTGACGGCTGCGAAGGGCCGTGGGACTATTTCCCAGGTGGACACCACCCAGTTCACCTGGGAGATAGAATCGGTCCGTACGAGCAGTACCGTGTCATCAACAAGCTAGGCACCGGGGGCTTCGCCAATACCTGGTTATGCCGTCTGCTCGGTAAAGAGCCGACGGTCTATGTGGCCATCAAAATCGTCCAAGCACACCTGTCCGGCGAGTATAACCGAGAGATGGATAACGCCAGCCGTCTTCATCAGCTCGCCAAGCTTGACCCGGACATCAAAAAGTATTGCCTGCTTCCGTATGATTATTTCGAGCTGGAGGGGCCCAATGGGTTCCACGATTGCATTGTGTATCCGGTTGCCGGGCCCACCCTGTGGGATATCGCGGCGACGGTCGAGAGCCCGCACGCTTTCCTGCGCGGTCTGGCTCGCCAGGCTGCTGAGGCCATGGCTGTGCTTCATCGCAATGGACTCTGTCACGGAGGTAAGTTCAGTTCAGTCAGTCAGAGGATCTGCCAGATTGCTAATGATGATAGATTTCCGCCCGAGTAACATCCTCCTCCGCGTTGACGGACTAGACGGCCTTTCAGAGGAAGAGCTCGCCGGCGTCCTAGACCAGCCGTCCGGCCCAACAGTCGTCAAGCTCGACAACGCCAACCCAGAAGCAAATCCGCCCCGGTACATCCTGCGCCCAGCGCTCTGGATCACGAAGCGCCTATTCACCGACCAGATCTGCGTCATCGACTTCGGCGAGTCCTTCAACGTCTCCGACCCCCCCGAGCACAACGGCATCCCATTCGACTATGCCCCGCCCGAACTGGCCCTGTGGGGTGCATTCGGGCCGTCAAGCGACATCTGGGCCCTGGCCTTAACGATGTTCGAGATCCGGCTCGGGCGGAAACTGTTCCTTTGCCCGGAAGCCGATGTCTCCCCGTACCTCTGTGCGCTGGTCCACTATTTCGGCAAACTGCCGGAGCCGTGGTGGGTTGAGGCCGGGTGGGCGGAGGCGGCGACCTTCGCGATCAAGGAATACAGGGGCAGGGACGTTGACCCCCGTGATCCTGAAGAGCCGATGAATCAGGACTGCGACGTCGTGCGACGGGGGACCCTGCAGAACGAAATCTCGCGACCCGTCGGACACTTGCTTTCGCTGCCGGACGGATCCAGCTGGCATGGGCCTCTGGTCGCCGAGGAGAGGGAGCTCTTCGAAGACCTGATCTTCACGATGATGGATCTGGAGCCCGAGAAGAGGCCGCCTGTCGATGAGGTCCTCCGGCATCCTTGGTTCTCTTACCCATCCAACCCTGCCCCAGATAGCCCGGGGCCTGCCCCTGCTGGGCCTGAACTTGAGCCGAATCCCACTCCCGTCGACATCCTCCCGTCACCAGAAGCTCCCGCTCAGCTATCTCGGGCTGACACGCAGGCAGAGACTGAGGCTGCCGCTTCGACCCCAGCGGAGATGCACTCTGTTGACGTTGAGATGCCCGATTCGCCGGGAGAAGAGCGCTCCGGGTCGACTTGCGACTGCCCGCCTGAAGATGTTGAGCATGACCTTCTGGACCCTGGAGTCTTGAAGGTGGTTCGAGGGGATTTCTGCAAGAGTGTCACGACGTGGTTCCAGTCTGTTATCCGGGCGTTGCGCTTTTAAGTGGAGTTGTTTGGATTGATGCTAGACTTGTAGACTCTTAAATTAATCATCAAGACAATATGAAGATCTGTGTCCTATTCACATAACCAGGCCTAGAGGTGCACACATGCTTAGTAAAGCCTATATGACCCTCTCTAGCCCCTGTTACTATATTAATATATATAAATCTGCGAGAGGCAATGTAGGCAACGCGCTTTCTCAACGAACAGTGGTACGCTCTGACAATAACAACAACAATAACAATGATGCTAACAATCGGCGACGAAGAATTAGAGTCCAGGATGCCAGTCTAACGATAGTAGGACGAGTCCCCAAGGCACGCACCAACAGTTGTTGCTGTTCACGTCGTCAGCGTATCCGCCCAGAAAGCTCATTAACCAGTTAGATGGTAAGGAGGAAAAGAACTCACGTCGTTTCCCCCTATCAGCAAGTTTGTCCAGCATGATGCGAACCAGCGTCCGCACGGTCTGCTCACGGATGTCATGGGCCAAGACAATCGTTCCCCCTTGGTCAAGCTGGGTCGTAAACTTCTCCACACTGTGCCCGATCAGGTCCGGATGGTCGTTCTCGTAGTCCTTGGTATCGACACTGGCGCCGATAACATGGTATCCGAGATCCGCCATCACGCTGAGGACATGGTCGTTCACCGCGAGGTACGGCGGTCGCATGTACACCGGGATGACTCCGGTGGACGCTTGTAGAGCCGTCTCGAGGGAGGTCATTTGCTCGGTGATCTGATCATCGCCGAGGGTTGTCAGGTCGGCGTGACTGTACCTGTAAGACAAATGTGATTAGTGAGCTATGCAAAAGACTTTGGAGTTGAATGGATGCAGGGGAACGGGCGCTTACGTGTGTGAGGCGAGCTGGTGGCCTTCTCTGACGATGCGCTGGATGACCGATTCATAGCCATAAAGCTTGAGGCCGTTCACGAAGAAGGTCGCTTTTGCGTTATATAAGGAAAGGAGGTCGAGGAGTTCGTCCGTGTACATGTCGGGTCCATCATCGAACGTCAGAGCTACCTCGCCAGGGACATGGCAGGATTGAATATAGGTGCCGATAGGGACCGTCTGGCGTTCTCGCGAGTTCATGGTAGGTAGGGCTTCGGCATTAGGTATGAAGAAGGCAACGAGAAGGGATAGAACAACCGCTACGCTCGGCAGACAAGGGATCATCATGATGCTGAGACAAGAACAAACGGTGAATTGGAGGATTTGAGAAGCGGCGTGGGAGGTTGAGGTAATTCCCGAGACTGGATGGCAAGAGTGGATAAGACATGCTGGCTTGATGCTCGTACAGTTCTTATAGCTTCGAAGAAGCGTCCTCGGCCATCGCATCAGTGGAACTGGCGATATGTGCAGCTCGCGATCAGCAACCCCAGATAACCGTGGAAGCATTGGCGATGGATCGGAAAAGTAGCGATTGGGCCAGCCATGACCGGTAGCGTCTCGCCCTCATTATTGCACATTCTGAGCCAAAGATCGGAGAAGTAGCGATTGGACCAGCCATGATATATATCGTCTCTCGCCTTCATTAGTGCAGATTCTGAGCCAGACGCGCGAAATAGGCCCGTTGACAATCGACACATCATCTTTCAATCTGTCCTGCAGCTGCTCCTGCTTCCCGTAGATCCTTATCTGCCGCTCACTTGGCTTCAAAGTTCTCAGCCAGGGCCTCTTCGCCCAACCTCCTGGATTCTAAGAATATCTGTGGGTAAGTCTACACCTCAGAGAGACTGCCCTAATGTGCGGCATGGAAATGCAGGCATAGGTAAATCACGGGACCGTAGCGCTGCGAATTTTGGCGCCTGGTTGGAAAATTCAAGTCTGGCCTGAACTTCCCTGCTTGTTGTCAGCCCAGCACCCTCAAAACAAACAAAGGACAACAGAGGGAGGCGGGGCCGACTCACGCAAGCATGGTGCGTGGCTGGGACTGTCTTTTTCAAGGGCAAGTCTCTCCGAGAATAGCTTTATGTGCGCGGGCTTTTGTGAAGCGAAGCCGAGTAATGCAGACGTGTGATAATCACCAGCGAATGTGCGATGGTCGATAGTAACCTTGCAAGGGCAACTGTACCAGGAATACTTGGCTGGCTAGCAGGCTTATAGCTCCGTGGCAGACACAAAGCTAAAAAAGTTAGGTTCATAACTGTGGTAGAGTTCTTGAAGTACTTACCCAAGGCACCCTCTCTTCTCGTCACTATCTAACAATTTTGTTATTCTTTCGCTGTTGTTTGGTCCAGGATGCTTTCTGGGCAGGATATCCATGGATAAGCGACGACGATTCTCGCGCTCCACCGCCATCAAGAGATTATAATCAGAGCCCATCCCGCCGTGCTTGATGAGCTTTGACTGAATTATTTCGAGCAGCTATGACACTTGTTTTGGCAAAGTCGTTTCTTCGTGATTGGTGGGTGGGAGGGCGAAATTGAGCTCGGCCGAAACTTTCTCTGCGCGGGCACCACATGGATCGATTGGGTTTCAGATAATGACATTCCAACGATCAATCAGCATCTCGTCTTTAGGTTCGAATCATGAAGCTCCCGCATGGAGGTCAGCCATGTCCCTCATGCGGCGAATCAGAACCGAAGATCTCCCAGCCGCTGCCCCTCAGCTCTGAGCACTTGCATTTCAAGCAGACCAACGAACATCTCCTGCAGCAGAACAAAGAGCAGAAAGCATGACGCGGTTATTTCGTTGGAGCGTACGGAGTAGTATACTGCTCGCCCCACTGCAGACCTCGCTTAGGAGCTTAGTCATCCGCGACGGGGATAGCTTCATCGCCGTCGCGTAGCTGGATACAATCTCCAACGTTTCATCTCCAACATATTCGATCGCCTAGGAACAACCATAGGATCTTTGAAGATTCCACATTGCTTAGGAGCACATCCACTGGTCTGCCTCCGGCCGAGACTCTTGGCTGAAAATGAACGACGCGGACACGAGGCCTGGAATGTTCGATCGACGCGACGTTCGGAGTCCGAGCCGATAGCAGCTCTTGTCGTGTGTCTTTTCGAATGGTTAGTGCAGAAGGGTGGTACAAATCAAAGATCCCTGGAATATCTGCCTTGGCATCTACATCATGATGGTAAGCCATCGGCCAGTCGACCCATGACCAGCCAGCCGCCTAAAGCAGTCAAGAAGCCTCGCATCCCTCGGAGGACAGATTCCAAATCGCAATCGCCGTCGCTGATCGCAATGTCTGCACGCACTGCCCCAGTTTCGCGCATTGCAATTGTCGGGGTTGGCCAGGTCGGCGGTGCGGTGGCCTACGCTCTGATTCTCGGCTCCGTGGCGTCGGAGCTGCTTCTCGTTGATGTCAAGGCCGATCTTCGAGACTGCCAGGTCCGCGATCTATCTGATGTCGTTTACAGTCACAACAGCAGCACCCGCGTACGATCTGCAACCTACGATGAAGCAGGGCAGTGTGATATCGTGGTCGTCACGGCGGGGTCGAAATATTCACCAGGTAATACGACCATCGTCTCTATGATTTTGAGGAGGCCTGACTTACACATCGTCTCTTGCCAGGCGAAACCAGCATGCAGCATATGTATCGGAATATCGGCATTCTTCGAAACGCGGTGACGGGCATGAAGCCATTCAGTCCGAGTACCATCCTCATCGTCGTCGCAAACCCGGTCGATCTGCTCTCCTCGCTGGCGCTGGAATTATCAGGGCTTCCGCCTTCCCAGGTCATCGGCTCAGGCACCTTTCTGGACTCCGTACGACTTCGCGGACTGGTGGCGGATAAAATCGGCGTGAGTATAGGGCTGCCCAGCTGCACTTGTGCTTACAGTGCGTTCCTAACACGACCACGTAGATTGCCCCGAGCTCGATAGATCTATACGTACTGGGTATGCACGGTGAGCGCCAAGTGGCCGCCTGGTCCACCGCAACAGTCGACGGGTTCTCCATCGACAAAGCCGTTCCGGCCGAGAGCTTGAACCGCAATGCGCTGGCTGATGAATGCAAACACAAGTCCCAGAGTATTTTCCGGGTCAAGGGGGCAACGCCGTACGGGATTGGAGCGGTGGTGCTCAGTCTATGCTCGTCCATCCTGTTGGACAAGCATGAGGTCCGCCCGGTTAGCCACTTCCAGCCGGAGTTCGGATGCTTTTTCAGCTTGCCTGTGATTCTTGGTCGAGGGGGGATTATCTCGACCATTGCATTGCCACTGGCGGTTGATGAGAGGGCGAAGATAGCGGATTCGGCGGAGGTGTTGAGGGATACGCTTGCGCGTATCAGGGAGAATCAGTAAGGGAGGTGTCTACAAGTTGCCATGATCTATTCAAGTTCTTTACAAGCATCGTAAGGTCTATCTTTTTTGTTTGGAAATATGAGGTTTAAAGTTTGTAATTATGATTTACGAACATGATATCATTTGGATGCGGATAATTGAATGCAGATAGTGGTCACAATTTGACGCAAAAACAACTCAGAATACTCGAATAATATGCTTCTCCTGTTATATTTCAATATTGTGATTATGCACCCTCACTGGCAGCGATATTCATCTTCACCGCAATGAAGCTGTCCGGACTCACCGAGACCGAGGTAATGCCCGCTTGGACCAGGAACCGCGCGAACTCCGGATGGTCACTGGGCGCCTGCCCACACAGACTGATCTCGCAACCGGCCTCTCTCGCCGCCGCAATCGCCCGCTCAATCATCCACTTGACAGCCTCGTCCTGCTCATCAAACAACCCCGCCAGCTCTCCAGAATCCCGATCAACCCCAAGCGTCAGCTGCGTCAGATCATTCGAGCCAATCGACATCCCATCAAAGAACTCCGTGAACTGCCGCGCCAGAATCACATTACTCGGGATCTCGCACATAACATAGACGCGCAGACCACCCTCACCACGCCTCAGCCCATTCTCCGCCAGCACATCCAACACCTTCTTCGCCTCACCCGCCGTGCGACAGAACGGGATCATCACGACGGCGTTAGTGAAACCCAGCTTCTCACGCAGCCGCTTGATGGCGCGACACTCCAGCGCAAACCCCTCCATGTACTGCGGCGAGTAGTAGCGCGACGCACCGCGGAACCCAAGCATGGGGTTCTCCTCCTTTGGCTCGAACTCAGCACCCCCAACGAGCCCGGCGTACTCGTTTGTCTTGAAGTCGCTCATGCGGATGATGGCTGGTTCGGGGTAGACGAGGGCGCAGAGCGCCGCGAAGCCGCGCGAGAGCTTGTCGACGAAGTACTCCGGTTTCGAGTCGTAGCCTGCGGTGATCGTGGCGATTTCTTTCCTCGCCGAGGCGTCCTTCAGATGGTCGTAGTGGATGAGCGCCATCGGGTGCACGCGGATTGTGTTTGTCACGACGAATTCCATCCGCGCCAGCCCGATGCCGTCGGCTGGGAGGCGCCACCATCGGTATGCTGCGGCGGGGTTGGCGAGATTGAGCATGACGTGGGTGCGTACGGTGGGGAGGCTGTTTAGGTTGATGGTTTGGGTTTTGATGGATGCGGTGCCGTCGTACACGAAGCCGTTGGTGCCTTCGGCGCAGGACGCGGTTACTTGCTGGCCTGTGTGCAGCACGTAGGTGGCATTCCCTGTGCCCACGATGGCTGGCACGCCGAGTTCCCGACTGACGATTGCGGCGTGCGAGGTGCGGCCGCCATGGTCGGTGATGATCGCCGCTGCCCGTTTCATGATGGGTACCCAATCTGGGTCGGTGGTTTCGGTGACCAGGATCGAGCCGTCGATGAAATGGTGGATGTCTTTGGCCGATTCGATGAGGCAGATTCGTCCGGCAACGGCTGCATCCCCGATGGAGAGGCCAGTAGTCAAAACGCGGCCTTTTTGACTGACGTGGTAGGTTTTAAAGACGGCGATATCACGGCGCGAGTGGACAGTCTCTGGCCTGGCCTGGACGATGAACAACTCGCCGGTGATGCCGTCCTTGGCCCATTCCATGTCCATCGGGCACTTGTAATGGTTTTCAATGATAACAGCCCATCGTGCAATCTGTAGGATCTCCTTATCACTGAGCACAAAGGCAGCTCGCTCAGCTTTCGAGGTCGGCACGTTGCAGGTTGGCGTGTTGTTCCCAAGGTGAAGCTTGTTGCCCAGCACCATCTTGACTGCCTTCTCACCACACTTCTTCTCGATGATCGGGACGAGCTTGTCATTGCCCAGAAGCGGCTTGAAGACCTGATACTCATCGGGGTCGACAACGCCCTGCACCACATTTTCACCAAGCCCCCATGCCGCGTTGATCAGGACCACCCTGTCAAACCCGCTCTCCGTATCAATCGAGAACATCACCCCAGACCCGCCCGCATCAGCCCGAACCATGCGCTGAACTCCAATCGAGAGCGCGACGCTAAGATGATCAAATCCCTTGGCCTGCCGATAGCTGATCGCCCGGTCCGTGAAGAGAGACGCATAGCACCGCCGACACGCACTCAGCACCGCATCTTCCCCAGAAATATTCAGATACGACTCGAGCTGGCCCGCGAAACTCGCATCCGGCAAATCTTCCGCCGTCGCGCTGGACCGCACCGCAACTGCCAAGTCAGAACTGACTCCAGCTTTCTTGCTGAGCTTATGGTAGGCCTCCCGAATGGCCGCAGCCGTCTCCTCGGGCCAGGAGCCATGCAGGAATCGACTCCGGATGGCATGCCCTGTCTCTGCGAGGCTCGCGCTGCCGGATTCCCATTTTGCAATGAGTTCAACGATCGTCTTGTGGAGTCCGTTGAAGCTGATATAGCCCCAGTATGCGTGTGATGTGGTCGCGAAACCGGGCGGCACGGCGATCCCCTCTGCTTGGAGGCTGGAGATCATTTCACCCAGAGAAGAATTCTTTCCTCCTACCAGGGCGCCATCGCCGCGCGCTAGGGTCTCGAAATCGCAGACTAGTTTGGCGTCCATACTGAAGTCTAGTACGGTGTTCTGTCTTACAAGATTGGGAACTTTCACGTATAGATGAGTCGAGTTTCTGATATTGATTATTCCGAGAAGATTCAGTACATTGAGCGGAGGTAAGAAATCTCTTGCTGATAGCGGCACTTCCTTAAATCATACTTATTCTTAGAAGCCTAGATGCCCCAGTCTTGAACCACGCAATTCCTAAAAACCGTCATACCATGCGGCCCCCTATGCCCGTCTTCGGCCGAGCACCTAACCTTCAGATAGATCATAGATCTGATCGAGAACCCCGCTCAAGGGCGGCTGAACTTCGCATGGGGAACCGGGGATGATGACATCATGATCGGAGTGAGAAGGTCAGCTGCAGCTTAGGGTTGCCCAACCACTGCACGAGCCTGCCTTGATCTGGAATCTGTGGTTGTGGTTGTGGTGCCATTTATGGCCTGGAACAGTCTGTTTCTGTACTGTTGTTACACAGATCTCTGGCATAGCACAGATTCCCGGAGTAGAAGGCTGGCTTATCCACCTCAAATATACCATATCAATGCATATCAACCCCCCTCTCGCCATAACTATTCAACTTCTATAGGCTCTACACTGTAAAGGTAACAAGACTAAAGTATTGGTCAGAATAACCGAATTGTGTCGGATCTGTAATCCCCAGTGCCAACCCTGTGACTGCAATGGGTAAAACTAGGGCTATGGCACCACCAGGCTGCTCACATTCGACTAGGCATCGCATCGAGAGTGCCTCTTACAATTGGCAGGATCTGGCTTCCTGCCTACTCTGCCATGCATGGCTGGCATAGCAAGGGCAATGACTACACATGCAGCAATCTTGATCTCTGGTTGCCCGGCATTTCGAGGAGCAAAACAGGCGAGAAGGCGAGCTGGGGTTCCAGCGACGAGTAAGATACAAGATCGCATGTGGATTATGTAGGATGGCAGCTGTTTCGCATCTCTGGCTGTATCACTCATGGTTCTAGGCCGGACACGACACGTTGTCCGTCTGCCCTATGGGAGGTCTGTCATGCGAATGACCAGACAATAATCATACACTATTCGCTACGTGAAAACCCCGGTCGAAGCCAATCGCTTCCTCCGTTGGCTCTCCTAGTCAGATCTAATTTGGGTTTGCAGTGAAAAAAGCTCTTGAAACTATAGAACTAACGCATAAGATGAAAGCATGGCATGGCCGCGCGGGATGAGCAAGGGTTGCAGATCGCTGTATGAAAAAGCTACACTGGTCTAATGATTGGCAGACAGTTGGCATGCAAGCAACGTATGACAAATGGAAGGATCGATCTTGGAGTACCCCGTCGCCTCGATCCATCTTGTTGTATCGATCCATCCCCGGGCCCTCGTCCAGGTTCATTAGGGCTAGATAGACGAAAGCATAACGTTCGTGGTTGCCGACGTCAAGGTTAATTTCAATTCCAACTCAACTGACCCTCTCTTGGATTCTTGCCCTTTGTGTCCTGGTAACATGGACAGCTTCACAGTTGGCGACTACCTCGCTGAGAGACTCGCCCAGCTAGGGTAGGCATCAGACACCATTTCGTCGTCCATGGAGACTACAACCTGCTCCTCCTCGACCTCCTCCTCCTCCACCCCCAGCTCTCCCAAGTCGGTTGCACCAATGAGCTGAACTGCGCCTTGCAGCCGAAGGCTACGCCCGCGCAAACGGCATCGGCGCCTGCGTGGTAACCTACAGCGTAGACGCCTTCTCGGTCTCGAACCGTGTCGTTGTGCGTACGCGGAGAACCTCCTCTTGATCCTAGTCAGCGGGTCCCCGAATACAAACGACGCTGCTCGACAATCACATCATACACCGTACACTTGGGACGGCGGACTATACCTAGCAACTTCAAATGGCGCAGAAGGTAACGGTCTGTGCTGTTGCTGTGAACCGCGCGCAGGATGCCCCCACCCTGATTGACCGTGTTCTTCGAGCGGCCCTGCTCTTCCGGAAACCTGTGTATATCGAGATCCCGACGAATCTGCCAGGCGCGAGGTGCGTACGGCCGAGTCCCGTAAGCGCGGTGTCTGATCCGCCGGCGAGCGATATGCCCTCGTTAACTGCCGCCATCCGGTGTGACGGTTTTCAGCGATTACAGCACTGTCGGGTGAACGGGGGCGGCGGACTTGAACACGACGATGATACTCGTTGATAGCGACCGCGTCGAGAAGCCAGATGCCACTCTACGTTCAACCGGGCCCAACCGGTGGAGTTCCTGTCTGGGTTGGCCCAGACCGTCACTCATAACGCGACGACACTGCTGGAGTATCAACGCTCCGGTAGGATCCCCCTCTCAGTCATCAAAGGACGCTCGCACAAACACCCCTCACGCGCAAGGAAATCGCGCGTCAGGCCCAAGCACTCCTCGCACCCAACACGACTGTCTTTGTTGATACCGGCGACTCGTGTGGTTCAACGGGATGTAAATGACGCTTCCTGACGGCGCGAAGTTCGAGATCGAGATGCAATGGGGACATATCGGGTGGTCGATCTCCGCTGCCTTTGGGTTTGCGGTCGCGGAGCCAGAGCGTCAGGTTCGTGATGATTGGAGACGGGGCGTTCCAGGTGACGCTGCAGGAGATATCGCAGATGGTTCGGCACGGCAAGCCGGTTGTCATTGTGCTGATGAATAACCAGGGGTACACGATTGTGGACATCCACGATGGCCCGTACAATCGCATCCAGGATTGGAGTTACGCGGAGCTGATGCGCCAGTTTAGCTCGAGGAATGGACAATGTGAAGGATTTCGGGTCAGGACGGATGCAGAGCTGGAAAGGGCGATTCTTCAGGCAAAAACACGCAGGAAAGGCCCGACGTTGATTGAGTGTGTTATTCACCAAAACGACTGTAGCAATGAGCTTTTCACTTGGGGCCATTATGTCGCTGCTGCCAACAGCCGATCTCCACTTAGACCGAGTTCCTGGGATAGACTTTGATGTTTTCTAGGATAAAGGTTGTTTGTGATGACTTCTCTTGCTTCTCTTAGCGGATCGAGTACAGATTGACAATGTTACCATCAGTAGCCACCACTTGAAAGCATTGCAGGCCCGTCTCATCGCGGGGACTGGGAATCAAGGAACCAATGCTGCATCATGCCTGCCCTGCCCTCCGCCGAGTAAAATCAAGTCCTTTCCTGAGATGCTCGGCCTAAAACACTCCCCCCGTCCACGTTTTGTCCTTTCATTTCATCAAAAGCGTGTCCGGTTAAACCTTTCCCCCTGCGTCGACAATATCAACGAAAGCCCACTCCTGCCCCTGCCCCGGCCCTGGCCCTGGCCTATTCCAAGTTCGTTTACCACGGAATCCCAGAGCACTTCATGCTCTTCCAACCACCGCCCCAATTCGACTTGCACGGCCCAGTCACCCCGCTCGACGGCGTCCCCGTGCAGCCCTTCTCCGAGTAAAAGGTGCACGAGCACGCGTAGAAATCCTTGCAGTCGGCGATGTTTGCGCTGTTCGTGCCGGAGTAGTCGTAGTCGTAGCACTGGCCGGTGACGCCCGGCCAGATGGAGACTAGGTAGTCGGAGCAGCCGCCGTCGGAGTAGTAGTTTACTTTGAGTTCGTAGGCGGACGCGGTCATTATGGCTGCGAGGGCTGGGAGGAGGTGGACGAGCTTCATTTTGAGATTGGTACTGGAGATGGTGGAAGTGGCCGTTTGACTCTTGGGTCGGTGGTTTTGTCTCGCGATGGTGATAGGGTTGATGGTAGTGCAGGTGGTAGAGGAGACGGTCACCCTTATATGCAATTGAAATTTCATGAGTGCGCATTTTGTTGACTGAGAATTATGTAAAATCAGGAGACTTCTCCATGACATTCTGGTGACTCAGCTATTATTGTTGTGTATATTAAACGGCCATGATATAGCCCCCAATGAGCATGCTGAATTGAATCAAAAGGTTGCATCTTGGCGGCGCCAGCGCTTGATTCGGTCTAGTTAGCGTAGTCCCATTGATCGGGCATTCTTAGGAAATCATTACATGAGATCCTCAAGTGAGACAGCAAGCCGTGAGTCGAGGTGAGCCCTAACTTCTCTATGTAGCGGCCATGTATCGAAGCGGCAAATGGGGAGAAGGGATACGGTATTGTGGATCCAAATCCCCAGTTGGTCGTCGAAGTCATGAAGTCAAGCCCTCTTCGACCAGGAACGGGGCAAAATAAGTATCCAACAGGGAGCAGATCAATCTGCTATCTGTGGTGGAGTGTACCATACCGAGCACTCCTTCAGTCGCGATCCTACCTCATGTAAACGGCATCAACCAGCCTAACTCCCCAATTGCATCCATCCAAACAGGTCCCTTATTCCCTTCTTGAGTCGGGGCCGCACACTCCGCCAAATCCCTTCTCTTCCATATCGCCTTGACAGCAGCCAGTGTGGAGGGAACATTACTAACAGGCTTCCTGGTGTTCAACACAGAAAACCACTCAAGAATCTGGACTCGCCCTTCCTCTAGTACCACGCAACTGGCGATAAAGAGCGCCCACATCGGGTACGGAAGGAAGCCAAGAAGAGTACCGTGAAGCTTATGGATTTGCTCAAGAGTAGACAAGAGAACTGGTAGGTGGGCTTTTTGGATTATCTCATTCTCATAGGGGAGGCTGGCGAGGGCGTGGTAGAGATAGATCCAGGTGGCGGATTGAAAGGCTGAAGCATGGAGGGCCATGATGTCGAAGTCCGACACTTGATGAATGAAGACCGGGTAGGCTGAAGATGCTTCGAGCCGTTGGAGACGGTGGATGAGGTTAGTAAACTCTTGGGTTGTGGCCGTAGTGCCGGTCTGTCGTCTCAGGGATAGATCTGTTATGCAGGATATGATGTCTAATAGCTCGAAAGACAGGCCCATGCAGGGATCTATTTTCGCGGATCCACGGCCTGCAAGATAGGGGAAGATGGTAGGAACCTCAGTTGACCACTGGATACTACCGAGATATTTTCCTTCAGCGTGGCGGCTTGCAGTGCTCGTGGACGTGCCTAGAAACGTGCCCTTCTCAAGGAAGAAGCTATATACCAGCTCCACAACTTCCTGACTGAAGACATCCTTCTGCTTCATTCCTCTCAGATTTAAAAGCTTGATGATCATCAGTGCACCATTCATGTGATATGTCCACTCCTTGATGCTGCCACTCGCTATCTCCAAAAGGCAGTGGAACATGACGAGAAGCAGGAGAGCATCTCGCTCAGATCTGGTCCTAGCTAGGGTGAGAGCATTGTTGTCGGCGTCAGAACAGTCGGGGACCATGTTCCGAAGGTACTTCAACGAGTGGCATTTGTGAGTGAGTATCATCTGTTCGTAGCGAGAGACATCCTGATTTCCGCACTGGTTTCGAAGGATATGTGCTGCCCATGCGATAGCCATATGAAGTAGTCCGTCCGATTGATAACAAAGAGGAAGGAGCACTGAGCGCCAGGGATTTTCGCTTTCGGCTAGTGATCGCCGGATTGTGCAAGTATGGGTGACTGGTGTATATGGTCAGTACATAATATCCAGTAAAGGTGTTTGAGTCAGCATACAGTAATGGAAAAGAAATCGGTCGACCTCTGCCAGAGAGGGATACTGTGACAGTGAATAGAGCATTGATGACGGTGCAGAGGTTAGGTCTCCACCGGTGACAAAAGCATATTCCTGACAACAGCCTGTACCGCTGTAAAGACGGTGAATATCGTCGGAAGTTGTGTTGAGCCAGTGGCGAGCATGAGGCTGGACAGGGACCAAGTAGTGCGTCTGGCCAAATGCGCACTTGGTGCCTCTCCCAAAGGCGATGCCCTTTGAATTAGCTTCATGCTCCCACAGGAGTCTGGTGCCATATTGACAGAACATTCCGCGCTTTGTGCAGCCACCGCAGGACGGCTTTGTTTCTATTTTATCTCAGCGTCTGTGACAGTTGGAGTAGCCTAGGTGGTCGCTTACCGTCGCACCGGCGTCGTCGCTCTACCATACAGCACAGAGTTAGATAACAATGAATCATACCACTGGACAAGGCACATACTCTTGCAGCCCCAGCAGCCTGTTCTTGTGCGTTGGATGCCTGATTTTGGTGACTGCATGGTGGTTAGCTGAAGAAGAGAAGATGAAAGATGGAGATCTCATGTGTGCGATCCCATGGGTTGATAAGTGATAGCCAAGTCATGTGTGGAAGTAACCGACACGCTTGCTTGTTTGGTATCTGTTCTTCTGTAAGCCAACAATCCCAGCGGCCCTGTTCCTTGAAGCAGCAAGAGACATTGCATGCAACAGGATTTATTAGACTCCAAGGTATTATCAGACGGACATCAAAAAGGCATAGATGCGCCGGGTCAGCATGTGAGTTCTGTTATATGCTGTCAAGGGCCTCTAGCACAGGCATTTACCCCGCGATCCAGGTGTCTGACCTCCAATCTCCGACACAAGGATGAACATCTTCGCGGTGGCTGCCTGGATGATAGCCGCCCGGTGCGCCGTACTTTCATCATCTAGATAAGAACTGCCCTCGTTGTCCTTGTCCTCTTTCTTCCCAACCCCCTCTTATTCCCTCAGTCGCCCGGTCGGAACCCGTCGTTTTACCTATCCCAAGGACGCCCGCCTATTGACTGGACGCCCAAACCTTACAACAACTTACATCGTCTGCCGAGGCTGCAAAGCGGTATTGAGAATAGTTGAAGGACGAGAGAGCACTCCGCAAACTCGAGGAAGTGGTTGGGGAAATGTTAAAAGAGTCTGGCCCAGCAGACGGCAAATGATTTATGCGGGGTGGGAAATTGATATGAGGTTGTCATCAGCCCTCAAGCCTAAATGCTTCTTTGAGTCGAAGATCGTAATCGCGTCTATCAGCAATTTTCTGTGCTCCGAGTTTCACGAAATCCTGAGACCAGTACCATGGCATAACCTGTTGAAACCCGTCATGATCGGGACTGTATCTGAGAAACCTGGGTTGAATCTGCTTGTAAAAGACGGAGAATAAACCTGTTGGGCTGGCAAGCGCAAGGGAGTACCAGAATGCTCCTGACTCCCAGTTTTCTTCCATGGTAGCTGATAGTTGAGTCTTATATGTATTACCCATTGCGTGTACCTCGCCGCATGCGTCCGGTATTTCTGCAGTTTCATCCACGGCTCCTATCGCCCAACTCCCTCTCAAAGTAGTTGATGGATTTTGTAGATGGACGACTTCGACTTTCTGTTCTTCGGCAACCAAGACATTCATGAACTCCCTGCGCATTATATCGTACTCTTCGGCTTCTTCAGCAATCTCGTCCACAGCTTTACCCGTGAGCCACGTCGGAGTCCGTAGCATCTCGATAGGTCGAGTGCATGCCCATTCAAGATCCACCAGGCAAGTAATGTGCCAGTCTTTATCAACAAAGATGTTGCTTTGGTGAAGGTCGGTAAGGCCAAAAACAAACGGGCCATGGCGAAGTTCAGAACGGAAGAAAGAAGGGAAGACTGCTCGCATTGCTGTCAATGCAGATGTCTGGTAGAGATAGTCCCCAAGGTCATTGATTGCATTCGGCTGGTGTCGTAGTCGACTATCATGCATGTGAAGCAGAGCTGTCGCATAGGAATCCACTGATGAATGAGTACAGCCACGCGGCATACCGGTAGGGATTTTCTCATTTTCCAAGTCTTGAATTTCAAGAGAAAGAGGACGATTTGCCAGGCGTAAGAATCCACTCTGGTCTATAACAAAAGATCCAATCTTTGAGAAGCGAATGCGTGTGATACTGAGCAATATTCGAGAGAGGCTTCGGAATAGATTCATTCTCAATCCTGCCTCAAGGTGTTTCTCTGGCCAGGAGTTCGAGAGCATTTCCCCCTGTTCTGCTTCGATATATTCTATTAACAGATAACCGGATCCTATTATCCTGCCACTAGGCATGGAGGATGGGGGTCGGTGGCGAACATATTGCGTAGGGGTAGGTTTTCCAAGAAACGCAAAAAGTTTATGGCGGATATATTCGAAGCAACGGGTAAAAAACGGCAGGTTTTGCAAGCGAGTGAACTGAGAAGGACATTTGAGTTAGCTCTCTCATTGAGCGAACAGAGGGAAAGGTCGCACAGTTTCACCGGTCGATGTAGCAAAGCCGTATAGTCTTGGAATGGGTATATCGGGACAATTTTGTTCAAGCCATGCATAGGTGCCCGCCTCGCACCGGATCTTTTCATCCCCATTGCCAGGGCGAAACGCATCACCGACTCGATACGGAAGAGGGAGCCGGAGCAGAACACGGCTTCCAGGCTGTTGTTTCTGTTTCCACGTATTATTAACATTGACTGGAACACATAAATTGAAACTTCCATGCTGCCAATTCTCAAAATCAGCCACACGACACTCGTTGGGTGATCCTAGGTTCAGGTGATGAGCAACTATTGTTTCGATCCAGTGGCGATTCTCGAGAATATATGCAAAGAATTCATCTCTTTGGTCACAGTACTGCAATCGGTGAAGGATGTTCACCTCTTCGGACTCGGCAGTCGAGTATGTAATCTCCCCGCGAAGAAGTGGACGCGCCTTTGGCATATTTTATGAATTATTGCTGTTCACAGGAAACAGAGAACTAGTGAGGTGAAGAACCACTGTGGTGGGAGAAGGCCAACCAGAAAACGCGTGGTTCAAGCAGATGAAGCCCCCTGAAACTGAAATCGGTGTGGTTTATGCCACTCCAACCAATAAACATCAAAGAGCATGAGAGACGGCGAAACCGCGGGGAATTGTTGTGCCGTGCCCAATAGACACTCGACCGTAATCAGGATGGATGCACTAGCCTTATCAGATGATTCAGATCGATCCTACGTTGGAGAAGCCAGTCCTGATACTGATAAAAATGGAGAATTAAAGAAAGATAACGCTAAACTAGACATCATCTTCATAGAGAACTCTTAACAGTGCCCCACCCCGGCATATCATTCAAATCTTCAGGCTTCTCCGGGTGGGGATTAGTGGTATAATCCGAATGATCAAGCCCCGGCCTCCACTTCCATTTCTTCGCGATTTCTGGGTCCAGAGTCCCCTCCATCATTTCAACGATGTATTTTCCGAGAACGGGCAGGAACTTGAAGCCATGCGCAGAGCCGCCAATAGCGATGTCAAGGTTCTTGTGTCGCGGGTGAGGCGTGATCAGGAAGTGGTAGTCGGCCATGTCTCCATCCCTACCATGGTCAATATCAACATTTCTCGAACGCAATAGGAGTAGACAAACGAACCAGCAGATCCGGGTCTCGACCCACTCCCGATGGGCGAGCTTCGGCACACACGTTTCCATCCACTTGCGCAGACGAGCCTCAACTACGGCGGGGATCCTGTCCTTGGGGTTGTCGGAGCGGTATCGAGGAAGTGATATTCCCTTCAAAGATTTGGCGTAGTTGGTGACAAAGTGGACTGCGCCAATTTTCATGATTCCGTCTTCCTGGGGCGGGAACAGGATACCTAGTAAAAGGTCAGTACCTTTCCTCACGTACTGTGTCAGTTGGCACCCTACCTCCTTCCAGATGATCAAGAATAGGCATATCCTTGTATTCCTCAACCTCTTCCGGCGTAAGCTGGATATGACCCACAGCATGCCCCTTGGCCACGATCTGGTTCTCCAAATCCAGCAGACTTCCGGCCGCGGCCCCAGCAGCTAAGATAATCTTGCTCGCAAAATAGGCCGAACCATCAGCACATTTCACGCCGATACAGGTCTGATTTTCGTCATAGAGCAGCTGCTTCGCATATCCGGCGTTGCCAGAGATATACTTTACTCCGGACTTTATAGCCTCCTGAGCCATTCTAACAATCCCCTCGCGGGCGTTCACCCACGCAGCATTTGGGGACCAGAACGACTTCCAGCCTTCAAAGCCCCCACTCATGACAGGCCATTTCTCGTGGATTTCCTCAGTAGACACGAGCTTGGGAGGGTCAACTCCTAGCGCTTTTGCGCTCTTCATCGAAGCCTCCACAAATGGCGTCGACCGGTCTGTCGCCCCGATGATCCATCCGCTTGGATTGTAGAGGCCCGCAAATAAGCCGTTTGAATCGCGCCAGATGTCCCTGGAATCGCTGGCCAGCTTGGTGTATAGAGGCTCAGGGTACTCGGTGCGGACAATCTTGTTGATATCGTTACCAGCGGCCTCGAAGGAGGGGACGGGGAAGCGGTCGAGCACAGTAACATTGGTGTAACCTTTTTGCGACAGGTGATACGCGGTACTTGTGCCAAAAGTTCCGCCACCGATGACGATGATCGGCTGCGTGAGTTGCGAAAGAACCATGATGTTTGAAGTGCTTGGAGATGATGGCCTGGGTCGCTGTCTGCTTTTCTGATCTTTATATGCCTCTCAAAGGCATCTGCAGAGACCGACTGCGCTCCATGGCAAGTCGATGCGCCAGCCAAAGATATGGCCTGTTTGCATAGCCAGTAGTAAGTGGTTGAGAGCCTACCCCAAATCGCGGTGATAGAGCTTATCCACCAATAGATCTGTCTGGATACAGCCTGATCAGCAAAAGTTGGGGTAACGATGCTTAGCGGCGCTCCGACCTGCCTCTCTTCTGTCATTATCTTGGCTTATACCGGACCTGGTCCGAAGTGAATCAAGGCATGATATCAACGTTATCTTGACGACTTGGCGCTGATGTTGGGGCAAATATAAGGACATCAGCCATGCCCTAACTAGAGCCAGCACCATATTCGACCACGGCCCATCAGCAAGATGTCGCAGTCTAAAGACACCAAGGCAGGCCTCACCAATGCCGAATCCTCTGTTGACACCGATAGTGGCATAGGACAGGTATCTGAGGTGCGAAACGAATCGGGCTTCCACCGAACCTTTACCCCCAGACAAATTCACGTACGCCTCCTCGTATACTACCAGTCCAGGTACATCTCTGATTCTATTACAGGTCATTTCCCTTGGAGGCCAAATCGGAGCAGGACTCTTTATTTCAACTGGGAAAAATTTATCGAATGGCGGCCCTGGGTCTCTTTTCCTGGGCTTTGCATTAGTATGTACATGCGTCTGGGCGGTGCTCAACACCGTCTCCGAAATGACGATTGCATTCCCCACGAGTGGAAACTATATTGAATATGCCGATCGCTTCGTCGACCCAGCCCTGTCTTTCGCGGGCGGTTTCAGTATGTGTTTGGGTTGGATTGCCGTCATTGCGTCAGAGGCGACCTTCTTTAATGTTCTTGTCCGCTATTGGGCTCAAGACTCCGTCCACGAGGCAGTGTGGTTGACAATCTTTCTCGTCCTCATGTTTGTCATCTTCAGTCTGCCAAACCGTGTCTTTGGTTGGTTCGAGTACGGTACCTCGATTCTGAAAATCCTCGTGTTGATCATCTTCATTATCGTCGGCGTGGCTCTCGTCTTTGGTGCAGGGCCCGCGGGAACTGTCCATCACGGCGAGAACTGGCATGACGGACAAGCCTTCCTGAACGGATTCAAAGGGTTTGGAAACAGTGTCTTGCTCGCAATCCTTGCAATCGGTGACAACACATTTACTGGCTTCCTCGCGGGGGAATCCAAGTCCCCGCGTTTCTCTGTCGCGCACGCCGTCTTTCTCATCCCCATTCGAGTCTCTGTATTCTACCTAGTCTCGGTGGCGTTGATTGGGATATTGATATCTCCCTCAAATGAGAACCTTCTGGGAGGTAGCGGCGTTGCTGCCTCTCCGTTCGTCATTGCCATCAATCAGGCCGGTATCAAGGGCCTTCCAGACTTCCTGAACGTGGCCATCGTGTTCGCCGTCGCAGCCATCGCCGCGGAGAGTTTCTTCATTGCCTCACGGATCCTTCAGTCCATGGCCCAACAAGGCCTGATTCCTGCACAGGTGGCAAAAGTCGATTCGCGCGGGCGGCCTCGCGTTGCGCTGGGCATCACAGGGGCTCTTGCCATAACACTCACGTACATTAATCTCAGCGCCGAGGGCATAACTGTCTTCAACTGGTTGTCCCAGATTGCCAGCACAGGGTACTTCATGGTGTGGCTCGTTATCGCAATCACATCGTTCCGCTTCCGCGCAGCTCTCAAGGCCCAAAACGACCCTCTATTCACTGAGACCTATGCATGGAAATGCGCTATTTGGCCGCTGCCCCCAATATGGCTCTTGACCTGTTGTAGCTTTTTCATTGGGACTTCATTCTACCTTGCCTTGTACCCTATTGTAAGTCTGCGAGTTCTGCTTTAAAGTGGAAGCTTACTCTTTCATTAGGGATCAAACACGCCAACAGCCGAGTACTTCTTCCAGTATATGTTCGGGACGATATTGATCGTTTTCACCGCGCTGGGATATAAACTGATATATCGCACAAAGATCCGTAATCCGCTAGAAGTCGATCTCCAAACTGGACGAAGGCCGCTAGGTGTGGAGGAGATCAAAGCGTTGGACGACTATAAGAACATGCCGCGTTGGAGGAAGTTCGTGTCCTTCGTGCAGCTGTGGTAACTGGGTTTAAACAATCCGCCATCGAGACGAGTCAATGGCATTCTATGTTGAGCCAGAACATATGTAGGATCTGTGGTTCTGAGCCACTTCAGCCACCACGTCACATGGTACTAGCGTAGGCAGATCAACGGGCAGGTGCATTAGTTCATCTTGTATGTAAATCGGTGGCGTTGCGTCTTTGACAGCTGCTCATGGCTGAGCCAACAATGCTGCAAAAGTAATGCGCCTGGTCACCAGGATCAATGCCTGGTTTCAACTGCATAAACAACCCGGGTTCTTAGATCATCAATACGAGACAGCCGTACAGATAGCGGACTCCGAATGCTAGGTTTAGCCTTCAAGACGCCCTGCGAGTTTGCCTTGACTAACCGTCACCGGGAAGCAAGAGCAAACCGTGCCTCGCGTGTGTTCTCTGGAGATTGGCCCTGTGACTCTGCTTGTCAGCTCCAGCTGAGGGGATCCGGGCGAAGTGGTAAGCAGTGAGATCGACACGGAGTAATTGCAGGCACCGGTGACAGCAAGTTCGCGGTTTATTTCAGAACTCGCAGCATCTCGTGGACACCAGGCCCGATGCAGTTAGCAGGGGCCATGGATGGGCGAGGTCGTTGCGAGAGCGACAGGGACAATGGGATGATCGGATACGAGCAGTTCTGACTAAAAAGCAATATGTGGCTCGTGATTGGCTGGTGCCTTGTAAATTACAGGCAGTGACCCCGGATTACCAAAGATACGGCGATTGTACGGGTCTTGCTCCTCCTGGGTGAGACCGGGCGAGCCTCCAATTTCTCCCTTCCAGACTCTCCTTGACTCGCCTTTTCAGCTTCTCTTTTTACGCCCTCTGCCCCCTCTCGGCCTCGTTTTCCTTCTTTGCGCTCGTTTGCTCCCTTCGTCCCGGCTTACCATCAGCCAGTCATGGTCGCAGCCCGATCACATTAATACCCCCTGTCTTTTGCGCTGATCTGTTGCCTACCGCGAATCCCTCGAACTCGTACCACGCAGACTTTCTTTCAATCGAACCGTACTCGGCACCGTACGTCCTCGAGAAGAGTTTAAGACATGTCCTCCTTCTTACCCGTCCGCCCTCGCTCACTCCGGCCAACTGCCACCGTAACCATGAGCGACGACCACGAAAGCTCCGACGCCTCGACTGCCCCTTCTCCTTCCACCACAGCCAGCTCCAGGAGCTTCTCCAATCCGGCGCCCTCTCCAGAACAGAAAAGAATCAAAATGCAGCGAAAACAATCTTCCCCGTTGGCTCCTGCCTTCATGGTGTCCGCCCCTGGAAAGGTCATTGTTTACGGAGAACATGCGGTGGTCCACGGCAAGGCCGCAATGGCCGCAGCCATTTCCCTACGCTCATATCTTCTCGTCACTACTCTCAGCAAGTCGCAACGCACCATCACATTGAACTTCCGCGACACGGACCTGAACCACAGCTGGGATATCGATCAATTGCCCTGGGATATTTTCCACCACCCGTCAAAGAAGAAGTACTACTATGATCTCGTCACCACTCTCGACCCCGAACTCTACGATGCGATCCAACCCCACGTTGAAGATATCTCCCCAGACGCTCCCGAAGAGATGCGCAAGATACACAAGCGGTCCGCGAGCGCGTTCCTTTATCTTTTCCTTTCCTTGGGCTCTCCGCAGAGCGCTGGAGCGATTTACACCCTTCGATCTACAATCCCTATCGGTGCTGGTCTAGGAAGCAGTGCTAGCGTCTGCGTGTGTATGAGCGCTGCGCTACTCGTCCAGATCCGCACTCTCGCCGGTCCTCACCCCGATCAACCCCCAGATGAAGCAGAAGTCCAGATCGAGCGCATTAATCGGTGGGCATTCGTTGGGGAGATGTGCATCCATGGCAACCCCAGTGGGGTAGACAACACGGTGTCCGCGGGCGGAAAAGCCGTGATTTTCAAACGTGGAGATTATTCCAAGCCGCCATGCGTCACCTCACTCCCCACCTTCCCCGAACTCCCACTTCTTCTTGTCGACACGCGCCAGGGACGTTCTACCGCAGTTGAAGTCGCCAAAGTTGGCGCTTTACGGAAAGAATGGCCTGTAGTCACCGAGTCGATCCTCGATGCAATTGACAATATTACCACATCTGCTGAGAAAGTCATCCGAGAGCCCACATCCGACGGCTTGTCCGAGAGCACCCTTCAGCAATTAGGCACCCTGATCCGGATAAACCACGGTTTCCTCGTTTCTCTTGGGGTATCCCACCCTCGATTAGAACGAATCCGCGAGCTCGTGGATTATGCCGACATCGGCTGGACTAAGCTGACCGGCGCCGGCGGCGGTGGGTGTGCAATCACCCTACTGCGTCCCGACCTCAAGGATGATTCCCTTTGCCAGCTAAAGGATCAACTCCACAACGAGAACTTCGGTATATACGAGACCACCCTCGGCGGTGACGGAGTTGGCGTCCTTTGGCCTGCCGTTCTTCGCAACGGGACTGACGAAGAAGGCGGCGAGGAGATTGACCAGCAGAAGTTCGAAAACGCCGTCGGGACCGAAGGTATTGAGCGCCTTGTTGGTGTTGGTGTCCAGGAGAAACGCGAGGGATGGAAGTTCTGGAAGCGAGCTGTTGCCTGATGCTCCTTTCACCCAATCCTCACCAACCCTCCTTACGAGTACCGACGACTTGCAATATGCCTCCTTGTCCTCTGGGTTATACCATGGTTTGCGCTCATATCATTTAATTCGGTCTAATTGCCTCTTTCCTTTCTACATGTATAGTTTATAGCCTCACGGCACCGTGTGCATACTTTCTTTTCTTACACCTTTCTTTCTATCATCTCTTTCTTAACCCATTTGATGTTGATACTTCTTTTTGCATTAGGATGTGGTGTTTATCGGTTCTAGCATTGAGTGTATGTTACGTTGGCTTGAAAGGACTAACTAGTCTATCAGCTTCTAAAGATGTTCGACTGTCTCATATACTTCCCCAAACAATAATATCTGCTGCATGTTGCTATAGTCATGGGTATAAAGAGAAATACAACTTTTCTATTTATGTCAGCGGAATCAAACAATCTTCTCTGCAGTCACGTCATGTCCTTCATAAATATATATCAAACCCGGCGAGTATGCAGGCACGTAATATACAAGTCATAAGCCCACACAAAGCCAAAAATGAATTGCTTCTACAAGAAAATTACAATTCCCACCCACTAAACCCCCAGTATCGACGTCCCCACGCTACCCCATCGTCGTCTCCCACCCCTTCTCAATCATAACATCCATCCAATAAACCCCGTCATCGCCGCCATCCATACGCCTCCACACCTCACTGACCAACTCCAGACAAACACTAATCGGTTTCGGAGGCAGAACATATTGCAGCGCCGTAAGACGCCCGAGAATGAATCGTCGCGTCCGCGATACTTCTAGCGCGTGCGAGGATATGCATGGCCCGTTTCCGTTTGCCGATAGGGCCATTGGGTCGCTGGGTGTTGATGGGAGGCGGAGTTCGCTGCTGGAGGCGACGAGGAGGAGGGGTTGTAGGCAGCGTGTGCGGGATTCGAATGGGATGGACTTTAGGCGGGAGAGTGTTGTTAGAGCGAACTCCGTGAGCCAGGAGTCGTGGTAGGTGTTGTCGGATTGGAGATTTGGTGGTTGTGTTTGAGGGCTAGGATTTGTGTGTAAGGGTTCGTTGAGCCAGGATGTAAAAGGGTCCTGGGCTTGTGGTGTTGTGTTTTGGAGTTGGGGATGAGGTTGTCGTGTAGGGGAGTGGTGGCTCTGGTGTTGGACAGGGAGTCGGCGCTGGAGAAGATCTGGAAATGCGCGGTAGAGCTGTAGCAGGCCCGTACAGCGGTAAACCTCGGCCATGGTGAGGAGGTGCCAGACTGGCGTTTCGTCGTCGCCTGGGCTGACGATTTCCGCTTCTGTGGGGTGGGCTAGTGATAAGAGGCGTTCTTCGAGCTCGCGGGCCTTCTCAAGCGCAATCTGGGCATTGGCGATGTCGATTTGGGATGTGAATCTTCGAGACCGGATACGTTTGCGCTCTGCCCTGACGAGGCGGCCAGCTTCTTGCACGGTGAACTGGGTGTCTCTTGCAATGCCGGTCCATGGATGTGGAACGCGCTGTAGTACGAGGGATTCAGTTGGGCTAGACGGTGTTTGGGGAGCTGGGAGTACGGCTGCATCGTCGGCGACGAAGGAGAGAAGCATCTCCCAGTAGACGAGGGCTTCTTCGAAGAATTGGTAGTTGTTGCCGCGGTTTGTTGGGTTTGCGGCCTTGGCCAGGGAGGCGTTATCAAGGTGTCGTCGGAGGTGGTTGAAGTAGGAAATGCCAAGGTCTTTGGGGTCATGCCAGCTAGCGGTTTGACCGAGCATAAGAAGGGCAAGGAGGGATTTATCGTCCATGTCTGTCTCTTTGCTGATAATCTCGATAGCTTCATTGCGCATCTTTTTGCCCATGGGTCCGAATTGTGGAAAGTCGTTGACCAGGGTGGCGGCAGCCATGCTCTGCATTGTGCGGCACATGGCGAGGGATGATCCCCAGAGACGAGAGACAGTAGTGCGGAAAGGGTTCATCTGGCTGTCATAGCTGGAGAATAAAGCAGCGACTTCTTTGAAGTAGTACTCGATAAGAGTCCATGATGGATTGTTCAAGGGCTGCGGGACCGAGGTGAAATCCCGTGGAGCCGGTCGAGTAGGTGCGCCTGATGGTGGTGGGTAGTTACGAACAATATTCGAAGGGTCGAAGCCAGGAAAGTCCCGGGATTGGTCCTGGAACGCAGGAGCAGCTAACGAGAAGAAAGCCCAGGGGTCTGAACCTAGACTCGCTGGTGAGCCGAATTCCATGGCCGAGACATTGGGGGCCTGGTCTCTAGCAGATACTGGCGATGTGTGCGACGCAGGACATAGGTCGGCCAGTTCTGGTAGAGACCCAGGCTGCTGTAGATCCCAAAGGCCATCTAGCGCGTTGGCATCGTCGTCCACTAGGCCATCCAAGTCGGGTAGTTTGCTGTCCGAGGCTAGTGGAGACCGTCGCGTATTAAAGTAACTCTCCGCGTATGGTTGTGGTTGGGAATGTGGTGACTGATCTGATTTCCTAGGCGATATCTCGAAATGGGGCACAAATTGGTGATTGTCATTCTCTGTGGCTGGCTCCAGGCCGCCGTCTTCAGCGGATGGACGGTTGGAAACCCAGCGCAGAGTTTGGATGTATCCAGGACATCGCACACCCAGACGAACACAGCGACTACAGTGAGGCTTCTCTTCCCCGCATTTTACCTGTCAACACTAGATTAGTTTCAGACCAAGGCCTGGAAGGCTGGAAGACGAACTCGTTTGCTCTTGCACCGGGCACAACCGTTACGGGACTTTTTGACGCGGCGCATCGCTATCGCTGGGAAAGAGTAACCGAATGAGGAATGGGAATGAGAGAAAGAGAAGAGGTCATCTTGATGAGGAAGTGGAAGAGGAGAAAATCGGAGTGAGGAGAAGATCTCCAAGCTGAGCTCGGCAGCCGCAGCAATGGTAGTTGATTGGCACGGTGAGCCCTCGGGAACCGATGCCTATCTCATTGCGGGGTCGACAGCTGGCAGATAAGGTTGACGTCGAATCAAGGTCGGTGTTGCACCGGGCGTCTGATGGGGATGATCGGTCGCGGTCGAGACTCGGAGTTCACGAAGTGAGGTTATGAGGCTGGATTTGAGGTTATTCAAGACAGCGGGGTCACGGGATCCAGTTGCACCGGAGCTCAGTTCCAGGGGAGTATACTGCCATGAAATACTCACTATTGAACAACACCTGGAGAATCAACCATTGAAAAGGATCAATATGAACGCCATCTCTTGTCCGATTGTTCGTTGCTATTGTTGTTGGTGCCTCAGGCCGCAGCCAGAATCCCCACCTCAACTCCACGAAAATGATCATCACAACCTTCGTCGTTCTTCTCTCAGCAGCTTCTCCAGTCCTATCAGGCATAAAACGCAGATCAATCGAATATGACCGGAAAGTATGCTTCTGACCCTGCATGGGCCTCCATCGCGCCCATCCCCCTCAACGACGGCTCCGAGTCTGGTGCGGTGCCGCTGGCCACGATCGCCTATAGCGAGGAATACCTCGAGGCGACCTCATACCTCCGTGCGGTCATGGCGGCAAACGAAATGTCCGAGAGAGCGTTGGGACTCACTGAAGACGTTATTTCCATGAATCCCGCCCATTACACTGTCTGGATATACCGCGCCAAGATCCTGTTTGCTCTGAACAAAGATCTCCTTGAGGAGCTAGAGTGGTTGAATGGCGTCTCCTTGAAATACCTCAAGAATTACCAAATCTGGTAGGCAGTTCACTCCATATTGCACATAACCACTAACTCTACCAGGCACCATCGCCAAGTCATCATGTCCTCACGAGAGCACTTCCCCACCCTCCCACCCAAAGAGATGGACTTCCTGATGGAGATGTTCGCCCAAGACTCAAAGAACTACCACGTCTGGACCTACCGTCACTGGCTAGTCCGGCACTTTGAGCTCTGGGACTCGCCTCGTGAGCTGGCTGACATGAACTCCCTTATCAACTCGGACGTCAGGAACAACTCCGCCTGGAACCACCGGTATATGCTACGCTTTGGGCCTCGCAGCAATGAGCCCGATGCTGGTATGGTTAATGCTGAGGGGAAGCCTCATGAAAAGGGCCGACTTTCCGTTGTTGATGAAGACCTCGTTGATGAGGAGCTGAAGTACGCCCAGGAGCAAATCATTCGCGCGCCGGAGAACCGAAGCCCGTGGTCGTATGCCCGGGGTGTGCTACGGGCTGCTGGCCGACCGCTCTCGGAGTGGACTGGGTTTTCGCGAAAGCTCGTTGTCGACGAGTTTGATGAGCAGGGACAGCTTTCGGGTGTGTCCGTGAAGAGTAGCCACGCTATCGAGTGGCTGGCGGATGTATATGCTGATGCAGAAGGCCATAATCGAGACGAGGCTGTTAGGATGTTGAATCTTTTGAAGGACAAGTACGATCCCATCCGGAGAAACTACTGGGACTACCGCATCCGGGCAATTGAGGCGGGAGAGGTACCAGCCTCTGCGTGAATCAATACAAGCAAGCTGTCTCATCATCTCTGTGCAAATCAAAATACCAATTCTTGAACCATATTCCGAATCATACGCCAGTAATCAAACCAACCAAAATCCAAAACGCCAATCATGTTTACTTAGTCCTCACTCCCATCCTTCCTTCAGCATGCTCCTCCATTCCACGGCCGCGTCAACAGTGACATTGCTCCCACCGCAGACTACAATGACCACCCGACTTTGCGGTCCCAAATCCGGGACCAGCTCCTTCAGCCTCGACCGCAGCGGGTTCTCAGACACCACTCCATCGGACAGATCTCCCTCGCTCTCCCCAGCAGAAGCCCTATCATCCCCGTACCCTTCATCCAGCCCCCTCTTCCTCTTCTTGCTCTTTTCAGCCCGACAGGCATCACCAACCACCGCTTCGACACACACTCCACATGCCAACTCCACCAGCATCCGCTCATCATCGACAAGACGCAGCACGCCGCGCGCCGCATCCGCATCTGAGAGTACTGTGCTGTGTACTTTCACCCCCTCCGGTGGGTGCATCGCATACTGGAATGTCCTCTCCGACACCCGAATTGCGCCTAGCGACGTTGCCTGCGACGTAATTTTGGGCAAGCTGACAAGAGACCCCTTCGCGATAGCCGCAGCGAGGGAGTCTGTCCCGCGGGTCTCGACGGCGATAAGGTGTGTGGGCTTCGCCTGCTTAGACGTCTTCTTCAGCTGTCGTCGTCGCCTCTCAAGCCCCATAACAAGACCGTTGAGTAACCCGCCACCACCGACACTACAAACAATCGCATCAACAGGCAACACCATATCCCCATAACCATCTCCCTCAACGTCTTCCCCCGCAACGACAGGAACCTGCTCAACAAGCTCGTCAACCAGCGTACTGTTCCCTTCCCAGATAGCCTCATTGTCAAACGGATGGAGTGCAATCTTGACCACCTCCTCCCCCTCCAGCCTCTCTTCCGCGCTATCATCCTTCATAACAACATCCCTCATGTACTCCCCCGCCTCGGCAAACGTCTCGCCATGCCTAATGACATCCCTGGCACCCGCCTTCCGCAGCTTCTCAACCATAAGCGCCTTCGTTCCCAGCGGGACCACAACCGTACAGGGAAACCCCAGGGTGCGTGCAGCGCAGACGGCAGCGAGCCCTGCGTTCCCGCCAGACGACGCAAAGAAGTGGATGCTTTTGCCGTAGTTGGCTGGGTTGTGCAGGTGTGAGAGGATCTGGGCGCCCATTGCGCGGGACTTGAAGGAGCCGCTTGGCTGGGTGTTTTCGAGTTTGAGAAGGATGCGGCATCCGGCGAGGGTTGAGAGCGTGCTTGATTCGATTAGGGGCGTGCGGATCCAGGGGGTTTTGTAGGTTGGGAGGGATGAGGATTGGGATTCGGGCATTGTGGGTGTGATTGTTGTGGTTGGCATGGTCGTGGTCGTGGTCGTGGTCGTGGTTAGGCCGATGCTGCCCATGTTGAGGGTTGATTTGTTGGTGTGTTTTGATTTTAGGAGATGGTGTAGGACGAAGAGAGTAAGATGCTGTTTGTATGTATTCTATCAATCGAGCCGCTCAATGAGTATAAGAGGAATGGCCTTGTTGACACTGTGTATGTGGCAGACCCTAATCAACAGAGAGTCGAAGTATATATCCAAGTCATAAGCGAGAATAAAGACCACAAATAATGAAAATACCAGACCCATCCATATACTAGGCTATTAATATACTATTACATCAAACGCCTCCTCCTCACTATTCTGTTATACAATGGAAACTGCTTCCCGAGACCTTGTCGCGCAGTTTGCCGCGGGAAACCCACCCCCCGTTTCCCGCCCGATATCTCTCATGTAACAGCGTCGCATATCAGGGCCACACCCCCTAGTTTCCCGCTGATAACCTTGTGGCCAGACCACATATAGCACTGTCCCATGACGCAAACCCCAACGGAATGCTGCTATGCATGGAAGATTATCGTGGAGATGGTGAGGGACCGCAAAGAGGAATCGTAGCTTTCCGACCACGAAAACAGGAATGCCAATGAACTTTCAAAAGCGAGTTTGTTGATCCGGTCGCGATAAGGAACGGTTATGGCGAGCGCGTAGTGTGTCCGACTCGCCCGAGAGTCAGATAAAGGCCGGCTTATTCCTCGACTATAAGAGGGGGGAAGAGGATCTTTGCCTTGACGTCCTCGCCGTAATCCGGGTCGCCCGCGTAAATGGCAGAAGAGATACCACGCTTTGACAGGTCGACTTGGAGCATGTCAAGGAGCTCCTTAGCTTTGTTCGGCATAAAAGGCTGTAGTAAGATGCCCGTGATACGCATTGACTCGGCGACATTGAACAGCACTCGTTGTTTCTCCTCCGGGTTCTCCCATGGCGCCGAGTGGTGGAAATACTTGTTGGTCTGGAGAATGTCAGTCAATGCTCTAGAGCTTCTACAACGTGCCGAGGGAGTCTACCTCAGCAATTACCCTCACGAGCTCCGAGATTGCCGCACGTGGATCAAGTCTCACCATCTTGCTGGTTACATTGCGGGCGAGGTTTTTGAGGGTATCCTCGTATGCCTGATCGCGGGCCTGATCGGCCTGATCGCGGGCGCTTGCGGAGGAATTACCGGATGTGGCATTGACGATGTACTCCCGCAGTTTGCCCTTTGCACAGCCAATCGTGCGGTGAACGACGTTGCCAATTCCCGTTTGGAGGTGCTTCTTGTAGTCGCGAATGATATATGAGTTGTCGTAGTCAGAGTCTGATTCAAGGCCACCGCGGTGAGTCAAGAAAAAGCGCATAATGTCGACTCCGAACCGATCGATCGCGAAGAAGGGATTGACCACGTTACCGGTCGACTTTGACATTTTCTCCTTATTCATCGTCCAGTGACCATGAACAAGAACATTGCGAGGTAGGGGAAGATCCAGGGCCATGAGAAACGCTGGCCAGTAGACACAGTGGAACCTGGGCGCGTGAGTACTGTTCACTTTATACCGGAAAACTGCCTACCTGACTATGTCCTTGCCCACAACATGGACATCTGCAGGCCACCCAAGACGGCTTCCCTCACCGGGCGGGAAAGGATATCCTGCTTTCGTCAGGTAATTGACAAGCGCATCCAACCAAACATAGATTGTCTGCGAGTTGTCATTTGGAACAGGAATGCCCCAAGTCAAGCGTTCGACCGGTCGTGAGATAGAGAGGTCCGACAGCCCGGACGAAACCGACTTGACCACGAGCTCGTTATATTGTGTCGGCTGGATGAAGTCGGTGGTCTGGTACAATTTCAACAGGCGGTCCGTGAACGCAGACAAACGGAAGTGATAGTTTGTTTCGGAGGACCACTCGACTTCTTTTCCTGTCTCGATAGAGACCTACTCCAGTCAGATTGAATCACGACGAATGGCAGGGATCGTACCATTCTCTTCCGCCCCGTGGCCGGGTCTAACGACAGGTGGACCTGTGACTGGGGGTAGAACGTCTCGTCGCTGACAGAGTACCATCCTTCGTGCTTCGATGTGTAAATATAGCCTCGATGTTGTAGCATTTCCTGCTCAGCGCATAAGTATTCATTCCGCCCTTGCATCCATCGTCACATACCCAGAAGTACTGGACAGCCTCTTTATGCGCAGGTTCCGTCGTCCGAATGAAGTAGTTATAATCCACTTCAGCGGCTTCAGCCAAGTCCTGTTTATGTCAATTCGGATGATCCTTCTAGATAACGAAAAGGTTGCCTACTTTGAAGGTCTGGCAATTCCTGTCGCAAAAGGCCTGTGTATCTATCCCCGCGGCGTTTGCAGCTTGCTGGATCTATCGCGGAGTCAGCATAAGCCAGCCACGCGCATTAGCCAACCGACCTTCATCCCGTGCTCGTCTGTTCCAGTCAACAACTGCGCGTCGCGGTCGCCGATAAGTGTCCGCCATCGTTTCAGGACGTCCGCAAGGACCATGGTATATAAGTGACCGACATGGGGAGCTACCACAGCGTGGAGTTAGCGACCGTAACTCGGTTTCATGACACGCATCTCAGAAGTACCAGCATTGACATAGAAAATAGGCGTTGTGACATAGTAAGGCTTAGAAGCGTCTTCGGAGGTGGTCGCAAATCGACGGAGAGACCGGGCGGTTGCCGGTGGAGCGATCTTGCAAGAAGCACATTTCCACGATGGGCGTTGGTGAGATAATAGCTGATTCGCCCATGAAAGAGCACGAAAGCCCCCTCGCAGGCTTGCCATTGGCGATATTGCGGATATGTTGGTGTGGCCAGGAAAGGAGCGATCGAATGATTTCGGAGACTCATCGGAGGTCTGTTTTCTCCGCGGTGGTCCAAGCTTCTTTTTTCTTGCGCTGGAGCCTCATCATCACTTCCTGCTACTAGGGCTGCTAGTCTAATTCCTCCCAACTCGCGCACTCTTTTCAATACTCAACCTCTACCTAGTGGCATACTTTACTCCCGTTCTACTGACTATATTTACGGCCTCGACACGTCAGACGTCTACCACACAGCTGACTCGAGTCATGGCCCCTACCGAGGACTCCTACGCAAAGGTCTCAACAGAAGGTAAAAGCCGGGTTACGTCTTCTTATGTAGTAGGTCTCTGACTTGAGTCCCATAGCCACAACCGAATTTGTCAATTCCTTCTACCCGGCTCTCCAATCCAACCGCGCATCGATTTCCACATTCTACAGCACCCCGCCATCGACCATCGTGTTCAACGGAAACCCCGTCGCGGACGGAAATGCGGTGCAAGAAATCTTCGTCAACCAGATGCCTCCGACGCACTACGAAGTGCAGTCAGTTGATTGCCAAATAATTAACAGGCAGTACCCCACAGTCACAGTCGGTCGGCAAATCGATCCGAGAAAGGATATTTCAATCTTGGTTATTGTGAGCGGTTACGTCCGATTCGGGGACTCGCGCGACCTTCCTCAACGCGGGTTCAGTGAGACGTTTGTTCTGGTGCCGAATCCTTCTAGTGAAGGAGGAGGAAAGGGCAAACGGCGGAAGGACTGGCTCATTCAGACGCAGAATTTCCGCCTAGTCGTTTGAGCCCCAAATTTCTAGCATTGGATAAGACTGGCTTGGAGGCAAACAAATGATGAATTGGTTATGAGACAGTGTTGGGAATCATATAACGCGCTTGGAAGACGAAACAATAACATTACGACCACTTATTTCGAGACGGAAGGAAGATTGATGATGCGCAAGCATATCTCGGCGCTGTCGTCCACCATTTCGCCTTCTCGTCGCAAATCACTCCGGTGACTTTGGCTGGTACCGAAGATTCGCTCGAATACGTTCAAGGAGCTCCTCGCGTGTAGCCTTCCGATCAGGCATCAAACCTCGCTGCTAGGGTCAGATTATATGCGCTAGGGGTATGGGAAGCGTGTCATACAGCGCGAAGCCATCGGCGCATCTCCTCGAGCGTCCATGTGGAGGGGTCTATCTGAGTTAGCTTCCTGCCCGGCATATGGATGTGATGGCGAACACTTGCCTCCCTTCGGATCATCTTCAGCAGGAAACATTTCGTTGCCCCAGATCGACCACACCGCCGCTGCCGTGACCATGCCTACAAACCCTGCAGACCGTCAGTCCAAGGTCGTCCGTTATTCGTTCTTTCAGCATACCGAGGAATAGGTTCTGGATATCGTTAGTTATTGTATAACTAGGATCTGGGTATATATGTAACACCTACCTTAGAATTCATTGCGCGATCCAGAGACGTCGGCATTTTGGAGACTTTCTTTACCGATATAGACGGACTAGAAGATAGAAGTAATATGATAGGGGCTTAGATAGGTTTCCAAGTACTTGACAGCCTGGCCTGTATTCAAAATCCTGCAGCAGTGACACGAATAAAGCATGCTGCCTAGACACACACCCGCACCGCCACAACTCCAACGGATAACACCCATCATGTGACATCATACCTTATGCCCCTCTGCATAAAAGCCCGCTGAGTAATTGTCCATCTGGATAAGGGCTTCCACCACCAAGCCCTAGCCCGATCTGGAAGATTCCACACAACGGCCTGCCCGCGGCCCAGCTTGGCCCTGGGACTCCAGACCGCGACTGAGCTTCTTCCCATCCAAAGACCCGACTTGACTCATCCCTCGACGTCACATCACCACATACCACCATGCCTCGCGAAGTCTCCGACATCAAGCAGTTCATCGAGCTTGCTCGCCGCAAGGATGCGTCCTGTACGTTGCTTTACCACCTATCCACACAAGCCCAGGCAGACGGAGCCGGAGCTGGAGCTCCATTGAGCTTCGAGCCACCTCGGAGGATCCGAAAAAGATGATGGGGGAACGGGTCAATGGACTGAGGAAGAGCGAGGCTAACGGATATCTTGCACGAACAGCTGCCCGCATCAAGCGCAACCGCCAGTCCCAGCAGATCAAGTTCAAGGTCCGCTGCAAGCGCTTCGTCTACACCCTTGTCCTGAAGGACTCCGACAAGGCCGACAAGCTCAAGCAGAGCCTGCCCCCTGGTGCGTCATGGCATTCGTTAAACCCGCCGTCCCGACATCTACAAATGATAAAGCTGGATGCAGGACGATTGCGTGTCAATTGAAGGAATTGTATACTGATGTTTTCGTCTTGCAGCCCTCAAGGTCGTCGACGTCACCAAGGGTGACAAGAAGAAGGCTCTGTAAGCGTCTTCAACAAATCCAACCAACAGATAAACGGAAGATGGGGTCTTGAGAACGGTTTACGGGATTGAGTACTCGACTCGCCAACTGTCCTGAGGATCGCGGCATGGAACGATGCATTGTGGGCCGGCACCGGATCGCCAATACTTGCCTATATAAGGAAAGGGAATTGAACGTTCTGGCATCTGGCTCGGTTGATGGATGCCGAAAGGCTGACGCAATTGGGCTGGATGACCTGCATATTCCGACTTCTAAGGGGGATAGCCTGGTCGGGGCTTTTCCTATCTATACAATATGAAGAGGCAAAAATAAAAACATTGGAAAATATCCAAATGGTGTCTTCCTAGTTTTGAAAACGTACCACTGTGCTTAGATTCGTTCACCCTACTCGACCCACATCTGTCCCCATGTTTCCCAGAAATTAAAGGGCAACGACTCGTCCAACAGGGCATCGACCATGTCAGTTAGATCATTTCCTGAGACAGGGTCTGGGCCGACAACCGGGCCACCAGCCACAGCCTGATGAGCATGTGCTTCGCCAACGGCACCGGGTTGAACTAGTGCCGGTACCGGTACTTGTGTAGATGCAGATGCAGATGCTCCCACGTGAGGATTTGAAGAACTATCCCGATGTGGCACTGTGCTCTCGTTGGCACTTCCACCGGCACTAGCACCCTCAGAACAGATGAGTTGGATGGCCTTGGCGAAGATGCCGCGATAAATAGACGCCACGGTATATACCTTCTGAAACTCCTCCATGACCATCATACAGGCGTTAAGTTTGTTGAGACGGAGACGCCGTGAGAGGGACGTTCCCGAGCGGCAGTTTAAGAGATGCATTTGCATTGCAGGAATGAGGAGTGGGGGGCTGGTGGAATCGAGTCAGTCTTTGCTGAATTATACTGCAACTGATGGTTGGCAGGCTCACGTCATTGGCAGGGCATATTCGAGTAGGCTTTCTTGGGCCAGGGCCTCGAGGATATCGTTTGTGCGGGATGCCGCGGCATCGGCTTTGTGCCAAATGCTTTCCTGCCATTGCTGGTTGGTAGAGGAGAGGTCATTCGGTAGCTCAGTCAGGCATGGTCGGTAGAGGACGATGAGGAGTGCTCTGCAGAAGTTAGAAGCTTCCGGACGGTCCGTCTCGGGGGGTATGGGGGGTAGTTGCTGGCGCACTCGTAATGGAGTTGAAGGTGATGCAAATAGAACCGCGTGGCTCGATTTAAGCTGGGGGCACCTTGTTCTGGAGGTTTATAACGAAGGATCTCTGTCTCAAGAGCCTTGATCTGTTCGAAAGAGGGCCGTGGACGGACTGCTTTATAGCTTAGCGTCACTACGGAGCCCAGGAGCTTACTGAGGTCTATCAATCGAATCCAATACTCGGCTAGAAGGGGAAGGTCGTCTGGAACAAAAGCCGCGAAGGCGGATGCGGCCACTTCCTTGAAGTCGTAAAGCATATCTGCCACTGATGGCATGGGAACGTCGCAGTCATCAAGATCGATGCGCAGCGGTCGGCCTAGAGTGAGGCTCAACCATCGGTCGCGAAGGAAACATGTCCACCAGAGGCGACGCCACAGTTGCCGCTGCCGGTCAATGATGGCTCCGTTGTATCTTGGCGTGTCCGGGTTGCGATGTAGCCCCAGCATCTGGCAAAGACTGACAGATACGCCGCTCCAATACCAAGGCTGCGAATGCTCATCAGCTTCGGAGTGCCAGAAACCTAGCAAGAGAGAGGCTTGGAGCAGAACGATCTTATCTCTCTCGCCGCTATTGTTGTAGAGGCACTATTTTCGATTCAGCTGCAGTTCCACAAGACTTGAGAAGCATCCTGATCTCACCTTGGCGTGTCCGTACATGGCCGCTTTCATTGCTTTTTTGGAGTCATATCCTGCTTGCTCGCATATACTCGACGGGACAAACTGGCGGCCATTAGTTGATGACCTCAAGCAGCTTCCTACAGGACCATACGTTCACGGCAACGAAAAACACACTCCACACCAGAAGCAGGTTATACTCATGAAGCCTCCCAGTCTGTAAAAAGTGCAGGATCCGATCCGCTTCGATAATCGGCATAATAGTGTGGACGTGGCGGAGGTACGCTTCGAGAAGACATTGGCAGGCGTCACTGCTGGGTAGATTGAAGACACCCTTGCTTGCGAGATAGTGCCGGTCCTGGTCTGATAGAGACGTCCCCGAAGCTCGTGATGGGATAAGAAGATGTTGGGGCAGAGACTCTCCTGAGGAGAGGAGTGATAACGTTGATGTTATCCCTGTTTTATCGCCTGGTGAAGGTGTTAGGTATGCTTTTATGGCCGTGGCGCTAACCTAGGTACCGGTATAAAAAGGAACCTGCCCTGCTCTCTCCGGGTTGCCTAAAGCGGCGGCGGCGATTTCGAGACCATTGCGCTCTTCATCTTGAATGTCATGTTGACTGGTAGACCTTGAGGTATGCGCAGGTGAGTCTGTAGTGTGCCTCTGAAGAGTTGAGGTATCATTCTCAATATATGTCTCAACGCGATTAGACGGACTGCTGGTAGCCGCGCGCGGTCGCTGTCTCCTCAATCCATTGCGACGATTTGCTCGAGTCCTAGAATGTCCTGTTAGAAAGTGTTATGCCTCTAATGCTGGACTTGGACGTTTTACGTCTCATTTGGCGGATCCACCACGCATTGTGCGTGATCCTGAGCGCAGCGAATACACGGGATCCCGGTGACGTTGATGCTGCATCGGACTTTGCGTGAGCGGCAGGAGTGGCATGCCACAGTCGATCGATAACGACGAGCAGACATGGCGGAGTTGTAGAGAAGAAAGAGATGCCGCGGGAAAGAAACCTCGGGAGCCCGAGAGAAATGGGACCATGACCCTGAAACAAGCCGCGGGATGTACCTATGGAACTGCCTAATTTAGGCCTGGGTCCTGACGCGTCCGAGGTATCCACATAGATGTCACTCTATGACAACTTCTCTTTGGTATCTTATCATGAGTGCACTCGAAAAAGGTAAACAATCCTCGCTGCCTGATATCTTCAAGGCGCCTTTGCGTGTGGAGGAGTTTCCGGCCGTGACCAGTACACATGCGTATTCCAGCCAGCATCTTCCCAGTCAAGATGTCCGTTATCCTTCTTTACATCGAACATAATTCTGCGGTTCTCATATCGGCGCTGAGAATACCCTATTTTGGGACGGGGTACCGTATCAGACGGCGAGTCCATGTATCGCAGGCCACGGAAATGGTGAAATACTCGTGATCTTGATCCCGGGTGCCGTTGTGTCATTTCCCGGGTCCGAGATTTATGTCTTTGGAAAATATGTCTTCTGAAAACCCATTTTGCGTCGGTCAGCGGTGGATCGTACACTAACCTCGAGAGGAACATCTTTGTGGTCTGATGGCTGCGGAGTCTCTCGCAACCAGGAGAGGAAGTTCCAGGTATGGTGACGGGTTGATTTGGTAGACTTCAGTATCATGACCGGATGTTTTCACTTGTCTTTTAGACAAATGTCTCGAACTTTATAAGGCAATGGACTTGGGTGATTTTGGGGAGGATGCGAAAGCGCGTGTTAATTGGCAGTACGGTACAGGTGAAGATGGATGACGCGGTACCTACGGCTGGTTTCCATCGATCATGTCCTCCATCGCTCCTTCCTTCTCATGCACGACCTGGCAAGCAAGGTACAAGCGACTACGGTCCCACTACGTGGCTTACTGCTCCTTTTATATGATCAATATTATGCAATTTCTGTCTTCTACAAGTACTTAGAAGCAAAAGATCTGGTCATCCATCTTCGCAACAGCCCCCGGAGCCTCAAATCCCAACGCCACCAAGCCCTTCTTACAAGCGTTCACCATCCCGGGGGGTCCGCAAAGCATGACTCTTGTGTCTTTGTCGCACATTGGCAATTGTTCCCTCATAATCTCCGCAGTTACGAACCCCGTCCCAAAAGACCACTCTTCAGGCGGCGTATCCAGCATATACCAGATCTTGAGGTTCTTGGGATAACTTCTCGCAAATGCCTCCAGTTCATTTCGCATCAGAATGTCCTCTTCTGTGCGGTTGGCGTAGATCAGGCTGACCTCGGTAGTATCAGTGGGATCCTCGCAGATTGCCCGAATCAGTTGATACATGGGTGTGATTCCGGTTCCGCCCGCGATCATTCCAATCTTCTTGCACAGACCCTTGGTATACCGCATTGCTCCTTTAGGGCCGCGAAATTCGACCATGTCCCCGACTTGCAGGTTCGCGAGGTATTTCCCTGTCAACAGACCATCCGGGTAGCACTTGATTACTAGCTCCAGAACACCGCGGTCTAGGTTATTTGATGTCGGCGTGTATGATCTTGAGACTGTCGTTCCGTCGATGTTTGCCCTGATGGCTACGTGCTGTCCAATAGGAAGGCCAATCACGTCTTGTGGGTTGGGCAGCTGGAAGACGAACTTGTAGACGTTCGGTGCAAGTGTTTCTTTGCGAACGAGCGGCAGACTCTTGTATTCCTTTGGTTCAAGGAATCCTCTAAGAAGGTGAGGGTTGACCCGAGGGGCCCTGCGACTCTTGATGTGCGGTGGGTACTTTGTGAAGCCTGACTGGATCCGTGTCATTGCGGACAACTTGCTTGCGACGATTGAGCCGATGATGCTAGAAATCCCGCTTGCAACTGCGAAGCCGGTATAGAAGCCCCCATTTCCTGTTTGGAACAGCAATTCTGGCAGTTGAATTGATTGCGAGAGGCCTTGAAGCCCCGAAAGTCCCGGCCATGAAGCATACATGCGCCGACCAAAGTATAGCGAGATCGCTGCGCTGCTGATGCAGACCGTTGCTAGCGCCACGGACTTGATCGACCCTGTCTTCTGATTTTCTGTCGAAGGCGATGGTTCGGTGGGTTGGATTAATCGAACTTGCTGGGGGCGTACACGCTTCGTGGCATTCTTCAGTGTTCCGATCAGGTATGTCCGAAGAATCTCGTCCGCGTCCTAACAGGTGACACATTAGCTCTAGAGACTGAAGCGTACACTCACACCATGCCTACCTCTGAATGCCCAACTTCTTCGTATGCTTCGGTCGCATCAGTGCCAGCTGTATCGAGGAGAACATCAGGCCCTCCAGGATGATCTCTCACGTACTCGGTGACGTCGTATACTTGTTATAACGACCGTCAGGGCTCTGCAGGATAAAAGGAGTCGAAATCTTTCTCACCTTTGTCATTGACAACCAGCCACAAGTCGTCCCTGGTCTTGTGAGCAGCCACCTCCTGCGTTGTATATTCTCGTAGGTTTCCCATTGTGTCGTCCGGAGTGATGTTCAAGTCAGGCAGTGACAGATGGCAAGACACTAGCAATGTGCCAATCCGGTGTTTTATATAACTAACACATCTACCCTCGGCTTGAGCAGCGACATTCTCCATCTCCAAGGACGCCTCTCTAGGCCCACCGGCATAGTGTTCTGCAACGGCCGCGAAAGTAGGGCAAGCGTCGTGGCCCAATCGGAACCCCGGCACTGACTGTCATTTCCCCACTTGCCGCGGCATCTCCGCATGAGGTCCACTTGAGGTATAAACTACACGGCTGTACGGCATCGAGTTTTGACTCCGAGTTGAGAGGGGAACTCGGTGTCTAGGCCGAGGCGTTGATAAAGATAAGTACGAGGCATCTGCTTGCGACAGAGCTTGCAAGAAGGAGTCCCAGCACCATGTCGAGCCAGCAATTCTATCTTCTAGGTGAAGCGGCCTCGTCCGCCAGGGCCATTACCATCGACGAGACATCGAACCTCGATCAACTGAAACATCTGATCGCCGCCCATTTTGCAATCGTTGAGCCGAAAAGTAGCTACTATGCAACTCTGTTTCCGCGACCATACTCTGACACTCGCAGGCATCGGTTTCCAAACAGACAATGACTGCTTCATGGACGTCCCCTCTGTGCTCGCCGCCCCAGGACCCATTGCCATAACAATCGATGGTCACGCCGTCCGGGAACCAGATGGGCCCAAAGGTCTCCCTTTTGTGGGAAACTACTTTGAGGTTTTCCCTGATCACCTGGGAAATCACCAACGCCTCTTCGACATATACGGACCAATTTTCAAAACCAACAACCTCGGCCGTACAACATACCAAACAAATGACCCGCAACTTTCGGCCATCGTTCTCTCCGAGACAGATTTCTTCTCGAAGATATTGAATAAATCGCACCCGCTTTACCCGCTCAAAACACCAGAGGCTGGTGTTTTCCTCGCAGACACGGATTCGGAGAGTTGGCGTTTGGCACATAAGTTCCTGCCTCCAGCCCTAGGCCCCAAGGCAGTCCGACACTACGCGCCTACCATGCAAGCCACAGTGGAGGATGCGTTCAAGGCTTTCGACGCACTGGACGAGGCGCAAGAGGCATGGAATGTGTACCAATATATGCTGAAGCTTGGATCACAAGCTGTGGGTAAGCTGACGCTCGGCATTGACTTTGAGCATTTCACTTCACCTGATGCACCCGTCCATGAGATGGTACATGCAATTGCCGAGCTGCTGTCACTCAATAAGGAGGTCACTTCCAGAGGCGACTGGTATGCCATGCTGCCTTTTGGCCCTCCCAAACGTCTGAGGAACCTGAAAGCTAGGATAGAAGAGATGGTCGAGGAGTCCGTGCAGAATGCGGCACGCGGCGGTGTTAGCGATCTTCCCCTGCAGGAGGCAGCTCTAGAAGCCTCGAACATGGTCGGTAAGTAACTGTTACGATTCTTCTTTCTTGTGCCGGAATGACGACAGCTAATGTCCTTTATTCAGACTATGCCATCCGAGCCACGGATAACAAAGGCGAAAAGCTCCCCAAGTCGAGTCTGACCTGGGCCCTTGTCGTTGCAACCGCCGCCGGATTCACAACCACCAGCTCCCTCCTCTCATGGCTGATTTACGGTCTTGTCACATACCCCGGCATGCAAGAGCGGCTCCTGCAGGAACTGATCGACAACGGCATCACCGAAGACACGGAACTCACAGCCGACATTACAGATAACCTCCCCTTCCTCGACAAATACATCAAGGAGATGCAACGCAGACATAATCCGTCCTACCAGCCTGGACGGACAGCTAAGACTGATCTCATTCTACCGGGCGGATATAAGATCCCTAAAGACGGCGTCGTCATTGCCGCCCTACACCATATCCACAACAACCCGGACCTTTGGGACAACCCGTCTCGCTTTGACCCAGACCGCTGGGATACCGACGAGGTCAAGCAGAGGCACAAGGCGGCGTATATTCCGTTTGCGATGGGGCCGCGAATGTGCATTGGCTTTAGCTTCGCGATTCAAGAGGTCAAGGTTTTCCTGCCGAAGTTGGTTTACCGGTATCACTTCACTCGGGAGGGAGATGGGCCGGTTGAGTATGACCCGATGTTCCAGCTCATCAGGCCCAATAATTTGTATGTTCGCGCGGAGAGGAGGGTGAAGTGGCCGGCTAGGAGTCAGTCGAACAACTGATTGAGATTTGGGCACTGGTCCAAACATACACAAGAAGGGGAGGAACAGGGGACTGATGAAGACACTATGAGTAGATGTACTGTATATAGAACTTAAATTTAAGCACCTTGTTGTTTTACTCTTGCCATTCTACTATCTTCCATTGCTGTAGTCCAAGCAGGGCCTAGTCAGGGCTAGAATGTTTTGAATGTCCGCAACCAGTGGTGAGGAGACCAGTAAGTTCCAAGTTACGCAAGGTTCTAAGTCTAGTAATATATGTAGCTCTGCTCAGTGGTCGCACAAGGCAAATGTACTAGCGGTGGTTCAGCATCTGCAAGATAGTATCCTAGATACTAGGTTTCAGGCATGAATGAACGCGCGCACGCCCGGACAGGCTTAGCCATTCTGTGCAAGTGAGTTGTGTTAATATGTGGTGGCTAGCCTCGGTGCCTCATCTTCAAAGCTCCAGAGCCCACGGCATGCCGACCCGAGTCTGACCCAGCTTTTGAAACGGTGCCGCGGGAACGGGATCCAATGGGTCTATCGGGATTCCAATAATGGGTCAGGATCGTCATCATACCGGTACCGCGGTAGACCGGAGTTCGGCATGTCTCTCGTAGATCCTGATCTGGAGATATATCGGCGACGGTGATTTACGGGAACATGCGGAAGGGTTATATATGGCCCAGGGTTGCCGGTTTGGTGGTCGAATTCTGTCTCTCATACACCGTATACGAATATCGTTCAGAAGACAAAACTGAACAATAATGCATCCAACTTGGTCACCACCAAAAGACTACCGCAACCGCCCTGTTGCAGTGCTAGGGGCTGGCGTGCTTGGGAGACGCATTGGTTAGTGATTGGTCAACATACCTAATGATTGTTCTCTCAACCTTACGACGATGACAGCTAACTGTGCTACCAGGTTGTATTTGGGCATCAGCAGGATACGATGTGCGCCTGCGTGACCCCAGTGCCGAGCAGCTCTCTGCCGGTATTGCGTACATCGAGGAGAATGTGTCCGCATACGCCGCCAAGACAGGATGCTCACCTGGCAAGGCCTACGCTTTCACGACACTCGAGGAAGCGGTAGCAAATGCATGGCTGATTATCGAGGCCGTTCCTGAGAAGCTTCCCTTGAAGATCGAAACCTTCGCTGAGCTGGAGACTCTCGCACCAAATGACTGCATCCTTGCTTCGAACTCCTCGTCGTACAAGACATCTGAGATGCTGGAGAAGGTTAGATCAGAGGCCGTGAAGTCGCGGATTCTGAATATGCACTATTACATGCCGCCGCAGTGTATGATTGTCGAGCTGATGTCTGACGGATTCACTTATGATGGTATCTTCCCATTCATGGTAGAGAGATGCCGCGAGAGCGGGACAGAGCCTTATGTCGTTAGGACGCAGTCAACGGGATTCATCTTCAACCGGCTCTGGGCGGCTGTCAAGCGCGAAGTCCTGACTATCCTTGCTGAGGGGGTTTCTGTGCCGGAGGAGATCGATGCAATGTGGAAGACGATGTTTATCACCGGCGAAGTATTGCCGTGCCAAATGATGGATTGTTAGTGTTTCTGCGAATTTGTGGTTAGGACCATGTCCAATAGATGCGCTAACAAGGAGTTGCAGTGATTGGCCTCGACACTGTTGCCTTCATCGAACAGCACTACATCAAGGAGCGAGGTCTCTCGAGCGAAAAGACAGTTGACTACCTGACGCAGAACTACCTCGACAAGGGAAAACTGGGCACCAAATGCGCTCAGGGCGGGCTGTACCCTCCAGCCTCCTCGGAGAAGACCGAGCAACCCCGTCTACTTGTCCTCGATGTCGGCCTTGCCTCGGCGACAGCCACCACCTCCATTGGAACTCCAGCGGGAGAGGTTCTATCGTTGACAGCGGACGGAAAACAGCACAAGCTGCAAACAGTGGTACCGAGCCAGCTCCTACCAGACGGTATCACCGTCGACCGTGCCTCGAATCGCATCTTTTGGACAAACATGGGCATTCCTGGTCGACTCGATGGGTCCGTCTGCTCTTCGAACATGGACGGAAGCGACGTTCGGACACTCATCACCCCTGGAGGCCCCATAAACACACCCAAGCAGATCGCAATCGACGAGAAGGCGCAACATCTGTATTTCTGCGATCGTGAAGGGTGTGCAGTGTACCGCTGTAACTTTGATGGGTCAGATCTCGAGAAATTAGTCTCCCGGAAGTCAGACAAGGAGGGCGCGAGCGACGTGCAAGACTGGTGTGTTGGAATCGCCGTTTCTTGCCGTTACAACAGGTTCTATTGGACGCAGAAGGGAGCGCCCAAGAGCGGGAAGGGCCGGATCTTCACCGCTGCCATTGGCGCTCCTCCTGGTTCCATCGCCGCGGGAGGCAACGAGGAGGAGTTGTGTATCTTGAGTGGGTTGCCTGAGCCAATTGACCTGGAGGTCGATGAAGAGATGGGTGTGTTATATTGGACTGATCGAGGCGAGTTACCTTATGGAAATGCCCTGTACCGAGTCGATTTGGACACAGAGGGACGGCCGGTGGGAAAGCCTGAAATCGTGATTCGGGGGCTCCATGAAGCAATTGGAGTGAGCCTTGACAGGAAATCGGGAGATATTTACCTCACAGACCTTGGAGGCTCTATTTACCGGTGTAACCGTGATGGGAAGAAGGAAGTGTTGTATCGAGAAGATGGACGAGCATTCACGGGCGTGTTGTGCCTCCAATAGTTGTGTGCATAATGTTATTAGTAATTCAATGCATGCTTCCAATGCAGGCGTGAAACGGCAGGGCTCCGTCTTGGCAGGAGACTCTTGGCAGGTCTACTGTCTCATCCATCGCTGATCACTGTCTTTCTCGCTCTTCCTTGACACCGGACGAGAATACCAGGACCCTCTGTGGGCTGCAGTAATGGCACCATCGTGGATGCATCAATTATCCTAGCCTTACTAGACGCAGCCTAAGTAATCCTCACTTCGCTAGCCCCTCCGCAGTTCACACACTATTAACCTTGCTTCTGCAGGACTAGGCTGAATTGCGGAAATCCGGGGTAGCGACCATGGTCATACGGAGAACTTGGTCAAGCTTGAAGAGCCAAGAGGAAACTCAATATCTATGTCAGTCTCTGGCACTTTCGGATCCGCGAATCAAGATACCGCCATTCTAGAACCGCACATCATTGCTCTTCATGGCACGGCACGGTGCTGTCATGGAACACGCTTCGCTCCGTCTCCCTCCACCTGCCAGGGACTCAGGCCCTCAGGAAGTTATGGATCCGTTTCAGGGTCGCTATTCCCACTACCAGCATTTGCTTGTCGTTGGTCAACTCAGCGCCCTCGGGCCGTCAAACCGCCTGGACTCGAAGATCGTCATTCCTCATTCGCCTTACGGCTGACCCTTTTGTAATCACGGCTGTACATCGACCTGTGCCTGGCGGCCCTAGCCAGATACTATACTCTGTACAATTGTGGGGTGTGGCTCATGGGTACGAGTCAAACCGCCAAGACCCTGAAAGCATATGATGTGGGCTATACTTACTCGGAGACGTTCCTGTCCAGAGTACTATGAAACAGCTCGTCCTGTCGGGACGTTCTGGACTGCTTTTGTCGGCTTCTGTCACATCTCTTCTGCCAAGGAGAAACGGAGGATACCTTGGTGGACTTGTGTCATTCGAGTGACATCTCAATAGTGACGCTGCCTTGGTTCGTACTAGAAGCCGCCTTGGGTTGAATGTGGAAGTCAAACTCAAACATATTGTATCCCCGCCTTCTTGCTGAAGAAGTGGATCTGGTGATACCGACCCCTGCAGTGCCCGGCTAATCTCGCTGCCTCGGACCTGTCAGTCTCTGACAGCTTAGGCACGGCCCCTGCAATCTAGGGCAATATGGATACTCGGCTGTTCCGTATTGAGTGCGGAAAGGAGAACACTCCTTGCCAGAGAACTATATAAGAGGGAAGGAATAACCCGGCTGTTGTGACTATCATCACACTCTTCATTCCTTCATCTCATTCATCAACCTCTGGCAGGTTTCCATTCATTCGGATTTGATATCCTTACTTGACCATGGCCATGTCCAAGATTGCCACTCTCGCGGGCCTTCTCGCCTCCGCCGGCCTTGTTGCAGGTCACGGCTATGTTACGAAGATGACCATCGATGGGAAAGAATACGGTGGATGGCTCGCTGATAGCTACTACTATCAAGACTCACCGCCAGAGAACTATGGCTGGTCCACGACTGTTACTGACAATGGCTTCGTGGCCCCCGATTCCTTTGGCAGCGCCGACATCATCTGCCACAAGGGCGCCGCCCCTGCCGACCTCTCTGCCCCTGTGACCGCCGGTAGCAGCATCGATGTCACCTGGAACACTTGGCCTGAGTCTCACAAGGGTTAGCTCAACCGCCTCAGTCGTATATATTCTCTACTAACAATATAAAGGCCCCATCATCAACTACCTTGCCAAGTGCGACGGCGATTGCTCATCGGCGGATAAAACGAATTTGAAGTGGATAAAGATTCAGGCCGACGCTATTACAGATGCTTCCAGCAACACTTGGATCACGGACGAGCTCATCGAGAACTCCTACACCACCTCCGTGACCATCCCCGCGTCCATCGCCCCCGGCAACTACGTCCTTCGTCACGAGATTATTGCCCTCCACTCCGCGGGCCAGGAGAACGGTGCCCAGGCCTACCCCCAGTGCCTTAACCTGGAGGTTAGCGGCAGCGGTTCCGACAACCCCACTGGCACTCTTGGTACCGAGCTGTACACTTCTACTGACGATGGTATCATCTTTGACATCTACTCCAACCCCACCTCGTACCCCATGCCTGGTCCTGAGCTGTACAGCGGTTAAATGGGCGTTGAGTAGGAGCAGTTGTGGTTCTGGTCATGGACGCTTCAGCATCTATCAATTCTTGGATGGGTCTAGCAGTTAGCAACCACTGGTCTTGGTCTGTCTGTTCAATGTATATATTGCTATGATCAATCCACATCTAGTCATCATAACTACTTTCTCAACCCTCGAATAGTTTTTGTTACATCTCTTGAAACCTCTCCCATATCGCAGCGGCTCAAGACCTAGAAATGTCTATAAAATATAAAGAAACGCTCATGTCCAGTTTTCTAGCCATAATGAAAGATGATGACACCTCTCTGGAAGAATAGACATGAGCCTGCTACGGCCAGGTGACGGTAACTAATCGCAAGTTCTGAGACTTTCTTGCACAGCTATGCCAGATGTACACAGATTCAGACAGATCTTTTTTGCAAGTTTGAGCGACCAGACATCCGCGCGCTGCCTCTCCTTTCCTTCTCCGACAAGAGGTAGGATCTCGTCGACGAATGCAGAAATAGCTTCTGTGTTGCTTTTTTTTCAATGCATCCTCTACGTCCACCAGGATTTCATTGACCCTGTTGCTTGGATGATAGTGCTCGTTGCTGGATTCGGAGCTAAACGCCACATCGAACCTCAGTTCTTCCAGTAGACTTTCCAATTGAGCGGATGCAACGTTCACTGATTTTTTGATCTGTTGTTCCACCTCCTTGGTTCCCCTGCAAGCTTTGAGTCCCGTCGCTAGGCCGTTCAATTCGTCGATGATGGCCGTGATCGTGGTCTTCAGGCTGGACGTGAGCCCGGGGGCTTTTCCATGATTCTGGAGTGGCTGTAAGCGGGACTAGCTGTGTTGTTGACACTTGGGTAGGGTGTTACCTCGAGATTGTCTTCAACTCCGGGATACGCAGTAAGATGGCCGGAGAATGCTCTCTCGTGTCTGCTGCCAGTAGGTCAGATAAAGTGTACTATTAGTGAGTAAGGGCACTTCTCACTAGTTTGATGTTTTTGTAGGTATATGCTGGCGACGGTAGACTAGAAGAGCATGCGGGAGGAGTCGGTTGAGAGGGTCCGCCAGATTACTGGATGGTAGGTAGGGCAAGTGAGCAGATTATCGACTGGGCTCCATAATACCAGAAAAGACCTCGTCTTGTTCTCAAGGAGGTTCTAAAGAATTATGCTTATCTCTCTTTATCCGCGGTTTGACTATGGCTGAGAACGATAGAGCGCCAGAAATAGATACACCAAGACAAGGCTGAACCACAGCCTTGCCGCCAACCCATGAATAGGCACATTTAATCTAATCCAGTCGACCATGGCCACAGCCTCGTCGCCCATTCCTGATCACTTTCGGCGTAGCGTCCATGGTCTCTGTCTACCTATTTAAGGGCCTCTTCAGCCCCAGATTTCCAGGTGTTTGATTTACATTGACGCTCGAAACGCTCAAGTCTTTCGGTATCAGTACAAGCATCCTACACACTTTACTAGAGACAAAGCTCAAGCTGGGGATTATCGCTGCCCATACATGTGCGCCACTGCCCTAATTACTCTCCCATTGACCCTTCGTCTCCAACAACAAACACTGACCATGGTCGCAACCAGCCTAGTCCTCTCATTCCCCGCGCAATCCGCGTTATCTCACTCACATCCGACCATGTACGAAACCCCGCTCTGCCACGGCTGCGGCGAGCCCGAGCGCGGTCTAGCCGGAATCTCCCGATCCTGGTACGAGGTCTGCCCGGGGTGCGAATGCATTAACAATGGGCTCACGATGTGCGACGTGTGCATGGAGGGCGACGAGGAAGTCGAGGGTGTTTGCTGGAAGTGTAATGATGAGGAGTGGGTTCCGTGCTCTTATGAGTGTGAGAATGGTTATGTTGAGAGGGTTGAAAGGTGCGACAGTGAGACGCATTCTGATTTTGGGGAGTACGAGGATGAGTGACTTGAGTCGCGCATGCGCAATTTCTTGGGCTACGGATGTAATGGGAGGATGGTGTTTGAGGACATGTATCGTTGGGAGAGCGAGGCTTCTTATACCCAAGACCAGGACTGTTATGAATATCCATGATGACTGACCGTATCAGGTAAATCATTAGATTAGACCGTGGTCGGTTGCAGCTTAGGAATGAACGATGAAGGACACGGTCGTAAGTCGTTAGAATCAGGCGAGTACCACCTCAGGAATTCTATTTTGCTCTTCAATGCCTCTCCAATACATCCAACTTTCCAGAGAGAGTACGCATCATTAGCGACATGTGTCCTAGCTTCCGAGCCTGTGGCGGTCAGTAAGCTTGATATATAATCATCATACAGGCGGGGAGGCAATGGACTTACGGGTTGATGGCAATCCGCCTAATGGCGATGTTCCTTCCACTCATCACCGCATTTTCTTCGTTGACGCAAACACCTCCTGCATAAAGCCTGCTGGATGTTTACATCTAGAGGGCATCCTGGTGATGCGCAAGTGCATGGCCTTGCTATATGAGATGTTTGTGGGTGTGGAGTGCCAGGATGCCGTCTGTGGTGGATTTCGCATTTTTGGCATACTTTGCCATCAGTTCCATCAACATACGAGCATAAGTCGGTGGCATTGCATCCGTCGCAGGCGCAGACTGCAATGATCTGGGAGTGGTCGTGCTCCGTCCCGGCGGTGGTGGGATCAGCGTAATGGGCATATCAATCTTTGCAGTACCAGCCGTGTCCAGGGACCCGTCTCAAAAAGCCCTCAGGTTGTGTCTGGCGACTTACAACCCTTGGGAGTCCATCACAAGCGTGCAAGTACTTGCCGTTCTTCATGATAACCTCATCGCAGTCACTACAATCGCAGATGACTTCTGACTCGCCCTTATAACGATCCTTGTTCTTATCACAGAAATGTCCGTGCCTGCCATGATACTGACAACGGGCACTGCAATGTAGAATGCCGTTTATTCTTGATGGGAGACTGCCCTCGAACGTCGCGAACGATTTGCACACCATCCGTAGCTTCCGCCTTCATCGGATGCTCGTCTGGTAGCTGTTCATGATATTTCTCTCTCCAGGACCGGCGACATAACCAACCGCCATACTTGCAGCTGGGCACGAGGATACATGCATTTTGACAACTGGGACAATTTTCCGGCATCTTACCATAGATACGCCACATTTGTTGGCTTTCGTATACGGGTAGAGCCATGTTGAGCTTCACCTGTGGTTTTCGGAGGAGACCGTGCTCGAAAGCGAACTTTTTCAGTTCGATGACAGCCCCTGGGGGCCTGTAAGGGCAACGAGCTTGGGCCGAAAGAGTGTCGAGAAGGATTATGCACTGCATCTCAAGCACTGCTCTGAACTCCAGCTTCTCTGGGGGGATCGTCATAAGTCGGCGGAAGTAGATCCGCTCATACTCGGGCTTCGCTATCTCGAGGTGCACACTCTGTGCTTGTTTCCAGCCGTCGCCATATCTGAAGGCCCCGCGCATTCTTGTCTTATGCTGGCTTTGTCGTAGATACATGTCCAGCGCGGATCCAACATAGACGGCCCAGGTTCCGTCTCTCCGCTTAGCGAAGATGACATAGAATCCAGGTCTCTCGACACTTGGGGGGAGGCATGAACGTAGTTCTTCCGGGTGCACGATGTCTGGCATGCCCAACAAGATCTTGGAGACCTTTGGATAGATCTTTTTCGTGTCTCGGTCTAACTGACCATCCTCGAGGGCTTTAAGATGCTCGAGGGCTTTTGCCCCAGAATTAGTGTGGCCGGCGGGTAAAGCGAGGATCTTCTGATTTATAACGACCAGACGACTCTGAAACGTTCGCAAAGGTGAGTAGCTATACACAGTTAGGCCATCAATCATTAAACCAACAATCAGGGCCATGTCATTGGGAGAGCGAGGGGATATTTCTCTTGCCTGATAGGTCTGTCACGAATGACGGCTCCTTGTTATCTTTTGCATCTTTTTCTCTCTCAAAACGCTCGTTGAATTCGCTCCTCTCAGGGTTGTCATCCTTCTCATTTTCGTCGCATACTTCTTGCGCCAAAAGGGACTCGCGGTCATAATCCAAGGATTCCTCCGCGCTTGAGTCTTCGGGGTCGTCTTTGCCTTAAAAAACGTACTCTTCAGTGATCCAGGGCTTCTCTGATGGTGCCTGGTCATGCTCCAGTATCTTGAGGTCAATCGGCAAAGGTTGGGACGTGCCCGGGTGTTGCCAATAGGGCGGTGGTTTAGGAAACGACACTCGTGGAAGGAGGAACACATACAACCTTATGTGTTGCTCACTGCATAGATATATTGCTCACTCTATTCCTTCCGCCCATACACCACCTCCCTATACCCCCCAACCACCAAATCCTCACATCCCAGATCCAAATCCAACCCCGTCCTCCTCAACTCCCACTCCCCAAAGTAATTCGGCGCATCCCCAACCTTCTTGAACCTCAAGCCCTCGAAAAGCTTCAAACTCCGCTCATTCACCTGCCCAATCTTGACGCTCAACGCCGCAAGCTTCAACTCCCCTGTCTTTTTTACATCCGCCCCCAAAATCCTCTTCGCCTCCTCATCACCCGCCACAAACTCCCCTAGCACCTCCGTCTCCCGCCCAAGAACATACCTCACAAATGCCAGGAGTGCAGCCTTCCCAAATCCCCTCCCCTGATCCTTCTTCTCGGCGATCATGAGCTCGATCTCGCCGATGATCTGTGGAGGACACGGATTCCCTTGCTCGTCTTCTTCATCTTCGACGCGGAGGAAGAGGTTAATGTCCCCGATCATACGCGCGGGTGCATCATCTTCGTCTTTCAGATCTCTCTCTTGGTCGATTGGGAGACAGACGATAAACGTGAGCTTATCGGCGTCGTTCCGCCAGGACTGTTGCATGGCGTATTCTTCTGGGAGGGATAGGGGCTCTGAGGCTGTTGCTTGTTGGATTTCCTGACCCGATGGGTTAGATACTTTCATGGCCTATAACTAGCTGAGCAATTTGGTGGGAGTTTGAAGATCCGTACCTCGTCCTTCATCCATTCGTGATACCGCGGGACGTGCCATTTTGAGTATGGCACTAGCAGGACTTTGGGTATGGAGATTGCTGGCAGTGGGGTTAGTGTCTTGTTTTCATCTGTATGGAGGGTTCACGGACCAGTGGTGGCGTTCAAGAGCATGCTGTTCTTATTTTTAGGCTCGTTCTAGTGTGGTTGTTTGTAGAGAAGTGGGATGAGGGAGAATTGGATATTTTCTGCGGTCTTGGCATCGGGCCTGGTCAAGGGAAGGCCCGGTTCAATCACTGCGAAGAATCTCCATAAAGGAATTTCGCCCCAAACTATTTTGTTCATTATATACCGATGCAATATCAAAGTTTCTCTTCCTTCCCCGCAAAAGCCCCAAACCTGACGACTTCCACCTCCAGGGTTTCGGTATCCACCAAGACAAGCTCTCCGGTTTCCCGAAACTTAGGGAGAGAAATGAGGCGAACAGTGGGGATAGGTTCATCCTCCATCCCGCCCATCTCTGTGTCTTCGCCGTTCAGTCTCAGCGGCGTGTCTCCCTCCACAACGGCGGTCCTGAACCGGGGTTGGTTTCCCGCGAAGAAGAGGTGCGGGCAGGATTCCATAACGAAGGGATCGTCGTTTTGGAATGGATAAGACCCTATAACATGTCAGTCCTAATTGTCGTAAGTGCAATGGAAGTGAAGAAAAGAACATACATATCGTATCTGGGGCAGTGGGAACCCCACACCTCCACCGCAGCATGGCCTCCATAACACGTATTCTAGCCTCCACATCCCCATCAGTATCGATATTACCATCTTCATCGGCGAAGTCGAGATAGCGGAGAACATCGTCCACGTTCTGGCCGCTGCAGCCCCAGAGCCGCCATCCCTCCACGTCTCCCTCCCACGGATTCGTTACGCTGTCGAACCAGCCGGGCTCGGGTTTCTCTTCGCCGCTTGGTGGTGCGGCACAGTATGCCCTTGACCGAGGGAACATTGCGCGGTGAATCGGCTGTTGGGGAAGTGCGAAATTCGCCGGGTCGCTTTCGCCTGACATGATGGTCACCGGTATGCTGGGTAGGAGCTCTGCGAGGAAGGAATCAAGTTGTGTGATTGGTGACGCGTTATACGCTGAAGCGTCATATCCGTACTTCTTTTGCTGTGCGATCTTTTTTCCTTTTGGCCCATTCACTGCTGGTGCCGCCTCAATGGTACTCGCTCCGAGTGAGTTTCCCGCAATGACCAATCTAGTAATCCCACTAGCATCAGGCAGAGAACCGTCTTCGTTTTTCGATGAACCTGTGTAGCCCAGAAGGTAGTCCGTCAAAAGTTCAAGGGCGAGGGTATCGCTGGATGTCCCCGTTATCCCAAGACCGCTAACCATTGCGATCTTCCCCTTTTTCGGCTCCTTAGGTGCTTTCGCTTCATCTCTCTCCCACCGACGCGGTTGTGGAGCAAGATCAGGAACTTTGATATCAATTGCTTCAAAATCTCCGTTCGCATTCTCCGTCCCAAGAACCGCAATGATAACTCCCGTCGCTAGTTGAACTGATCGAAGTTTGCTCCCCGTCAGGCGCAGTCGTCCGGACTCATCTTCGAGCATGATCTCTGTTAACTCTGGGTGTGAGGGGTCTTTGTAGGTTCGTCGAGGAGGAGGGGCAGATGTGAAGTTCTGCTGGGAGTTAGACCTGCTTCATGGAGTTGAAAGGGCAACTTGCATCTTTTGTAAGGTCATCCAGGATATTCGGCTTCAATGGCATCTCCATGTATATTGTGCCCGCAACCCAGCAAAGTTCTCCCTGTCGGACGTCGAGGACTCGTTCTACGCGGCGAACACGCTCTCCGGCAATCTAGAGTGTCGCAGAACGTCAGCACAGAGGGATCGGCGACGACTATCTCCAGATAGATTAAGTCCGTACAGTGAGCCCTTCCCAAGCTTGAACCGCAACAGCCTCAACCGCTGGTTTGAGCTTCGCGAGCCGCAAGAAGTACATATCCCCATATTGCTGCTGATATTGTCGCTCCTGGCCAGGCGGGAGTCGGAACGTATCTAAAGGATTATAGACGGAGGCATTTCGCTGCACAGGCTTGTATTCTTGGGTGCTAGTATGAATTATCCGTCAGCAAAGCACGGCACGAGCTTAGGATGCGGAGACGAACCTCGGGGCCCGCAAGAACTCTTCCTCTGCAGCATTGACGGCCATTGCTTTTGAATCAACTGCTCACAAATGTATCACAGCATTAAGCAGTGTTTGTTAGGTTAAGATATCCAGCCTTCGCACTCGGTTGTTCGTTGAATGATTATTGTTGCGGACTTGAAATTGGCGGGACGCGAAGACGCGTCTTTTGGCGTTCTGCCATCTTTCCGCTTTGGGCTCTCCTCATCTCTTAGGTATCCCAACCACCTCAGCACCAGACAACACACCGATTCTCAGACGTGCAAGAGCCCACTGAGATATCTATGATATGCCGTTTGGGCTACTTTCCTGCTGCTCTCCCAGCAACTCGCAGAGTCGGAGTTGCTTTGGATTATGCGGCTGCAATACGGTAGGACTTGCAGAACACCTAGAACTGTAATGCGGAGCTTTCCATTAACAGCATCTCGCTGCTCGTTGGACCGTATACGCCATACTTTCATATCAGCGCCTGAAGGACACGCTAATATTCGAACTGCTAATGCCCCAGAACCCTGGTCCTCACGTTAGCAGAGTTCAGATCTTTACGTAGGTCCCGTTATTTTTAGGGCGCAAGCTTTAATGCCGGGAGTAATGCGCGAGGCTAGAATAAAGTTTATCCTGCCTAAAATACTAAAAATACTACTATTAACGGCCTGTTTAATATTTAACACTTTTATTAATAGCCTATTTTAAATAGTAACACTTTTTTTAATAGCCGTAATAATAGCAAATTTAATAAAGGTATTTAAAAAATAATAAAAAAATAAATTATATAAGTAATATATAGCTTACTTATATAAACCTATAATTTATAAACCCCTAATTTTTTAAATTTTTTTTATTATAATAGCTAACACTAAAGGTAATAATAATACCATTTTTTTTACTTATTTACTTATTTTTTTACTAACCTAGCTGCTAGCAGCCTATATTATTAATATAATAAACTATTTAAATTATAAATTAATAGTTTTAAAAAAATTTTATAAATAATTATATTATTTATAATACAAGCTTGTGCTTTATAAGCCTGTTAATAAAAAAAATATAATAAAAAAGATTATAACTTACCCTATTAATTAAAAAGTTATTATTAGGTAGTATATTAGCATGCCTATTAAAAGTAATTTAGTTTACAGGTATTGCGCCTAAGGCCATAGGCTATTTATAAAATATATTATTATATTAAGCTATTTTAATAATAGTTATATAAATTATTATTAAAATAATTTAGGTGCGTGGTATATTAATAAATATAAGTTATAGCCTTTGTTTATTTATAAGTATATTAATTAATATGTTTAGCTTTTATACCAGGTAATAATAATAATAATAATAATAATAAAATAAAGAAAAATAAAAAAAAAAGGCTAAAAAAAATAAAAAAAAAAGGCTAAGAAGGTCGCGAAGAAAAAAAAAAANAAAAAAAAAAAAAAAGTAAATACTACTACCTTATTTATATATATTATTTAATTCACCTGCTGCCTGCACTAGCTTATAATTATAGTAATAATAAACTTTAATATTATTATAACTAGGCTGGCTGCCATGGCCCATGTTATAATTTTTATAATAAATAACCTTATTAATAAAGCTAGTTTTAAGGGTATTAAATATAATTATAATAATAAGTAAGTAGTTTTTTTTAATTTATTTTTCCTAGGGCTAGACCCTAGTAATAAAAAAGTTTAAATTTATTATAACTTATTAGGTATATTTAACTATAAATATTATTAAAAATAGCTTATATAAACTATAGGCAAAGATCTAGTATTTAAAGGCAAGTATTTAATAAAGTATTAATATTATTTTAGTTTATTAACACCTTTTATTTAACTTTAAACTAATAAAATTAACTACTTAATACCTTTAAAAGCCTTATTTAAAGCGTGTTATTATAATTTATAGCCTGCTAGTTAAATACTATAGCCTTATTTTATTATTATTTAAGCTATATTTTACTTTTAATAAATAATAAATAGCTATTACCTTATTTATTTTTATAATACCTAAAACTTAACTTTATAATACTAAGCTATATATTATTATAGCTACCTCCTAGGATTAAACTTAATTATATTATTTTTTTAGTATATTATTATAAAAAATAATTTATAATTATATTATTTATTATATTTTTATATTTTATTATAAAATTATTACCCGGCGCCCTGGCTATATAATATATTATAAATTATATAAAAATTATAAATAATTATTATTAATAAGCACTAGCTAAAATACTATTAATATAAAAGCTAGAATTATAGGTTAAGCGCCTGAAGGCCACTTTTATATTACCTAGTAATATAAAAGTAATTATAGTATAAATTATTAAAAAGCGCCCCTTTACGCCCTATGTTTAGTATATAAAAGAAAATAAATTATTTATAGGTTATATTATTATTAATAAGTTACTATTTAGCGCCTGCGCTAACTACTATTATACCTTAAAAATAAATATTATAATTATTATAATAAGTACCCTAACTAATAATCCGCGAAGCTAGTAACTAACTATAATAATTTAAAAATTAATATTAAAAATATTACTACCGCCGCCCGTGCCGCAAAAAAAAAACTATATAAAAATAAAAAAAAAAAAAGAATAATAGCCGTGTTGTAAAGCGGTTATAATACTACCTAATAAATAATTAAGTATTTACTTAAATATTAACTCTTGCCTAACTATAAACCCGCGGCCACGCTAAGTAGCTTTATAACTTATTTAATATAATAATTATTTAAAGAAACACGTTCGCTGCTGCCTAAAAGGTATTTATTAAAATATATTTTAGTATTATAACTAAGTTTATAAAAAAAGCAAGTTTATTAATAAAAAAAAAAAAGGTGGGGATAAGTTCCCTAGTTTATTAAATAATTTTAATAAAAAGTTATTAAAAAATAATTAGTATTTACAGGGCTAGACCCTAGTTAATAAAGTAAGTTTAAATTATTATTTTATTTTTAAATTTATACTTATATTATTATTGCTCTTGTAATAAGAAATATTATTTATAATTATAATAAATATATATTAGTAGCGCCTTAAATAACTATTTTTATGCCTTTATTTTTTGGTATTAAACAGGCTGCTAACTAACTAGTTATAGCTAAAAGGTTTTTTAAATAATAATTTTTTAAGTAATTATACATGTAATATGGCTATATATATAAAATTTAGTAAAAACTTTTTATATATAATAAGGTTTAGGATAGCCTGCTTAATAGTAACCCCTTAAGTTTTATAAATTATTATTATATATGCTAGTATAGCTAGAAATTATATATAAGTATAAATAATATTATAGTAGTAAAAATCTTGTTTTATGCAAAAGATTAGTACTATATTATAGCTATTATTTTTTTTAACATGTAGATTATTATATTAATTAAAAGCTATTATTAAAGCAAGCAGCACTTTTTAAGTAGGATTTATAGTTCCTAGTAGCTATATAATATTTATTAATATATTTATAACATTATTTATAAAACCCCTTTTTATTTAAATATTTTATATTAGCATAATATAGTAACTAAAAAAAATTATAAGCTTTTTAGCTAGGTTTTTAGCCTAGTTTATTTTTATAATTATAGTACTAGATTTAATATAATTAGCCTGTAAAATAATTACAGGCTTATTAAAGTTTAATATATAGTTATAGTTATACTAGTGTATATTATTTTTTTTTTATATATATAAATTATATTTATAAATATATTATTTTTGCTTATAGGTAACTTAGCCTATACTTATGTTATAAAAAGCTCCTAGTTTTTTATTATAGTAATATTTTTTTTAAGTGCTTTAATATAAAAATAAATATATAAGTTATTTAAAAGCTTGTGGTTTAGTAATAAATAATATTTAGCTTAATAATAAGGTTAAATTAATTATATAAATACTAACTAGCCTTCTTCTTTTTATTTATAAGCAAAAATATAGCCTTAAAAAAAGGGCTTTAATTAATTAAAGGTAGCTAGTAAAAGTCCCTGGCTAAAATAATATTTAAGCTATTAAATAGTTTAGCTTTGCGGTTTGGGAAGATCTTATAATATTATTAATTAATATAGTATAGTTATTTTAAACCTATTATAAACTTTTTATTAATAATTAAATATAACACGCCGCGGAAACTTGCCTATAAAATTAATAATATTAAAGGCTATAAGTAATTATAACCCCCCTTGCCTTTTAATATAACTAGTAATTAAAATAATAAGTATAGGATTTAGCTACTAATATTATACATGGTAATACTAGTTAAAGCGGCCTATATAATAATAAAGGTTTTATAATTATTAATATAAAAAGTTATATATTCTAAAATTATAAATAATAAGTTAATAATATAAAATTTATTAGTACTAGCCTTGCTATTTAAATTAATTAATAACTACCTTAGTAAGGGTAATAAATATATAAAAATAAATTATTATTTATTATTTATATAAAAAACCGGTAAACCGCGCGATTATAAGATACTTTTATAGTATTTAATTATAATATTATATAACTAGTATTACTTAACCTTTAGGCTATTTAAATAAGTTAATAAATAAGCTAACATGTCTGTTGGGTAATCTACCTTTACTAAATCCTAAAATTTTAAACTAAAACCAGGTTTTTTTATATATTAAATTTAGTTATATTATTAATTAATATCGCGCTGGCCTAGGCTATTAAGTTTTATAAAAAAATTATTATTATAGCTAGGCTGCTAAACTACCATAGCCTTTTAAAAAAGCACCTTAGTAGTTAGGCTAGTATTATTATTTTAAGTTAATAAATTAGTCTTATTTTTTATATTTTTATTATTTTATATATAGCTATCCTTTTTATAGCTATAATATTTATAGTAATATTTATATATATTATAAAAGCTATTAAATATTAATTTATTAACTATACGCAGGTTATTTATTTTAATAAATAAATAATAAAGTATTAACTTAACACAGGTAAAGTTTTTTAGGTCCATAACTTAGTTATATATTAGGTAGTAATAAATAATATAATTTTTTATCTTGCTTTTAATTTTTTTATATACTTTAGGCTATAGGGTATAGTAATATATATAATATAATAATATTAAATTAGCAAGCTCTAGCGGCTGCTATATATACTTTATTATTATATTTAAACCTTATTTAATACCGCCTTTTTTATTACTAGTATTATTATGGTTTATATTTAGTAGTAAAAATAGGTTATTTTATTTTTAATTTATAAAACATGGAATAATAATTATATTATAGCTTAATATTTAAAGTAATAGGCCTAGTAAATAATAGTAAACCTTTTATATAAATTAATCTTGCTTTATAATTAAGGCATTTATTATTTTTTATATTAGTAATAATAAAAAATAGCATGTATTAACATGCTTAAAAACTAATTTTATAACCTTTTTATATAACTTTATTTTTTTTTAGGCTTTATAATATACTTAGTAATATAATAAAGTAGGGAGTACTTGCTAGTACACATGGTTATATTTAAGTTTATAAGCTATTTTAAGCTAATAATTAAGTTAAACATGTTTAGGGTTATATTATTACAGGCTAAAAAAAGATAGTAATATATACTACTAGTTAGTTTTATTAATTAAAAATCACACCGTGTTACTATAAGAAAATAAAAGTAATAAATAACCTTTTTAATTTACTTATTTTTTTATTAATAATAATTTATACTATAATAATAATATAGTATATGGTTTATAACCTGTATAAAATAAGCAAGTATATTTTTTTATTAAAACTAGAGTAGCTAAATAGCCTTATAATTTATATTAATAATAATAATTTATACATAAAAAGGGTTTATAGCTATAATATATATGCCTTAATAAGCCTTAAATAATTACTATAGCTTATTAAATTATTAAAAGCTGTTAAAAATAAAAGTAAATTATATTTAATATATACTATGGTTATAAGTTAAACCTTAACCTTATTATTTATAATAAAATTAATTATTTATAATACTAAACTTAGGCTTAATAACTATATTAAAAAACACGCGGTAGTAGTAATAAAACCATGCTATAATAATATAAAAGTTATTTTATAAATTATATTATATAATTTATTTATAAATAGCCTTTATATTATCACGCCATGCTTTATACTTAGGTAATTATTATATTAGGTTATTTTAGTATAAATTAGCCACAAAAAATATTAGGAACAGGTAAACCATACCTATTTAAAAAGTAAAAAATTAAAATAACACGCATGGTAACAGGAAATAGGCTACTTATTAATATTTTTAATTATAGCTTTTAAGCTATTTTTCTTACTATGCTAAAATAGCCGCGTACCATAAATAGTTTTAAAAAAATTAGTAATAAAACTTAGTAATATAAATAATTTAGCTATATTTAATTAAAAGGCTGCTTGTAGCTTTTTTATAAAAATATCTTACTAGCTAGGTATATAATTATAAATATAAAAACTAGCTTACTAGTTTATTTACTAATAATAAATTATATTAAAATAAATATATTAAAACCGGGGATGCCGTGCAAAACAGCCACTTTTATATTTAAGTAGGTATTTAATATAATTTATAAATAATACCTTATATAAACATGTTATAACTAGCTTTATATTACCATAAAAAAAAAAGTAAAAAACACTAGTAATAATAATTATTACAAGTAATTAAACTTAAATAGTAGTATTATATAAAATAAAAAAAAAGTTAAATAAGGGTTATTATATACTAGTTTAGTAGTATTATTTACCACGGCCTGCAATGCCTTAAGCTTTATAATTATTATAAGTAAATTAAGTATTATAACTATATTAGGCGCCTGTATATTATTAAGGTTTATTTATTAACTATTATTTAGGGTAATTAGCTTACTAGCTAGCTCCTAGGTTAGAATAAAATAATTAACTAGTTTATTTTTTAATAATTATATAAGGTTATAATTATTTTTAACTATATTTTAATACCCTAAATAATTTACCTGGAGGTAATTTAGCTATTATTTAATTACTTAGTGCTATATTTTAAAGTTATAATAAAATTATAAGTATATTTTTTAGTTTATACTAAAATTAAATAACTATAAGATTAACACCTTAAAATTTTTAGGTAAAAGCAGGAGTTATTTATATATTTAACTAGTATTTTATAAAAAGTTAATAATATAGCCTTTATATAAATACTAGTAATTTTAAATATAATAAATTTTAATAAATATATAAACTTTTATAATTAGCATTTTCTTAATTTATATTAATTCTAAAAGGTAAGAAAAAATATTATCAAGATTTATTTTATTTTATAAATTAAATTTAAAAATCTTCTAGTTTTAATTAGCTAACACGCAATGCTTGTAAATATTATTTTTTTTTTAAAAATTTATATTAAATTATTATTTTTAATAATAACTACATGTTTTTAGCTAATATATATTAAGCTAGTAATAAAAATTATTTAATAGCTTTTAATTATGGTTTATAATAGCTAAATATATAAAATTAATTAAAAAAGATAAATATGGTAAGAAAGTATAGTTTAGGTTTATATATATAAAAAGGCTAGAGTTAACTTTAGCAGTTTATAAAGGTAAAAATAAATTATTTTTAATAATAAACTAGGAGCTTATAGCTGTAAAGCTATTAATATTTAATTTAATATTATTTTTATTAGTAATAATAACTAGCTGCGGGTGCCTAGCCAGCAGGCAAGGTATAAATAATAATAAAAATATAACTATTATAGGCGTGGAAGGGGGTATAAGAGTAATAAATATTATTAATAATAATAAGCATGTTAAAGGTAAATAAAAAGGTTAGGGTTTATAAAAAGTAATTATATAAGTTATTTAACTTATTACTTACTAGGCATGCTATTATTTAATATTTTTATAATATTTTTTTACCTACTACAAGTTATTAAATAAATATATATTATAGTATTAATAATTTAGCTTTAGCTATAGCAGGCGCGCTTGTTATATGTTTAGGTTAATTTTATTAAAAAAAAAATATTAAAGGGGCGGGTTAAAAAGGCCTATAGTTATAATAAATTATTTACTTTTTTTTTATTATATATTAGCAGCTATAATATACATGCAAGGTAGTATAAATATACCTTATTTTTATAATTATTATAAGTATTATAAGACTTGCAGCCCGGGTGCTATTAAAATTAAAATAAAAATAATATATTTTTATATTAGCTATAAAATATAATTAGCTTTATAATTAAATTTATTTATATAAATTACAAGTAAAAAAAAAATTATAAACTTAAGGTTTAAGTTATTATATTATTAAGAAAACTATATTACAAAGTTAAAGTAGTAAAAAGGTTATATAATTACCCTTTTTTTAGCTAATTAGCTTTATTTATTTTAGCTAATTAGTATTATTTTACTATTTTACATAATCCCTAATAAAGCTCACGTGACTGGGAGCCGGGACCTATGATTTATTGTGCGCGGGCCTCTACTTTGTTCCGGCCTCGCGCAATCAATTTATCTCGTCCCGAAGCACAGTAGGCGCGGGTTGGCCTCTCAGCTCTCACAAGCCGTGGAGAATTCGACATGCAGCTGCTGGAAGGATGCATATTGTTGAGCGGAACATGCGACGCAGGTGGTGAGCCTTAGCCCCTTAGCCGATGACAGACAAGGCAAACATGGCAACAATACGCTACAGTCAAGGTCCACTGTTCGAAGATCTCACTTTCATACCAACGGAAATAAGACCCTCGAACTAGCAGTGCTCACTTTGAAAGCCCGGATACTGATCCACTACCATCCCTTCCGCGTGCCTCACCCCTCGCTGGGTTCTCGAACCATGCCCGCATTCCGATGCAGCATATCTCCAATGAGTATTCTAATCGGCATCAGCAAGAATGACCAGATCAAGATCCTTCATTGGCAGGTGCTTTTCCTATGTTATTTGGCATTTCTCTCAGTGCTCGCGCATTCAGGCGCTGCGGTGAGAATGACCAAAGCCGTATTCCATTGAAAGCATGCATTTGACCTTCATTCTGGAAAAGCAACATAGTCCAGCGCCTGGCAAAGAATTCGGGCTTTGAGTTCCTCATATCTTGGGGCTGCGCCTCCTGCGAGAGCTCAATATACTCGAAAACATCTCTTGCGCTTGGTTGACGTTCTATCACAGGGACAAACTAGGGCCAACCTGGGACTTCCTATTACACCCTGATAATGAAGCTCAAGTCATCAGTATCGACCTTATTAGGCAGCTTATTCTTCTTGAGCCTGTCATGCGTTGTCACATCAGCATTTGTCTTTGATTCGCTACTACGCGGCCTCCACCAGAACATATTCGCCCGCAGCTTGCCAGGCTCCCTCGCATTCGTTCCAGAAGAGGCCATAGGCCGCTACCAACCTCCACCAGGGCCAATTCAATACGATCCTATACCTGCGAACAATCCCAACATTCCGGATGCTCCTGCAATGGCTTCGACAGCCGGGGACCCAGGTGACGACGAGCTTGGGTTTGGGTCTAGGGCAGCCATGGCAGCTACAGAAAGTCAGGCTGACTCGGAAGAGTAAGTTCATTCTCGCTTTGTGATTTCTCCGACGGGTTTTAATACTGCTACTAGGGCTAAAACACATATTCCGTCCGCCTCGGAGATGGATGCAATGATAGCCAAGGCTCAGACAGCATCAGCCAGCAAGAAAGTTGTGCGCTCGCTGGCGGGCTTGGGAGCGTCGATGCTTGTGTCGTTCCTGCATTCATGATCCGAACATGGGACATTGCGCAGTATACAGTCTGCACGCGCCCGTTATTGATGATGGAAAGCCAGCTATATCCTTGATGATATACAGCTTCTTTTTAGGACTCGGGCGTCTCTACTACTGTACAGATACCCGGTTTGTCAATTGATTGATACGCTTCATTAACCTCATTTGTTAATGATCATATTTTACAACCAAGAGTAGCAGGTCAGCCCCCAACCCGGAAGCTCCACGTCGGTGCAACACTCCCTACATGTTCCAAGCACCAGAGATTCGTGTTACGAAGCAAACCGAATGCCAATGTAAATGTCTTTTAGTCTACCAATTTGGCCAGTTCGCGTATAGTATGCTTCACGTGGCAGTGTTTGATGCGCCGTTTAAAAGTGAACTGGCCGATTTTCTATGCGCATCTTGAGTAGTATCTACTAGACTAAGTATGCTGCGGTATTGATGGACCCAGATCAACTGTTGATCGGCATAAGAAAATCGGCGAGCTGAGGGCGATGCGAAGCTAGAGATGGGGGCCGAAACAACAGGGGGATGCGATGAGATGAGCCTCGGTCCGTTTCCCCGCATTTCCAGGAGCTGCTCCTTCTTCCTTCAAGTACTCATATGCGACGAGTCAGCAGAGTAGCCGATCATATACCGCGGTCAACGTGTTTTCTTTGTATTTATCTTGATCTTTACCAGGATTCTTTGCCAATCTTCGTTTGACCTCGTTCAACCAATTTTCGACTCCGTCTTCGCAGGGGCTCTACAAGGTAGTACATTTAAGAATTAAGCCAAGCAATTGCAAACAAAGGTACGTCAACCTACCAAACTCCCAGTTCTCTGAACACTAACATCCTATCCATAGACCCAACATACCACCAAAATGTCAATCACAACGCCCCTCACCACCCTCCTCAAAATTCAGAGCCCGGTCCTCCTAGCCGGCATGGCAAAGGCCTCCGGCGCCGAACTCGCAGCCGCAGTCTCCAACGCCGGCGGACTAGGCGTAATCGGCGGACTGGGGTACACACCGGAGCAAATGAACGAGATGCTCACGGAGCTCAAGGCCCTACTGAAGGACAAATCGCTCCCCTTTGGCGTGGACCTCGCCCTCCCGCAGATCGGCGGCAGCGCACGCAAAACGAACCACGACTACACAGGTGGAAAGCTCGACGAACTAATCGATGTTATCATCTCGCATGGCACGAAACTGTTTGTTTCTGCTGTTGGTGTACCTCCGGCGCATGTGATTAAGCGCCTTCATGACGCAAACATCCTCATTATGAATATGGTCGGTGCGCCGAAACACGCGGAAAAGGCGCTCAAGGCCGGTGTGGATATCATCTGCGCGCAGGGGGGTGAGGGTGGTGGGCATACCGGGGATATCCCCTTCTCTGTGCTTATTCCGGCCGTCGTGGATACGGTACAGAAGTATAAGAGTCCATTGACTGGACAGACGCCGTTGGTCGTTGCGGCTGGTGGCGTGAATGATGGGCGCAGTTTGGCGGCAGCGTTGACGCTCGGTGCATCTGGTGTCTGGGTGGGCACGAGGTTCCTGGCGACGGAGGAGAGCGGGGCGAGTAGGCTACACAAGCAGGCTGTTGTTGGGGCGCAGTATGGCGAGACAAAGAGGACGCTTGTTGTCTCTGGCCGGCCGCTACGGTTGCTGCCGAATGACTATATCAAGGAGTGGGAGAAGAAGCCTGAGGAGATTGCACGGCTAACATCCCAGGGAATCGTGCCGATGGAACAGGATTTCAATAATGAGAAAGACGTGGACCTGCCGTTCTTGATGGGTGATGTCTCAGGCATTATCACCGAGATCAAGCCTGCTGGCGTGGTCTTGAAAGAGATGGTTGCGCAGGCTGCTGAAGTGCTGAAGAGAACTGCTGCTCTTGCTTCGGGCCCTGCGGCCAAGCTGTAATCAGCCAGGAAAGCTGGTGTTGAGTCTCATGTGCAGTCATGCGTAAGATAATTGTATATAATTTAGCAAATCTATGCTTCACATATCTCTTATGTGTCTTTACCTAGATAGCATGTACAAGTACATAAATCATAATGCGGCAGAATCGAGGATGGATCGCAGGAACAGACCCGAGGGCATGTGTATCGCGCAACCTTTGGCAAGGCACTCCACATTGGAAGGGTCGGCTATGCACAACATCGCCGAAAGACGGCATTGATACCTAGAGGGTTGCGTATAGCGACGTGTAAATTCCAAAATAAGAGCACTATGTTAACAGAGTCAACAGGCATGGTTGCTCACTGGGCCGATTGAGCCCTCACTGCCACATTGCCAACGCTAACTGCGACAATACCACTCACACACAGCTAGTGTACGTAACGCTTCCTCCTTTTTCTTGTCTAGTCGTTAGTGGCATCCATTCAAGACAGCCTTTCCATTGGCTCGCGCCTCCAGAAGATTTGGGGGCGGTGGCGGCCCAAATACAGGCTTCTCTTGCTGCTGGGGCAGAGGGTGGTCGCCGTTGGCGCTATCGAGCTCATATTCTTCGTCACTGATTCCCTCTTCGTCCTCTTCGTCTTCGTAGTCCTCCTCGTACTCGCTCTCCGTCCCTTCGTCATCACCGTCCAGGTCCACAGCGAGACCCTGACCACGACCCTGAGCCTGCATTCGTCGACATAGCGCTTCCAGGTGATGGCTCTTCTTTCGCCACTTGTCGAGTTCCTCATGATTCCTCGTGCGTTCCTCGGCCATTTCCAATATGTTTCGGTTCGTTTGATCGTGCTTGCGAGTGAGGGTGAGATTCTCCTTTTCCAGCCTTTTTGTCTTCTTCGACATCTCCTCCATCTCTTTGCGGAAGGTCAAGAACAGCTCATTACTGTTGTTCAAAGTATCCTCAACCTGGCATATTATTACTACCGAGCATCAAGGCAGAACCACAGAGCCATACCTGTTTGAACTTTTCCACATAGATATTCAGCTGGCTTCGCAGTTCCGACTCCGTATGCGAAAAGGTCGACACCTGAGAGCTCAGCGCACGACAACGAGCAGCCTCGTTTTCCGCCGCGCGCCTCTGTTCTTCATATTTGGCGGTGAGACATTGGATCTCAGCATCCTTGCTGCGCAGTAACGACTTGTAGTGTAACTCGCGCATCTCGAACTTTTCACCAATGGTCTTAATCTTGGCTCGAAGACTACAACGACGTGTCAGGCAACGCGGACAGAACCCCGGGGAACTACAACTTACGCTTCGTCGAGGTCGATGTCAACTTTCTCGCTTCGGGGATTGCCCTTCGCTGCCATCACATCTTGGATGTCGTACAAAAGAGAGTCGAGTCGCTCATTGACGATCGCACGGGCCTTTTTCTCATTCTCCTCGAGCTTCTTGTTCTCGTCCTGGTTTCCCAAAAATTGCACGTTAGCCCAGGTGCTAAATGCAGTAGCCGTAGTTGTGTGAAACCCACCTTTACTTTTTTGTTTTCCTTAGTTAATTCACGGCAAAGTTTTTCCAGCTTATCTTTCATGGTAACGGTCTTATTCAACTCCGATTTTCCCTTGTCCTGGTCCTTCTGCAGCTGATCCGCCCGCTTCTTACTCTTGGCATAGTCGCGGTCTAGTTTCTTCATATCGGCCAGCAGCTCGGTGTACTTTTTATGGACGGTTTCCAGACGGGTCATCGGGGATTCGATATTGGTCAAGAGCTGGTTTAGGTCCCTAGTCGCCTTCTTCACTTCCCGTTCTGTAACCACGTATTGTTAGCAAGTATTGCCACGCAATACCCAAATCCCCGGCTGTCGCAAGCGGAGCACTTCGAGACGAGCACGCACCGATTTCCTGTTCTTGGTCCTTCTCTCCTGCAGCATCCTGCTCCAACTGCGAGATCTTGGCGGCAAGAAGCTTCGAGGTCTCGTTCGGGTCGGCGACCTTCTTCCCCTTGTTTTTCTTGGACATGGCCGTAGTCGACATGATGGAGGTGTCCACCTTGTAGAAATGCCCGGGTGGCGTAGGGTGCGCTGTCCGGCGGAGGTCGCGTGGTCGGTCCTTGGTAAGAAAAATGCGAAAACGAATCGGTTTCGAAGTGGTGAGGCGTCTAATGTGTGACCGGATAAAAGAGCCACGTCGACCACTGAACAAAGCACTGAGTAGTGCAAGTGATGCGGCGTCCGATGGTTGTCAGAGCACAACGTAATCAACGGCAAGTCCTAAAATCCACACTCGCAATGAGCGGAGAACCTTGAGGGACTTCTAGGCTCGCAGAACTCGGAGCAACCGGGTCTCCAGATCCTATAGCAACCAAGTTCTGCAAAGCCGAAGAAAATCCCGGGGGCGGCAGCAGAGATTCGTAGAAGCCTGGCGGGTCGAAAACCAACTGGCGAGTAGCAACGGGTCAAGAACAGTCGGTCGAGGACTTGTTGGAGAGATCGAATCCAATCTCGCAAGTCGGAGGGGGTGACTAACACTAGCCAGATTCGGAAATATCGTCTTGGCATCCCAGTGCTGTTTGTCATCCCAGCCGACGCCAGCTCGACTCCATACCATCCTTCTTGCCTCTCTTTTCAGAATTAGACGGCATTTATCTAAAAGCACTATTTACACTATTGATTACCTTGCATTTGCGCAGCCTATTACGCGCCTTAGCTCTATTCCTTGGTCCCGGCTGGACCGGTGCCAGCTTCAACCCGGCATCGATCACCTTGCTAAAAGTCGTGCTTCCTTGACTCGATCTTTTCCTACCACACTTTGACGATATGCTCCGTTCATACCTGCAGCTGGGCAGGCAGCGCACGCCAGCTCGTCGCCAACCATGCGGACGATTCCTCAAGTCGACGACATCGTTACCGCGGTGGTCTCAGATCCGAACGCTCGCCTCAGTATCTAGTTCGGAGAGCTTGCCCGAGGTTGGAGACCAGCTTCATGGTTTTACCGTCCAGGAGAAGAAGCAAGTCCCGGAACTACACCTTACGGCTGTCCGGTTAAGGCATGACAAGACACATGCAGATTACCTCCATATCGCCAGAGAAGACAAAAACAATGTTTTCGGCATTGGCTTCAAGACGAACCCCCCGGATGCCACGGGTGTGCCTCACATTCTGGAGCATACCACTCTTTGCGGCAGTGAAAAGTAGGCGACTCTACCTTGGGTACGACCTATGCTAGTGACTATTTGATGCTAATGCTAGATTTCTTCAGATACCCCATTCGCGATCCGTTCTTCAAGATGCTCCCGCGCTCCCTCTCAAACTTCATGAACGCCTTTACCTCATCCGACCACACGATGTATCCGTTTGCGACGACCAATGCGCAGGACTTCCAGAATCTCCTGTCGGTCTACCTGGATGCCACCATGCACCCTTTACTCAAAGAGGAAGACTTCAGGCAGGAAGGATGGCGCCTTGGGCCGGAAGACCCTCGCGCGATCCAGACCAAGGAGGGCGATCTCAAACCGGATGACATTCTGTTCAAGGGTGTCGTATACAATGAAATGAAGGGTCAAATGTCAGACGCGAACTACCTGTACTGGATTAGGTTCCAGGAGAGCATTTTCCCTGCCATAAACAACTCCGGAGGTGACCCTCAACATATCACGGACTTGACGCACAAGCAGTTGGTCGACTTCTCCAAGCAGAACTATAACCCAAGCAACGCTAAGATCATGACTTACGGTGACATGCCGTTGGCCGATCATCTCAAGCAGGTTGGTAATGTCTTAGACAGTTTCTCGAAAGGAGCGGCCGATACATCTGTCAAGCTACCCATTGATCTCCGCGGTCCCGTGAACGTGACTGTCCCAGGGCCAATCGACACTTTTGCGAGCGAAGACAAGCAGTACAAGACCTCCACTTCGTGGTACATGGGAGATACCACGGATATTGTCGAGACCTTCTCAGCCGGTATCCTCTCGTCTCTGTTGCTCGACGGTTACGGTTCTCCCATGTACAAAGCTCTGATTGAAAGTGGACTGGGCTCTTCGTTCACTCCTAATACTGGACTCGACACCTCCGGCAAAGTTCCTATCTTCTCTATCGGTGTTACTGGCGTGAGCGAGGATCAAGCTCCTAGGGTGAAAGAAGAAGTCCAGCGTGTCCTTCAAGAGACACTCTCCAAGGGCTTCAACGACGAGAAGGTTCAAGGATTTTTGCATCAGCTGGAGCTTGCGCTCCGTCATAAAACGACTAACTTTGGCCTTGGAGTTATCCAAAAAACCCTCTCCTCTTGGTTCAATGGCTCAGATCCCATGAAGGAGCTCGCTTGGAACGAGGTCATCAACGGCTTCAAAAAGAGGTACGAGCAGGGCGGTTACCTAGAGTCGCTGATGGAAAAGTACCTCATCAATGACAACTGCCTAACTTTTACTATGGTCGGTACGCCTTCGTTCAACAAGGAGTTGGATGAGAAGGAAATGGTACGGAAGGAGAAGAAGTTCGAACAACTTATTCAGCAGCATGGGTCTGCTGAAAAAGCTGTGACTGAGCTTGCCAAAGCAGAGCTGCAACTGCTTGAAGTTCAAGAGAAGGCCCAGCATGCCGACCTGAGCTGCTTGCCGTCCCTGCGGGTCGAGGATATCTCACGGCAAAAGGAGTACAAACCGGTTCGCGAATCTAAAGTCGAAGGCACAGATGTTGTATGGCGCGAAGCCCCCACCAACGGCCTGACCTACTTCCAAGCTGTGAATGCTTTTGCGGATCTTCCTGACGAGCTTCGCCTGCTCCTGCCACTTTTCAACGACGCCATCATGCGGCTCGGAACACCAACTAGGACAATGGAACAGTGGGAAGACTTGATTAAGCTCAAGACGGGTGGTGTTTCGACCTCATCTTTTCACACATCGTCACCAACGGAGCTGGGTAAATTCAGCGAAGGTCTCCAGTTCACCGGTTTTGCTGTGGACAAGAATATCCCCGACATGCTGGAAATACTGACAGCTCTTGTTACGGAGACCGACTTCACCAGCCCTTACGCACCAGCGATGATCCAGGAGCTATTGCGGCTGTCTACCAACGGGGCGCTGGATGCTGTTGCGGGAACCGGTCACCGATACGCTCTAAACGCAGCAGCTGCCGGTCTCTCTCGTAGCTTCTGGGTACAAGAGCAGACCTCAGGTCTAGCACAGCTGCAAGCTACGGCGAACCTCCTGCGAGATGCCGAGACTTCTCCCGAACGCCTAGCAGAGCTGATTGAGAAACTTCGCCTCATTCAGTCATTTGCCATCTCGAAAACATCTGGTCTCCGAGTCCGCCTCGTCTGCGAACCGAGCAGCTCAAGCCAGAATGAGTCTGCTCTACAAAAGTGGATTGCTGGGCTCCCCAAGACCCCGTCGCCATTTTTCCAGTCTCAAAGCTTCGACTCGAGCTCGGTTATCAATAAGGCGTTCTATGACCTACCTTACAAGGTCTACTACTCCGGTCTGGCTTTGCCGACTGTGCCCTTCACAAATTCCTCCAGCGCCACCCTGAGCGTCCTTTCTCAGCTCTTGACACACAACTACCTCCACCCTGAGATCAGAGAAAAGGGAGGCGCGTATGGTGCGGGAGCAAGCAACGGCCCAGTCAAGGGATTCTTTGCCTTCACCAGCTACCGCGACCCGAACCCTGCCAACACCCTCAAGGTCTTCCAGAATAGTGGTATTTTCGCGCGAGACCGTGCCTGGTCAGATCGTGAAATCAATGAGGCTAAGTTGGGTATCTTCCAAGGCCTCGATGCCCCTGTTAGCGTCGATGAGGAAGGATCCAGATATTTCCTGAGTGGTGTCACCCACGAGATGGATCAACGCTGGAGAGAACAAGTCCTAGACGTCACCGCCAAGGACGTCAATGAGGCTGCGCAGACCTTCCTGGTCGACGGTACTCGCCGGTCCGTCTGCCTTCTCGGTGAGAAGAAGGACTGGGCGGAGTCCGATGGCTGGGAGGTGCGCAAGCTCTCCATCAACCCTCCTGAGGTCGCGGATATCCCTGCGGGTGATGCTGCCTCGGCATAAGCTACCTCCTAATCTTCCCTAGACTACCCTCAACTTCCTCACAGACACATGCGCTATATACCCCATATATGCCGCCATGTACATCTACCCTACTAATGCTCTGACGAAAACCTGTAAAATAGACTTCTGCTACACTACTATTGTACAATATCCCATCTCTACCTCTGACATATACTATCTTCATCATTCCTCTGCTCTCTTCCCACTCCATGCACGCGCGGAACAAGAACAACCGACCCATCTTCTATCCAGTCCTACCTCCATGGTTGAACGGTGGGTCAACCGTCCACACGGACAAGCGCAATATTGATGTCAGAATGTGAACCCTCGCGGTACACTTCCCTCCTCCGTTTTTCAGACCCGCTCTGGTTTCTCACGAAACATTTCTGTCAGCCTACGCAGAGCGGACTAAGAACGTGAGGACAAGATAGATTCTCATCTCTTCAACACTGGTTGAGAAAGAGGACTTTGAGGAATTTAACGGGTTCGGTCTATCATTACTGGTGGTAAATTAGAACAGCACAATGAATGTGAAATCCATAGAAGCATGAGGGAACCATCCCTCATGAGCCCAATTGGTATAAATTTGAAATCATAAAATCATAACCATAATCAACTCGATCTATACAAGAAGGTGGGTAAAAGTTAAAGTGGTATCGTAAGAAATGAAAAATTAGTTTCCTGAACGTGCGCACTCGGTGTGACCTGCAAACCCAGCGCTTTGAATGAAAGCTCACTTGAACTGCAGACTCAAGCCCTGTCATTATGAGACCTGGAGCTTGAGCCAATATCAGGTTCAGGTGTTGGGTCAACGTGCGTGAGGGGTACGTCTGAGTCTTGGACGTGGTCGGTTTGAAATGGAGAAATGGGTTCATCAGACTCAGGTAAAGGTGGGAAAGGTTCTGTTCGCGAATCGGACTCCGATATATGGTCTTCTTCGGGTATTACAGTATTATTATGGGGAGGGATGGCGGAGGAAGCTGCATTTGAAGGCATGCTTGCGGATGGAGGTACGGGGGCAGTCTGTGAGAGGTTAGCTCAAAGGTTGGCCATATCTACTATGGGTAAACATGCCATGACATCGTCTATACTGATGCCCCGGCTCAGGGCCAACTGTCGTGCAGCGAGCCGTTTTTGCAGGATTTCCATCTCTTCTTCGCGTGCAGCTCGCTCATCCTCCTTCTTCAGATCCTCGATGTCGCGCGCAATATCCACGTAGGAGCTCTGAGGCGATCGCAGTCGACTGGCTCGCTTCTTTTTCTTCTTCTTATTTCCCGAGCCCTTGGATGAGGTGGTAGGCGTTATGCTGAATGTACCTGATGCAGACCGCATACTATCAGGCTTATCTCCCTCGTGGTCCTCTGCCTCTAGCCCTGTACCTCGGCGGGTCAAAGCAAGGGCGAATTCATCGTCCAATGGTACGGCATCCTCTTCATCATCGCTGGGAAGAAGGTCACCCCGGGAGCTAAGCGAGTTTGTCGTTTCGCGCGATGACTGCGTCGAGCTTCGGTACCTCCCATTGCTGCTATTAGCCGCCTCTTCTTGATATTCTTCAGGCGACTCGATGAGAGGGCTCTCTTCGTGTACATGTCGCAAACCCGTCGGATGCTCCTGGAGGTCAGCAGCGGAGGGTCTATACTTCAGTCCCCGCGCGCCAAGTCTCCACGGAAACCGCTCGAGGAATCCCAAGAACGATGAACTCGGGATGACGGTTGGGTCATCTCGCTCGTCTGGTATCAAAAGCCCACTTTTCCGCCGACTCGCCCGTCGAGCACCATAGCTCATCTTTCTTTGTCTGCGAGGCTGCTCAGTGCTCCCCCGCGCCAACCCGCTGCCTGCCAGCAGACGGTCTAACTCGTCTGTACCCCATCCCAAGATCGTATCATCGACATCTTCGTTGTCCCAGTCATCGTAAAAGTCGAAGTCTGCGTAGCGTCGTCGGCGGCGTCGGAGGTGGTCTTCGCGGGTTGGAATGCAGGGCGCCGTACAAGAGTAAACACAGTTTCCAATCGCAGTGAAACATGGAAAGATATAATTATGGGCGAATGTGTAGATTCCTTCTTGGGCAGTCTCGTTCGCGGACTCGAGATTGTGTGAAAGCTGATTGAGTGTTTGCCGCACTCGGGGATCTCTTGGTCGCATCATGGTGAAAGGCGAATGGTTGGTAGGAGGCTAATCTCCAGACGTTGGGGGAAAGAAAGTCTACTCCTTCGACCTCATCCAGGGGGCTCCATGAACGGAACGAGGGCGCCAATTGTGCCAGGCGGTTGGGGGTCAATAGCCCGATAGTAATTAAGAGTTAAGATGGGGAGACAACAATGATGAAGCCTGAAAGCCTGAGAGCCTGAGGACTGAGTTCCCGTCCGACGAGACAGATGTCATCCGGCTTAGTCAGCTCTCACACAGGCGAGCATTGCATATTTTATCCCCTACGATTCATCTCTGGTGTACAAAGTCTGTCGCTGCAGCAATCATGGTTTATTACATTCGTTATCTCAAGGCTCCGAGGCTGCAGAAGCAGAAAACAGGCTCCATCTCCGCCTCCGCGTTGATCTGCATCACCACAGACCTGGGCGATGCATTCCTCTCACAAGACGTGGATTTACTCGTGACACTCCATCCTGCTCAGGCTGAGAATAAGATCCTATGCCAGGAGCGGGTGCAGTGGCATGGCGGCAAGCGTGAACTTCCCATTACGTTGGGTCCGCTACCAGCCGGCATCTCCCAGCTGTCCATGATCATGAAAGTGACCGCCTCCAAATCAACATCAACATCTTCAGACCCGTTGATGGACCAGCAAAATATCCCCCTAGTGCTGTCTTGCTGGAGTACTTCATTCGGAGGCCGGCAGTCGCTAATCGCTGAAAAGCTGATTGAAAGGCGCTTTCGCGTGAACCAGTCTGTGGAACTAAGCATATGGGAAGAAACCGGGAATAGCATTGCACGGCATATCTGGTGAGACAGCATCCTTCCAGACCCATTTGAGCACCTTCTAAGCACCCACCTCCGCGTTTCAGGGATGCAGCAATTGCTTCGGTTATGTACCTGCAGCAAATACTTGCTAGAGACCCGAAGTCAGCCAACCCGGTCCTGCAGAAGATTCTGCAAAGTGAGCGTGGAAGCTCTCTCAATGTAATTGAGCTAGGCTCGGGATGTGGGATTGTTGGGATCGCCTTAGCAGATCTACTACCCCAGTGCTCTGTTCTACTCACAGACCTTGACGAGGTTGAAGAGATCATTACAAAGAACATCGAGGCTGCGAAGCCAGCGCATGCCTCGAAAATCCAGTATCGGCCGCTTGATTGGGAAGAAGAGCTACCAGATGATCTCTTCGACACGCCGTCTGTCGATTTGGTTCTCGTTTCGGACTGCACTTATAACGCCGACAGCCTGCCAGCCCTAGTGTCAGTATTAGGTAGACTGGTCAAGCTGTCCCCGGATGCCGTGATCCTTGTAGCTCTAAAGCGGCGACATGAAAGCGAGAGTATTTTCTTCGACTTGATGCAGTCCGCTGGGCTGGAGGATCTTAACTCGCACCACATGGAGCTCCCGTCCCAACACGAACAGTGGGATGAAATTGAACTACACTGCTATGGCAGACGTTCTCAACATGTCATTTGATGCAGCATCATAAGGCGGAAAGGGAAGTCATGGCGGGGGGTTGTCAAGCGCTCCTGCCGATGCAATGCAGCCCGAGGAAGGCACAGTAATGTTTACATCAAGTGGACGACCTTGATCATAACCGCGCTGCCTACCTTGATCTCGAATCACATCTTTGCAGATTTAAGCATACAGCTTACTCTCCTCATATCAAAACATCACACCAATTCAGCTCTACTGTGCATCAATCTACAGCATGCATAGCTCGTTTGATAATTCCTCCATCGCCTCCGATGACTCGGTGAGCAAAAGACGCCGACATGCGATCTACTTTCACCGTCCGCCAGTTTGGCGTTATAGCTCCTACCAAGATGGCAGCTCCTCACCGGACATGTCCGAAGACTTGAACAACATGGCCAGAGACCGAGCAAACGAATCGATTGAGAGCTTATGGCGTATAACAAAAAATACCGATGATGGTGACAAAGAGATTGACGAGGGTCGCTGGATGGGCTCGTTGCGCCTAGCGGATCAACAAAAAACAGATGCCGCTCCATATGTGGTTCTCAACGACTCTGACTCGGACCTGGAGGTTCCACTTTTGGTGAGCATTTGCCAGTGCATTTTCGGCGTGGTCTAACGAAAGCAAAGAACACAGATTCTTACGGCGAATCGACCCTTCTTGAGTGCCATCCTATCAAGCCAACACCGGAACCATTTCATCAGAAGAAGCCGATATTCTGCACGCGGCTGCATTCATACAAAGACATTCGCCTGGGATGGGGGGAACAATGGGCAATACAAGAGGGATCGGTCGTCATTGGCCTGGGCCCGGAATATACCATTTTCGACAGCCAGCAGAGGGAAGAGGACGAATTCCAGGTTGCGGGTGGGGATCTATATGTCGTGTGTTCGTTGTATGCGGACCTGTGGGCACTTTGCGCAAAGGTGTCATTGGATCCGTCCACATCAGGCGACACTCCTCTGAAATTCGCATTTCTTCCATTATGTGGGGTTACGCTGGCGCAGAATTACAGCGCATTCGTGCAGCGAAGTACCGGCGGTATTCAGTATTTCGGTTCAATCGAGGAAAAATATCCTGGGAATGGCCTGCCTGTCATGCCCCCGCGACGCTCACATAGCCTAATTGCTAGCAAGCAGATATTCGGTTGCCCCAAGGGCCCGATAAAGTTGCCATTGGCTGTTCGTGGTGTATTACAGATGCCTACACTGACACATACTGATGATGATTTTGTGCCGCTTGACTCTACCTTAGAGTCGATCTTCTCCCCATTGACCAGAAGGCATCTGTTGCGCAGAAGAGGCCCAGCAAAATTGCTTCGGAAGTCCCATGGCGTGCATCCACCATTGGCGTCCTTCTGCAATAAGATCCGTTCGAAATCCGATGGATGGCGGCGGCTGCGCAGACGGCAAAGCTCTATTATTTGAAGGTAGTCAGAAGCTCGCATGGGTGTCGAATGCCTGACCGATTTTCTATGCTCAAGTTGTTCCAGTTCATGTATCGTTTGTTATTGGTGACTAGCAGCATAATTGACCCTGTATACATAAGTTAGATGGACAGAGCTAAATGCATGTTCGAGACCTCGACTTCCTGACCTGACTAGAACCATTTTTAGTAACATACGGAGTACTGTCTATGCACCAAGTGCATTTTCCCCTTGTTGAGCCTCTATCTTGCCTTTCGAACAGATGTTGAGGAATTGGCTGGTGTTGAGGGCTGATAGAATAATCAGAAATAACCTCGGCTGTCGGCCTGAGCCAGCTGCGATGCGCAGCGGGTACTTGACCTTAACACCCAGCGTTCCTTATTGATTAAACACCTAGAAAGCATAAATAACAACATACTTAAGACTGGCTGTTGACATCCAGAGCTAAATAAATTCAGAAAGCTGATTCGAACCATGGCTGCGCCAAAGGTTACCCTATACTATGACATCGTCAGTCCATTCGCCTGGATCGCATTCAAGATCTTACGGGTGAGTCTCTCCTCTTTATCTATATAGTCCCAAGCTCCGACGAATATGGTACCATATTAGCGTATCTGACGCCTGCATATTCCAGGACTCCCCCACCTTCAGCAAATGCGACATCACCTTCGTGCCAATATTCCTAGGCGGGATCATGAAGGCCACTGGGAATACCCCGCCCATCAGGATCAAGAGTAAGTCAGCTCTTTTCCAGCTCGCGCAGTAGCATATCAGCTAACACCTGGCTTGCAGACAAAGATAAATGGATTAATCAGGAGCGGATCCGCTGGTCTCGCTACTTCTCTGTCCCAATAGCAGAGACATCGCCAGAGGGCTTCCCGCCTAATACGATAGCCGTGCAGCGCGCCCTCACGGCGATCTCTCAGCAAGCTCCCGAGAAGCTGGTTCCTGCTACGGAGGCTGTCTGGCAGGAGTTCTGGGTTAAGGGGGATGGCAAGGCAACGCAACCTGAGGTGTTTGGGCCGCTCTTTGAGAAGATCTTGGGGGCGTCGCAGGCGAAGGCAGTTATTGAAGCGGTACATAAGCTCTGCGTTATCTCTTATACTAATGCCCCGACTAATCAATATATACAGGCGAACGGACCGGAAATCAAGGCGCGGCTGAGCGCTAATACGCAGCAGGCTTACGACTCTGGCGCGTTCGGTCTCCCCTGGTTCGAATGCACAAATTCCAAGGGCGAGAAAGAGGGATTCTGGGGGATCGACCATCTAGGCCAGGTCGTTGATTTCCTGGGCTTGGATCGCTCGCTGAACCGTGGGTTTAGGGCGGTTCTGTAAGGCATAGAGGTTGAATTGTACAACAAGAGAACAGAGAACAGAACACCAAATGTATTTTTCCTTCCACGCAACCGCTATGCCATGCTATGCCTCATAAACTCATGTCGTAATATATATACATTGAACAATAACGGGATTTGTCTGATTGGAATTATCTCTTCTTGATCGGAGCATCGCTCTTGTGTCGTTCTCGAAGGAAATCGGCCACTTTCTCCTTCTCCATGCGATCGATCGTTTCGCTTTCTTCGTCTGATATGTTGGGCTTGACTTCTTTTATGAGATATTAGCGGCGGCCAGGCTTGCTCCAAGACATTGATACACACCAGCTTCTTCATTTTTCTCCCCCGCGACGTATTCTCGGATCGGATTGACGACATTCTGCTGCGCCCACTCACTTGACGTAGCCGCAGCAGCGTAGACCGTATCTTTCACTTGTTGTGTAGGATTCTCAGACATGCTTGCAGTTATAGCTGGACAAAGTCAATGGCACGAACAATGACAGATCCATACCCTATTTAACGAGCTTGATAATGTTTCTGCCTTATGCCTTAAATGCAGGGACATACTTCTCCATCCGGTGACGTCATTAATCATCAACAGAAACTAAAAGCGGGGAAGCATGGCAGTATCCGCCATCACGCTAAGCCCTTTTCGGCCGACGGTTTCCGGAGCTTAACTCCGAGAGCGAATCTCCACTTTCTAGTCGCTGCTCAAGCTTTTTATACTGTCAAGCGCTTCAAGCTCCGCAGCTCGCGTTTCTGTTCCTGAAGAACGACGGCCGTAACGGCCCATGGGCGAATGAAACTCTAAAGGAAAATCTAAAAGTGGGAAGCCCCGGAGCTCCAATGGGGCTACGTAAAAATGCCCGCTGCGATATCTCCATGGATTTAACATCCGGAAACCTTGGGATGAGAGTATAAGTAACACCGCGTCTGCACTCCACCAGTAGCTTCAGACATATCTTCTCCTCGCTATCACACAGATCCAGAGCACTAACATCAACGAGACAAAATGTCCTTCCCATACAAACACATCCTCGTCATCGGCGCAACCTCGGGCATCGGCCGCGCGATGGCTGAACGCCTGGTTGAGAACGGCATCAAGGTGACTGTCGTCGGCCGACGCAAGGAGCGCCTCGATGAATTCGTGTCCAAGTACGGCGAGGACAAGGCGTCCAGCATGGTCTTCGATATCTCGGCCACAGACAAGATCCCCGAGTTCGCAAAGGAGGTCACAACGAAGTATCCCGATCTCGACAGCGTCTACCTCAACGCCGGTGTGCAGCGCGCTCATGATCTGACCAAGGAGGGCGGATGGGATCTCCAGGAGTTCAACAACGAGTTCCACACCAACTTCACGAGCGCTGTCTCGCTCGTCCACGCTTTCCTGCCATTCCTCAAGGCCAAAGCGGAGACTCAGCCGGCCAGTTTCATCTTGTATGCTTCCCCGCTCTTACTGTCGCTGTTACACAGCGTTATCTTGGTGCCTCGGTATGCAGACTGACCGGTTGGTTGTGGTACAGCACCGGAACGAATCTGGCCATTGTCCCCGCGGCCTCGATGCCCGCTTACTCGGCGTCGAAGACAGCGCTGAATGTGTTTGTTCTTTCCCTCCGTGAGCAGCTGAAGCAGTCGAGTAAGCTCAAGATCATTGAGGTCTCGCCCCCTGCTGTGCAGAGTACGTATCCCTTTCTTTTCCTACAATCATATTCAGTGCACAGTGACTGACATGATATCCAGCCGAGCTCCACGACTACATGGGTCCCCACGGCGCCAAGATCGGCATGCCACTGAACCAGTTCATTGACGAGGCTTTCAGCGGCCTGCAGAAGGGTCTTGACCAGGTTATTGTCGGCAGTGTCATGGATAAGGAGACATTCTTCGATATTGTCGAGAAGCGCCGCAGCATGTTTGAGAAGTTGGCCGCCGTGATGCGCGGTATGCACGCCGGCAAATAAGCGCCATTCCATGAGGGATCTTCTCATTTGTTTTAGTTTAGTCGACGCAGTCTCATCTAGCTAGCTAGCGAACTGGAATGATATACAAAGTTCAAGAACCTCTGCCGGAGTACACAAGTAGCACCGGTGTAGGGCTCATCCCAATCAGGAATAGCGCGCATACATTTCTTATCAAGTCCAATCTCATTCCACTCCTCCCCTCCATCATTGATTGACCCGTCAACACAAAACAAAACAATTCCCTCTTTTCCCTCCTCTCCACCCTCCTTTCAAACCCACGAATAATTGCCAAAAATGCCCCCCATCCCAATAACAATCATAACGGGCTTCCTCGGCTCCGGCAAAACAACCCTCCTCCTAAACCTCCTCCCGCAACTCCCAAAATCCTACAAACTCGCGCTCCTGAAAAACGAATTCGGCGACCTCGCAATCGACTCCCAGCTCGCATCGACCTCTTCCATCTCCGGCGTCCGCGAGCTCCTAAACGGCTGTATCTGCTGCAACCTGGTCGGACAGCTCTCCGACGCCCTCACGGAACTCGAAAGCCAAGTCCACCCCGACCGCATCGTCATCGAGACCTCGGGGAGTGCGTTCCCCGCTACACTGGCGATGGAAGTGAACAGGCTAGCGCGGGAATCGCCGAAGAACGAGGACGGGAGCGCGAAATACGTGCTCGATGGCGTGGTCAGCGTCATTGATGTGGAGAATTGGGCGGGGTACGAGGATACGAGTTACACGGCGAAGATCCAGGCGCGGTATACGGATCTCCTTGTGTTGAATAAGTGGGAGGGGGTGTCGGAGAGGAGGTTCGATGAGGTTCTTGATCGGGTGGGGGATTTGGAGGTTGACACGGCGTGGGTGAAGAGTGAGAGGGGGAGGGTTGAGAAGGATGTGTTGCTGGGGATTGACGGGGCGCTTTTCGCGAAGGAGATGGGTGGAGATGGGGATACCGGGCACGGTCGTGATCATGATCATACGCATGAACACGGGCATGAGCCTACGAATGGCGACAAGCATGGACATCAGTCTGAGGTGGAGGTTCTGTCTGTTACGCTGCGGCAGACGGAGGGGCAAGGGATGGTTGACGTGTCTGCGCTGGAGAAACTCCTTTCCACTGCACCGAAGGAGGAAGTCTACAGGATCAAGGGGATCCTGCGATGCTCGACGCAGACGCCGCCGGCGAGTTCGTCGGATGATCTAGACGTCAGGCCGTCACCTTCGGGCTCGGGCGCAGCGCATGCGTACTACATTCTGAACTGGGCGTTTGGGCGCTGGTCGTGCACGCCCTCGAAGGTTGTTGCGGAGGCTGCGGAGCCGGCGACGGTTGCGCGGATCACGCTTATTCTTGCGCGGTATGAGTCCGCGAAGTGGAAGAAGAAGTTGGAGAGTGGAGGTCTGGTGCAGAGTGCAACCGGGGGCGGGGCAGAGCTGATTGTTGAGAGGCTTGTATAGATGGAGGACTTGTGTTTTGTCGGCTGGTTTCGACAAGAATAGATATCACCAAATAGATGATACTAGAGATAAACGCCATGTATAGCCATGTATACTGTCTATCTACAGGCAGAGTATATAGTTATACAATAGAAAAGAACTTTTAACGCAGACAATCAATCAAACATTCAGGTCTACTCTATATATCAGAGAGCCCCCTCCGTCGAGGTGGTATTGTGCGGTAAAGACTGGCAACGGCTGACAACAACAACAACACACAAATCAAAACAATCTAAGCTAATATTCAAGAAGAGCAGAGGCGCCCGCCTCGCTAGAGATGTAAATCACCTCATGGTTGTCGGAGAAGCCATTGAAGCGCGTGGCGCTACATTTGGTATAGGCGCCCATTTCTTCGAAGTAGAGCCAGTCGCCAACGTCCAACAAGCCGGAAAGCCGGCTGCGCTGGCTAATGACGTCGATGCCGTCGCAGGTGGGTCCCCAGATGGAGTAGGTCACATCCTCGGAAGCTGGCCGGCCGTTGGCCTCAGTTGCGCAAGTGAGGATGCGTGCCTCTGGATGCTGGTGGTCAAAGATGATGTTTGAAAAGTTGCCGTACACACCATCGTTGAGGTAAATCATGTAAGCATCATTGCTGGGCTCTTCGGGATCCCGCACACCGCGGCGCGCAATGACGTTTGCGGCTAGTGTAAATGCTCCACCAACGTAGTAACGGCCCGGCTCGGCGATAATGCGGATGTTCGGAGGGAAGTAAGTTTCGAGAGCGCTGTCAAGAACACCAGCAAACTTCTCGAAAGTCTCCCCGGTGAAGCCGCCGCCAACATCAAGGGTGTGCAGCTCGTGGCCGATTTCAGCGGCTTGGTCAAAGATCAGGCGCGCATCCTGAACGGCCTTGAGGAAGGCCTTGGGGTCCTCTGCGCCGGAGCCGACGTGGAAGCTCACGCCAACAATCTTGAGCTCAAGCTCGTGAGCCAGCTCGAGAAGCCGACGGGCGACATCCATAGACGCGCCAAACTTCATACTGAACTGGCACAAGCTGTTCGAGTCGTCGGTAAGGATGCGCAGGTAGAGCTCCGCCTCTGGATAGCAGGCCTTGATCTTGTACAGCTCATCGGCGTTGTCAAAGGTCATCTGCTTCACGCCAACTTTGGCGGCGTAGCGCAGGTAGGACTTGGTCTTGCAGGGCTGCGCATAAATGATGCGGCTAGGGTCGACGCCCGTCGAAAGAGCCAGGTCGATCTCCGCCTTGGAAGCACAGTCGAAACCGTTTCCAAGCTTGGCCATGAGGCGGAGGACCTCCGGATCGGGGTTGCACTTGACCGCTGTTCTCGTTAGCATGGATCAACATGGGAGGACTGCATAGAAACATACCGTAGAAGGGGCGCACTCGGCTTAGGTTCATTTTCCAGCGCAGATGCTGGCGGTAAACCTCACCCATGTCTGCCACATAGAAAGGATCTTCTTCGCCAGGAGCGCATCGGTCGGTGTCGACCTCCGCAGCTCGCTTCTTGAGGACGTTCAAGACCAGGTCCTTGGCAGCCAACCGAGATTGCGACAGATCGTCCGCTCCATGGTTGCTGAACTGGTGTATATTATTGACATAAAAGTCGGGTTTGTCATACAGCTTAGGCATGCACACTTCAGCAGGTACACAAGCAGTCGGTGCCATAACCATGCGTCGCGACGTAGCACGGGTTACGACTTGACAAGAAAAAAGGTGGAAAAGTTGAAAGATTTATACGCGACTGCGTGCTAGGGAGGGCGAAAAGTTTCGCAACCGTAGTTGACTGGACCAAGCCTCCTAGACCCTTCCTCCTTAAGAGGAAGAACCGTCAGAGAAGTCCTATGCGGCAGCTCAATGGGTGAGGGAATAAGCTCAGTGGGCGTCAAGGTGGACGAAAATAACGCGCCGATCGGAGAGGAGACTCGGGGGAGCAGTAGCAGGAGGCGGGATGTTGTTAAGAGTGTCTCTAAGGCGTCGAGGCGATACAATGTGACGGGGAAGCAGGAAGCCGGCTGCGTAAGCCGTGGTGACTGGTGCCTTTGGACCCGGAGGGAGCAAAGGCTGGATGAGGGGTAGAGAAGATGACGAGGACGGGCTCAAAAACGGGGAATCGGTGGACTCCCGCAATATTTAAGCTGCTGCGATCTGATTGAAGAACCGGCGGTCAGCTCAAGAAGATCAAGAGGGTGTATGAGAGATTTATGAATCCCGGGTCGAGGGGTTGGGAGGAGCAATGGCCTCCGCCGGGCAGTGAGTGGGTGCAGATTTTTAACGAAGACTGGCTCGCCCTGGCCGACTTAGGGCAGAGGGCACGCCGGTCAGGCAGAAACCGGGAAGGAGAGGCCCAGAACAGGGTCGAGGCCGAGGCAGAGCAGGGGTATGACGAGACTGATCGAGACGAACCTTTTTTTCGATGCGATGAAAGAGCGAGCAGCTGCAGGAGGGAGGCGGAGGAAGAAGGAGGAGAATGGAGAAAGCTGAAGTTTTGGACTGTCACCGACTGTGTGTACAGCGTCGTCTCGCCTGACCGGCCAAACGCCCGCCGCCACCACGCAGAGCCTGAAATACGGTATTTTACAGCTGCAGTACCGCGGTCTGGGTATGTCAGGGTCTGGTCCCGTCTTGTACTCGGCTGCCCTGCAAATGGCCCTCGGCGTATTCGTCACTCTAAATAAGCTGTCCGGGTAATATACCGCGTGGTATTGGACCGTCAGGACTCAGAGCTGCGGTGCCTGTGAGTCAGTGCAGATCTTGCATCATCCTCTGTGGTCTGCCGAACTATATCACCGCTGCTATAGCACTCGATGCATTACGAGTACTGTATAATCCATACTTTGGATGATGTGAAACAGTTGGTCTATTAGTACGGAAATATACATGGTCTAGTATTAAGATTCTTTATGACTCTTCCTAGAAATGGCATGAGACATGATGATCACATCAAAATATCTTATCCATACGCCCGAAACTATATATTCCCGCATGCGGCATTTCACATGTCGAAAGACACCAATAGTATGCCCCTTCCTATATTATTAGTCTACTTATCTCTGCTAGTATCCTGCCCATATCTAATTGACCGCTCATCCAGCAGGGATGACAGTGTTTCAAGTTGATTCTTGCCTAGGATATTAGAAGCCCGTCTTCCTCTTCAGCATACTCAAATTGCCTGCAGTGTACAAAAGACGAACAAAGGCATATTGTATTATGAGCTGGTGTACAACAATGGACAACAGGATAAGCCACCTCATTAGCATTACCATCGCATTGCCTCTATTGAAAGAATGGCACAGATCCTGATTTGCTATCATTCCTTTGGAGCAGTCTCTGACAAAGACGTGCCCAGCTGGTTATCTACTGTGCCACTGCACTCTGAAAGGAAGGTTATTGTAGCACGTCCAGAGACATTAATCGTACAAACAAAAATGGACAAAGCCACTGCTTCGTCTTTGTTATTCTTTACCAGAGTAGGAAGGCCATAAACAGGCTTTGCAAGGTATAAAGTCATTGGAATATTCCTGGCTTGGAGCATCTCTCCTCATCAGAACATTTGCATATAGCTTCATAAAGGCAGCACACACAAAACCACTAGCACTTCGTTGACCGAAGAAACCAGCTTGAAAAAGTGCCATCAAAAAGCAAAATGTCATTGCACAACCGCTCCCTGAACCTGAGCAAGGGCCAGCACCCACAGCTCCAACGCTCCAGCGCAGTGAAGTACGAAAACCTCCAGGCGCGCAGACAGGCTCTCGAAGAAGCCAACATCAAGAAGCTACTGATACCAAGCCAGGAACCCGAGCGGGAAGCCGAACCTGAACCTACACCACCCAGCCCTACCTGCGGCCTCCGACGATCCAGCGCAGTCAAGTATAGCATAAACCCACTAACGCGGCGCCACACACAGCCGCAGCTGTCTTCCCAGGATGTCCGTGATTTCTCATCCTCGCCAACGGACTCATCCGATAGCTGGGACGCACCCAGCATGCTAACGCGGGCCAGCACGCTCTCGCCGTCCGCAGGCGACCACCTAACCGACCGAACCCTGCGCGACATGGAGCTCCCCCACACGCTGCACGAGATGGTCGATAACGGCGTCTCATGCACGGAGATGGGGCGGTACATCGTGAACACGGTGCCCCAGCGCGACTCGTTCTACGCCGAGCTCGTGAACCTGCTCGTGGGCGCGAACAAGCCGTACTACGAGATCTGCGTGCGTATGTTCCAGGCAATGAACCTGACCACTGAAGAGGGACACCGTCTTGACACGGAGGCCCCAGTGGGCGATCTGGACATGCGGCCTGACCTTGGCCGGCCGATACAGGGGTGTGTTGTTGATGGGCCTGGGTACCTTCCTGCTGACCATAGGCTCTATCCTGTCCTTGGGGAGGTAGCGCTTTATCCCTTTGAGTACGGGGACCTCAATGAGCCTGTTGAACATGTTGCTAATGTTGCGGTAGTGACGGGGAAGGCGCGCTTGGTGGAGATTGAACGTCTTCATGCGCCGAAGTCGGTGCATGGGAGTCTTCGTCATGTTGATGATGAGTCGTGTCCCGGTTAATCGTAAGTACTTTGCTTTTCTGAGTTCTGTTGAGAATTTAGGAGTTAGTATTGAAATTAGAAAAGATATTTGTTGAGAATTCGAAACCTACCGTAACCCGAACTGAGTACCATATCCTTGCTTTTGACATGTTTTGAACGGCTGTAATAGGGACATGGTGGCAGGAACACGCAGGATGAAGTTCAAGATCATTAATTATAGCCTCATAGTATATGCAAAAGTGGTATCTAAGAACATAAGCCATGCCAATAGACATCATGAATACAAATCATTAAAATGTAAGCTTGTAAAGGGGTATATAGCTAGAATGGCAAACGGCTATCATAGCCACAGTATCCACCGCACGCCAGAGGCCATCCCATGGAGAAGCTTGCGGAGGAGCTTAAAGGCCACGACGATTAACCACACCCACCACAACAGCCCGATCAATGCCCACTCAAGCATCACGAATCCCGTACGCCGTAGCCAACGCAGCCGACGGTGCCGCTTTCGGAGACCATGGTCGAGTGTGTCGCTCAACTGTTTGACGGCGAGCGTGCTGGTAGTGTTCAGTTGCATACTGAGGTTCTCGGCTTCTTCCGCCGCAGCACGAACGCGAGTGTTGAGTGACTTGTCGACCAGGTCCTCAAGGGTGGAAAGTTGTGACTTCAGTGGCAAGAATGCAGCTTTTGGTACTCGTTCCATCGAATTCTCAAAGGACTTGTGGGACGCTTCGATTCGCTTGAGAAGCCTCCGACTTGCCACATCATGCTCGTATAGCCGAGGAACGGATGGTATTGATGAGTCCGGGCCGAATGAGCGTTGAAGAAACTCGGGCGGCGGTCTGCGTACATCTCCGGCGCGGCGAACAATCTCGCGAGCTTTTATCCCTGACGAAAGGAGAAGAGCCCTGGTACGTTCAATCTCTTGCTTACTCGGAACACCAGACTCGATCGACATCGAGACACTGCGGTCAGATATGCTCCAGCTTTTTGACTGACCTGACAACGTCGGGCGTACGCTGTGCGAGGACGGTATTCGAGTTGGTTCAGCCCCAGCGAGGCCGGTCACGGGAGGGCGAGCTATGCTAAACGGGACCGAGTCATCCTTGATTCGACCTTTCCGGATCTCATCCCGCACGGTGTGGATTTCGGGTCCAAATTGTAAAGTTCGAGGTCCGCGTTTCATGAAATGGCCAGACAACTTGCTTTGATGATCGCTGGTGGAATTGCTTGCATCACCCTGCAGGTCTAAAAGCCGACCGTGAGGGGTCGCAACTACTCCGAGCTCATTCTCCTCGCGCTGCTGTCGAGGCTCAACAATAGTGGGTGGCGTCTGCGACTGATTCTTCGCGAGAGACTTATCCGAGTTTCTTGGAGTTGACCGACCAAGGTCATCAGAAAAGTTAGGCAACCGGCGTAAAATAGCCCTAGGAAGTGCCAATTTCTCACTCTTCGCTTCCTCATCTTCAGACTCACTGCTGTCAGATATTGCCAACGATGACTGGCGTGAATGCCCTCCATTATCCTTTTTCAAGATGAAGTCTCCCATTTTTGAGACCTCGTTGCCGACTTTACCCGCAATCTTTCCAGGCCCTTTGAAAATCCCGCGCAATTTCGACTCATGCGGAACGGAGTCCTTTCGTTCATGAGGGGTCGACCTTCGAGTGTCCGCATGATACGTCGAAGCTTTGACAGGAAGGGGTGGCTCATCATCAAGTTGAGAAGCATCTGTAAAGGGTACGCTGTCTTTGCGAATGGCTTCAAAGTCAACAGAGCTATCATCCTCGACGCCTTTTCTATGATGGCTACTGCGGCTGTGAGCCCTCCGATGTCCAACCGCGCGCGTGAAGCCCCGCTTAGCAGGCGACGAAGAACGACTTGATGGGGGAGATAGGTTGGAGGCGATGCTAGGGAAAAAGCAAATATCCATGCCTGCGTTAGTGCCGTGGCCTGCCACCCTTGCCGAAGATAGAGGATCGTCTGCGCTCGGAACGGACGACACGGATCCCCTCTTCTCATTCCAGATCAATCCTTTCCGTCTCAGAGGCGACACCGATCTTCTGGGCGATTTCATACTGCTCAATAGAGAACCACGATGTGGTGCCTCGTCTGCGCTAGAGCTTGAGGAGCTACGTGACCGGATTCTGAATTTGCGCCTTTTGGAGCCTAGATCCTCTTCAGAGGCACTGCTGCTCCGCCGAGGGGTTCTAAACCTATGCGCTTGTCTTCCGCGGCCGAGTTCCTTGAGGTCAAAAGACAAGCTTTGGCGCGCATCGGAATGAGAGGCATGGGACGAGGGCCGCCCAGTACTAGCAGAACTTTTCGGCACTTGCTCTTCATGGGCGTCATTAAAGACAAAAGAAGACGAGTTAGGATAGAGTATGTTTCCATCTCTATCCGTTAGCTTGCTTTTGTTCTCCGCTTTTTCGACCCAGGCGGCGTCGGCAAGTAGTTCGTCAGGGAATATCAGCCAGTCAGACCTGGGCCTGCGGGATTTGAGACTGCCTGTACGGCTGATACGGCGTAAGCTGGAAGGTGGGGACACAGCAGAAGCATCGACATCATCAATGCTATGACCCAAAGGCCCTTCTTGACTTTTTCCTTTAAAGGGCGGGAGCTTAAGGCATTCAAGGGGATTTCGCGCCTGGCGACTGTACCCAGCCTCTATCGAATTCACCCAACTATGAACTTTGTCCACATCATCCCATCCCTCTGCTTCAGGGTCGATGGGGCAGCGTTCACGGAACCTGACTTTGCGATTGCGGATTGCCTGAAGCGGGTTGTAAACACGATGCGAATGGGATGGCTCTTGTTCTATATCGGTCGTGGTGTTACTACCGTGCGGTTTGAGAGGCGGAAGAGACGGAAGAAGGCGTAGGTATTCATGGCGTAACTCAAAATATCGACGAGCATTCGCAGCTCGCGTCAAGGTTCCTCCTGAAACCCCCTGCGGCGTGGGTTCGACTATCGCGGATTTGGGAAGCGTATTCAACACATCATTCGTAATCATAGATATCGGAGACCTAGCAAACTTCACGCGGTCATCTACCAAGGACTGATTGGTGCTAAGTCCTGGATATGAGCCATGACTCGGAATGCTCCCTGCTGCGGAGGCACGACCGTCCCCCGGCGGTGCCCATGACCCCCCAGAAACTTGACTTGACGTATTATATCCAATATTACCCTTTCTTCTCGATTCGCTTAGGTTGAGAGCGAGGTTGACGATCTGCAAAGAGTCTTTATCAAGGCCTAAGGCGGCCGGGTCATCACGGCTCTCCGCACGACTCCCAGTATGGTGGACTGCACTGTCACCTTGCGATTGCGAAATCGCAGGAGCTTCAGGTAAATGAGTAGGACTTCTAGCCTCCGTATTGTTTATGGTATCCTGACTGACAGCATCCGACTCCTTTGTAGACTCTCGTTGGCGACTCCATCGGAATCGCGATCGTTTCTTCGGGGCACTCTCGGTTTCTGGCGTTCCTAGCTTTCCCCGATGATCCGTTTCTGAACGACGAGAATGATGAGCGCTTGTTCGAAGGCTTCTTGACCGTGGTAGGAACGAATCGACAAGAAATCCACTGGAACTGGCCGTTCGTCGTTGGCTTCTGTTGCCTCGCTCTTCATCCCGAGAGCTACCCCCAAATGACTCCCTCGTACTTTGCTCCTGATTCATCTGCAGTGCTCGTTCACTCGGTCTTTGTCAACCTTGGAAGATTAGAATCATTTCCGGATTCAAATGGTCTCCTTTATGCTCCACTCGCATCGTTTGGCGAATATGACGACTTCAAGGGACGGGCCGCGTATCATTCGTGTTTCGGCGACCTAGAGTCGGTGAGATGATTGTAGCAGCAAGAAGGCAGCGCGCTACTATAAGGCGAATGCATGAGGGACGCTGAGTCGGAACATGAGATGGATTATGACCATTAAAGGAGAAAAGAGCAAACGGTAAGGCTGCAAAGAATAGTAGCATGATCGTCATTGGGCCTCGCCTCCTGTCTGGACTCTGCCCGTGACAGGAAGTTGCAAACACAACAAACCACTACATAGTGCACAGAATCAACACTGATTGTTAGCATGGATGTGTCTGGAACACAAAAGAAATCTACTAGAGTTGTCTAGAGACGAAAAATACAACTAGAGGTACATGTCCTGAACACAGGAAAAAGGGTTATAGTCAGGCGAAGAAACAGCGGATGGTATCTATCTACTCAACCCTCAGGCACTGGAGGCGCGCCTCAGTTTCAATAACCTAGGAGAGTTTCTGTTAGCCTGATTCCAAATGTAAGCAGCATGGAAAGCGATGACTTACTTCTAAAGCCTGCTTCACCTCCAGAACCCTGCGCACATCCGCCAGCCAGTCCTTGCTCAGGATCTTAGCCCACCCCTTCAGAGAGTTCATTTCACGCGCAGCATCATCCAGGTTGCCTTCTTCCAACAGGTTCTCAGTTCGCAGCAGAACACTCTCAACATCATCGCTACCAGCCTCGGCATCCTTCTTAAACATAACCTTGCTCAAGACTAAGCTCGCCGCGTGGCTGGCAATACCGGCATCCTCGGGGAGCAGGCTAGCTTTGCGGACTTCATCGGCGACCCTACGGAAACGCTCGATGATCTGGGATGTAGAGGGAATACCGCGCTGGTAAGCTGTGGGGTTGATAGAAGCAATAGCGGCTTCAACGACAGGGTCGTCACCTGCCAGCTCCTTGACAGCGACCAATTCGCGCACGAACGGCCGGGGAACAGTTGAGCGCTCGAGAGCAGATCTAACTGCATCCACGGCCACCTGGAGCTGCTGGGTCTTGAGGTTGGTATCGATAACTTCCCTCCACCCGGTCGTGAGTTTCTCGAGTTCGCTAACGCTAGAGGTGAGCTCAGATAGCTTGCTGAGGCGGCCATCTCTTTCACGTTCGACAAGGTCCTTCACATCATGCAGGTACTTGCGGTTCAATTCAATTGCCTGCTCCACGAGTTCGTTCTGGAGACGCTGCTCGGCAATTTCCAGAGCCCTTTGCATTTCTGTCTCAATCTTCTGCTGGTAGGCGCGCGCTAGCCTCTCACGTTCTGCCTCGAATTCTTCGCGGTACTGAGCAGCATCGTTCTCACGTACCGCTTCGAATTGACGGATGAGTTCACGCGCAGACTCATCGAAGGTAGCGTGAGCCTTTTCGATTTCCTCTTGAGCAGCGCGACGTGCCTCATCACGAACGCTGATAATCTGTTCGCCAATCTTCTGCAGCTCCTCCTTTGCCTTCTCCACCGGTTTAGAATACTTAGCCGAGTTCTCGTCGGCGCTAATGACAGTGACGATGTCGTTGAAGGTCTTCACTAGCTCCTGAACGATCGGCTCGTCGCCTTCGCTGACATTGGCAAACTCAAGGGTTGTGACCGCGGGTGCAGCGGGGAGCTTGGGCTCCTGCTTAGGTTCTTCCTTTGGCTTCTCAGGCTCCTGCGCTTGCTTCTTAGCCTGCTTGACCGTGGCAGTCTTCTCTTCGGGCTTCGCAGCGGCGGGCTTAATGGTCGCCTCGTCGGCCTTAGCTTGCGCAACAGCGCTCATGTGAGGACCATGTTGGGATACGTCGGCTCCAGATTCTTCAACCTCTTTAGAGTAGAGCCCACTCTTGCTTGGAATAGTGACCCGACTTCCTTCATCCCGAGGCCCGGTAGAAAGACGGTTCGTATGTCTCAGCGTGTTTGGGAATCGACGGTAGAAATCACGTTCTTCGAAGTATAGGACAGACTCTTCGCCATATGGGACATATTCCGTGAAGAAGTCGTGGAAGTTGTCGGATTTGAGGGCCAAAAAGACACCACCGCCGTATGCCAATCCAGACGTAAGGATGAGGTAGATCAGGAACCTTCGGAAGCGGCCAGACTTGCGGGCAGGCGCCGGGGTGGGGGTTTCAGGAGCTCCGGAACCTGCATTGATCTTAGTATCTAGGGTCATTGTTCCCTCACCGAGCTGCGGCGGGCGATGTGTGCGTACCTGAGGTAGGTTTCGCGGCGGTCTCTGCGGGAACTGGTGTGTTGGACGAAGGTGTAACGGGAGTAGGAGGAGTTGCATCAGCGAAAAACCTCTGCCCATCGTTTAATATCCGTCAGTCAATGCTGGGAAATAATTGGGGTGTTTCGTCACCATACCTGACCTGCAAGCCGGCTACTTGCCCCGGCTCTGGACAGCCATTGGGCTGCTGGCCGTGGGCGAGCCGAGGACGACAGTATCTGCCGACCCTGTAGAACAGATGAGCGCAGCATGGTGAGCCGCACAACTGTTGGTGGAAGGATTGGGTGAGACGTCGTTGACGGGATGATGATAGAGAGGGAGAAAACAGCGGACCGGGACCTCACAGTGCTTTACCTTTTGCGGTCCGCTCCGATTCTGCACCGCCATTGGCAGTGGCTAAGCTCGGTCCAAGATCAAGGCACAAGCCCTCGACGTAATAGCATTACAAGTCTGCGAACAAATTTATCCAGCGCTTGATTTATTTGAGTAAAGAACTCTTCTATGTTTATTTGAATCGTCAATCTTTGAGCTGCGCCAGGGGGTTGGTGTGGCGTAGGTAAAAAATACCCGATATGCTAGGAGCAGGCCCAAGCCCAGAGGTTCAGCACAGAATTATATAGTCATAGCATACTTGAGACAAGGGAAAGAGCTTGATAGAGGTAGGAAATGTAGCATAAATTGGACCCAATCGAGAAAGGATACAGACGCCGAGAGCAGATGGAACAAGAACAGAGAAACAGAAAGAGGCGCAATGAAACAGCACTCAGCCTGCCTGTATGACTGGCTGACACTCCAATCCCATAGAGCCTTGCACATTACTGGATTCCCGTACGCAATGACTGTTATCAGATGCCTTGTCCAGTCAACAAAGAGACGAGGTACCGGATCATGGGAAACGGGGTATTAGGAAAACGCAGTATGACGGAACTGAACTGGCCAACCCGAGCATGATCAACCCAGCTCCAGACCATTAAAACGAGTAGCATCGCGAGACGAATCGGCGCCGTTGATATAGCGAACTTGGCGAAGGCAGAGAGTCAATCTAAAGGACAGCACCTTCAATGTCTAGAGAGCGAAGAAAGAATGGACAACGGAATCCGAGAAACAGAAATACAAAAGAACAAAGGCATCAAAATGCCTCTAACAGTTGCAGGCGCCACCAGTTTGGGTTCCCGGCGCTTCCGGTCGGAGGTCTACGCCAGGGCGGGGTGCTGTGCGCATGTTTCGGGGACCGGCTTGATCAAGTGGGAGCTTCTTCGCAATGGCTGTGAAGAGCTCGCGCACATTCGAAGACGTCTTAGCGGATGTCTCAAAGAAAAGTAAGCCAGCTTCACGCGCATATGCTTCGGCATCAGCTGTGGGGATTGCCCTCTTGTCGGGATTCTCGGTGACGAGATCAAGCTTGTTGCCTGCGAGGGCGATGACAATGTTTTCGTTGGCCTGGCGTTGTAATTCCTTAACCCATGATTTGGCTTTGTCTAGCGATGACTATTCCCATTTCCCAGCTGTTAGCAAGGCGCACGAAGATCAGGTATTTATATCCCGAGACCTACAGCTTGGGTGATATCATAAACAACGACGGCACAGTTCGCATTCCGATAATACATGGGAGCCAGGGACTTGTAGCGCTCCTGGCCAGCGGTATCCCAAATCTCAAACTTCACCGTTGTGCTTTCGTCCAGCGAGATAGTCTGTGTGAGGAAGGCAGCGCCGATCGTCGATTCTCGATAGTCGTCGAATTGGTCCTACAACGAGTAAGCGACAGGGTGTAGGATGATATACGCGAAGCGCACCTTGACAAATCTTAGAACTAGCGAGCTCTGCAATACAAGAAGTCAGCGACCGACAAAATGACAAAACATGGAGTCAAGTTGGATTAACCTTTCCGACGGCGGATTCTCCTGAAGGCAGCAATATGATATTAGTACCGTAACCATAGGTACAATAGACAGCAGAGTAGGTAAGAGAGCTCACCGAGCAGAACAAGCTTGAACTGAGCGAATCTAGCACCTGGACGGGCGCCTGCTGCGGCTCTGGAAGCCATGATGGGAACGGTCGGACAAGTAGCTTTCTGGATACCTGGAGATTCGGTATCTGGGGCGATAATGAGAGGAGTTCAAGAGTCGAAGAGCGACAGGTGGAGTGGGGTAAAGAAGGTCGGCAGATTTGTTGAGACACTCGAGGGTTGATGGTGTTGGTCGTCTATCAAAGAAAATGGTAAGGTGTGATAGGCAACGTCGTTGGAGGTTCGCTGATGATGACGAAGGGGAGGTCAGCCACAGATTGTCTGCCCAGGTGCCGGCCAGCCTGCCACTGCCACTACTGATGGTCCGCGCTGCGGGGCGGTGTCTGCTACGTCGGCCCCGTTCCTGCCTCGCTGTGCCCGTGCCTAGGCACCGCTACTACTGGCCGCGAGGTGTTCCAATTAACTGCTCACAGCTCTCCATCGCAGCACATGCTTCCTGCATCATAACAAGTTTTATGACAGCTACTCTCCTTTTGTTGAATCCTGCCCATTTCCGAGTGTCCCAGCCTTCCTTACTGTCTTGACAGCATGTGCTGAACTTCCTCCACCAAATACCACGTCTTTCATTCATTTACCAATCCTCCTTTGATCACTCTCTAGCCAACCCCGTCATTCAAGCCTACCTGTGGGCGTCCGCACAATGGTCTCTTCTATCCTTCCTTTTCGAGACATCAATCTCCATGCCTCCCCGGCTCACTATGCCTTCACTTCGCCGTCGTCGCCTGATGCTCCGGCGCTCGTGGTCGAGCGTCCAACCGGCGACCTGCGCCTGAGCAGTGGCCCGTTATCTAATGCAAAGCGAATTTCCAGTATCGCCGGTATCCTTGGTATTATTAAGTTGAAGCTTGGTGAGCTGCCCGTTCGAAATTGTCGCTTCTAGTTGTCATCTATCCTAATAATTCTCGTCTTGTTAGATAAGTACATTATTGTCATCACCAAGGCTCAACCTATGGGCCGTCTGCGTGGCCAGATGGTTTACAAAGTGGCCGGCACTGAGTTCCTTCCCCTCCGCGAGCGCCCGCTTCATGATCATGACGAAGATGCCTACCTGGCTATGTTAAAGGAGTTGCTGCGCACCGGGCCTATGTATTTCTCCTACGCTTTAGACATCACCAACAGTTTTCAGCGCCAGTCGCAGAGCGACATCAGCCTTCCTATGTGGAAACGAGCCGACGACCGCTTCTTTTGGAATCGATTTATCCAATCAGACCTGATTGACTTCAGCCTCGGGGAACATAATTCAACAACCGTTCGTTATGGCCCACAGCCCGGTGTCGACCCTTATATCCTCCCTGTGATATTCGGAATGCTGCGTATCACACCTGCGAAGGTCAAGTCTACCTCGTTTACGTTCGCACTTATTACCCGAAGGTCGAGGCACAGGGCTGGCACAAGATACTTCTCCCGCGGGATTGACGAGCAAGGCCACGTCTCGAACTATAACGAAACCGAGCAAATTGTTATTCTCAATGATTCAACCGGAGGTCTCTCCGGCTTTGCTGGTGGACAAACCATGAAACCTACAGACTCGGGGAAAGATCCTCAGGTAATGTCGTTTGTGCAAACTCGAGGCAGTGTTCCCGTCTTCTGGGCGGAAGTCAACAACCTGAAATATACCCCAAAACTCCAAGTACGTGGAGTGGAAACCGCTGTCCAAGCCGCACGCAGGCATTTCGCGGAGCAGATTAAGTATTATGGCGACAACTATTTGGTGAACCTTGTGAATCAGAAGGGCCGAGAGGAACGCGTCAAAAAGGCTTACGAGCAGTTGGTCCGCATTCTCGTGTCTGCATCAAGCGAGGTGACGGAGGCCGATGACGAAACATCCGAGAAGGTGCACGTCTTGGAACCGGACCATCCGCAGAAGGAGATGGATCGCCTTCATTATGTCTACTTTGACTTCCATAATGAAACAAAAGGCCTCAGATGGCACCGTGCGGAGCTGCTGATGGACCGTCTCATCAATGGTCTAAACCAGGGCGGCTATTTCCGTGGCCTGGAGAACCCGGGTGTCCCTGGTGGGCAGCTGGACGCTCGAGCCCTACAAAGCAGTGTCGTCCGAACGAATTGCATGGACTGCTTGGATCGTACGAACGTCGTCCAGAGTATGCTTGGGCGCTGGGCCTTAACGAGACAGCTCACCGAAGCGGGCATCCTTCGTCCCGGAGAAGCCGCGAACGACGATCGCGAGTTTGAAGACCTGTTCCGTAACATTTGGGCGGATAATGCCGATGTCGTCTCCAAGGCCTACTCCGGCACAGGTGCGTTGAAGACTGACTTCACTCGCACTGGCCAACGGACCAGAGCCGGCATGCTCCAGGACCTTAGTAATTCGATTACTCGATACGTGCGGAATAACTTCCTGGATGGTCCGCGTCAGGATGGTTTCGATGTTTTCTTGGGGACTTATCTTCCTCCCGAGTCGGCACTAGGAAATCTCCAGATTTTTGTCGATCGTCGGCCGCTCATCATTCAGGCGATTCCATACATCCTCGCCGCCGGCCTTTTTATGATTATCGTGGCCATGTTCACCCGACAACTTCCGGATGCAGCCGTCTGGCCTTTGCGCTTATTTGTCGTTTTCTGGCTGGTACTCTCCGGTTGGTGTGCTCGTTTCATGCTTGCACACGGGATGCTCTACGTAAGTTCTTTAACAACCATACACTTTAAGAGCGCGCTAACACGATGGATTTCAGGTAAACTGGCCGAAGCTAAACACACCCGCCGCCGGCTCAGAAGGCTACCAAGATGCGCTTATTAAAGCTCGTTCCGATCCACTTATCGGACAACTACTTCCGTCCAGAAGGCATCAGAGAGGATATAGCAACGCTCGCCTCGGTTTCCTGGAAGAAGGGAAAACCAGAATCGAGTAGTTGTATGTCGTCCGCGATACCCTCCGGCTTTTTTTCCCCATGCCCTTCTTTTCTCTAATCCCATCGTTCACACCATTATGCTGGTCATATTATAGCATTCCTTCTTTTTCTCTCGCCTCTTATATTACTAACCCCTTTCCAAGTTTTCTTTTCCTTCCAATCATGGTCTTGCCCACCGCTTTCCCGGCGTCATAATATGCACGTAGAAGTTTAGCATTACCCCCAGTGTACTATTGAGACACTCTTAATGAGACATTATAGATCATACAACTCCAATAAGTACCTACACTCACATCCTCAACCGTCGAGTGCTGAGGGCAATCAGCCATAATCGAGTCACGTGATAAGAATGCACCAGCGAGTTCTGCCGGAGTTATCCGTATATTGAAACGATCCCAGCCCCTCATGAGGAGAGATTTGTCACGTAAGCGAAAGCCCCTCTTGTACACCGATGAGGGGGATTCGCGCTTTCAATTGCTTCTCAAGGACCCAACTGCGAGCGCTATCGTTGCAATCAGCCGTGATGTCTCGCGACTACGCAGTAGGTACAGATTCAACCATGCAAGCTTAACGATACTGACATCATTTGCAGGCTGCAATCTCAGCTCTCAACTCGCTGCAATCTAATTTCGCGATAGTCAAGGAATTCAACAAGCCTGAAAATAGACATGCGCTCAACCTTCGGTCACTCCCCGAGACTGTCGAGCTGCTACGTCGTATAGGGTACAAGGTTCGCACTCTTTCACAAATTCGATGTTGCTTTCGATTGCTGATTCGTTAACTCTTGTGCTTCATATAGCCCTCTGACTTGAATCGCCTGAATCCGATCCACGTCGCCGGTACGAAAGGCAAAGGCTCGACTTCTAGCTTCATCTCCTCCATTCTCTATCAATACACGCCTTCGCAATGTTCTTCACCGATCCTCAACAAAGTCGGTCTCTATACTTCCCCGCACTTGCGATTTGCGCGCGAGCGAATCAGGATCAACAATGAGCCTATCTCTGAGGAGCAATTTGCTCGCTACTTCTTTGAAGTATGGGATCGTCTTGAAGACGCTGCCCGCGCCGCCGGAGAGGACCCAAGCAACCTACAAACGAAGCCTCAGTATTTCCGGTATCTAACGCTGATGGCTTTTCACACCTATCTGAGTGAAGGCGTGGACGCAGCCATTATCGAGTGTGGCATTGGTGGAGAATATGATTGTACCAACGTCCTCGAACAGCCAGCCGCAACGGCGATTACGAGTTTAGGGATCGACCATGTGGCTCTTCTGGGGAATACAATTGAAGAAATCGCATGGCATAAAGGTGGTATTATCAAGACAGGCACTAAAGCTTTCAGCGCGCCACAGCCACCAAGTGCAGAGAAGGTCCTCCGTGACCGTGCCGTGGACAAGAACACTGAGCTGGAATTTGTGCCCGGCCACCCTGATTTGAAGCAGGATGGTGATATCAAACTCGGGTTAGCCGGTGACTTTCAGTACGGCAACGCTGCACTTGCTGTTGCCACTGCTGGGGAGCTCCTTAGGAAGGTCCGGAAACAGGACATTGCCGCGGATCTCATGCAGCAGCCCCTGCCCGCGGAGTTCCGCAAAGGGCTGGAAGAGGCACAGCTGGAGGGGAGATGTCAGACAAGGCATGAGAAGCACGTTAGCTGGTATATCGACGGAGGCCACACCCAAGAAAGTATCAAGCTAGCCGGCCAGTGGTTCGCGTCTCAGATCCAGGCAGACTCTTCGTCCCAGGCTTCAGCGGCGAAAAAGTTGCGGGTACTGATTTTTAACCAGCAGACTCGCGATAGCAACGCGCTAGCCCAAGCTCTCCACGAGACTCTCCAGACTGCCCTTGGCTCTGGGTCTCCATTTACCCATGCCATATTCTGCACGAATGTCACCTACAAAGAAGCCGGGTATCGGCCAGATCTTGTCAGCATGAACCAAGATGGCGCTGCAATTGAGAAGTTGCAGGTTCAAAAGGGACTCGCCGAGAAATGGAATAGCATCGACCCTTCTGCGGAGGTCAAGGTCTTTGCCACTATTGAAGAAGCCGTCGACTTCACCCGTGAGCTTGCTTCTAGAGAGGAAAGCCGTATCGAGGGCGACGAGGCTCCAATCATGGCCTTTGTGACGGGCAGTCTACATCTCGTCGGCGGTTTCCTTGATGTGATCGAAACGAAGCCATACTCCAAGAAGCCATGATTCGGTTGGCATGGCCGTTGACCTTTATCTCATGAATTATGACCAGGTGTTTTTTTCTTCAGGTGTTCAACATATACATATATATCCCTCCTTTTCAACTGGAGTATTGGCGAATGATTTAACATCTTGGCGATGAATGGGCGTTCAGTGGTTTCAACACAGCACAAAATGGCGTATATCGAAAGTGGCACGGTACCTGGTTCTATAGAAGCATTATATTGTACAGTGGCTATCACCTAGCCAACAATCAAGTAAACATCGGTCGTTCCTGAGTAGTATCCAGCCATATGCAAAGTTAGGCGGCAGTTATAATTACTGCCTTGGGCCATATTTACTATCATCGCAAGGATAAATCAGCCTCTTTGAGCATTTTATCACGCGCCCGAGTGTTTCGCATGATCTCCGCAAAAGCACAGAGGCCACCTTTTTGGTGACGTGGGGCTTGATCCTTGAAAACCTTCCGCGCCCGCTCCCGCTCCAGCTTCCTCCCGCATCTCTCCTACTACAACAGCAATGTCGGACTCAAAAGATGACAAGGGCAAAGCCCCCCAGGTCGGTCAATCAAATTCAAAAGTACACAACATATCCTCACTGATTCGATATCCAGAAGCCCAATGATGCGGAGCAAACACCGGGCGGAAAGCTGACCCCGCAGGCGGCCGAGGCGCTGTTGGCAAACAATCCCGCTCTAAAGAACGAGTTGGGTGAACTGGATAAGGACAAGGCTGTGGAAGCTTTGCGCAAGATGGATATCTCTGAACTCTTGACCGGTCTCTCTCTGACCGGCAAGAACAAGAAGGACATGGCGGCGTTCAAGTTCTGGCAGACACAACCCGTACCCCGCTTTGACGAGGCGAGCAACGCTGCTGGCGGACCGATTAAGATGATTGATCCTGAGAGGGTCTCGAAGGAGCCGGATGCTTTGATTGAGGGCTTCGAGTGGACTACCCTCGACTTGACCAACGAGGAGGAACTCCGGGAGCTTTGGGACTTGCTCACATACCACTACGTCGAGGATGACAATGCCATGTTCCGGTTCCGATACTCCAAGTCTTTCCTGCATTGGGCGCTCATGTCTCCAGGCTGGCGCAAAGAATGGCACGTGGGTGTTCGTGCGACCAAGTCGCGCAAGCTAGTGGCTTCGATCTCTGGTGTCCCGACTCAAATTCGTGTGCGCGACCAAAAGATCAAGGTTACTGAGATCAATTTCCTCTGCATCCACAAGAAGCTGCGGTCCAAGCGACTGGCACCTGTCCTCATCAAGGAGATCACCCGCCGCTGCTACCTGAATGGCATTTACCAAGCTATCTATACTGCTGGCGTTGTTCTTCCGACACCCGTTTCCTCCTGCCGATACTACCACCGCCCGCTCGATTGGCTGAAGCTTTACGAGGTCGGCTTCTCTCCTCTGCCCAAGGGATCTACCAAGGCTCGCCAGATTACCAAGAACCACCTTCCCAGCCACACCTCGACGCCCAACCTTCGACCCATGGAAGCTAAAGACGTCGACGCTGTTCACGATCTCTTGGAGCGCTATCTGAAATTGTTCGATATGCACCAAGCGTTCACCCGCGAGGAGATTGAGCACTGGCTGGTATACAAGGAGACACCTCAGAAGGAGCAGGTTGTCTGGTCATATGTGGTGGAGGACCCGGAGACTCACAAGATAACGGATTTCTTCTCATTCTACAACCTCGAGTCTACAGTGATCCAGCATCCCAAGCACGACTGTGTCCGCGCGGCATACCTGTACTACTACGCCACCGAGACAGCTTTCTCGAACGACCAGAAAGCTCTCAAAGACCGACTCCTGATGTTGATGAACGACGCTTTGATCCTTGCTAAGAAGGTATATGTCCTCAGTTCCGGCAAACTATATTCCATCTAACTTGCTAATACAGGCTCAATTTGACGTATTCAACGCCCTCACTTCTCACCACAACCCTCTCTTCCTGGAGCAGCTCAAGTTTGGTGCCGGTGACGGCCAGCTCCACTTTTACCTCTACAACTACCGAACCGCCCCGATTGCTGGCGGAGTCAACGAGAAGAACCTACCGGACGAGAAGCAGATGGGTGGTGTTGGTGTTGTTATGCTCTAGGTTCCCCTACTATTTGAACGCTTCTTGTATCTACTTATTTCAGCGTGGCTTCACGAAGCCAACGAGTTTATCAGAGATATCACATGTCTGTTGCAGGGTCAACCCATGTCCCATTGTAGACAAACTCGATTATCTGCGAGGTTATTTCCGGCAGCCTCGGAATGTGCCCAGGGTGGTCAGGAATGTACGCTTCAGTCATCTACCTAAGTGTCAAAGAGGACGGCAGCTCTACCGGGATCACCAGAGATGAAATATGATACATCAAAATTATCAAGTCCATTTGAACTTCTTCTAGAGTATGCAATAAGAAGAATAAAAAGACGCGAGTGAGGTTTGAGCTCATGCTTACTTAACGTTCTACTATACTTAGTCGCATTTCCGCTTGCGGTGACGTTTCCCCAGGCCCCGGTCCAGACTTCCGTTCCCCAACAACCTTGCCGTATCATACGGTTTCCATCATTTGATCAACTTTAAGAAACTCCTTCTGAGCTCATGAACTAAGCCCTCTATGTGATTGATAATTTTCCTTGACTAGTCCAAGGGCGATTGAGGTTCATTTTACCAACCCTCGGCTTGCGGCATCTAGTGAAGCATCAAACCATCACTAAACATTTCACCATCGCAGACTTGAACTTGGGGGCAGTGCCTAGGTTCGACGGTATTACCTTGTTATTCTTGCCAGGAGATCTACGTTGTAAACATGGGAGCCGGACAGTCGCATGAAGATGCTGCTCATGCTTCTCCAGGTTGGTGGATACCGTTTCCCGCACTCAACGAACCTGAAGCCGCAACTTGCGATTCCACTTATTGGAAGAGAATACTAATACAAAAGCAGAGGAACTGAGCTTGAGGCTGGCGGAGCGCTTCGCAACAAAATGCTTCACCCCACTAGAGCTCGCCCACTTCGAAGACAACTTCTACACACGCGCAATAGACCAAGGCGGGCTCAAGTACTGGAATGAGAAAACACTCTCAGATTTCTTGAGCATCCCCGATCACAGTGATACCCAGTGTCCCCTAGATGCTGGACCAGTCATCTTCCGCATGGTGTCGTACCTAGGGGCCTTCCCATTCCAGAATTCGCTGGCGCCTAGCGTTCTCACGTTTGATGCCATGATCAAGGTAGCCGTGCTGCTGACGGAGCGATATGGCAAAGTCCTCCGGCGCAGTCAGAAAAATAGGATCAGGCTATTGTTTGGGAGCTTGGCTGATGTGGCAAGGAAAGAAGTTGAGAAGCCTGCGGCGAGCGAAGAGAATGGTGAAGATGCGCCGATATCTTCGCATGCGCGTGGGTTTGATATCGATGCGCCGGCCAACGATGATTACGACGAGGATGATAGGGATGACCTTGCGCTCGCTGCTTTGGAATCATTGGATGCCATTGAGGTCTTCAAGCACGACTCACGCATTGACAGAAGGGTTTACGAAGCCCGGGTCTCTTTGAGTACATTTCGCCGTCTTTTGATGCTTTTGCTTGTGATCGCCCCGTTGAAACCCCTGGAGGATGTTTCCATCTACACATCCGATCTAAATAAGGAACGAATGCGCTTCGTCCGAGAAGAAGCGGACAGCATCATCGCAGCCTTCAACCAAGAAGCGTCTGGGGGAATCAGCTACAAAACATTTGCAGAAACCATCACCACCTCTTTCCCGTATTTGTTTGACCCATTGACACCATTATTTGAGCATCTCCTCTTCAGCAAGAATCTTGACTTTTCCCAGCATCGTGCAAGCGAGGCCACTGAATCAGACCCGGCTCCGCAACCCGTCAAAGCTTCACCTATATCAATAACGCTCCCAGGAGGCTTCGAATCAACAATCCTAAACCCAAGCATGATATCCCACCTCTCCTTCTTCCTCCCCTCCACATCAGTCAAGCAGAACATTCTCCATGGCAACACCCGCCTCCATCCCGTCTTCTCAACCGCGGCGCATGGCTCCTCCCTAACCTCATTCTCCCACAACGTCCTCACCTGGAAATCAGGCACACTCTTCCTCCTCTACGGGCAAGAAACCGACACAGGAGACATGCTAACAATAGGCGCTTATCTCCCTCAACCCTGGAAATCACCAAACTCCAGCCACAGCACGTCTGAATTCTCGACGTCCGTCCTGCCCTCCCTCTTCCAGCTATCACCCCGCCACATCCTCTTACAGGGGAACCCCTCGTCGCCCATCATGGGCAAGCCAAATACACCAACGGCATACTTCTCAAACCACCACGGTCTCGCAATCGGATGTCAGATCCCGCCGTCTTCACGAACACAAAAGCTCCCGCCGACGCCCCTCGGCGCCGGAAGTCTGATCGTCGACTCGAGTCTCGAGTCTGCTACATTCCACGTTCTCCCATACGGACGCGACGGCGTCTTCCTACCCCCAGGTACGGAACCAGCTAGCCTTAAACCCAAGACAACAATCGACATCTACACCCTCGAGGTCTGGGGTCTTGTTCCGAATCCTGAGGGGGCATCTTCGTTGACGAAGAGCGCCGTGGAGCTTCAAAAAGCAAGCTGGGCTTTTGAGGCTAGAGAGGCGGAGCGCAGGCGCCACGTCAATGTGAGTGCTGGGGCTGGCGATTCGGCTCTTGAGCAGGCGAGGTGGTTGCTGGAGACGGCGGGTGTTATTGGAGATAGTAGTGGTTCAGGGAGAACGGGGGGCAGTACTTGAATGGCATGGTTTGGCTATTGCAAGTGGTATATATATATATATATATATATTTATGGAAAGGGTTTCTGGTCTTGGGCTTAGTTTGTATCTTTTGCTTATGGGAGTATGTAGGTGGAATTGTGTTGTGTTTGTTGTTGGTCATTAAATTCTGTTTCAATCCTCTGGGAACAACTCAATCCATCCCAGACCGTGGCTTGTAATAAATTCGCCGGGGCCTCTTTACCTTCATCGCCACCGTTAGTAATACCACTACCGTCTGCGTCCGCGAAGAACCGTATCCCAGCGCAGGTAGGGTGATTTCCTTCTCCGCTCTGATAGATCCGTGTCGTAATCGCGGTGCGGCCATTCACGAAGACCTCGAGCACGCTTGTGTCGAAGAGGGCGTGGATGTGGAGAAGTTCTTCTATTTCGGTTTCTCTTTCTGCCTCCTCTTCAGTGCGGGTGTAAGTGAATAATGTATGTGGAGTGACTTCAGGGCCGTGGTTTATGTTCTTGTTATTGATGTGTGGACGGTCCACGCAGAATGTTTCGGTAATGGGATTCCAAAATATTGTTGTTTTGGAGGTGTGGTCTAACCAAAAATCAAGTCAGTCGGTCAGTCAATCAGACAAAATAGAAAGAGAATGAAGTGGACCAATGATCAAACACTGACTTTCATCATGAAGGATAACCATCCCAACCTGTCCGCATCTCTTCCCAACCGCAATGCTCGCATCAACCTCCCACCTTGTCGTAATTAGCGGGACAAAACTCCCGCTTCCCTTTCCAACCACCTCATCCTCGCCAAGGGTCAAATCCAGTCCCCCGAGCGTAGCCACCCTAGCTCCGCCTCGTAACTTTTGAGCACGTCCATCAACCTCAACACCCAATGTATAGACAGTATAACTTCCTTTCCCATCCGGAATCGCTTCTATGGACGTGATATCATGCAGTTGAGCCGTGGCCCTTGCACGCTTGACGCGATGGATCGTCTGGAGGCTCAGCATTCGCGGCAACGAGACCAACCCGCTCCATCCTTGCTCGTTCCGCGCGTCGTCTGGCAAGTCTTCCTCTGTAATCCAGCCGAAGACGACCTGGCGCTGAGATACGGGGTCGAAGAAGGAGTTTGCGGCGTAAAAGAGGCCGGCGTCGAATATTCCGCTGAAGGAGGGCTGCATTAGGGCTTTTGCTGGTGAGGTCTGGGAGCCGTTTGGCTTGATGCACGTCCAGAGCTGGGAGCGCTGAATGCGGTTATCCTTCGCTGTTGGATAATTGGGTTTCGGGTCTGGGATGCATCCCTCTACACCCATGATGAGAAAGTCGCGCGACGTGCCTTCGTTGTTTGTCAGGGTGACCAGATTCGCTACTTCCCAGTTCAAGCCAAGGTCGCCGGACCAGCGTGACGGCGTAGCATTAAGCCCGACATCTAAGAGGGTGCCTATGTAGTTCCACTGGTATAAAGCACGGCGGTTAATGGCGTATACAAAGACCGTTGGTGTGTGGTTGGCTAGTCCACCTGATATAAAGCCGTATATGACGTCGTCGCCTGCGACTTCCCGCGCTGCTCGTCGGACGTTCTCCGGTGCTGAGAGCCAGTGACATATATAAGGGTCTCTCCAGCCATAGACCTGTAGACCGAGCGGTGGGCGGGAGAGAATAGGGTTTTGGGGGTGTCTTTCCCAAGTGCGTCCTGCGTCACGGGAAAGCGCGATACTTAACGTTTCGCATCCAAAGTTGTATGGAAGGGTATAATGGATTGGGAGGCTATTGACGGAGGTGTAGAAGTAGGTGAGTGTGCCGTCTTGCTGACCCTCAAGGTTTGTTGGCTGGAAGCATCCTGTGAAAATACCATTGTTGTCATAAGGTGCGGACGGGGACAGACACGGTTCCTGGTCTATATCCCAGGAGACTAGATCGCGTGATGTGGCGTGGCCCCAACAGATGTCGCCCCAGTCGTTTGCCTTGGGGTTCCATTGGTATGCAATGTGGTATTTTCCAGTGGAGGAGTCGTAGCCCGGGCCGCAGGGGTCGTTGAGCCAGTTAGTAGGGGCGAGGAGGTGGAATTGCGGTCTCCATCGCGTGAACGCTGATGCAGGCGGTTTGCTTTGTGGTGTAGACATGACGTCGGCGGGCTTCGCGCAAGGTAAGGGTATACTTCACTCCATGTGCGAGAGAAATGTTTGCCGATTAAAGAACAGTCGTCATTGATGCCGATGCGATGGCACCGGAGCCGTACCGGAGAAATCCTGGAGAAACCAGGCACAGCCCGAGAGAGCGGGCCGGGGGATTGTCGGAGAAACCAGGTCTCCTTAGGGCTTGCGTGGACTGATTTTGCGGAGAAATCGGTAGCATGACTTTTACCCCGGCCGGGCCAACCCCGGAAGAACCAGGAAGAATCGATCTGGTTCTGGTGACCATAAAAGGGAGGGATTCGCAGTATGACTTCGTTTGTTGGAGCATGCAACTCATGCCACTGTCATTGAACCACGATGTCTTCGATTGCCGAAAAGGATGTGGCCGAAAAGCCCGCTCAGACCTGGCATGTTGACGCAGTCCAGCCGGTGACTGAGGCAGAGACCACCGTTTCGTCTTCAGATGAAGGCGCCATCAACGTGCTTCTGATCCTCGCGTGCATTGCTTTTGGATCTGCCTCGTTCGTCTTTGGCTTTGACGACAAAATCATCTCACCCTTGGCAGCCTTGAGCGCGTTTGTAAGGCTCCCTACCCGCAGGACTACCGTTTTGGCATGCATTGACAATCGCAGGTTGAAGACTTTCAAGGCGCTAACCCCGTCGACGGCACCCTTGTCCTCACAGCACGCAACCAAAACCTAATCTTTTCCGTGCCCCTCGTCGGCTCCATCGTCGGTGGCGTAGCGGCGTCCCCCCTGAACAATTTCTTCGGCCGAAAATGGCCCCTTGTGGGCGCATATGTATTCTCCATCGGCGGCGGGTTCTTGCAACTGTTCTCAAAGAATATTGCGCAATTCGTCATCGGCCGGTTTCTCAACGCCATTGCTATCGGTGTCGCCAATGCAACAGCTCCACTATACCTCTCTGAAGTCGTGCCCCCGTCCATGCGAGGCCGCAGTGTCACATCTATCAATATCCTCTCCCTCCTCGCGGGTGTCATATCCACAGTCATCGTCAACGAAACCAAGGATCTAGATGGTCGCCTGCAGTACATGATTCCGCTTGCAATCCAATGCGCCCTCCCCGCCGTAATCCTTGCCGCTACAATCCCCCTCCCCGAAAGCCCGCAGTGGCTCGTCTCGAAGGGCCGCATCCACGAAGCCCATCATAACTTGCGAAAATTGCGCGGGCCCAAAATGACAGATGCCAACGTGGCCGACGAACTCCGCGTCATGCAGCTCTGTGAAGAGAACGAGCGTGCTCTCTCCGAGAACGTCCGGTTTTGGGAGATTTTCAACCGCGAGAACCTGCAGCGCACCCTCACCGCAGGCTCTTTCTACTCCCTTAACCAGATTTCCGGCATCATCCTCTCAACCACATACACAACTGTCTTCCTCACGCAGCTCGGCGTCGGTGATGCATTCACTTTCACTGTCATTGCATCCTGTTGCACACTGGCTGGAACGCTGGTTGCGCCGCTGGTGATTGACCGCGTCGGCCGCCGCCCAACAGCCTTTGTCGGAATGTCCGTCCTCCTTCTCATCGACATCACAGCCGGTGGTCTCGCCTTCAACACGAGCTCAAAATCGTTCGTGCTCGGAATCGCAGCGCTCGGCTTCATCTTCAATTTCTTCTGGGGAGCCGGCTTCTACTCGCTCTCTGCGTTGATGCCGTCTGAGATTGCGACACCTAAGCTTCGCAACCATACCATGGCATACACGATTGCGTGCGCGCAGACAAGCGCCGTGATAACGACCTTTGCGGTGCCGCAGCTGACTTCGGCGGATGCGGCGGGATTGGGCGCGAAAACGTATTTGGTGTTTGCGGGGTGTATGGCCTGCGTTCTTGTTTTTGTGTACTTCTATATGCCTGAGACAAAGGGGAGGACGTTTGCCGAGGTCGATGAGATGTATGATGCGGGCATTCCGATGTGGAAGTGGCGCGATTATAAGACTGCGACAGCGGCGAGGATCGGTGGGAAAGAGGGAGCTTGATATATGCAGGCTGGATTATGGTAGTGTCTTATCACTCGTCACCCCCCAAGCCCAGGGCTGTAAGGTGCGCTTTGTACTGCTCCAAGTAGGGATGATTTCCTCCCCGCAATGTCCGTAGCAGCTTTAGATAGTTGTTGGCGAGGACTCGTATGGTGTCCTCGGGGCATGTGGCTGGATTTTGCGCTGTCACAAGAGCACTGGTCGCGATGTTGTATAGTTTTTCAATCTGAATTGTCGTTAGTATTGTGTAGGGGAAAAGAAGCGGATGGCTCACAATTCCCGTTCCATGAGCCTCAATCGCACTGATTCGCAGCACTCGGCATAGTCTCAACGCGCACTTCGCATTCTCAATGGCGTAGCCGAAGCCGAGCTGCCGGCATTCTGGTCCGGGTTCAATTTGTAGTAATCCATGAGTGAAGCACAAATTCCACAACCGGTCTTGCACCCATTTTTGCGTGAGGAGGATATCCGCGCATTGTGTTTCGGACAAGAAGTCGCGCAGGGCTCTTGATTCGCTTAGTTCTCTTGATCCGTTTTGCCCACTGTTCTGTTTGTCCTTCTCATAGTCCCGATCCGAATCTGAAAAATCGAAATGATCACTCTTCCTGCCGCTGTACCGAGTCACATCGCTGACTCTAGCCAGGTTACGGTATATACTCAGCGCCTTGGCCTCGGTGAGGACCTGGCACCTCCCGTTGCCTGATGAAACATCGCATCGCGCATTCCAGCAAATGAGAATATCTTCGTCAATGGCGTCGAATAGCTCCATTAGCAGCGACAAACCCATCATTCCCGCGGCGTCCTTTTCCGTGTGTACGATTATCCCCGATACAACGCGCTGGGTTGCGTTTCGGAGTTCGTCCGCCGCGCGGATGATGTCTGATGGGCGTCCGGTGAAGCTTATAGGGTGTTGGCGCTGGAGGGCGTATGCTCTACATTGAACCATGTTAGTAATTCTTGTGATATGGTGATGGTCTGGTGGGATTAGGCCAGTATACCTTTCTGTCACAGATAGAACTAGATACGTCCGTAACCACTGCCCCTTCTCCTCTGTTGAGCACTCTGCATACGTGACTGGATTATTCAGACCCAGTGTCGAGGCTAGATCGATCGCCTCTCGGAGCCGGAGTCTCGCTGCATTGTGCTGGTTACTCCCAAATAGGTACCCGAACAAGAAGAAACTGGTCAGAACAGCTTCTATCGAAGGGTGCTCGCCGAAGTCAGAAGACGTGCGCATCCTGGTTGCCTCGTTGACTAGGACTTTTGCTTGGTCGGACCGCGAGGAAGATGTCGGCCGTTCACTGATGTCTATTGGCTGGGTCAATGAGAAGGCGCAGAGAGCCAAAATCATGGCGCCACATTGGGGATTGCGGCGATGTTCTTGTTGGACAATCTGTGTGAAGAGCAAGGATCTGTTTAGTACTGGGAGGGTGGGGTGAAGACGGTCGAAATAGACATCTATCCAAGGGATAAGGCTTGTTTCGTGGATGTAGGATGGCCAGAACTCAGAAGGTACGCTGAGCATGTTGTCGCTTTGAATGCTGGGGTCAATACTCCCCGGTAGAAAGGGAATTTGGTTGCTGACTTCGATATTGATACTGTCATCAATAATGGGTGGCAGCGTCTCTTTGACGAGGATATTGCTCCCCTGGAAACCGAACAGTGGGCAAGCCTGGGAGTTGAAAGTGTCTGGAAGCCAGTACTCCATATCAGGTCCGCCCCATGAGGCTCCTTGTGTATCGCTCATAAGACCGGTATACCCATGGTTAGGTGGATTCTCGGTACGGTTGCCATTGCTGAGCCCGGCTATCGTCGGGGGCGCCTCAAGGTTAGGCAGAGCAGGAACATCATCGGCACTACCTCCACCTGGATGCAGCGCTCTGAAGTGCTCCTGTTGCTCTCTGATCTGCTTGATTCTGCTACGTAGCGTCAGGTATGTTCCCAGCGCAGAGCAGACATAGACTTACCGAGCAGGTGGTCCTCGTTTTTTCTGCGGTTGGAGGAAGGTGCATTCGAACCCAAGGGAAATGCACAGCTCACATGGACGCGACAGGCTACACTGCACACAGACTCAGCAGCTTTCCCAACATCCAAGCCTACAGGTTCAAGCTCACCCTTGTCTTGCGCACCCTGCAAGAATCGCAGGCTCTGGTGGCGCATTTCGGTCCGGGCTGTGAGCTGCCACTGCGGCCTCGGCGGGACGAAGGGGGCATGTCGACCGAGTGGCAGAGTACTGAACAAATGCAATGCCGTCGGTCAAGATACCTGTATTTTGTTCTGGATCATGACATGCTGGGGCAGGAGAGGCGAAGGGAAAGTCCGGAGTAAATCCGGGGCGCGATCGCTTGGCGTTTGAGATTCAGTCCGACTGTGCGACTCGTGCAGCTCCCGGCCACAACCCTCCTGTTTTCTCGCAAGACTGGAGGATAAGTTGCACTGTTAATTGCTCTGAAGGTTTTCATTGTGGTATAGTTATGCCTCGACTTGTGGATCCAACACTATACAGATTGTTATTTGGATTAATGTAAATATCTTAAATATTTGAGTTTTCACCACACAAGGACCCCGATGGTGTAGTTGGTTTATCACGTCTGACTGGAATAGTATTACCGGTATTGTAATCAGAAGGTCGCTGGCCGTTACTCGCCCATAAAACTACCACTGGGTAGAATGAGCTGAATTCCCCTCAACCAGTATCAACTGGTGACTAGTTGATTAGCAACGACGATCATCTATTACGGTTGCTAGTGATGACCTAGCTACACCACACAACCTAGGAATATATAGTTCGGCCAGCGAAATTACCATTATCTATTGTTCAACAGCTGCAACACCGCCATGAGCCTCGAAACATTACTTTATTAATCTTCAAGGTAGCTCACTATATACCAGTCACGGGCGCCACGCAGCCATAACTGACCTGGCATAAAATTGGTCAAGCTGCCGGTCATGGTAGAATAATGCCTTGGCCGCGGTCAATGCGGCTCCTCACCCGGGCAACAACGTCTGATGTTATCCATGAAATAAGCAAAAGGCTACAGACTGCTTTCATTGTGGCCGATACATGCTGCCTACAGCTCAACACCTGAAGGGAAGAGGGGAGGGAATCCTGGAAGACACCCGTCATATGCAAGAAGAAGCCGAGTCGGAGATGTCTTCCCACAGCGCCAATGGAAGTCAAGCCTGAGCATGTGTGAAGTATTGCTTTTCTTGATTATGTGTTAGGTTGTTATTGCCAGAAAGACTTTAACCATATCATATAGCCCAGGAGACAAGTCCAGTCGGTGGTCCATAAAAGTCCTTCAACTCCTCCTCCTCTTCATCATCCTCGAGATTTCGATCTGTATTCTCAGCATCTGATTCCTCCCCAACCGTCCTCGCCTTCGACAGCTTACTGCGCCCAAGCGAGCCTGAAATAGGCGTGCCTTTTCTATTACTATCGATTTCCGATTCATGGTCTTCAATGGGTTGCTCGCGGGGTAGTTGGTAAGCGAGGAATCCATCGGGAGCTCGCTCGGCGCGGTCCATGATTTCGTTCATGTACTTACGTACTTCCTCCTGTGGCTTCACGACGCGAGCTAGTGGTTCGAGGTTCTTTGGGTTTGAGCTGTAGATGCGGAAGGTGATGGGCTGGTAGTATTCTTTCAGGTTTGATGGCCTCTTGTCATCACCTGTTTTACTGTCTGAAGCGGGTTTGGCAGGGTCAGTGGGCTGTGGAGTCTTCTGGTCGCCCTGGACGTCTTGTTTCGAGTCTGTAGCCGAGTCTTTAGCTTCCGCGGATTGCGGGTTGCCACTGTTTTTGGCCACTAAGTCACCCTCCTTGGCCTTGTCTTTCTCCTTGTTCTTGTCCGCTTTCTTCGATTTCGGCGCTGACTTCCCCTTCGCTCGAGATGGAGCGGCGTCTGTGGCCGTCTCGATGGGAAATGGGGTGTTGGGGTCGACCTTCCGGACAAGCAAGAAAGAAGCAAGGACAATGGTACCGCCAGAAAGCCATTCCAGAATCGTATTTTCGGGAAATAAGTACCGATCTCCCGATCCCGCGTGGCCCGACGTGCTGCTGCCGTACGGCGTCAGAGGGGAAGTGAATTCGAATACCACTGATTTGTAATTCAATCTTGGGGGAGCTGGCGGTTTCTGAGGTGTTGCACGGTAATACGGAGCCGGAGAACCATACTGCGGCGGTCGAGACTGGATTGGCTGACCCTGGAAAGGTGGCTGCTGATACTGGTGCTGTGGGCCTGGTCGATGGCCCATTGCCGGTTGTTGTTGGGGCAGAGGAGGCGCTGGCTGCGCGGCAGGGCTCTGCTGCGAGCCCGGACCGACGCTCGGGCTCGAGACACGGGGTGCTGGCGCTGGAGCGGCCATGCCTGCATTGGGCTCTTGTTTAACATGGGAATCTGCAGATGTGGGCTGTGACGCAGGTACTTGGCGGTTCTGCGAGAGTGCTGCCTGATTCTGGGGCGCACCAGTAGAGTGTGGAGACTTTGGTATTTGTACTTCAACACGAGGCCGTGACTGAGATGATTGCTGCGACGGGGTCTGCGGTGCAGGGGTTTGCTGTCCCTGCTGTGAAGATTGTTGTTGGGGAGTTGCCGGCGGTGGCTGCGAATGTGTTTGATGAACCACTTGCGCTGGCGGTTGGGGTGGTCGAGGAGATTGTTGTGCTGGTGTGGGAGTTGCTGGCTGCTGCTGTTGTGGTTGTTGTTGCTGTTGACGGCGCTGTTGTTGCTCTCGTGCCCTTATAATGGCATTTAGTTCGTCAATATGAGCTTGAAAAGTGCGCAGTTGTTCTTGAGTCGCATTTGTCGATGCGACCAGCCTCATTAAAGCCTTCAATTCGGGATCCTGTGCTGCCCGCGTGGCAAGCATCTGAATGACAGGGTCCGGGTTCGGCTTCGGTGGTTGAGGCGGAGGGTTCTGGTTGGCGGCAGGACGCTGCTGTGTGGACTGGGGGCCAGGCGGACGATGAGGAGTTTGGTTGCTCGGCGTTCTTGCGGGTTGCGGGGGCGGGCGACCGTGCTGGTAGCCCTGCTGAGACTGCGGGGTGCCATGCGAGGCTTGAGGTGGGTGCGGCCGCTGGTTTGGTGCAGATTGAGGCGTCTGGGGATATGGATGGTATTGCTGGAAGTTATTGGGATGGCTATAGTGAACCATGGGCCGTTGAGTTGGGGTATATTGGACTGGCGGCGGCGCGTTGGGATCTTTGACTGTATACAACATTGCGTCAAAAAGGTGAGGCCCAACCACAATGTTGCACGGTCCGACTTTAGACATCGACTCCTTAGGTGGGTTTTTGCCTTCAAGCTGATCTTTCTTCGTCTTCTTGGGCTTGGTCCAATAACGCTCGAGGATGCCGTCGCTCAGCCATTTCTTCTTCGAACGTTCTAGGGAGGCGAGAAGTACCGCACTGTCACTCGGTTAGCATGTGGCCAGCATTAATACTATGATCGTATCCAACGGATTCATGAGGTATACCTTTCCGCGATCGATTGGTACTCTTTGAGCGAGAGGTCCGCGGGCTGCGCCGAAGGGAGGGTCGGAAGAGGCTCCCCATCCTTGATCTTCGTCGGAAGGGGTGGCTCGACAGATTCGGGGGCCAAATTCGGACTGGGAGCTGGCGAGGAAGCAGTAGCGGGTGTGGAAGTCTTTCTCCTTGTCGCGTGTTGAGATTGTGCTGGCGATGATGCTCGCGTGGTCGCTTCGGAGACCCGTCGCTTCGCCGCAGGTTCGCGACGTTCACGGGCGGAGAGTCGGCGTTTCTCTGCCATGGATGGCAATTCAGGAGGGATGGTCAAGAGTTACGCCGATGCAGAAGCCCCTCGAAGAGATGGAGGGCATATCGCAGAAGAGTAATGGAGGGAGTTGCGGAGTCGGAGATGGCTCAGACAAAAGACAAGAAGATCGCAAGCTTGAAGCCTTAGGCGCTAAGGCATCAACCGGTATCTCCAGCTGCTCTACTTTATCTCCATCTCCATCGTCTTCATCCAGTCTATTATCTTGCATATCGGTCAATTTCTGTCCTGAATCCTATCTTGAAGTATACTTAACGCTTCCAATGACAGCTAATATTCAGTGATTCCGCCGTCCAAACTCGTCCTATCTAATAGTTGCTCAAGTATGTACATGCATTGAATTGGTCTTACATGTCAAGCCGCGGTGGAACGGGTTTTTGTATCAGGATCATATGCTAACACTGTATCAGAAGCCCACCGAGCATGGTCGAACTCAATCCTCTCCTGCGCAAGGCCTACTGGTCGTTAGCAGCCGCCGGCCTTATCTATGTGGGCATCGTCTATTCCCTGACGTACCCAGTTGTCCAAAGATTGTACGATGCTAGCATCCATTGAGCTTCCTATACAGCGCAACATACGCAGCTAACTTATTCCTCCCGTGGCAATTAGCGCACTCTATGCCAACAAGATAAACCCTGCCCTATGGGAGGACGTCAACTTGGTGGAATCGTTCGGGTTCCTAAGTATGTTGCTTACTCCATCCTACAAGCCCAGTAACTGACTTCAATACCAGAGACGCAAGTCCAGCCTTTCAACTTGGCCACGCCTGATAATGAGACCATCTATGGCTGGCATCTCCTTCCTTTGCATATCTGCCGAGAACATGAAGCGGAGCTGGATGTAGAGAAGCCAGCTGGCCCTGCGGATGACTATGCCTCAACCCCAGCATTTGAGCTTCTAGCCAATGACCCAAACGCCAGGGTAGTAGTGAGCTGTAAGTATCTGGATTTGAGATTCAAAATAAGCCGCGATTAACCAAAAATCCCAGTCCACGGCAACGCCGCCCACATTGGATCTGCTCAACGACCAGAGACATACCGCATGCTTCTCGGCCTTTCAACTCCAGAAAACCCCGTCCACGTATTCGCAATCGACTACCGCGGCTTCGGGATATCCACAGGAACACCCACAGAAGAAGGCCTGATCACCGACGGCGTAACGCTGCTGAATTTCCTGACATCATCCCCGCTCAACATCCCGCCCTCCCGCATTGCAATCGTCGGCCAGAGCCTCGGAACAGCTGTCAGCGCCGCAGTAGCAGAGCGCTTCGCATTCGGTTCACCGGACCCAACCGCCATCGAACCAGCCCTCAAAGACCCCGAGCCCTTCGCCGGCATCATCCTCCTGGCCTCTTTCAGCAACCTCCCCAACCTGATTGAGTCGTACAGTCTCAAGGGACTTACACCCCCAATTCTCTCCCCGCTGCGCGGATACCCACGCATCCAGAACTGGGCGCGAAGCCACATTCTAGACAAGTGGGATACGGCTGGACGAGTGGCGCGGCTGACGGGCGCTAACAGCAGCCTGGCTGATGCGAACCCTGCATATGCGGAGAAGGGCCTCGACTTGGCTATCATCCATGCGAAGAATGACGTGGAGATTCCCTGGATCGAGGGAAGGCGTGTTTGGGCGGCTGCGACGGGCCAACTACAGAAACAGAAATATGCTACCGGGTCTTTGACGTATGAGAAGCGGGATGCTGATAATGGGCCGAATGAGGTGCTCATCTGGGAGAATAGGTCTGGGAAGGGTGACGGGGCGGTTAAGAGGGTAAGGTGGGAGCGCGTTGCGTATGGAGGTATGTTGCCCTTATCTAGCCCTTTCTGTGCATTGATATTAACATTTTGTGGCAGGTCATAATCGCGTTGCTACATTCTCTACCGCGGCTCTTGCTGTGCTGAGGGCTTTTGAAGAGTAGCCGTGGTGCCGTCCGGGACTCCGGATACATACCATACATTGTTTTGTTGGATACATCTGCGATTTCAGGATATTTCGAACTAAAGAACCCAAGTAATTATAGGAGTTTACTAAACAAGTGAGAGGAGAATAGGTTCATGAGATTAATATATACAACCTGATAACAGTAACGGAAATGACCCTGCTTTTATCCTAGATTATCGCCGAAAAAAAAAGCCAAAACTGGCACCGATATGATGTTAAAACATGAGACGAAGACAAGACAAGCCCGCAGGGTCGGTCTATATCGCAAGAGTAGATAATACATGATTCCAATATTTGGAAATAAATCCATCAAACGCCTTCATCTGATACCCCTTCCTGCCGAGAGAAAGAGGGAGGTATGTGCATACAAGAGCCGAGAGCAATTCTCAGCTTATTTCTTGTGCCTGTCGGCCTGAGCCTGCAGGTACTTCTTGATGAGCTCTCTCCTGTGATGCATTTGATTAGTGAAGAGGCTCAATATTTATAGGGCGGGGGAAACATACTGCTCATGAGGAGGCGCCTTTTCGTAGTGGCTGAACTCCATGGTGTATTCACCCTTTCCTTGGGTGGCGGCGCGGAGGTTAGAACTGAAGCCGAACATGCCGTTCAGACTGCAGTCAGCGTAGACGGTGAACTCGTCAACACCGACTTCGGAATCGTTGATGGTAGCGCCACGCTTGTTCAGGAGACCAATAACATCACCCTGGAACTCGGCGGGGGCAGTGACAACAGTCTTCATCATGGGCTCGAGGACGGCGGGGTTACCCTCCTGGAAAGCCTTGCGGAAGGCCTGCTGGGTAGCGTTCTTGAAAGCCATTTCGGACGAATCAGTCATGTGGGTAGCACCGTCGTTGATAACCATCTTGGTTCCGAGAACCTTATGACCGATGAGAGGACCTTTCTCACAAGAGAGATGGAATCCCTTTTCACAGGCGAAGACGAACTTCTCAGAAATACTTCCACCAACAATCTGCTCTTCGAAGTTGTTCTCCTCGAGCTTGCCGGTAGGCTCCATCCATCCAACAACACGGGCATAGTCTCCAGGACCACCGGATTGTTTCTTCAGCAGATGGTCAAATTCGACACGCTGGGTGATGGTTTCACGGTAGGCGACCTGAGGAGGTCCAGTCTCACAGTCGACACGGTATTCACGACGCATACGCTCGACGTAGATGTCAAGATGGAGTTCACCCATACCGGAGATGAGGGTTTGCTCACTCTCAGCGTCGAATGACACACGGAACGTAGGGTCTTCTCTCTGGAAACGGGCCATAGCCTTGGAGAAGTTCGCATAATCCTTGCTGTGCTTGGGCTTGATAGACAGCGAAATAACCGGCTCCGGAACGAACATCGAAGACATGGTGTAGCCGAGCTGACCATCAGTGAACGAGTCACCGGAAGCACACTCAACACCGAACACGGCACAGATCTCACCAGCTCCGATCTCAGACACGTCCTCCATTTCGTTGGAATGCATGCGGACAATACGGGGAATTCTGACCTTCTTGTCTGTACGGGCGTTGAAAACGTAAGAACCCTTCCGGAGGGTTCCTTGGTAAACACGAATGTAGGTCAACTGTCCAAAGCTGCTCTCTTCCAGTTTGAAGGCAAGACAGACCAATGGCAACGAGTTGTATGGAACAAGCTTGACTAGGGCTTCGCTGCGCTTCTTATCAAGGGCGGTATTTTGCACCTCAGATGGGTTGGGCAGGTAGTCGATAACACCGTCCAACATCGGCTGCACTGACTTGTTTGCCAGCGCAGAACCCATGAAGACAGGGGTGAACTTCAAGCCAATAGTAGCCCGGCGAATAGCGTCCTTGATTTGCGTCTCTGTGGGCTCCTCCTCGTTCAGGAAAATCTCCGCCATGTCGTCATCAACGTCCGCGAGGGTCTCGATGAGCATCCTCCTCCTCTCCTCTGCGAGTTCCTTCACCTTGTCCGGGATCTCATCCTTGACAACGATGCTCTCACCGCTATCACCCTGGTTGTAAATGGCCTTCATGCGAACCAAATCAACAACACCCTCGAACTCATCTTCAGCTCCGATAGGAACCTGAACCGCGGCGGCGGGAATCTTGAGCTTGGAGTTGATCTGGTCAACAGATTTGAATGGGTTGGCGCCCATACGATCCATCTTGTTCACGAAGGAGATACGGGGGACATTGTAGCGTCTCATTTGTCGGTCGACGGTGATAGTCTGCGATTGGACACCGGACACGGCGCAGAGAATCATGACAGCACCATCGAGAACGCGCAGCGCTCTTTCCACCTCAATGGTGAAGTCAATGTGTCCAGGGGTATCGATCAAGTTCATGTGGTATTTCTGCTCCTTGCCATCCTCGTCCTTTTTGACCCAGTCACAGAATGTAGCGGCCGACTGAATGGTGATACCCTTCTCACGTTCCAGATCCATGGAGTCCATCTTGGCGCCAACGCTGTCACGGCCTCGAACCTCGTGAATTGCCTTGATACGACCCGTGTAGAATAGGACTCGCTCGGTACATGTCGTCTTACCACTGTCGATATGCGCCTACGAAAAGCAATTAGTGCCCGACCCCCTTTTAATGACGGGATGTGGCGGAACGTACAGCAATACCGATGTTGCGGACTCGACCAAGCCTCTCCGCCTCCACGGGATCGAGGTTCTGGATGATCGCCTCCTGCGATAGAGAGTCCGGTGTTTGCGCGGCAGCCTCCAAACTATCGAAGAGAAAAGGAGTCAGCAAACGAACGCAAAAGCGAGGCATCAAGAGCACAGAGGCACGTACACAGCTGCGGCAGTGCCGGATGCATTTCTCATTTGCTGATAACGCCTGGTCAAGACCGACTGGCAACCCGGGGTCCCGGAACGGAGAGCGGCCGTGGACGCGCATCGTGTGCTGAGGAAGGTCTGGGACTGAAGCTTGACAGGAGTCCTGGTCAAACCAGCGACAGCGCGGTAGGGTAACCGCGCAAGAGAAGGACACCTCATGACTGCCAGCTGATCACACCAGGAATTGGCCGAGTTGATGCTTGACTGTCCAGGCTAGATCGTCCCTGCTCCGAAAAAAAATCCAGGAACCGGTCACACGTGACTGGTAGGTAAACACTTGGAGCCCATTCGTCGAACAATATTTAGCAGCCATCGTATGATCTTGACCTCGCTTGAGATTCTGTCAATGTTTTCTAGCATTCCATATTCATCTATGAAATTGCTTCAAGTTATCCAAACCTGTGTGTAGGCTGCTTTTCTATGTATCAAATCAATTACTGTAAATGACAATACCTGACGATCTCCGTCTATCACCGCCTTCATGGCGCCACCCATCCTCTCAGGGCATCTACAGAGTATGAGACTTCCAAAGGCACCTCACATTTCTGGATTCATGATAGTCGGATAGCTTCGTATCCGCGGTAGCTACAGTGATATGATTTAGCGAAATGCGGGCATCGCTGAGATTGTTCGCCGAGGTCCGGCCGTCCAAGCTTAGGAAGCCTACGATTAGCCTGGACCATGTGAGTTTGATATACCGCGTTTGAAGCTGAACACAATGCGCTGATGCAGAATAGTTCATTCAACGGCAACGAGTCATCGCGCTGTGGCGTGAAATTGTCAGGGCATTGATTAGTTAGTGATGCTACACCTCCTTTAAGACCTACTTTAGCTATTGAATACTCATATTAAGAGAAGAAATCCCCAGCTCTCCAACTCGGAGTGAGCTGCGCGATTATGCTCGCGCTGAGTTTGAGCGTCATCGAAATGTTACTGATTTGGTTGGTTTGCACTGGCTCGTACCACTATATCAAGATGCTGACAGTGCACAGCAACATATACGATACTTAATATCGGTAAGAGAAGCTCTGTGCCGTGTTAGCAGAATATACCTACTCACCGGCTACTCAGACCGGCAAGTCCGAATTTGATATGATGAGGCGGTATATTGACGAACAAGCCGCTGCTTGAGGTTATGTCTAAATGCTCAGTCAAGTCCAACTTTCAAAGACAAGGCTGAGCTCCTACTACCACGTTCAGTACCATCCATGAAGTTGAAAACATATGGAATGGCCCCAGCAGCTACAATTGGGCCGTTCAGATATAAGCGAGTGGTAGCTATAGCCACATCATACCGCGAACAAGACTTAAAAGAATAGATTGAGATGAAAACAATCAGAGGCATATGTACATTCCCAAACGCCGTTGATATAGGGGAGCAATCTAGTAATACAGATGGTCGAACAAATGTGCCCTCGCAGCCTACTGTCGTCGCGAAACGAGTTCCCTTACAGCGTCCAAGACTCCAAATGTTTTCTCATCGGAGCGTTCAAGAGAAGAGCGAGCTGCGTCCTGCTCAGCGAGAGCCGGCTTCTTTCTCGCTTCCTTTGCTGCTGCTTCAATAGCAGCATGACGCTCCCTCCATTCCTTATCTTCCCTGTCTCGAATCTCCAGCTCACGCAGCCATGCGTCTCTCTTCTCTTGACCCTTTCGCACCTCGAGCGCCTGCTCAAACTCTCTCCGCTGCGTGCGCTCGGTCCTGTAGTACATCCCTCCAGCAACCACGGCGAAGAGCGTGAGTCCTTGGGCGTAGATACGGGCGCGGAACATGCGGTTCATCTCAACGGAATCGCCAGCCTTCATTGACCGGTAAGCACGCCAGAGCGCATAACTGGTAGCAGCACATCCTAAGAACCGAGAGTGGTCAGACTCGGTTCCTCTGATCACCCCCGAACTTCACTACTCACCAACTGGAACCCATGGCTCCTCCTTGAATCTTCGTCCAAACTTCTGAAGCGGAGTTTCCTCCTCGAATTGGCTGGCAAATGTTCATTAGATTATATCCTCGGCATTGTTTCATGGGTTGGGGTTGTTGGTTGGCGGGGAACGTACTCGTGACCGTCAAATGAAGATGGGAGAGGTTCGCTCATTGTCGCAGTTTGATACAATGACAACGGCAATATCCCGGGTCAGAGCGCAAGCCAACGGTACTGAGTACTCAGAGTTGCGATGCTGGCTCAACGGTGTGGCAGATGTAGTGACGTCGGGAGCGATATCTTCATCCGCGGCAGTTTCCCGTTAATTACATTACCGTGGTGTATCAGTTCGTACAATACCCGCGGATGTAGACAAACAGTCTCGCCGCCAGGTACAAACCTAAGTCCATTCATGGTCATTAGGAAAGAGCCTGTATGTATGTAGAGACGTCTGCGCATCGTCGCAACTCGCTCTCGGAGTCTTAACAAACACCGTGCCTACTCCGAAGCTGAAGAAGAAGTCCCTATTTAGGAAGGTAGGGCTCAGATGGAGGGCTGATGACCCGCGCCGATCGCGGACCTGGAATTTTTCTGACTCCGCCAAAGAAGCAAGGAGCGGGTCACAAGAATCCCCTCCATATCCTCCGCAACTGCCTGAATATCGAATCTCTTGCTTCTCGTCCTTCTCAACCGCTGAGGACATATCGCGAAGCAACCTTCTGAAAATGGCCGAACAAGCGTATTCGAACGGCGCAGCGACACCGAATTCATCGAAACTGAGCAATCTGGCTCTGACAGAGTACTCCGCCATCCCTACACCTACCTCGGAGAAGGACGAATACAAAGGCCCCGACAGTCCGCCGTCGTGGGATATCCCCGCCGCCTTCCTGCTTCCCAACGGCTACCCGGATGTAAAGATCCATCTTTTGCTGCGCGCCCGAGTCACCTCACCGCTAACACAATGGTTATACAATAGTATCTCAAGCTCATCCTGACTTCCCGCGTTTACGAGATAACCACAGAGTCTCCGCTACACCATGCCATCAACCTCAGCAACCGTATGGAGTGCCGAGTGCTCCTCAAGCGGGAGGACATGCTCCCCGTATTCAGCTTCAAGCTCCGCGGAGCATACAACAAGATGGCTCATCTAACCGATGAGCAGCGGTGGAAAGGCGTGATCGCGTGCTCTGCAGGTAAGGGCCTCGAACAGGCGCAGCTATATTGTCAGGCTCTAATGTTTCTATCATACAGGTAATCATGCTCAGGGTGTCGCGTATTCTGCTCGCAAACTAAAAATCCCCGCCACCATCGTCATGCCTTCCGGCACCCCAGCCATCAAGCACTTGAACGTCGCTCGACTCGGTGGTAGCGTTGTCCTTCACGGAAACGATTTCGACGCCGCCAAAGAGGAGGCCCACCGCCGTGAAAAACAACACGGTCTTACCAGCATTCCTCCTTTCGACGACCCGTACGTTATCGCTGGGCAAGGAACTATCGGTATGGAGATTCTGCGCCAGTCAAACTTGGACAAGCTGGAAGCTGTTTTCTGCGCTGTTGGCGGAGGAGGCCTTATCTCCGGCGTCGGCGTCTACATCAAGCGCATTGCACCGCACGTCAAGGTCATTGGCGTGGAGACACACGACGCCAACGCGATGGCTCAGTCACTAGGAGAAGGCTCCCGTGTGCTATTGAACGAAGTTGGTCTCTTCGCAGATGGAGCTGCAGTCAAGAGTGTGGGATCCGAATGCTGGCGCGTGGCCCGTGATGTTATCGACGAGGTTATCTTGGTTTCCACTGATGAGACCTGCGCTGCGATCAAGGATGCATTTGAGGATACACGATCGATAATCGAACCTGCGGGCGCGCTAGCTATTGCAGGCTTGAAGAAATATGTCGCCAAGTACCCTAGCCCTAACACCAGTCGTGAACTGGTTGCCATCACCTCTGGAGCGAATATGGACTTTGACAGGCTGCGGTTTGTTGCGGAACGTGCCGCTTTGGGCGAGAAAAAGGAAGCTCTCCTGAGCGTCAAAATCCCTGAACAGCCAGGCGCTTTCGCAAAACTAATGGAAGTCGTCCTTCCCCACGCCGTCACCGCATTTAACTACCGATATGCCGATGAGAAGTCTGCTGATGTCCTTATGGGCATCTCTCTGTCTGCTTCGACCGGTCAAGATGACTTGGCTAAAATTATCGCGGAACTGAGCAGAAATGGCATGGAATCGAAAGATCTTAGTGATGATGAACTCGTGAAGCGGCACGTGCGGTTTTTGGTTGGCGGACGTAGCGAAGTGAAGGATGAGCGCCTGTTCATGTTTGAGTTCCCTGAACGTCCTGGAGCGCTTGCCAATTTCCTCCGGACGCTTCGTCCAAGCCAGAACATCTCTTTGTTCCATTACCGGAATTACGGCGGCGATGTTGGGAAGGTTCTGGCTGCTATCCAATGCCCGGATTCCGAGAAGGAAGATCTGGAGGCTTTCCTCCGGGATCTTGGGTATCCGTTCACCGAGGAGACCCAATCTGAAACATACCAGACTTTCCTTCGTCGTTAAGATACCTTATAATATATGCGGTTCAGGGTCATACCTTGCACAACTAGAGCGAAATACTTGGCGTTTGGACTGGATCGGGGTGGGATCAGGTAATCCTTTTGCTTTCTTAAGTGTATGTGCATTGATTGTAGTATAATTGTGGTTTGACTATTATTACGTTAACTCTTAGACCTTCAGTTCATGAGCCTTGATTACTATACCAAAACATTCATAGATACATTCCAGCGCTTTCTTCTCGCTTTCTTAATAATATAATTGGATTACTCTTCTTGACTTGATACTATAGTATGGAGCTGTGGACGAGGGGCTGAGGCAACGGTAGCATATTCCACACTTCCGGAAGACTCTGGAGGCTTAGTGAGCTGCAAGATGGATGGAAGCCCCTAGAAAAGAACTTAATTACTACAAGGAAGCACTTTCTTCCTACCTAATAGCCACTGTTTCTCTAGATGTTCAGGTGGGTAAGCTGGGATAACCGGGTAGTTGATCTGCTGCTTGCAGGTGATTTACTTCGATCATTTTGGGGTTGCTTGCGTGTTTATTCCAAGGTATTCTACATATAGATTCTAACTTTACCCTATTCCATTTGCAAAGGAAACCGAGGTAAAGTCACTGTGGCTAAGATATAATGGTCAAGCTCCTCGGGCCCATCGTCCTCAACTTCCATGTCATCCAAGCAAAACCCCCACGCATCCGCGACGCGCTCATCAGGCTTATACCCTACAGTCGACTCAAATGTTAAGGTGGGTTTCTCACTAGATCCCCTGCCGGTGGTAAACCGGAACTGGGCCGGCCGTCCGCACTCAAGGGCGAATGTCATTGTTTTCAACGACGGCATGCGCTGCGCCGCGAAGCCGAGCGAGATGAAAAGTCGATGGAATTGCTCAACGTCCATGATATTCCTGTGGACACTCCATCCATAGCGCAGCCACGGCGTGTCGAAGTTTTCAATGCCGGAGCTATTCGGATCGGGATTCTCTTCGTCGTCCGAGAGCCAGTCTGAACGATCATAATCGAGCAGCCATTTACCTATGGGGCTTGCTATTAGCACCAGGTCCCGACCGCCTGAGCTGAGCCGAGGGGCCGAAAGTGACACTTACCAGAGGGAAGATAGAGAGGGACTGAGCCTAATGTGACGGTCTCTAGGTAAGGCCAGTGGAGAGACAATGCGTCGGTGGTCGGGGCGCCAGCGTCGTCTAATGGAAAAAGAAAATCCAACTCCACAGTAACTTCTGATAAATCGAGCTCTTTCAGATTCAAGGACATATTGCGTAAACTTGATGAAAGCGCATCGATCTTGTTGTCAGGGAGCAGATTCAGAGCTGGCAGAACATCTGCCCAATGCTCTTCGGTGTTTCCTATGCACTGGAATACTCTTAAAGTTGGTGGCATCTTTGTGAGGGCGGATGCCATCGCTAAGATCGGTTAGCTGAACTGGCAGATTGCGTAGAAGAGGTAAAGCTATGCAATCTACAATACCTTGTCGACGTTCCCGCATATAGCTAAGGTGATCTGGTCGCACCCACTCCTGATCGTATAATTGCAGCCGCTCCAAAGCAACACAACGTTCCGCGATTTGTAAAGCAGAGGCAGCCCATATCCCCTGAGAGGTATCCGTGTGATGTTCCGCGATTTGCAATGCAGCCCTAGAGGCATTCCATACCCCCTGATAGGTACCCATGTGATCGAACAGTAGCTGGTCAATACAGACAACTTTGGGAAGAGAAGGTTCATCATCCGGGAAACGCGCGGTGTATGGGTGGACAACCCACTGTTCTCCATCAAAGACAGTTTGCCACTTTTCAAGGCCAGCATGTTCTTTTGTTCCCGGCTCCAGCGTTTTTTGCCGTCCGCGCACCTCGATAACCAAAGCGATCTTGGCGCTTGCTTCCCAGCAGCTCAAAGTGTTGAGTAGTGAGATAACCGCTGTACTGAATGCCCGGTTGTTCGCCTCTCTGACCGGGTTCTGTTCACGGTATTCCTGGTTTTCGAGCTTCATGGCGTTGTAGGGTTCCAGCTTATGGGGAACAACGATTGTGTAATGCAGATGGCGAAGGAAGGAGCGCCGATACTGCCTTGATTCAGCCATGACGGTTTGGAAATGTGACAAGGATATAACGCCATTGTTTGTTTGCAAGTCTTGGCTTTCGACGCTGACTTTGGTATAAATCAGTCGCTCGAACACGGACTGCCATTGGCGGCAGACTCGTGCGCACCTGGCGAGTGAGGGGGTGTCATGCTCGAGATACGAGACAATCTGCGTCAATAGCTCCACTGGGAGCTGGGGTGTCATGGGCTGTGAGAGAAAATCAGTTCTCAAGCAAAGGTAAGTTCGCCAACCGCCATTAAGTAGTGGGAGGCCAGGGGCATCATGACGCTAAGCTCAACTTGGTATGGTCGTGAAGCCCCCGGCCCACTCCAAAGTATATTCTGATGGCCAATGATATCGCTTCTTTGCTACTTCGAGGCCTCGACCAAAGCGAAGGCAAAAAACAGCCCGGGCGTAATTGATAATCTATCCTACTATATGTGAAAATGTACAGTGGTGGTACTAGCAGGATGGGGACAATTTCAGGTCCCGCTAACTAAAAGGATTAATATGCACAGAGCACTCTGTTCTACGCTTAACCTATGAAGCAATGGTGGTAATCCTCTCATGCTATATACTATACTCTAGTCTCGAGACGCAGGGTTTATCTTGCCAGCCGCTCAGTGAGAAAGCGGTTCAAGTTAATCAAAAGTTGCCTTGATGCAGTATGCGTAGTCCGGCCAGAACCCACTACAGTCCCCGTTCAAAGCAGGATGCAACTCATACAGTGTGTTCAGTGAATTGCCGTACTTCGCGGCAATGTCGACACAGTATATCCCTTCTGGAATTAGAGCTCTGTAGCAGGTATTGTGAGCATGGAGCGAGAGGTTGGATGACTTACCGTCTTCCTGCATTGCGTATTATTGACTGCAGCAAGGAATCCCACTCTGAGTAGGACCAGATGGTGAGACTGTATCAGTGCCGCATGTGCAGGTGCAGGTCGGTGTTGGTGGAGGTGATAATGCAGTGGATGTTTCCGAGGGCAGTGGAGCAGGGTAGAAAGTGTCATCGTAGCCATCACCGGAAATACAATATGAGGTATCCAGCCACAGATTCGAGCAGTCACTTTTGACACTGGGCTGCAGAGAAGAGGGATTTTCAGCACAGTTTTGGAAAATATTTTAACGCGGGCAAGCTTACGTTCCATGCGTAGAAAGCCTCGAGCGCAATGTCGGCCATCTCAAGGACGCTATCACAAGTGTCACCTGGGATATATGGATTAGCCTGGACCAAGGACAGAATAGGTACGCTATGCAAAAGTCACTCACCTTCTTCGGTTGTATACCAATAATAGCAATCGTAAGTTGAGTTAGGCGCTGCGGTCACGGGAAGGTCCAGATATACCGGTTCCAGATCGCTTTCTTCGATGAACGCTTCCCCAAGTAATGTACAGTAACGGGTGTTGTTGGCTAATGTACAGTTCCACCAAACCACAGACGGGTTCCATTCCGCGAAATGGATATCGGACACATGGGTGGTCAGCCAGTCGCAGGGAACCTCTCCATACGTATTATCCGCGTATTCTTTGCAATCCTTCCTCGTGCCTTTAGCTAGAGGCATTGTACTGGGCGTGGGCAGAGAAGTCCAGGGTGTCAAAGTCGCCATAGGCAGATCACTCCATGCGGTGGCCTTTTCAGGCATCTTTGGCGTCCAACGGGAGGTTGTTGGGCCACCAGTCGCTGTCGCATATCCGGGATACGTCGCGATGTTCCCCACGGGACGTACACCTTGCGAACTAAATGTGAGTCATGTCGCGATATTCCAAAAATTGGTGCATCTTACAGTAATTATAGCCGCGCCAAAGATTGGTGCATTTATTATCGAGCCCAGGATTTAAGAATAAGAAATCATCCAGCATGATCCCATTTGACATTGCGATGACTTGGCAGTAGTCGCCCTCTATGGTTCGGCGTCAGATAGCGTCCACAGATCAATACTTTGAACACTGGGGCACGATACCTTTCACTTGATAATACTTGCCACACTCTGTATGGACGTCAGGTGCTAAGCTGGTGGGCACAGGCGCGGCTGTTGTAGCGGTCCCTCCGGCTCCGTTTGTCGCATAGGGATTCTTGGTAGAAGTTGCATTTCCAGGATAACTAACGCAGGCCATATGACCAACCAAGAGATCCATATTGCTGCATCTCGAGTTCAGCACCTGGTTCCAAGTCCGAAATTGAGTGATTGTGATGGAATATTTGCTCGCAAGGCCTTGGCAGGTATCGTCTTTTGTGACATTGTGCGTCTGGCAGCTTCCGATAACACACAGGGAGCCCTCAGTGGGGAAATTTGCACACCCGCTCTGTAATTTATTGTCGATAAGAAGGCGATATGTACTGACGTTGTTTGCGGCTGCAAAGCTATCGCAGGTATCCCCCTGTTGGATGGCCACTTGACGACCCTCACATGGTTTTGCTGTTGCAGTAGGTGCCACGGCACTGGTCAAGTAGTTAGCGGACAAGGGTGCTGTGGAAGCGAGAAAGGAAAGTATGCTGCTCAGGTGGCTCAGCTTACCTGGAGATCACAACGCTAGAAGGGTTAGGGGTCGGAATAGTGGTGACTTCGCAGCTTGAAGTGCGACTCGTGTATTGCTCCATCAAATCGTCAGCATAGAAGTATCCATTATTGAGCTTTTCCCGCAATGTCCGGAGTCTGCATTCATCACATTTATCAAGTCCTTCAGGATTTTGGAGCTTCAGAATGCAGTATTCGCCTTCGCCATCGACTAGGCAGCGCTGATTGTAGTTGGTGAGGTAGTAATCCGGCAGGACAATGGGCTTATACAAGCCCGAGCTGCCCTTGATGGTGGCGTTTTTGGCGCTGTCGTATTCATCATTTGCACAGGCGGCCTCAACGGCTTCCCGGTAGGACTTCAGGGAAGCTTTGCACTGTTCCGTACACATCTGACCCAAGACTTCGGCTGTAAAGTTACCATTCCGAGTGTACATAGTGTTACCAGTTTCGAGGAGCTTGCAGTCAACATCCGCTGTCAGGGCGCGGTTACATTCTGAAGAAAATGGCAACGGATTTGCAGGGTCGAAAAGATGAAGTTGAGCGTGTGCCGTTGACAGCGTCAGAATCAGCAAGGCCAACGTTGACAGCAAGCCGGGTTTCCTCGCTATACCGTCCTGCAGTAAGGCCATGGTCCTTGAGCTTCACCCTCACCGAAATAGTCAAGATGGCGCCTAATCTTCCGGGTCAGAATCGTCGCTTGATGCTCATCAGTGATTGGGGAAATACGTACTCGTGTGCGGCAACGAGCTACTAGGTACGTCAAAGATGCTTGTCAGAGATTATTTACCAGAGGATGTGTGGACCGTAATACTGTGTTGCCTCTATCTAGGATAGTGTAGGAATCTCCCACACTGAGCCGGCAGTTTGTAGAGACTGCCCACTGTAACCGATCTCCTGCCTTTTTGCTTCTAGCCTCTAGGACTCCATCCATGGCGCTCGTCACAAAAGGCAATAGTTCATATTTTCCACTCCAGCTTCTCAGGTCTCCGACTGGGGCAACACCCAAACAAATACTTGTAGAACATACTATGCAAAATGACGATTTGAAAGACAGTTTTTCTTATTTTACCAGCGTAGTAGAAAGGGAAGACTGATACCGAAATCGCTACGGAGGCACTGATTTCCATACAAGGACATCTTACTACTCCTTGTCAGAAAATAAGAGTAGATTTCCCAAAGGAATCATAAGCTGATGTGTATCAACTGATCACAGTTATCAAGTCCGAAGAATGCCTTGGTGAAAGAAAGCGTCGGCATACCTAGACCGTACCGCGCGGAATCTCGGCAAAACAGAAACACCGGCACATTTTCCGCCGAGCCCTCAGACAACCCCCAAGGTCGAGTGGATGCGACAACAAGATCCAGATCCAACAACGTCCTAACTACACGAGGTTTCGCCCGGTCCCTCCTCGAAAATACTGCTCGCAAGGAACCCTCTAGAATGGTGTCCCTCCGCTCCCTCCTCGGTCCATCGACCGCCGCCCTCCGCCAATTTCTTCCCCGACACAACAGCACCCTCCGCGCCCTGTCCCGGCCATTCTCGCAATTATCGCAACTCACAATTAACAATGGTCTGAGTTTTCTGCGGTCGAAATCCGTTATGCCCGGCGTTGGTGCTTCTGCTGTTAGGCAGGTGGAGCAGGTGAGGGGGATGAAGACGAGGTCGTCCGTGAAGCGGTTGTGTGAGGGGTGCAAGGTATGCATATTGTCCTGGGTATTTCTTGGTCTGCGGACCAGGATGTGGTGTCAGCGGGTTGTTTTGGAGGGCATTAGGCTAATGGGTGCGTTTGGGAATATAGCCTGTGCGGAGAAAGAACCGGGTTTACATTATCTGGTAAGTTCGGTTAATCTGGAACCTGGGATCTGGAAGTTGGAGTCTGGTTTATCAGTGGTGTGATGCTAATCTGGGAATTCGTGTAGCTCGAAGAACCCGAAACACAAGCAGCGTCAAGGGAAATAGGTGCAGGTGGTGATGGAAGAGAACGGAAGGAAGATACCCACCGATTCGACCATGAGATGAGGGCTTCGCTCGGGATCCCTTGCGAGAGCGAGGATTCTACTATCACAATGAAGCCACCGGGTTACCATCTCAGGCTCCCGAGTTAAGGAGTCGGACATATTCTCGACATTCGTCTGGACATTTTTCTACGGTTCAATGGGACATGACCAACTGGTTGGTTGCGGCGCATATGTTCTGTGTTGTATTATTTGCATGTAAATTAGATCTGGGCAATATCATTTACTCTTTACTTTTTGATTCTGGTTCCTCGGTTCGTCAAGGCTGGTCTGTTAAAGCGTCCCGTAGTATATGATATACGTACTGACTTAGTAGGCACGAAGTGAGTACTCACTACTCCTGTAATAAAACATGTATTTATGTTCATTCGTACAATTGTATCATAAATAAGTATAAACAGCGCCAAAAATATACATCCATATATTCTCACGATTGCAGAGGCTCACCCATTCCACCAAAGGTGACACTTTTGATCGTCATGAATTCCTCAATGCCATACTTGCTGCCCTCACGGCCAAAGCCACTTTGCTTGACACCGCCGAATCTAAACAGAAACACAGTTAGCTCTGAGCACCGAGGACAGGACACATAAGGGAGCAACTTACGGAGACGCAACATCGCTAATCAACCCAGTATTGACACCAACCATACCAACCTCCAGCGCCTCAGCAACACGGAAAATGCGCTTGACGTTCCCGCTGAAGAAGTATCCAGCCAGACCGACCTCAGCCTTGTTAGCGAGGTCAACAACCTCCTTCTCCGTCTCGAACGGGAACAGCCCAGCCACAGGGCCGAACGTCTCCTCCGAAGCAATCTTCATGTCCTTGCTCATATCCGTCAGGACGGTGAGAGCGTAGAAGTTAGGGCCGAGGTCAGATCGTCTCTGACCACCAGCAACAAGCTTGGCGCCCTTGGAGACGGCGTCCTGAACATGGTCGTCGACCTTGTCGACAGCGCGATCGTGGATAACGGGTCCATGAGTAACGCCTTCCTCGAAACCAGCCCCGACCTTGAAGTTCTTGATCTTCTCCACGAACTTCTGGACGAATTCGTTGTAGATGCCCTTTTGCACGTAGATGCGGTTTGCGCAGACGCAGGTCTGGCCGGAGCTGCGGAACTTCGAGGCAATTGCGCCAGTGACTGCGGCGTCGAGGTCGTCGACATCATCGAAGACGATGAAGGGCGCGTTGCCGCCGAGTTCCCAGGAAACCTTCTTGATAGTCGATGCGGATTGCTTCATCAGAAGTCTTCCGACGTTTGTGGAGCCCGTGAAGGAGACCTTGCGGACCTCTGGGTGAGTCGTAATCATCTCACCGACTTCGGGGGTGTTCTTCATAGCTGTAACAATGTTAACGACACCATTAGGGATGCCGGCGCGCTTGGCCAGCTCTGCGAGGGCATTGGCTGTGAATGGAGTCTCGCCCGGTGACTTTGTGACCACAGTGCAACCGGCAGCAAGAGCAGGTCCGATCTTGCGGGTGATCATAGCAGCGGGGAAGTTCCATGGCGTAATCAGGCCGCAGACGCCGACGGGCTGCTTGACGGTGATGACGCGGTTACCGGGTACAGAGGCTGGGATAGTGTCGCCGTAAATTCGGGGTGCCTCTTCGCTGAACCATTCGAAGAAGCTAGCGGCGTAGTTCACTTCGCCCTTGGCGTCGGCGAGGGGCTTGCCGTTCTCCCACGTAATTAATGTTGCCAGGTCCTCAGCGTTGTCGACCATGAGCTGGTACCATCGTCGGAGCATCCGAGCTCGCTCACGGGCGAGGGTTGTGCGGAACTTGGGGAAGGCCTCGCTGGCCGCCTGGATGGCTTTCTCGGTATCTGATGCGCTGAACTCGGGGCAACTTCCGATCAGTTTTCCGGTAGCAGGGTCTGAAATATGGTCAATGATTAGCATATACGTCCGCTGCTGGCAGTTTCGCAAGCTGTTTGCGCATGCATACCGTGGATCTCGAATGTCTTTCCGGACTCGGCATCTACCCACTCGCCATTGACAAAGGCTTTCTGGATGAATAGTGACTTGTCTTTCAGCTGCAAAAGCCTCGTTAGCTGAAGCTCCGAAAGCGCTTGAGAAGGCCCTACTCACCGGAGGCACTGTGTAGTCCGTCGTGTAGAGCCGTTGGGCGTTGTTGTGAGAAGGCATAGCGAAGGGATAACGAGGTCGTGACCGTAATAATTGCCTAGACAGAGAACGTGTAATCCTGTCCATCTTATGTCTTTCGATTCCTGGTCACCCGGTCGGGAACAAGACCGAAGAAGACCGCACAGCGGTTTGCTTTCCCTCTATTAGGTTTCGGAAGCGAGTTGGAGCTCTTGACTTGAAGCCGGCCGCGAAGATTAGTCGATTGCGGTAGCGCTGTCCGAGAAGGAATGCCAATCACTTAGACTAGGTCTCCCAAGATCGGACAGGAATATGCGATTCTGCTTACTGATTTGAAGAACGTCGAGAACCCTCAAGCTTGTCTTATGCAACTTTCTCCAATTCCTCTACGTCATGGTGAGCCGAGGGTCCTGTTCCGTTATTGGTTTATCATACCGCAGCTTATCGCTTAGCTCCAGACTTAGCCGTATCCACTGGCTAATAACACAGGCATTTTGCGATGAGAAACGCCTGTTCTATTAGCCAGTGGATACGGCTAAGCTAGCTCCCCTTCATCTGCTGCAGGCCAGAGCGTGTACTAAGGCATTTTATTGGTCTAAGTTGCCGACAGTGCTCGGCCTTTTGTGCGATGCTCTTAGTATAGCCATTTACGAAAAAGAAAGATGAGATACGGATGCATTGTTAGGGTATCATCATATGCGTCGTGACTGGCGTCTTAGTGAGACTACTTCAACATAAGGTTGTCATCCGGACCTGTCTGAGTCGTATCCAGACTGCGCGCCGCTGCGGGTTTGTGACTTGTCTTTTGGTCGATAGCTTGGATGCATCGTTTTTAGATGCTGATTTAAGTTCCATGTTCGAGAGAATCCCTTCTCATGGCGGCGGCAGTTCTTGAAAGGACACACCAAGATATGCTCCCTCTTAGTACTATTGTCTCTGGAAGACAGTGCCCTCTCGTTGGCTCTGACAACAACTCTGCCAGCCGGCGAAGCAGAGCGCTTTCCAATAGACGTACCACGACTTGCGAGCGCCGAACGTGGAGGAGACTCATCGAGGTCCATCTCGTCTTTTGTAGATGTCCAGTCAAACATATCGTCCATGACGGCTTGGTCATGGTCTCCATAAAACGTTGGGAATTCCACGTCTTCGCCCACTAAAGCAGAAAATCTCTCTGTGGCACGCCGAAGCACGGCTGGCGGCAAGCCTACCATAGAGGCAACACCTGCCACATCCCTCCAGTCTGTTAGCTCTGTTCGACCAGTGCTGTTGGCCGATGTGGAACGTGCTCCGCGTCCTAAACTATGCGCACTCTCAACGCGAGTGCCACTCTGCTGAGATGATTGGGATGCTCTTCGTCTGCGCTTGCGGCCCCGCGAGTAGCTTCTCCCTGCCATCCTCTGTGATCGCTGATTTCCAGAAGATGAAGCCCGCCTGTCAAGTTTTCTATCGGTGTGGTGCTGGACTTCCGAGTCATCCTCTGTTCGCATGTTCCTGGAGTAGGAGCTGCTCATATCAGATGCCAACGAGGAACTCCGTGCACGCCCCCTGCCTCTTGATCGGCTTCGATTCGACCGACCATCATCAGATTGCGACGCCCCGTGAAAACGGTGAAGTCCCACCAGCAGATTTTCGAAATGGGCAATCACATTTCGAGCAAGTGGGCGTAGCTTTCGGCGCGATTCATCGTCATCTATCTGAGCGATCGGGCGAAGAGGCCGTCGCAAGCCCTCCTCTTCATCCTCCCAGTCTGTGGTTTCATTGCCCTTCGTATCGGCCTGGCCTTCCTTTTTGTCAGACTTGGCCGTATCGTTTTCTGGCTGGGGAATTGTTTTGCTGTCTGAAGCCGTTAACGCAGCCCATTCCCTTGACTGGAACCTTTCCTTTGCTATTTTCGATAGGAACGCCGTGATGCACTCTTCAAGCTCTGCACTTGGCCGTGCATCTGGCTTCATTCTGAAGGTCCATCTATCATCCTCCAACCGTCGAAGACGCTCATCCGCGCGTGGGACTTCGTCGCTAGGCATAGGCCATGCTGTCCATTCATCAAGGATGCCTAGTAGGTCGTCGTGGGTCAATTCGTCGTCATTGGTGTCATCTTCATCCAATTGGTCTGTGTTCGCAAGCCCCTGCGACTGCATGACATGCGCATTGTACAAATGCGCTGCCAAGTCCCTGGAAACAGTCTCTCGTAAAGCTTCCGCAATCTCTCTATCGTCTCTTGTCAATTTCAACCACAGACTTGGCCTGTGGTTAAGTCTGTTAGGGCGATATGGAGGCGAAGTAGAACCCTCCGGGCTTTCTCGCGTCTTCAAGGTAGATTTTGCACGCGAGCCCGGTGATGAGCGGGCAATAGTAAAGCCCTTCCTTGGGGAAGTGGACAATTCCACATCACTGGTTTGGATGTAGTCAAGATCATCGTGGGACTCTCCATACTGAAGGCTTGGGCCGGACGCAGCGGCGCCGTCAAGTTGACTTAGGGCTTCCTCTTCTTTGTAGGGTAAAGAGTGGCCCTCATCAACAGTTACCTGGCTAGAACCGCCAAATAAAGATCGATACCGCTGTGCAGATGGAGGAACACCTGATTGTGATTGGCTGTCCGAGTAGAAGGACATGCCTCGAACTTCATGACATGGGAATCAGCGGCCGGTTTATACAAGCTTCTCAAAAGGACGATATTTCAAGCATGAAGTCCTTCGTATTCGCACCCTTGTGCGAGGATATTGGAGTGTTTAGAATCACGGCGAGGATGCTGGTTTGCAGATTTGTAGATAAAGTTGACGATAAGATATGGGGTTTGTACTGTTTGCATATAAGCACGTGCTATCTGCCCCACTTTGTCGCTTCCTTCTCTCGCTCCATCCAGTGATCACAATCTTGGTCATATCCCTCCCGTTCTTCTTTGAAAGCCTCGTCGCTTTCATTGTCTTCGTTCGTTTCCATCAGCTTAACCGCTTTTTGGCCTGCTTCAATAGCGGCTTCAATCACATCGTAATCTTCGATGTCCAGTTCGAATTGCTCGACCAGACAGTGGCCGAGGAGATTGTAAGCTGCTGCCTTTTCCCGGTTGCTTATAGTCATATCGCCCTCTGCTACATCAACTGCTGTTTGGGCCGCTGCTATTCCTCTCTCCACCCATTCGGTCTGCTTTAGGGATCCAACCTTATCATGTGAATTTGCATACCATTTAGCAGCGCGCCGAAGGCGCTCAAGAAGCTTTCTAGTATGCTCATCAGATGTTTTTGACACGGCCTTGTTCAAGCTATCAGCCACTCCGAGCAAATCGTTCATTCCACGACGCTCTTCATAGCGTAGCTGCTGTAATAAAGCCAATTTATCCAGGGCTTCCGCCTGCTGTTCACCTTGGTCCTTGTCCTTCACCGATTCCAGAAGATGCGCAACAAGCTGTTCTTGTGCATATATGGCAGAGTTGAGCCCTGGCCCCTGGCAAATTGCAGCTCTTAGAGCCGTTTGGTATTGGTCATGGAAGTTTTTCTCTGAGGCCTCATGGACCTTGAACGTAGCATCATAAACTCGTTGTGGGAAGGTAGCTCCATAATATTGCGAAGGGGCCATGGTCTGTTTCAATGCTTCCAGATTGAGGGACGGATCTTTAATCCAGCGTTGGTAGTTCATGATCATGCTCTTGGGGTTCTGCTCCGGGTCGCCGCATTCGCGTATAACCCACTCGGCGAGTTCGAAGGCTGCCTTGTAATTTTGTTCTTTTTTCGTGTCGTTATGCTCAGCTCGGCGCTCCAGGAGCCTAATCTTGTCCCCCAAAAGCTCAGCTCGAAGCTCACTGTCTTCACCACATGCCTCAATTGCCTTGTCGACATAATCCACGGAAAGGTCCAGAAGACTTAGATCTTTGTTCCAGTCCTTGTCGAATTTGGCCGCGTGAAGGGCCGTAATATCCCATAGAGTTCGAGCGGTCTTCTTCCAATCACCAATTTCCTTCCAGATTTTCAAAGCCTCGTCAAACGCATATAGCGCCTTGCTGAAATCCCCATACCTCCCAGCCTGGAATAGGCGGAAGTGGCAGTCTGCCTTGACAGCTAGCCGCTTCGCCTTTTGGCGCACGCTCTCACTATCAAGTAACGTATTCGCCGCCTTCTCTAAGTACTTAAGCGCGTCGTCAAGGTCGGCATCACAGGGCTCGTTTGAGCGCCGATGTCTCAAGTTAAGGTAGTTGGCGGCGCGGAAGCAGCATGTGCGTAGAAGCGGGTTCATGGAAGAGCAGACTTCAACTGCCCTTCGCGCGCAGAGGATAGCGCTGTCGAGTAATTTTGGGTCATGGTTCTTCAAGTAGAACTTGTGGTGGTGCTTTGCTAGAAAGTCGCAGGCTGGTGCGTCTCTCAGGGTTGAGAGGGTATCTTCTATCGCAACGTCTGAGTCGCTTTCCATTGTCAAGTACGCAGTCAGTTTAAGGGCCCCGATTGTTTGAGAACGTTTGAGACATATAAAAATTCGTCTGAGGGAAGGATGTTGTTGGTTGAGCGGGAAACCCACAGGGGCTCGTAACCACGGTGACATTTTCCTGACAATCGGCTGTCATGAAAAAAATGGTACTTAGGGCTATAAGAACGAGCCTAAAGATGAGTATCACCTCCGCCGAGAACAGTCTACTGCGTTTTTTTTAGAATCGTGAGGAAACACTCATCTGTACTCTAAACTGCAATTTATGTAGAAGCGCTGCTGAGTCTATAGACATGACACGAAAGATCAAATACGCCTTAACTACCTAACCAACAATCCCCATATCAATCGATGGATATCATTGTATCACCTAACTTTTGATTAATGCTTCCTCAATTATTTTCCGGCACCCTTCTCAACCTTTCTTCGCTTGGAGCGCAGCTTGGCAGCCTCATCCGCGGTCTTCTTGTTCGAGTACATCATCTTCTCCAGCAGCTTGCGCTTCTTCCTGCTCATCATCATCTTCTGTCGTTCGAGCTCCTCTTCCTCCTCGCGCTTCTTGGAAGCGCGCTTCTTAGCCTGCTTCTTCTTGGCTGCTGACTCGTCGGCAGCACCATTGGAGGTGAACGGAAGACCGGCGGCTTCGGCCTCGAGTTCCTTCTGGTGCTGAGTGCGGGCGGTCTCTTCCTCGTCCTCTGACTCAGAGCCGGCATCGGCGTCTTCGATGCCCGCGAACTCATCCTCTTCTTCCTCTTCCTCCTCGCTCTCATCCTCCTCGTCGTCGGTGACGGCAACGTCCATACCACCGTCAACGGATTCGTCCTCGGACTCGGACTCCTTGGTCACGGCGGCGGCCGGCTTATCCTCGCCAGCTTCCTCCATCTCTTCGTCGCTCTCCTCCTCCTCATCTAGATCGGCTTCGCCTTCTTCTTCCTGCTCGGCCAAGCTGGCGCGAGGATCGTAGCCGCCCTTCTTGGACTTGACCCATGGGCTAAGATGGGGAGGGAGAGTGGCGCCTGGCGCATACAGATCGGGGCGGAGAAGCTTGCCCTCGTTAATGGAATCCCAGATCCACTGAGGCTGGATGTAGGTTCGGCCAGGAACCCGAGTGCCGGGCTTCACAGTCTGCACGGCACCTTCGCCATCCGCAGCATTGGGGATAGCGGGAAGAGAGGACTCAGGAAGAGACGGGCGATCCACGATCTGGTGTGTGATGCGGGGATCGGCCTCGTTGTGAGTGAAAGCACCGCCTCCGAGAACAGTGTCCCATCCAATACGCTTGCAGCCGAAGGAACGGAGGATGAATTCAAGAGGGGCCTTGGGGGCTTCTCGGGAAATGTAGAAGGTGAATGGGGCGAAGAGCGAGCCAGCCTGGTCGCCGCTCAAGTCAGGCTGAGGGAGGGTGTCGGCCTCGGGCGCCGTCGTCTCGAACTTGTCGATTTCGTCTGTAACCTCCTCCGCTGTTTCAGTGGGCTGTTCATCGCTAACCTGATCCAAACCGGCCTTCTTGATAACCTTGTCGACCTTCTTTTGAATCTTAGCGGAGACTTCTTTGTTGGCGGCATCGCCCGAGGGCTTGTTCGCGGCTTCGATGGCCTTCGGGGCATCTCCGACTGTGCGCCCTTCCAGCGTGAAAGCTGCCAATTCTGCTCCATTCTCGTCCAGGCGAGTGTCGAACTTTGGGGGGTATCGGAGACCGAGCGAGGAGTACAGGCGGTAGTTGACAAATCCAAGAAGGGTGGTGTAGAACTCTACAAACGTAGCCATAATTCGATAATCGACATCACCATTGACTCGCTGCACGAACCGGTAAGGAACCAGCCACATGATATCCTGGCCTTGAATTGTCGCCTGGTAGTAGATACCCTTGATCGAGAGGAAAGACTTGCGCAGAGAGTTGGTTGTGATCAGGTAGTGTTGGAATTCGTGAGTGACCCGTTGGCACAATGCGATAGTCTTGGGCGGGACATGGTTGGTAGACGGCAGGTTCGCGAAGAGGAAAAGAAGAGACAGCGCATCGTCGAGATCTCTGAGGGCATCGATAAAGGTCGGGTAGCGCTCCTTGATGACATGGTCCAGAGACAATTTCGGCGCATGGTTCTTCTCCAAGCGGGCCGCATCGCCGACTTCTCCACGACCGAGGGATCGAGCAATCTTTTTCGCAAGCGCCTTCTGTTCACGGAACTTGCGGAGCAATGGCTCATGCAGAAGGTATTGGATATCCTTTGTGTAGTAGAAGGTCGTGTTTTGAGTAGCGGACTTAGAGGCCTTCTTCTTGCTCCGAGGCTCACGGGGGTAGATCCCTGCGCGATTGCATTAGTATTTGCCTTGCCGTCCAGGATACATGTTCGCTATGTCCTGGGTATGGTAGATGCAATGAACACAAACCTTTGAAGATGCATAGTCGACGGAAGTCTGGCAGCGAAATCTGGAGTTTGCGCACCGCCTGGGTTCTGGTGATATAGTTTTTGGCCTGGCCAGAGGTTCCTATGAGGCGGAAGTTAGAATTTGATGCATAAGCACGATGAGTACCAGTTCCGTACCCTTCTTCTTGATTTTGGCCATGATTGCGACGTCGGTGGTAGAATGGATGAAAGATGGGAGGAAAGGCTTCTGGTCCTCCAAAAATTTGAACTTTTTTTCCGCAGAAAAGCTCGGGTGGCCCGTGCTCAGAACGCCCGCGGAGTCTTGGCACGTGAATCGCGGACAAGGGACAGGTGGAGTGCAGACCACTTTCATATGAATTCCCTCTAGCATCAAAGGGCCATTCTTGCGCTGCATTGCTCGGCCTCGACGGTTGATACAAGTAATTATGCCTATTGATCGCAGGAAGGCCGCTGTGTTCGGAGGCGCTCTCGCCTTGCGGCTTCTCCTCCTACTCCTGTTTCCCTCCCTGCCCGACTTACTGACTGGCCGAGTGGAGGTCTCGACGCCAGTGACCAGCTTCAAGAGACGTAAGATACTAAGCCTTCCTGATAACTATGGACACCTATTGACATATGTGTACAGTCCAAGAAGGCCTCTTCCTCTATAACCGCAATGTGTCACCTTACGACGGAGGCGTCTTCCACCAAGTAAGTCGCGAGGATCGAGCACCCAGGAGCTTTGCTAACTGAGTACAAAGGCGCCCCTTCTACTCCCAATATTCTCGCTTTTGCCGAACGCCCATCAGTACCCTCTTCCAACCGCGCTCCTCTACTCGCTGATCGATTTGCTTAACGCGAATGCCTTGGTAACCATTTCCGATTCCGCTCAGGCAGTGTCCGGGAGACTGTACACGTCAATAAGGAAACAAATAAAGTGGGACGGCGCTGTGGTCGCAGCATGGTACGGAAATCGCCGATAATGGGAATTCATGACGCTGATATGAACTAGGTTCCTGTTTAACCCCTTCACTATTGCAACTTGCCTTGGCCGCTCAACCGCAGTATTCACCTCGACCGGGATCCTCTATGCCCTTTCCGCGGCCGTCCAAGGTCAAAGCCTCAATGCGATGTTCGCACTAGGACTTGCGTCGTACCTGTCGATCTACCCGGCCCTTCTGTTCATCCCGCTTGTCCTCCTTTGCTATGATCGACACGCCCAGCGCAGCCCAAGCCCTCCGTCCCCAGTTCTGTTCGTGGCTAAACACTTCCTCGTCTTTCTTTCTAGCATATTGGCACTCCTTGGCATTTCTCTCCTGATTATTGGCGACTTTCCGACTCTTATCTCCGCAACGTACGGTTTCCAGCTGCTTGTTCCGGACCTTACGCCTAACATTGGCCTTTGGTGGTACTTCTTCATTGAGATCTTCGACTCCTTCCGGGACTTTTTCCTCGGTGTCTTCTGGCTCCATCTTACAGCGTACGCTGGCAGTCTTTCTGTGCGGCTACGCCGACAGCCTCTATTCGTCGTTACCTCACTATTGGGGATTTTTGCAGTCTTCAAGCCGTATCCCAGCATTGCAGATGCCTCTTTGTACTTTGCTGTTCTCCCGCTCTACCGGCATCTTTTCCCTTGTGAGCATTCCCGTTCTCCTCTGTTCGTTACGAATGCTAACCGAACTAGTAATGCGCTACACCTTCTTCTCCGTGTCGGCTCTTCTCTACGCCTCTTTACTGGGCCCCGCTTTTTACCACCTCTGGATTTACGCGGGCTCGGGAAACGCCAACTTCTTTTATGCAATCACCCTAGTATGGAGTCTAGGCCTTTCGCTTATCCTGGCTGATACAATATTCGCCGCCCTCCGCGACGAATGGGAGCAGGAGAACCCCGACAAGCGCGGCAAGACCGTCAAACAAGTGTAAATATACTCGCATCTATAAAAATGTCCATCGAAGTCTAGATAGTTGCTAGCGCAAGCTTTTGGACATAATCATATAATCAGCCTCCTTTACTGTCCCATTCCGTAACTTGCGCGGCCGCGGAGAGTTCTCGTCCTCTTCGTACCCCACCCTTGTGTAGAACTTGATCGCGCGGCTATTCGACTTGAAAACCGTCAACATCGCCTTCACAACTCCAATCCGCTGTCCTATCTTCTCAAACCGCTCTAGCAACGCCTCCCCTAATCCCTGCCCCTGGACCTGGGGGGTAAGGTGGATCTCATAACAATAGAGTACCTCGTATCCGTCTTCGTACGTGACCATGAATTCGAGGAAACCTGCGAAGTCTCCGGTCGAGTCATTCCCTTCACCTGCATCTCGATCTTCATCGGGCACAGCGTTCGCGTCCACTGCAGCTGAACGCCGTCGCAGAACCATATACTTCATGTCAGGGAGTTTCATTTCCTTCCTCTTCTCGACCGGTGACCAGCCCATACTGGAGCTCTTATATGCGGCTGATGACGTGAGCTCAATGAGCCGGAAGCATAGGGCCAGCTCAGAGGCGGGAATTGTGGCTGCTGTGTAGATTGAGAGGTCGTATACGACTCTGGTGGCCTCTTGAGTTTGAGGGACGTCTACGTTGGGTTGTGGTTTGGGTGTTAGGTCTGAATGTCCTGCGGGTGCTGTCTTCCTTTTCGTCTTCTGGAAACTCAGTTCCGATGGCGGGATGTATAATGCTGTGAACTCCTCCAGAGATAACGCATTTGTGCGCTCCACTAAAGGAATTGGTTTTGGTTTTGATGTTGATGTTGGTTTGCCTGCGAGCCGTTAGCTACCATATTCGGTTCAACCTTACAGCCGTGTGGTTATGGCGTTGTTGAGCTTCCGCGCCGTGGAAGAGCAATCGAACCAAGAGGATGCAAGAGAATACTTACCGGAACTAGACTTCTTAAGCTTTTTCTTTAACCTGTCCTCCAGATCTCGCGTCGCGCGGCGAACTTTCGGCATAGTGGATGACTGGGAAATGATTTCGCGGTGGCGTCACGGCGTGTCTAGTATTTGCGGGGATGGTGTGCGTGTAATATAGTTCAGCTAATAGCTGGATCAGGCTTTAACTGGTAGTTCTGCAAAAATGTGTTGTATGGAAATTTGATGCAGAACAAAAGTTGATGATGATGGCCCGGGGATACTTCGCGTCCGCGTCGGAGCTGGGTTTGATTCCCGAAGTATACCCCGTTTGACAAGAAAGAGTTAACTCTATTAAGCAATTTGACATACGATAAGTTATTCAGCCGTGCCTCCGACGAGAAGATCAATTGTTTATCGGACTGATGTGAGCTTTCCCAAAGCCGATTTGATGTTCTTGTCGAGGGTGCTACGGTTATATATTTGAGTAATTAGGGTTATCAAACAACAAGCAGCAGCGCAAATGTGGCGGTATCCCGCACGCAAGGCAGCCTCGACGGCATTCTCAATCTCATGGGGTTGAAAAGCTATTTTTTTTTTAGCATCGCTAGTTCAACATACTGTCAGAGTAGAACGAAACCATGTGCCCAAGCTTCAGCCATGCTATGTAGATAGTGATGGCGCAATGGCCGATTCGTTATTGCGTGCTCAGGTACATACTCATGTCCTATGAGCATAAACAGGGCTACTACCCCCTTAGTTATCTTACCTTGGGTCTAAGCCTTGATTGCATGCTTAATAAAACCAAGCGTGAGCAAATAGGTGTTCTAACAACTGCAGCCGAAGTACATCAGTTTGTGGGAAGGAGAAGGATCCATTGAAGTATGCATTTAGTTTGTTGATTATGTTGAATCATTATGATCGGATAAGGGAGAAGAAGCTATAGTATACAAGCAGATTGAAAGTATCCCAATCGACGTGGATTCGGGACAGAACAGTGAGAAGTAAATGGCGGGGCAGTCACGGGATGACGCACTTGGCACGACTGCCCCGCCGTAATTTTGAGGCCGAAAAAGAAGTGGGCGGGATGCTTTGAGTCAACAATATCCCAAGCCCTAGTCTCCTCTCTATCGCCCCTCCTTCTCGCTCACGCCGGTCAATCGCCGTGATATCCAACCGCAATCATGGCGACTGATATGACAAACCCCGTTCTGGACGCCCTGTCCGCGTCCGAAGGGCCGATCCTCTCCAACGAAGCCTTCCCCTCCGTCCCCTCACAAACCGTCAAGGCGGCGCTCGATCGGCTCGCCTCACGACTGATGGTCGAATATGAAACATTCAACAGCGAGGCTTTGATTGTGACAAAGGAGGGAGAGGATGTCGCAGCCAATGGCAGTCACGAAGCGAGGGTCTACCAGGCAGTGCTTGCTGCTATGGAAGGTCTGAAGATCAAAGAGCTGCCTGAAGTCGTCGGAAAGGAAAACGCCCAGCTCGGACAGGGAAGCGCCTTTAAGAAGGGATGGATTAAAAAGGATAAGGACGTCCTCCGTGCGGCAGCCGACACCATTGTTGACGACACTCAAAACGACGTTAAGAAGATCCAGCGGGGCGAGACCGTGTCGGACGCCAACGTTCTCAAGGAACTCAAGAAGCGCAGGCTCGTCCTTCCGAAGAAGGTCATCACCTTCAAGATTACCAAGGGCCCCAAGTACGCCAAGGAGCTGGTCAAGGAAGAGACCGACTTGACGGCGGACATGCTCCAAAACGGATCATGGAAGACCGCTACTTTCAAGCCCTACAACTTCAAGGCCATGGGTGCGGCTACTCCGTCCGGAGCTTTCCACCCCCTCAACAAGGTTAAGCAGGAGTTCCGCAGCATCTTCTTCGAGATGGGTTTCGAAGAGATGCCGACCAACCGCTTCGTGGAGACAGGCTTCTGGAACTTCGATGCCCTCTTTGTGCCTCAACAGCACCCCGCTCGTGATCTTCAGGATACATTCTACATCTCCGATCCCCTTACCGCTGACCGTCCCCGCGAAGACCCCGAGAACGACCCCCACCGCCCCAAGCCAGTACTCAAATCTACCGGCGAGGAGAAGAAACTAGACTACCAAGAATACTGGGAGAACGTTCGCCAAGTCCACGAGAATGGCAAGTACGGATCGATTGGTTACCGCTACCCATGGAGCGCCGACGAGTCGCTGCGCCTTGTTCTCCGCACACACACCACCTCTATCTCGACGTACATGCTGCACAAGCTCGCCGCTAACCCACGACCTGCGCGGTACTTCAGTATCGACCGTGTCTTCCGTAACGAGGCCGTTGACGCCACCCACTTGGCGGAGTTCCACCAGATCGAAGGTGTCATTGCCGATTTCGACCTGACCCTAGGAGGTCTGATCGGCTTCATGGAGGTCTTCTTCGCCAAGATGGGCATCCACAAGCTGCGCTTCAAGCCCGCCTACAACCCTTACACTGAACCTTCTATGGAGATCTTCGGCTACCACGACGGGCTGGGCAAGTGGGTAGAGATCGGAAACAGCGGTATGTTCCGACCGGAGATGTTGGAGCCTATGGGTCTTCCCAAGGACATGCGCGTTTACGGATGGGGTCTCAGTCTGGAGAGACCTACGATGATCAAGTAAGTCTGGCGTAACTACATAATATGGCGACAGTAGGCTAACTTTTCTAAAGGTACGCGGTGAGCAACATCCGAGAACTGCTCGGCCACAAGGTCGACCTCAATTTCATCGAGACGAATCCGGCTGTCAGATTGGAGAAGGAATAGATCTGAGTGACTCTGCATTTTACACTTCCGACCTGGCGAACATAGAGATCTTGAAAAAGAATAAGCATGATATACCCTTTTCAACCTTGACTTCAGTAGGAGTGCGCGACCACAAAGATGGAGAGCCATGGCTTGCCGAAGTTTATCATTTTCATTACTCCGTAAACTAACCCCTTTCCTACGTAGGGTATCCATATACCTGGCTCAATATAAATAGCCTAAAAATTAAACACACGGCGGACCACTATCTTAAGCACGCAATGTCCCACCCGTATCTGTGCCCCAGCGCACAACTCTGCAGCAGTGGCTCTTCAGCAGGCGGCCAGTAATCTTCGGCAGTAGATGAGTTGATTACGATTCTACCTCCTCGCTCATGGGGAGGAGCAGATGTATGTTGCGAGAACATTCAATCCAGTCCCGGGTGAGGAGGTATCGAGCGCCGGTATAGCAAAAGACAAGCACAAGACAAGGAAACTGCAGCGAAATATAAAAAGAAAAGAAAATAGGATGGAAATGAAATGGATTCGAAATTTTAATTCTTTAAGACTGAACTGAACATAGTATCAGACGTAGCGTAGCGGTAGCGTAGAATCTGACCACAGATCATCTCATCTCATTTCATTCCTATACGCCGCGGAAAACCAGTGTTAGCCTTCCATCCCTCCCAAAAGAACAACTCTGAACAAGCGAGCAACTCACCACCTAAACACCCATCCCTCACAGAAACGCAGATTTACCGCTGGCGGGAGGCAGTCCAGACGTTGCGGATGTAGCCATCGCGCTGGGTGAGGCGGTTAAGCGAGTCGTCGCTCTCGCCGCGGGCACGGATGAAGCCGCACAGGGCGTAGGACTGGTTCTCGCCGGTGTAGCGGCCGTTCTCGTCGACCTTGCCGATGGAGATCTGGACGGAGGCGTGGTCGTTGGCCTTGATGATGCGGTTGGTGGCGCTGCACTTGCGGGGGACGTAGCTGTGAGAAGAGGAAGTGTTAGTTATTGGTGGTAATTGCTTTGCGCTTTTCCGGATTTCCTGATGTTCACTAGAATCTCTTTTCGAGGGTTTGAGAAGAGCAAGAGCGGACGGAATGGACTGAGATATCGGGCGAAAAATTGTTCAATGCGAATCTTTCTCTTTCGGAGAGTGAATATGCCTCTCACGTCTTGTTGTCCGATATCCATCCCATCCCACCTCGCTCTCCTTCACGGTCCGATTCAAGGTCCAAATGTCCAACAGAGTAGGAACTGCACAAGGTGTACGTACAGGTCGACGATATCTCCCTTCTCGTTCTCCATTTTGGCGGTAGTCTGTTGTCTGAGGTCGACGACGAACGGTGATAGACGAGGGTGCGCTGCGGGTTGGGCTGGACGGTCGTTGTCGAACTTTTGGCCTGCCGCGATTTCGGGCAGCCGGTTTCTGTGGGTCATGTGATTTTTGTCGAGGGTTAGTGGGCCCCGGCTGTGGCACGGCTCTTGGCCCAGCTGTGGCGGTGGCTTTAGTTTTCTCGTTCTACCTGTGTCGTGCCTTTGATTTCAGGTGTCAATACAGAGAACTATGGCATTACTATCTTGTGGTTTATCTTCTATCAAAGACTGCTCTTCCTTCCGGGAAAGATATCCTTCTTCCAGGCGAGGCTGAGCTCGCGGGCACTCCCCTTCTGGAATCGCACGAGCACCGCCCGTTCCGACTCCCCTTGGCGATCTGTTCCCTCCAGCTCTGGGCCAGGGTGTTCCAATGTCAGAACAGCACGCCCGTCTTCTGCATACTTGCCGACCTTGGGAGAAATGCACTTTTCCGTCCATGGAGGGCTCCCGGAATGTGCGAACTCTACCAGCTGCGTGCGTCGCTGCTGCAGTTCATCTGCCGAGGATGTCCGGGGCTCCTTATCAAGGAACTCAGCTACCAGTTTCAACAAGACAAACTGCGGCGGAAAGAGGATGATCTCGCCTTGCGCGGCTTTGCTAAGCCATTCAGATGCAGGTAAAAATTGTGCTTCGGCGATCTCGACTCCCCCATCGTTTGTGGGAATTTGAATTTCCTCACGCTCGCCCTCCGCCGGTATCTCGCTCAACAGCGACTGCTCTGACTCGAGTGGCAAGGGCAGGAAATAGAGATACATCTGCGTAGTGTAGCGCTTTGGGACATTTATTGGAGTTACCCATCGTGTGAAGGGAATTAGGTTGTCTACCTTGCATCAGCTGCCTGCACTCAGGGAAAAAGGAGAAATGGCACCGAACCTATATCTGGCACAGCTGAAACATCCTGCCTCCTCAACCAATCTGAGAACGTCGTTTGCTTTTGATGGATTACCTGTCGGCCTTTCTGGCGTTCTTCTTCTCCAACTGCGATCATTTTACCAGAGCTTTGGTCCTTGGCGAGGAGAATCCCGCTCTCTTCGAACAACTCGCGAATAGCGGCGTTGCGATACCAAGGCGCATCCTCATGTCTCTTCACATCTCCTGGAGGCGGACACTGCCCATCCTGGAGAGATAGATTTCCTCCAGGGAACACATGGGCTGATGCGAAAGACGTGGATGTTTGGACGCGATGCAGAAGAAGTATCTCATTCTTTGGTGATATCAAGACCACACTGGGCAGAGTTAGCGTCTGCTTTCGCGCTGCGACATGGGCAACCGCCACTTACCTCGAACTAGGCCTCGGCTCGGCTGGTTGTTTCTTTTGCTTGGGCGGCATATTCTGAGATGTGGCCGACTGTGACTGTGGCGTAGATGAACTCGACCTGGAGAGACAGGATTGTGAAATGATGATCCAGGAAGGAGTCGAAGTTGGCCGGGATCGTTGTGGACTTGAGGGTAATAAGCCTTGGACAGGGTTGAGCTGACGACTGTATAGCCAGGCGGCTGATCGATGCACAGGGGTCACAGGGTTCATGGCCGAGGGCTTTTATGGATTGACTATGAGTCTCGATCGTCGCGTGTCGGTCGTTGGAGGATCAACTCTGGCTGCCGAAGCGGAACCTCGGTAACCCCGCGTTTACCGGACAGCGTCAGACGGTGTACCAAATTCAGATCTAGACGAGCATCTAGATGTTGACTAACATTTAGCACGGTCGGAGGCTATACCTGATCAGAGGGAGATCAAGCACTGCACGAATGGGCCTGGGATGAGCTGGCGTTGGCTCTATATCTGCATCGAGCCCCACCTGATATCAGCCCTAGTTTCTCCCCATGCATATCACGACATGTCGAACATCAAAGCCTTTGCTTCAAAACAGCGTAAGCCTTCAATTCGTTGGAGCTCAGGTCCAGGTGCCATGATGTCGGCAAGTCGCACGGGCAACGTGATTCGAGAATCCTGGAAGGCAGGCCGAAGTTAGATTGCGAGACAGTATGAACCTACGGCCAACAACAGCAACTTACTATCAATAAGCACCACATGGCAAAGGGGTCCAGGTGTTTCAGAATAGACGACTTGATGTCTGGGGCGGCCACGAGGGATGACCATGTCGAGGCCAAGGCAGGACTGGCCCTAGTCCGCTCAGTCTGTCCAGGCAGGCAGGCAGGCACAGCGATCTATCACAAAAAGCGAACGTCATCCTGGAGCCTCAACCTGAAGCTTCGTCAGGAGAATTTCGGGACTGCAGCGCATTTATCCTTTCCACGGCGACTCCCGGGTCGTCAACTCCAGGTCCGGAACGCTCCTCCGTGAACCTTCACCATCTCGCTGCCTGCTCTCGCCGACATTTTGACTTTCAGGAACTGATGCCCGGCTCCGGTCCAATGGGAGATAACCGCCGCAGGCAGCAGTTGGGCATGGAAGCAGATGGAGTTTTTGATTAACAAGCAGTGAGTCAGGCCAAACCTTGCTGCCTCCGTCTACTTAATTCTCCTTCAACCTCGATCTCCTCTTCCCTCCTCCATCCTTCTTCCTTCTCCTTGACCCCCCTTCTCCCCCTTCCTTTTGTTGTGCAATCTTGTCGGTCATCTACTAACGTCATGCAGTTGCTTCATCCTTATCAATGCGTTTGCCTAGCGACTTTAGTCTGTCAAGTCTTCGGATCTTCAAGTGAGGACGAACGGACATACGCAAGTGTCTCCGTTCTGAACTTGATTGTGCTTAGACTTCCAGCCTCATCGTCGCTAGGTCGAGCATTGAGGCGTCTGGTGTGCTTGGTTGTTGATCTTCAGACCTTCTCGATAGAAGATGTCCCAGAGATGGACGCATCTCTCGGCTCTTGTATCTTGTTGGGAAGTCGATCGGAGTCGGTCTGACCATCGTGATAGGAGATGTCAAGAGATGGACGCGCGGTCTCTTGACTCTTGTATCTCGATGCGAAGTCGACGGCAACCTTGCTATCCAGACGTTGGGCTCTGTGGCATACAGCATGACGCTAGGGATACTGTGAGATTCATGACTGAGGAAGGGGTTCCGCTCATTCCTGATCCACCTCTTATCCTTCCGAATTTCACACTTTCTCTTCTTGCTCTGCTGGCTCCGTCATCCTCCAGCTACCTCTTCCATCCTTGTCTAGCAGGTGCGTCTCATCACTAAGCTCACCTAATTCATCTCCCTTGTCCATATCCTTCCGCAATTCCACACTTTCTCTTCTTCCTCTGCTGGCTCCGTCATCCTCCAGCTACCTCTTCCATCCTTGTCCAGCAGGTCCGTCATCACTAAGCTCACCTAATTCATCTCCGTTGTCCTTGTCCAGCTGGTCCGTCATCACCAAGCTCACCCAACTCATCACCTTCATACCCTTCCGCATCCACATCGCGATCCCATCCTCCGAACCATCCCATCCTCCGAGCGATCCCATCCTCCGAACGATCCCATCCTCCGAACGATCCCATCCTCCGAACGATCCCATCCTCCGAACGATCCCATCCTCCGAACGATCCNCGATCCCATCCTCCGAACGATCCCATCCTCCGAACGATCCCATCCTCCGAACGATCCCATCCTCCGAACGATCCCATCCTCCGAACGATCCTATCCTCCGAACGATCCTATCCTCCGAACGATCCTATCCTCCGAACGATCCTATCCTCCGAACGAAGCGACACACCGCAAACCATACAATACATCTATACACTGAACCATACTAACAAAACACAGCTTTTGCACCCCCCAAGGCCCTGCCCGGGACACACTCTTTTCCCTCTACATTTTTGAGGTTTTACGGAGTGCCCTCCCTCCCATCTCGTCCTTATGTACGGATGGTTACGAATGTTCGCCTCTACGACGGGCCATACCGGTAGAGGAAGCATTGCGAATTGAGGTCGAGGACCGGCGAGAGCCGGGAAGTCGTGTGCATGGCACAGCCAGGGTAGCTGTGCTTCAAAGATAACCAAGATCTTCTCCAATCCTCACCGTAGCAGATGTTATTTGCCTATGCCTAGCTAGGTTCGTAAGCTACAAGTAGGAAACACACTCGCAGGGCACGAGAAGTTCTGGGATCCCGCCGCAGTCGTCGATACCCACAGCATACCAACAAGGTAGCCAAGACTGGGCATCATGCCTGACTCAAATCGGGGGCGTTCGGAACGCAACCGCGTCCACATCTTGTCGAGCTTGCTCTCAGCATTTGACGGAGAGCATCCAGCCCGGTGATCACATCGTGCTCGAGATAATTCGGAGGCGGCATTCTGAGGCTTCCGTCTTTGCGTTGGTCGAGATGCGGTGGACACGGGTGAATTGCGATGCTGAAAGTACGCAGCTGGGACTCCCGACGGGACAAGAATATGGTGATGCAATTATGATGCAGATTCAAAGGTGAAGGGTGGAAATGGGGAACGTTTGCTATTCTAAGAATGAGGTGGACGGCGTAGGTTTGATGCGGAATTGGTCTTTACCACGATCGTGTACCTCAGGCAGAGGAATGACGGTCAAGTCTTTGCGATAATTGACAAAGAGAGGAGAGGACATGGAAGAGATTTGGTTAAATGAAACACTCGCTTTGAGGACGGTACGTACTTCGAAGGGTACTTTGGACGTAGGTCCCGTAATGGGGAAGCGAGTGTAACAAGAATGAGGGATATTTACGGGGAAATTTAATTCGAACTGAAGAACAAGCAGATGTGTATTCCGTCTAACTCCTAAACCTCATGCCATACTTTTTCGAGTCATGGAAGTAACATGTCGTCATGGATTAATAAAAATCAAGAAGGGTTACAAGAAACGAAAAGAAAAACAACTACTCCAGATTTTACACTTAAGAGTAGAGCTTCTTGTCGTAGCTGTGCAGGCCGTGGACGTTACCCTCGGCCATGGCGCTAGCGCTGCGCACCTCGAAGCGGACAGTACCGTTATCGACACCCTCGTGGAGCTGCTGGAGACTAGGGACACCAATGTCCTGCAGAGAGTGCTGGACACCAGCGACGAGGTAAGGAACGAACTTGGTGACGGAGCCACGGTCGAGGACGGAACCGGCGACACCCTGTGCAACAAGGACGCGGTCCTTCTCGGAGAAGTAGCGGGCAGTTCCAGCGTTGCTAGCCTTGCTGTCCTTGCTGTTTCCGCCGGCCTTCTTGTCCTCCATAGCGGCGATACTGCCCATGCCACGGTAGGCCTTGACGAGCTGGCCTTCGTTGCTGACGAAGTACTCACCAGGAGACTCAGTGGTACCGGCGAGAAGACCGCCCATCATGACGGTAGAAGCACCCATGGCGAGACCCTTGACGATGTGGCCAACATTCTGGATACCACCATCGGCGATACAGGGAACGCCGAAGCGGGCAGCGAACTGGGTGACACGGCGGACGGAGAGAGCCTGGGGACGGCCGACGGCCATGACCTCCTGTGTGATACAAGCACTGCCGCTGCCCATGCCAATTCTCAGGCCATCGACACCAGCAGCGATCAAGGCCGCGGCTTGGTCACGAGTCACGACGTTTCCGCCAATGACGTCGATTTCGGGGTATGTGTTCTTGATGTACTTGATCATCTCGATCTGGTACATGCTGTTTCCTTGACTGCTATCAAGGATGACAATGTCGAGACCGGCCTCAACGAGGAGCTTCAGTCTGTTCTTGTCTTCCTCACGGGTACCGATAGCAGCGGCACAGATCAGCTGCTTAGAGGCGGGCAGCTTGGAAGCGAGAGGGTAGTGGAGGTTCTTCATCAGATCGCTGCGGGAGAGAAGAGAGACGAGGTTTCCGTTCTCATCGACAATAGGCAGCTTTCCCTTCTTGGAGCTGCGAAGGACCTCATTGGCCTCGGCCAAGGTGGTACCAGCAGGGGCTGTGACGAGGTCGGTGGACATGATGGCAGTGACGGAGTCCTCAAGGTTGTGGTGGAACTGAATGTCGCGGGTGCTGACAATACCAACGAGCTTCGAGCGGAGAGTTCCGTTTTCTGAAAGCAACCCCAGTTAGCATAACTGATTTGCCGTTGCGAACGTAGACATAGCATATATTTTCAATGAAGGATCAGATTAAATCTGTTTCTCTACATTGCAACTCTCGTCGCTTCGGTGGAACGAAAGTTATTATAGAAAAGATGGGAATCATCATGGAAAGAAATAAAGACAAAGACGAGCAGTTGAACTTACCAGTAACAGGGAAACCGCCGAATCCCCACTGAGCCTTCAGCTCCTTGGCCTCTCCAACAGTAGCCTTGGGAGAGAGCACAACAGGGTCCAAGATGAAGCCGTTTTCGTAACGCTTGACCTTCCTGACCATCTCCGCCTGATCCTCGGGAGAGCAGTTGTGGTGGATGACACCCAAGCCACCCAGAAGAGCCATGTGGATGGCCATGTTGTGTTCGGTAACAGTGTCCATGGGCGAGGAGAGAAGGGGGGCCTTCAATGTGACACGCTTAGTGACGGGCGTGTCCAGAGAGACATCGGAAGCAGGGAAGCCTTTGCCATCATGTTCAGTCACTGACCGGGATTTGGGAGACCAGCGCGCGGCTTACCGATATATCCCGGCAGAATGAGGAAGTCATTGTAGGTGAGAGCACCGTGCTTGTCGGAGTCAAGCAGAGTGTCGACATCAAGACCGTCCTTGATCTGGTAGTCCTTTTCCAGGATCTCCAGAGCCTTGGTGTGGTCCTGGAACTCGGCCTTCATGGCCCTCCCCAGAGCGTCTCCGTTGGCAATCGGCATTTTGAAGATAGGAAGAGTCTACGGTCTCTATCAGAACACGTAGATGTATATAAAATAAAAGATGATAATCAACAGATCGACGATAGAAACGTTCTGCTGATGGAGAAGGTCTTCCTTTCCCAAAGAAAAGAAAGAAGAAGAAAAAAAGAAGAAAAATTCAGATCAGAAAAATTGGCTGTACACTCTCCGCCGCGCTAGCTCAGATTGGACCATGCCGAATGCGGCGTAGCGGGGTCGCAGCTGCCTCATTTCATTGGGCTGTGGACGAAATTTTCATAGGCGGTGAAGGAGGGGGGATGACCAATCCCCCCACCGGTATCGGCGCTCTCAGGTACTGAAGACTAGACCAACTTGGTGGAAAAGGTAAAATAGTAGCACAGCCAGGGCAATATAGACACATATCGAACAATAATGTACTGCTTCGACGACCGAGTCAGTTTCCAGATGGTGCAGGTGTAAACGGACACGGTACAGCTGTCGCGTGTGCTGGCGGAGATCGCATCCGATAGGCTTTCCAGTACCCATGCATCCATGAATGACGCGGACTATGCAGCGCACTGCATGTTCCCCGCCTGAGTACTCCGTACTCTGAAGGTACCGCATCATGTAGGTGTACGTAGTGTGACCAGATGCCTCAGGAGCCATCCACGCGGAAAGACCGTAGAGCTTTAGGAGACTGTCATGGAGGTATGGATATATTCAATCGATCCACATATGACCGTTGACCAAGCGTTGACGATGCTATGCAACATGAGCGAAGAAGCGAACACCTCAAAGGATATCAAGACGATGCCACGATTTATATCCTCAATTGACAAGCGACGTAGACGCACTCTCTCAGTACCGAAGCCACGGCTTTGCCGCAGCGAGCTGTTTGTCCCATCCGCCCTCGTTAGTCCATATGCTTAGGCTTTCAACTTCATCCTTCCCAAGCTTAAGGCCATTGTAGAGATGCTACACCCGTGTTAATCCTTGGAATGCGGTGGAAGAAGCGACATTGGCTTAAGCTTACTGGAAATAAGCCCTCGTCTGGCCGCGGTCCACATACACGGCCCTCGGGGTCTTCGAATCGGATGTCTTGTGCTACGCGGTCGTAGGGAATCCTTAGCACATAGACGAGGGGCTCGTCTTTGAAGAAGAACTTCAAGGTGTTGGGAACCTGAAGAGCTGTGGACAGGTGCACAAATCCAGACTTCTCGTCGAGCTCACTGACGGGGAGACGGTCTGGAAGGGGTTCCCGCACGGGGGCTGTGGATGGGACAAGTTTATATAGAAAGGATGGCTCGCTTCCGGACATTTTGTTGATTTTATGGGTGCTGAAGTGCAATTGCTGGATGTGAGGCTGGAAAGAGGGGCAGGTTGAAGATGCAAGTTGGGGCGTTGATGAGGGGACGAATGCCAAGGCTGGACCTTACCTGGTCCTGCTCCTTGACCATGGGATTGATCACAACGTTGTATCTTAAAACAGGCTTAGGATAATTTACCCGTGGAGTAGAGATCTAGGGCCGTTGATTAACAGTTACTACGGAGTATTTGCGGTGCCACTTCTTCAAAGTACATATAGTCTTGGGCATGTTGTATGGGAAAATATATCCGCAAGCGAGGGACTTACTGTCCCTATATCTATCCAGCTCTTCAATCATCTGCGACATGGCCCAATCTTACAGCAGCTTTAGGCTATCTTTATACATCTACTCTGTAAGCCAGCGAGGTTATTGACCCTCCTTAATTGGCAGATAATCGAGTCTATGCTCTGTTGGAGTCTGTAGTTCCTTGTTTGTGGCTGGGCGTCTGGGCGATAAGCTGGTGATCCATCCAGCCACCATACCCGATCGGGAGATTTGTTTGTGGGAGGCTGGGAATCGCTTTCTCCGATCGATCTCCTCATCCCCTCCACTTGACTTGGTGTGATTTCTTCTTCTTCCTTGAACCTCAAGGGTCACGATCCATCAGTTGGCCATAATTATATCACGACTTCTTCCTTTTTCGTTTTATTTGTTTCGGTTTTCGTTCTTCCCGCCACGGAACTGGAATCAGGATTTCTCTGCGGGACGGAGACAGCCAGCCCGTTTCTATATCAACCAACCGTCCCGTTACCCGACGGAGAGCTATGCAGCTTGATCCCTTGAATGCGCATTATTGAACATTCCCACCAAGAACAGCACCTTTCGAGATTTCGCATCTCACTGCTAAACTGCTTCTTTTTGCTAAGCAGGCATGCGGCCCAGTGAAGCCAACAACTCTTTTCATCTGTTTCTAGTCGCATTACTGTCCTCGGGACGGCCCCAGTAATGTCCATGCATACAGCTCCGCTTCGCCGTGCGCAAACCGACCTTCCCACACAAACATCGAGTCCTCTTCGCCATGACTCGACCGCGTCAACAAATTCGTCTATATACTCGCTCTCATCCAACTCTTTTGCTCCCAGTCGCACCAGCACCGTCTCATCAAACGCGTCTGCCGGGTCGGCAACTGGATTTGGACACAAGCGAGGCAAAAGTGAGGTAAATACGACAGCAATTCAGCAAAATATGGGCGGAGGAGCTCCAGAATGGGCCAATGCAGGCGCAACGTACGAAAATATCCGCCGCTCGTTGCGCCCGCTCTCTCAAGCTCCCAACTCCTCTCCTCCAGCAAGCAAGAATGCTGTTTTTCGCCACGCGAGAAGCCAGACCCTCGACAACCCTCAATACTGGAAGGAGAACCGCCCGCGAACCCCCGAAGCCCGCTACGGCCACAACGAGGAAGCCGAGCCGCTCAAAGAAAGAGCATCTCCCAATGTTATGACCCCTCCAAAACCTAGTTCACCACATCATGCGGCCCCGCCTGCGAGGCCGAGTGTTAGGGCAAATCACTCCCATAGCGTGTCTGGCACTCATCCACCCCCGTTAACGGCCACGTTCTCAACCCCAGAGCTCGAGACATTTCAGAAATCAACCACCGGCCACCTTCGGGCGTTATCAAGATTTGCAAAGTCTGGCGAGACCGATGAATTCTCTCTCGACACTCACACTCCTTCAGTTGTGGGGCTTCAAGGACGACGGCGACTGAAGAGGTCTGGTTCAGTAGCCGGAAATCATGGCTCGCGAGCCGCCCAAAAACCAATCGCTTCTGCTTGGGCAGCGGGAAATTGGATGGACAAACAGCGGCAATTCCTACAAGCGTACGAATACCTTTGCCATATTGGAGAAGCTAAGGAGTGGATTGAAGAGGTCATCCAACAACAAATCCCGCCCATTGTGCAACTCGAAGAAGCCCTGCGCGATGGTGTTACCCTAGCAGAAATTGTCAGGGCCCCTGACAGCTCAAGCAATACGAGGCCGAGGGCAAGGCGTTTGTCGCTCGGACATCATAGCCAAGTGATATTCCCAAGAGCCTGATCGCAGGTCAACTGACTGCGCATGGGCGAGAGGATTTAGTTGTCCTACAACGTTTAGGTTTCACCTCCGTGTGCCCTGAAAGTCTTGTCATGCCATGTGCTCTTGTCTTGGAGGTTACTGGTTGGTCGTTAGCCACGAACGGCAAGACCCGGATGTGGTACTCTGCACTTGGGCGAGCCTGGCCGAGTTACAGCTAGAGGCTGAGACCTTTATCCGGAGTAGGCAAGGCACGCTGCGATTGATAATCGGAGTCATCGAACGACAACGTGTGCGTATCGGCCGGAGCCTAGTGGTTGCAGGATGGCTGTCGGAATCCTGATCAGGTTGGTTCTCCGTTGACGGTACGAGAAGGATGCGGCTCTATTTTCCTCTTCCCAAGCCTGCAGTCACCACAACCAGTCGCTTGCGGACCGACCATCTCGTGAAGCGGCGGCCTTGATCAGCCATGGAGGGGCGGATGTAGGTACGCTGGCCACTTAGTCTGCGCTCTTTAGCAGGGATTCGACAGGGGTTCGATAGCGCCATTGCCAGCTGGCCGAATCAATCTACGTGAGGGACAGGTCTGACGCTGCGGGATATCGACGCTTAGTCTTGCTGGCTGAGACATGCCCGGAGCCCGCGGATGATAGCATGGTATGATAAGATATGCCGTGCATTTGTTGTCTTTGAGCAAATAGATATGATAAGAACTTTGGGCGAATTTCCCGATTCAACACGGAGTGACCGTTGCAGTCCACTGTCATGCTGGAGAGTGGAAAGCTGGAGAAGATACGGGGTAACGATGCCTGAATGCCTGAGGCACTAGGCCTCTCCACGTGATCCGGCGCGGTCCTCCGCGGCCGCGATCTTCAAGCTAGCTCGGAGAGTGAGGGGAACCTGGATAAAAGCAAGTCTTCATCTCTAAATTAACGAAACAAAATGGTCCTAGAGCTCCACGTCTGGGGCCCTGGCTTCTCACTGCCTTCGGTTGATGCGCAATGTCTCGCAACAATTGCCTATTTTTCCCTGGCTGTCCCCAAAGACTCGTGGGTTCTTGTTGCAAGTAGCGATCCAACCGTCTCTCCTACACGTACGTTGAGCTCCGCCTTGCATCATCTCTCGTTAATCTGCAATCTGGCTGAAACGGCCCTTTCGCGACCCCGCAGATGAGCTTCCCGCGCTGAAGAATGGCTCGACATGGGTGAGCCGGTTCCGCAATATCGTCGACTATCTACGGCAATATTCAGAAGGCGCGTGGGATTTGGACAGGAACTTGAGCGCTCATGATAGAGCGGAAAACATTGCGTAAGCATGATCCCGCACTGGCAGCAGAAAAGGTCACACGACTGACGGTCAGGCAACAGGTTCTCATCCTTCGTGGAATCCCATGCCCAAGCCCTCCTCGACCTGTCCCTCTACGTTACAAGTCAAAACTACTACAACCGAACGTCCCCAGCGTATGGCGCGATCCTCCAATGGCCGAACCAGTGGATTCTACCTCCGCAGCTGCACGCCGCGGCCAAAACCCGGACTGAACCGCTCGGACTCTCATCGCTAGATCTAGAGGCAACGGAGGAACAACGGAAACGAGACCATTCCGCCGCCGTCGCAGCTGGCCGCATCCCTCAGAACTTCATCTCACGCCCCCGAGAGACTGTATCCAACCTGCTGGGGAAGTCGTCACAGCAGCATCAATTCCGGCTTGAGGCGCTGACGGGGGATTTGTTCGTGCCGCTCGAGGAGCTCCTTGACGGCAAGACGCATCCCTCGGGGCAGACACCATCAAGCTTGGACTGCCTCTTAGTAGGCTATCTGAGCCTCGCTCTCGTTCCGGAACTGCCCCACCCATGGCTTCGTGATTCAATGCAGCGGAAAGCCCCACGGTTGTCACAATATGTCGAGCGCATGCGCCAGGAGGTTTATGGAACAGTAAATGTGTCCGATGCTTTCAACAGCGGCGCAGGGTCATCGCTCCCGTGGCAAGCTCCTGAGCGAGCCAGTCTCGCCAGCATCGGGACGTCACTGCTTACCAGCCTCGCTGACTCAACGCCAATTCTCAAGGACATTCGCATGAACAACCGATTACGTGAGGCCGTCGAATCGCCCAACGCCGGGCTGTCTCAGGTCGAGAGCAAGGCGGTGTCTCAGTACGTGCAAGGCCAAGGCAAGGATATACTCCTCTCAGTCGCGACTGTAGTAGGAGGTGTTGCTGCGTTGGTCGGCTACATGGCCCACACTGGCATATTCTCAGCGGCTCAAGAAGAGGAGAAGAAGGAGAAGGAGTCTGAAGACTTCCAACCTGCGATGCCCGAATCTATGAGTGTTGCTGATGCTCTCGGTTTTTGAGCACGGCTATGTGGCTTGCATACTACCTCTGTCGGAGACTGTATTATTATAGGCGTTGCACTTTGGAGTTGTGAAATTGATATCAGGTTCTTTCCCGTGTCGTTAGCTGATCGTACTATTTCAATAACATTATCAGCGCCTTTCCAGCCATCCCGTGAAATTGCCGTATTCAACCCATCTCTGTTCCTGAGGTCGAACCACAGTTGCAGTTTTGTATTCCACGCCGACTCTCTGTCCCAGGGCGCTTGCAACAAACCAGAGTCAGATATACCCACGTCTTCAATGGTAATCGACACCTTAGCTCACGGGCTCAGATCCTGGCTCTTGGAAGCTGACAAGACCGCAGCACGTTCGTCGATCTATGCCTATGACTCCTCACTCAACCCGACTAGGATGTAACCCGGGGCTCATCCGGAATCGTCGGGACACGTCTGGGCCTGGTGTTCGAGGTTGATCCAACAATAGCTGCCTTGTACGGATACAATAGGCTCTCGGTACTCTGGTCTTGATGGCTGACTACCTATTCTTGTACTGTAACTGATGTCCATACCTTCTCAGCATGCAAAATTGCCGATAGCCGCTTCTTCTAGCTGGAAGTAAGAGCCGCGCTGTTGGTGTCTTGCCCGTCTCCCGACGACCCAACGCTGGACAGTCAGCCCCTTAGATACGGAGCGGACCAAAGCTTCGCCCTGAGCACTCGCCCCGGCATATAGTTTACTGCTTATTTTGGGCCTGGTTCGTATATAGAGTTAACAGGTGAAACAGCCACCTTCGTCCCATCCCTCTTCCCAAGGCTGGACTTGGAAGGAAGGACTATGGTCACTCTGGAGTCGAAAATAGGAATTCCAAGGGATCGTATGTATTATACTATTGTTGGGCGTTATAAATCGGTAAATAATAAGAGCTTTATGAATCGAATGAATGTGACCATCTTTGTTCGCACAGGCTGCTATAAATAGGTACGGTACGGCGTTGAGCGGCTCAGCGTCAGCGGCGGTTACTAAACATCCATTCATTGACAATAATAGCCAACAACAACGACCCCATTTCCTCAACCTGAAACAGGGGGATCTGATGTGAGTTCTGACCTGACAATCGGATTCAGGGTCATAGCGTCAGGAATAGAAGAGATAATTTTAGATACCTAACGTGCCCTGCATAGGCCGAGGTACAATGTTAATTAAGTGCTTTTTGCGGTGGTAGTCGGGTATAGACTTTGAGGTATATTCAATGGATGGTTTTAGGTGGCAAAATACACTATATGAAGATATTTATATGAGGATATTTATGACTTGTGGTAGCTAGTGAGTAGACCGTGGGCACGGGCCATGAGTGTTCACGGTGATTAATGCGAGGTAGGGGAAATCATGGCGAGGACCTCAGAGGGAAATTGAAAGCCGGAGGAAGCGAGGATTGGGACTGTGGCACAGTCAAGGATGTAGAATGTATTGCCATGCCAGCATCTTGAGGCTGCTGGATCTATAAGATTATTATTGTACGTCTTAAGAACAGGGCGGTAGATAGTGAGAAACCATGTATAGGATGTACATCATCTCATGAATATTGACTAGAAATGCAGCAGTGGTATATTCTATATACAGAACGAAGAGAAAGGTATCGCTGCTAGATGAGCTTGCTCAAGCTAGCAGGTTCCAAGAAGAAAAAAAATATGACCGATGTGGGAGTATCAACACGAAATGGAAGACAGAAAGGCGAAAGATGGATGACTCGATAAGCAAAGCTTAAGAGCTGTGGGTGTAGTCGATGTCGACAACGAGACGGACAGCACCAGGGGTCTGGTTGCCACCAATGCCGTCAACACCCTCCTCAGCCTTGCTGTAGGCGTTCTCCATGGCGGTAGCGAGGTTGGAGATCCAAGAGCACTTCTCGCCCTTGCTGTTGCAGATCTTCATACCCTGGACATCCTGGCTGGCGGCCTGAGCCTGGATAGCAGAGACATCCCAGCCGGACCAGTCGTTGTTGCCAGAGTTGGCAAAGTCGAATTCACCCCAAGTGCAAGAGTAGCCACCGTAGTTGTCAGTGGGGAGAGAGTCACCCTTGGCAGCACCCCAGGCACCCTGAGAGTCATCGTCAAAGGCGACGTAGCGGGTCTCACCAGGAGCAATTGTGAGCTTGAGAGCAGAGTTACCGTACCAGCCGGTCAGCTTTCCATCAGGGCCAATCTTGTTCCAGAAAACAATGGTCCAGTCGTCGGTCTCAGCGCCAGTGAACTTGACGACGTTCTTGTACTTGCATGCCTTGTCGGCAGAGACTTCAATGATGTTGCTGCCCCATGGGCTACCAACGTTACCGATGTAGGCAATGTATTCAAGGAGGTTGGCGATGGTCCTGGAGCCGAAGCCGGATGTGGAGTAATCGTCAGACTCGTCGTCCCAGTTGGAGCAGGTTCCAGAGGCGGAAGAGACAACGGAGGCGCTGGGGGTCTCAGTGGCAGCGGAGGTAGCAGAGGCGATCACAGACTCAGTAACGGATGTGGCGGCGGTCTCAACGGCAGCAGCAGCAGCGGTAGCGGTAGCAGCAGCACCGCCAGCGTATTCGTTGACCCAGGTTGCGATCTTTCCGTCAATGACGGCGGTGACGATGTCACCAACATCACGCTTCTCGTGGTGGGCGCCGTGAGCGTGACGGCGCTCGTGGCCGTGAAGGCGGGCGACGGTTGAGCCAGCGGCCAGGGCCGTCAGCAGGAGCATAGAGTTCTTGAGCTGCATTTTGATAGTGGTGGTGTTTGGTGTCAGGAGGATGGGATTTCAGGAGGCCGGTGTTATATAGGCGGGGGGTATATGGCTTAGTTGAATGAGCGAGACTCTTGAATCTGAAACGCAGTCAAGTCACAAAGGACAAGGGAGTGTATGTTTCCAAAGACAATGAACGACTGAGCCGCTATAGCGATCTCGAAAGTTGGAAACTAAAGAGTGGATTGTGACGCTCGAAAGGACTGAAGCGAGATGGGAGAGAAGAGAAAAGAGGAAGAAGTGGGAGAGGGTTGGGTGATATTAAAAGCGCCCATCTCTGCGCGCTTGCGTATTCCCACAGCAGAGTCAGGTACGGAAACCTCCCACTCACAGTGCCGAAATGAAGATGGAGCAGTCCCGCAGTATGAAACAGGGGCCGATCATTTAACTAAGAGCAAGGTATGTTATTGGCTGGTGAGGACAAACGGTTCCTGAAAGCTGAAAATTGGGTTGTTGGTTGGCTGAGAAGAAACTGAGCCCCACAAATGGCCACCTGGACGAGGGCTCTAGACCGCGATGCCTCCATCCAGCTCAGCCAATCTTGTGCCGTTTGTATTTCGATGGTAAAGCCGGTTTTTGACGAGTGTCTGTACCTGACAGCAATGCTGCAGATGTGTTCAGGGACAATCGGAACAACACACTCGCTGCTGGACAGAGCAAACCAACGCGGTTCTCGGCAACAACAAAGCGATGTGTTGGATCGACTTGATTCTCATGTCGGGGTCCGTAAGAGACTGAGAGTGGCTTGACTGGTCCACATCAGATGGGTTCTCTCTCACGGTCACGCCAGGCACCGAATTGAATTCTCCCCTCCATCATCCGCTGATTCCAGGCCAGAAGAACCCAAGAATTCAAGAGTCACGGACTCATGATGAATGAACCATCATCAAGATTACTGATCAAGTGGGTATGAATCAGGCTCAACAGTCAACACTCAACAGCCGTTCGCGACTTTGCACCTTCGCCACGTCAGGGTCCACGGAGTTGGACATGATTGATTCTAGACGTTTCCCTCCAGTAGACTAGTCTGCCCCAGAAAGACAAAGACTCCCACCTCACTGGTGCTTAAGAGCCCAACGAAGGTCTGGGATAAAAAGCCAACGGAAGAGTCTTGTTTGTCCCTTTTGCGGGCTGTGAGCCTGGGACTTGGGAAGCCACGACTCTTTCACTTTTTCACCGCTGCAGTATCCACGATTGCTGACGCGGAATACAAGGCAAAAAGGACATGAAAACAACAGGCTTCGCACCTTCGTCTCCTGACTCCTTGTCTTAGACCCCTGAGCTGTCGTAGAATGTGGCTGAGTCGTACTCTGCTTCCTTTCTCGGGAGGCCAGGGGATATTGATGCCTAGGACGTCCTCTTTCTCGTTCCATCGAGATGAACGAGTTTTCGAACCGCCTGGCCACGAAATAAGCGGGTCGACTAACCACGGAATGACGCGGTCGTTTACTGATTGCCGCTTAGCGTTTTTAGCCCAACTGCCGTCTCCGGCCGGGCCGCCAACCGGGCGTTGGCAACTTGGGCCTAGCAGGCTGGCACGCTTGGCCGTTCAGATGTCGAAGTCGTAATTCCATCACCTTTCCATCATACAGACCCTTCCTGGAGACTCAGGTAACGGAGTGATATTGTGGTTGATTGTCATGGTGTAGGTCTTTGTCAGAACTCGAGTCTCGACTCCGTGAGGAACTGACTTGTGGAGACGAAAAATAAACATGCGTTCCTTGGGCATCTGTTCCATGGCTGCGATCGGGACTGCCCATGGGCTGAATAATTATGAAACTCCAATTTTCTGCAGATTCTGATGAGCAGTCATTCTGATAGGCCGGATCCTGGCTCTATATCAAAGGAGGCACACAGTTAACAGTTGTCTGGACGAACATGTTCTCTTGAAAGTTCTCATTTGGGGTTCGGCTTGTAAGGGTCTTTGTGGAGCATCTCTTGGATAAAACACTGCAGTGCTTTGTGGAGTTTCAGATCTTTCAGGCTGCATCTCTTGGAATCTGACGACGAGGCTCTGACAATTTGGCTGTCTTTGATGGGTTGACTCTTCAACCGAAGTACCGGTACCTGCCAAGATCAACCCCATCACGTGTCTGTGACTCTGTGTCACTTGCCTGGGGCGTCAGCATCCATCAAATTCAAATCCATCCCAATTCCCTTGGCCACTACTGCCAATAGGCAGACCAGTCTTTCGCTGCCGCGGAGCCGGGCACTTTGACCAAGTTCTTGCAAGTTGGACTTTTCGTGACCGCCAACTCACATATGAGGGAACTACCGCCCGAGCGGTAGCCAGTGCGGACGTGATGTAAGTGGAGAACGCAATGCTTTACTATTCTAGATGCTCTTATGATACAGTTGCTCTAAGTCCGACAAATGTGACTACTTGAGATCAACCCCGCTGTTGAAAGCTGCGCCGCCCGCAGCAGCATCCACCTTCATGCTCTCGTCCAACGCGCACACGCGGAACAGCATCTGCGGCGTCAACTCCTTGTCCAAACCCGGGATACCGTCACGCTTCAGCTTCTCCATTCCCTCGCGAATAGCCACGCAGGCGGGACCGAGCGCCGCGAATGGGAAGATGATAATACGGAACCCAAGCTCGCGGGCCTGGGCGGCAGTGATGGATGGGGTAGCTCCGTGCTCAACCATGTTCAGCAGCAACGGCCAACCCTTGAGATCGGCTACCACCTGCCGGGCCATCTCAATTGAGGTGATACCCTCGAGGAAACCCGCATCCGCACCAGCCTCACGGGCTGCTCGGAGACGGGCGAGACTGTCTTCGTAGCCGTTGACCTGGAGTGCGTCGGTTCGGGCAATGATGACGATATCGCTGCCAATGCGCTTGCGGGCTTGCACGGCAGCACGGATTCGGGTGACGTATGTGTCGGTGTCGACGAGGATCTTTCCGCCAAGGTGTCCGCAGCGCTTGGTCTGCACTTGGTCTTCAAGGTGGAAGGCTGCTACACCGGCACGGGCGTATTGTTCGGTAGTGCGAGCGACCATGATCGGTCCGCCATAGCCGGTGTCGGCATCTGAGATTAAGGGGGTTGATGGGGAGAGGTTTGCAATCATCTCGGCATTAGCTCGCATGTCGTTGAGCGTGCAGATCCCCAGGTCTGCCTGGCCGTGGACGGAGGCGGCGGTACCGGCGCCGGTCTACTCATTGTGAGTCTCTGCCGAAGATTTGAAGCAGCAGCAGAACTGAAAGGGCGCATACCATGTAGAGAGCGTCGAACCCGACGTTGAGGGCTATTCGGGCCGAGAGTCCATCGTAGACACCGGGGGCGGTGATGAAAGTGTTTGGGTCCTGGAGGGCCTGGCGAAGCTTCGAGGCGGCGGCGTTCATCTTGTAGGTTCCGAGTATACTTCCAATATCAATTGAAGCTCCTATGAAAAAAAATTGCAGCGTGTTCCGTCTGTAGCGGGGTCTTGTTTCGAAGTACCACTTATAGAGGGACTTATACCATACCGAGGGGCGACATCGGATGCTTAGTAAAGTACCTACCTTAGTGGGACTCGGCTTGAGCTTGTGATTTGGGATCGCCTCAGCTTCATTCTGCAGTTCCCGTCTCTTGGACCGTCAAACCTGCTCTTCTCCACCGCCAACGTCTATCCCAAGCTGCCTGCTCCTGCCAGTCCACTCTCATGCCCCGGTCCGCCATTGTACAAGAGTACAACCCCACTCCCACGCTCTCGGTCGACCGCAAATCCGCCCAGCACCAACATGAAGGCATCGTCGCGCGGCCAGCGGGCTACCGGGTATCCTGGCACGCCAACCCCGCGGTAGAACTGCACCACTTCGGCCAGTCGCACCCCATGAAGCCATGGCGCCTCACGCTCACCAAACAACTCGTACTCGCCTACGGCATGCACCACGCAATGGACCTCTACCACGCGCGCGCCGCAACGGTCGAGGAACTCAACGACTTCCACTCATCCGACTACCTCGATTTCCTGCAGACGGTGGTGCCGGGTGACATGAATGACTCTCAAGCATCCAAGGACCTGAGCGAGAACATTGTGCGCTTCAACTTCGGCGACGACTGCCCGATATTCGACGGCCTGTTCCAGTACTGCTCGCTGTACTCGGGGGCATCGATCGACGCCGCCCGCAAGCTCTGTAACAACCAGGCGGATATCGCAATCAACTGGTCCGGCGGGTTGCACCACGCTAAGAAGGCAGAGGCGAGCGGCTTCTGCTATATCAACGACATTGTGCTTGGGATACTGCAGCTCCTTCGTGTCCACCCACGCGTTATGTACATCGATATCGATGTCCACCACGGCGACGGCGTCGAGCAGGCATTCTGGTCCTCCGACCGCGTCCTCACTGTCTCATTCCACAAATACGATAAGGAGAACTTTTTCCCTGGCACCGGGCCACTAGATAGTACGGGACCGACACACCCGCTCAATCCAGGCGCGCACCACGCCGTCAATGTGCCTCTCCACGACGGCATCGATGATGACTCCTACGTCCAGCTCTTCAAGGACGTCATAGGCGCCTGTTTCAAGAATTTTCAACCAGCCGCTATCGTCCTTCAATGCGGTGCCGACTCATTAGGGTGCGACAGGCTCGGCTGCTTCAACCTCAACGTCGCCGCGCACGGCGCCTGCGTCGCCTACACCAAAACCCTCGGCGTCCCTCTCCTCGTCGTCGGAGGCGGCGGCTACACCCCACGCAACGTCTCCCGAGCCTGGGCGCATGAAACATCCATTCTCATCGACGCCCAGGACGTAATCGACCCCGTTATTCCGTCCAACGTCGCATTCCGGAACCACTTCGGTCCCGATTTCTCGCTGTTCCCGCCGCTGTCGGAGATGCGCAAGCTCGAGAATAAGAACTCGCGCGCTTACCTGGATAAGATCGTGCAGACGATCACGGAGCAGTTGAGGTACTTGACGGCTGCGCCGAGCGTGCAGATGTCCGTGATTCCGCCGGATCTGTTGGGGCTCAGGGAAGATACGGAGAAGGAGATTGAAGAGGAGATTGCGAAAATGGAAGAAAAGAGGGAAGAAGAGGGCGATGGAGGGAAGAGCTCTAGGCGGAGAGATGCGGAGAAGGGGGCTGGTCTGCGGGGAGAGTTGTTCTCTTGAATTTTGTGTTTTCTTGTGGCTATGGTGTTGGTTGGGAGGATACCTATCACTGGCGTTAGGGCAGGAGGCTTCTTGCATTTTCATGGCGACCGGCGTTGAGATGCATATAAATAGTTACAGATACAGTTACGGCTTCATTATAACGATGGTATACCAGCTATTATTAAGGCACATATCTTAGCGAGAGTCGAAGATAATCAGCAAGTAGTAGAGACCCTATATATCAGCACTCCATACCCTCTCTACCCTAGCCCATACCTATAACCCTGTTTTCAGATTTATATTAGTTTATCCGTAGAAGTCGCTCACTTTTCTTCGCTTAGACAAAATGCAATCGGGTATCCAGTACTGTTGAAGGCGGTGGGCAGGATTCTCAACGCTCGCGAAATTGGCAAAATCAAGCCCGTTCAAGCCTTGATATCGGTGGCGCTTATCGAGGCACGCGGGTGGGTGCATGGAGGCAGTACATTTACGTCACTGCCATCTTCGTACGACATCGATATCTGGGAATACTCGAATCGAGTATCTCTCTGGACCATGTAACACAATGGAGGCATCCGGCTGGAGAGCCGGAAAGGACGAGACGCCGCGGATGTTTCAAGGCCTAGCGTCCTCCAGGGCATCCGTGTACTTGTCGACCTCATTCGTCTTCGAGTCCAGTCGCTCGACAACCTCTGGCTTGTTCTCTGCCGTATTTCCTGGCTTTTCCTCTGGGGTAGCCTCTTGTTTGGCTTCTGGCTTGTTCTCCGCATTGTTTGCCGACTTTATCTCCGGGATGATCTCTTGCTGGGGTTCCGGCTTGGTGTTCTCCGACTGAGGCTCAAGCTTGTCTGCACCATTCATCGCACTAGTCTTGTATTCTGGGATTTCAAAGTTTTCCCACGTCTGTCCTTCGAAGATAGGAGCGATGGCCAGGATTTGCTTTTTGGCCTTCTCGGGATCATGAGAATCACTAAATAGGGTTAGCTTAAATTTTTGGTCACTGCGCTATGAAACGTACACATGGGTATTGATGATCCAATCGAGAGCTTCTTCGCCCTCCTCGGGACCGCCAGGCCCGCCGCGAACCGCCCGGAAGAGCCGAGGGTGCCATTCGACACCCTGTTCCGCTCGCTTCGCCGCTTCTACACGTTGACGGTCTTCAATCTTCGTCTTTTCGTCCGTAGCCGTCTCGTGGTTTGCGGCAATGATGGCCTTTACTGTGCTCTGCCACAATCGCTGAGACTCACGCTCGCCTTGTTGTTCGATCGGACGGGTTGTGGGAAATGTCGGTTTGGATTTCTTAGCATTGAAGAGAAGTTCTTTCTCATGCGACTGGGTAGGTTAGCTCAGATCATGCACCGCCGGCGTAAAATGAGAGACCGGAAAGACGTACATGAACGCTCTTGATGTGCATCTCGCCGTTCCAAAGACCTGAAATCTCGTAGTAAACTTCTCCAGTCTTTTCATTCTTAATTGTCCCACCGATGGCGTTGTAGGTGCCAGAGAAGTAGCCCTTGGTTTTGAATTCGATGTCCGCGACAAGATCATTCTCGGGACACCTCACGAAGCTGTGGTCACCAAGCTCATACTTCATTTTCCCGAAGAGGATGCCCCTGGCGTACATGTTCGGCTGCGTCAAGATGCTGACAGTGATTGTTAGCTCCTCATTCCCACATAACCAAGCTTGTTTCCACCTACTATCGTTCACCCCGCTCCTTGTCTTGTCCACGGTTCAAGAACCGTAGTATAGCAATTCCCTCCATCATACTCGCGGCGGAGTTACCGAGGAATTTGCTTCGCGGTTTGAGGGTGCCGTCGATTCGGATATGATGCTCGGGGGCCATGAAGAAGTAGCTGGATTTCGGTGGATGATGGGAGGTCTGCTCCGAGATATAGTATCCATGAGTGCCGTCAGGATATTCCCAGGAGCAGGTGTAGGTTTCTCCTAGGACGGGGTTCAATGGCTTCTTGACTCCGCTAAGGCTTCGTTAGTGGGCAAAGTTCTAGAGACCGACTATATCCAATGAATAGTCAATATCGACGTACGGAGGTTTTATATGCCATCCACTCAGGTAGAACTTAACAACGGATACAAAGCGCTCGAGAGGGTCATCCTTCTCCGGCATGGGAAGTAGTGTTTCGGGGTGTGCCATGAAACTAGAGCCTTGTCAGCACTCTGCTGGACAATTATCAAGAGTGCCCAATGAGCGGACATACTTCGTGATTCGCTCTAGCATGGACCGGGGTTCTAGAATAAAGGTGGGTAATACTACCCGACTGAGGTCTGCTCCAGGTCGGAGTTGGGAAATGATGTGACCGAGAACTGTTGCGATCGGGATTCCGGTTAGCATGCAGCCTGTATGAAGCTCAACGGCGGGTGGAGAGTACATACCATTGCCCTGGTCAGGTTCGATCTCATCATCTCCGCTTACAGGGTCAGAGTGTTTCGGATCGTCGGTGGAAGAACGATTGCCTGAACCACCCCAAAGATAGCTCCAGTCAGCGGACATGGTGGGAAAAGGGTAGACCGAGAATCTCTCGATGATTTGAAATGCGGCGCATGCGATAAATAGCTAACGGGGCGAATGTTGCAAAAAAATCGAGGGGAAAGCGAAGGAGGCTGAGTTGAGGAAAAAAAGAAGAGGGGAAGAGAGAAAATGACGTTGGGGTCGAACATGACGGAACTTACTGTTGAGCGACGACCGGCGGCGGATGTGGTGTGTCCCTGGGATATGAGGCATGATCGCTACAGTGCTTTTCTTTCTTTTTTATATCGAGTCGCTTGGAGCAGGGGTGTTCTAGTATTTATTTCATTCTATCTTGGAGGGAAAGAGGGAAAGGATGAAGTCATCTGCGACGACTCCGCTGTTCGGGAATAAATGTGGTCTTATATATGGCGGTGTTTGTCCACTTGACGATCCCCCCGCCGCCACTTCAGTGACGCCAGGCCGCCAGAATTCCAAGCAAGTTCTGGTCCAGGCTTCCTTCCAGAACACAGGACCCCATGCCTATTGCCTAATCTTTTTTGGTTGTCCGCCGTTTCGCATTCGCAAAGAGGAGCCACAGAGCTTGGCCTGTGGGGACATTGCAGGAGGACATCTATCAGAGACTCGAAAGTCATTTGTATTGTCAAATAAGTACACAGACCATTGTTACTCTCAGGGGTATAGTACAGGATGAAAAGGGGGGTTTGACGCTCACGCCCGCTTCGCTGTCCAAGGAACATCTGCTCCGGTAATCTCCTCGACAAATGTTGGATCCGGGTTATGCAGCATGACATGGAAGTGTTCGACGGCGTGCACTGACTTGAGCGACCTCCAGTTCTTGAACCATACAACCTGCAAACATAGAAGTAAGCCTTAGTACAACACTCTTCAGTGATATCGCATGTAACCATTGCCTACCTCGTCCTGTGCCATCCGCGAGCAGAATGTTCGTTTCACGAAGGCATCAATCTCCTGTCTTGCGCGTGGAGTCAAGTCGTCCGTGGCCGGATCGTCTTCCAGTGCGAATTTCGTCCATACTACTAGGTGAACAACACCCTCGGTCAAACCGTAGGGCCAGTCATTTTGTAGAATCCGCATATCCTCTGCTTACGCGTAGCCTCATTGTCAGAATATGCTCGAGGAGATACCTGCACACGTCTCAAAAACACGAACCTTCGTACTCGAACGGCCGTCCCTTGGGTTTCAGGTCCTCGGCGGTTCCCTCTCCCCAGCAGAGCCGCTCCTTGACTACAAAGCGCATGATGGACCCATACTTGGCGATGATCTGCTCCTTATACTCCAAATAATTCCTCAGATCACTAGGTAAGCGTTGAAACTGGTCAATCTTGTTGGTTTCTAGGATCAGATGGTTAAGTACTGTCTGCAGGAAGGATCGTTCGTAAACATACCGACTATTTGTCGCACCAATTCCCATCCTTGTCTCTGATATTGTTCGTCTGGCGTGGAGAGGATGATGATATTCTTCTCGGACTGGTCCCTTAGGAAACTGGGACATTCGACCGTCCATTGAGCCCTCGGAACATTAACATTCCAGTATGAAATGCTAACCGTCGATGACTGCAGAGAAGTGCTTAGTCTCATAGAAGATACCGGCCTCTCGCTCACGGTCGTGGTGGCGGTAGCTGTGTTTGGCATGGTGTCGTTGGTTTGCTCCGTGTTGCCACTGAGAGGAACAGAAGAGGAACGGCAACAAGAAGGCGAGCTTATGAATCAAGGGATATCATTTTGCGGAATAAGAGCTTCGCTATTGACCCAGTCACCCAATTTGCTCAACGGGCGGGAGGCGTAGCCGCATCAGACCCGCATCAGAGGCATTTCTAGAAAGGATTGACCCGGCCATCATCAATAATGGGCATATCGATGATGCCGGGTGGGGAGCTATCATAGAGAGTAGTTGTTTGCGCGAGAAAGGGGGCCAAGGTGCGACGTTATAGTTCCTGAGGTCTAGATAAACTGCTGCCTATTTATCGGCCATGCATTAGCATACCGTTGACCCGGCGCTATTTGTTGCAACCACGTTGTAGCCAAGTCTACGTTAATAAGAATCTGGACCCCAAACCAATTCCAAAGCCAGTCAAGCAAGGCCAGAAAGGCTAGCAATTTCAGGACCGTCAGATCGAACAATCAGTACGCCAGCTGAAGCTAGTTCGCGTATCGTTTCCTCCCATCCGGACCCTGGCACCACGCACTCGGTCGCATCTTGCACAACATGACTGCGAAATCCTGCTTTCGCGGCGTCAAGGGCCGTGTGTTTGACACAATAGTCCCCCGCTACTCCAACAACGAAAACATCCGTGACACCCCTGTCAGTCAAGGAGGATTGTAGATGCTCATTAACGGATACTACCGCGGGGTCCTGATTCCCAAAAGCATCCGCGAACGCCGAATACATCTCAACATGCGGGTGCGTACCCTTGGTCACAAACAAATCAATCTTGGCAACGTCGATTTCAGGGATGATGTCTGCCCCAGGAGTTTGTTGAATACAGTGCGCAGGCCAGAGTGTCTGCTGTTTGGTCTCCGCCTCCCTCCCGGGAGCTGGATTAGCCATCGTGATGCTACACTCGAAGGGACGATTGTTGGGTGCCGGATGGTTCGTCGCGAAAGAGATGTGGTCCGGAGGATGATAATCTTGAGACGCAACACGAACCGCAAAGCCGGGGTTTGCTAGGAGTGAGTTTATCGTAGGAGCCAGATCGCGAGCTCCTTGAACAGCAAGAGCTCCGTTCTATAGCATAAACAAGTGGCAGTCAGTAAGGACGGACGGGCATAGAGCATAGATGGGTTTACCGGCGGACAAAAGTCCTCTTGCATGTCCACTACGATTAGAGCGGCTTTCATCTTGAGGATAGCTGGACTGTGTGCCAAATGGGGAAGATGAGAAGGAGTGTTCGCTATCGGAGAATCATAGCGAGCATCTTCCAGAAGCTTTGGCTCCTGATGCCCGAGATAAGCGCATTCTTTCGCTTGTCATGATAGCTCCAAACTGATGCCGTTGGATGGAGCTCGGAGACTGCTAGGACGAAAGCAGGCTAGACAGCTGCTGACTCAGCACACGCGACACAAAACTCCCACCACCACAACCAAAACTTGCTTCTTAGTCTTCTTTCACTCGCTCACATTGGGGCTGCGGCCCTTGCCTTCGACCTCGTTCTACCGTAGTTTCCCTCTTTCCTATCATGATAGGTTCTTCAAAGGTAAGAAAATTCCTACTTCCACCCTCTAGTCCCAATTGCATGATGAATTCTTTTTATTGGAGCTGTCCTAGCTTACCATGCGGACAACCTTTACTTATTACGCTTTTCATCTTTCTGATCTCAAACACATTGTCTATATGCACAGTTTCCACGTTCATATTGTTGGAGCTTTGCTAATTACATGAAGTCTTTCCAGGTACCACCAAGTGAACGTACTTTCCGGCCTCCTTAGATCACTGCGGGAAATTCTTCATCAAACACTCTACCTCGATCGTCACTCTTTAAGCCTCTAGAAAGGTCACTATTTACAAGATGCCATACGATCCACGCTTAGCCGGAGCAGGCACTGCGGCTCAGGGATCCCCAGCACCTCCCCCTCCGCCTTCAGAGGCAGCTGCAGCTACAGTTGCTGCACAAAGCTCCACAGAGCAAACAGCCTCACACAAGCTCCGTTTTTGCACCGTTTGTGCATCAAACCAGAACCGCTCGATGGAGGCACACCTGCGTCTATCCACTGCAGAGTCGCCTTTCCCAGTAATCTCCTTTGGCACGGGATCCTTAGTCCGTTTGCCAGGCCCCTCCATCACCCAACCTAATGTCTATAACTTCAACTCAACCTCCTACTCCCAAATGTACGATGAGCTCCTGTCGAAAGACGAGCGTCTGTACCGCAATAACGGAATCCTAAACATGCTCGACCGCAACCGCAACGTCAAGTGGGGGCCTGAGCGCTTCCAGGACTGGGTGCCTGGCTTGCCGAGGGTAGATCATGTCTCTAAGGGTGACAAGGGCGCACTCGGCACGGAGGGGGGTGTAGTAGACGTCATCATCACCTGCGAGGAAAGATGCTGGGACGCTGTCGTCGACGATCTCATGAACAAGGGCTCTACGCTGAACAAGCCCGTGCATGTTTTCAATGTGGATATCAAGGATAATCACGAAGAGGCTCTTGTAGGCGGAAAGGCCATCCTCGAACTAGCCACGCGCCTAAACGAAGTCGCCATACAGGAACAAACGGCCCTTGGCGCAGGCGGATGGGAAAACGGGACCGGTGACGCTAGGAGGAGCTTCGATGAAAAGGTTCCCGAGGTTCTTGGGTCATGGCAGGAGAAATGGCCTAACTTGCCGGCATTGTGGACTTTGGCTTGGTTATAGTCCGGCGTACTCGGCTGGCTGCGAATTCCATGTGGTCTACGGAGAGATCAACAATAAACATTATTGATGAATGCTTCCGTTCCACTTCTAGTAAAACACATTTAAGTAAGAGGAGCGTCATGCCCCATGCCCATGCTAATAGTACATCCAATTCGTCAGTCATGTCTCATCATATAACATCAGCAACAAGCCCCAGTAAGACAAATCATGATCTCACTGAACCCTCATTCCCAGAAGCAGCAGCCTGCTCAAGAAGCGCCTGCCTCCTCTCGCGATACCACTTCTCAAGACAAACCCTCCTCTCCTCCTGCGTCATCCCCTCAACAACAAGCGCAAACTCCGTTGCATTAGGAAACCCAAAGCGCCTTGCCATGCTACAAAACTGGCGCTTCATGACGTCTTCCGGCGGGTTGTACTTGAACGTTACATGTCGGCCGTTCTTCTTGAACGCCGCAGCAACCACACTGCCAGCAACCTCGTCCTGTGAGCCGCAGAAGACCTGCATGTTGGCGATGCTGTCGTCCTCTGCGAGCTGGGCTTGTCGGCTGAGCTGTTCTTCGACCTTGGAGGACCCGACGACTTCGTTGTTCAGGTGGGTGTATTCGACGCCTGCGCCGGCGAGGATGGCTTGGACGGGGTCGTGCTTGGATGGTGTGTTGGATTCTTGTTTGAAAGGCGAAGAATCGTCATCGTCGTTGGCTTCGCCTCGGATCCTAGCGGCGAGCTGGCTCATGGCTTCGTCGTCGCCGTCCGGGTTTCTGCTACGGGGCCCGTCTTCGGAGTCTGCGTCGTCAAGTTCCAGTTCGATGTCCATGACTTGGACACCAGCTTTACTTTCGGCAACGTTTGTCTTGTTGACGATGTCGCGGAGCACAATGTTGTCGTTTTGGTACTCGAAGATGTTCTGCAGGCCGAAAATCTCGCCTTTCTGGTCCTTTTTCTCCTGCACTCCTTTAAAGTAGCGGCGTTCGGAGCTGGCATTGTAGCCGATGTTTGCTTGCTGCTGTTTGTATATTTGCCGAGCGTAGACAATCTCTTCGATGGTTCCAGCAGATATGAGCCTGAAGACTTCGACGTTGCGCGTCTGGCCTATTCGATATGCCCGGTCCTGGGCTTGAAGATCGTGAGATGGGTTCCAGTTAGGGTCAACGATTACGACCTTGTTTGCTGATGTGATGTTCAGTCCGACTCCGCCAGCTCGAGTGGAAATGAGAAACACGAATTGTCGCGGGTCAGAGTTGAAATCGGCGACGGCCTTGGCCCGGTCTTCGTACGGCATCGATCCGTCCAGGTAGCTAACATTATAGCTTGTATGATTGAACAGCATCTGTAACATCTTCAAAAGACGAACGCTGTGCGAGAAAACGAGGACCTTATCCCCGTTGCCATGCCACCATTTAAGGAGTCTTCTGAGAACCTTCCATTTCCCACAATACTCTGCATCGGCATAGTTCAAGATGGAATCTCTAGTACGATAGAGCTTCTCCCATTGGTCTGGCACTGCAATCTCCAGCATTTCCTTGTCCTTTTCTTGCTTTTCGAAAGGATCCGTACTCTGTGGGATAAGGATAGCCAGATGATTGCTCAGCTTTTGTAGAATCTGCATAGCTGGAAATACATATGTTTGCCAACGCCTACCCGAAGGTAGATACTGTTGACAACACCAACCGGCCTTTTTCCCGGAGCCACAATCGCACTTCATTGACGAGGTCTTGATGTAATGAATAATATCGCTGCTGAGCAAGTTCTCGTATGCTTCTGCTTGGGTATCGGTAAGAGGGCAAAACACGACGCGGTCGACTTTCTTGGGAAGCTGGTCGGCAATCAACGTCTTCATCCGCCGGAGGAAAAACTGAGGCAGAAGGTTCTCCACGAGCTTTTTTGCCGTCAGACGGGCTCGTCTTAGTTGTTGTACTGTGGCATCATGCGACTGGCCCACCTTCAGTGGTTCTGAGATGTGGCTCTTCCACGTTGTCACAGGACCCAGTTTACCAGGATTCGTCCAATTCAGCAGAGTCCAGAGCTCTTCATACTTATTCTGAATGGCGGTACCCGTCAAGCCGATACGGCAAAGAGCGTTGATGTCGTTCATCGCTTTTGTGGTCTCTGAGCTTCTCTCCTTGACGGCATGGCATTCGTCTGCAATGACACAGTCCCATTCAATAAGATTCACAGAGTCTCTGTTTTTCAGATACGTGGTGTAAGTCGTGATCATGATTTCAACGCGCCCAGATCTAGCGGCATGAAGAACCAGGTCCTTGTTGGGTCCTTGGTAGGCGTCTGCATGCCACCAGCCCCAGCGGGAGAGCTCCGACTTCCAATTTTCGATCAAGGTCCCCGGACAGATGATGAGGGTCCGCGGGTACCATAGATCTCCTTCACTCCTTCGCATCTTTCTCATTCTCTTGTCATCTCTTTCGTCTCCTGTCTTGCCGTATGCGGCGGTTAGGAAGGCGATCACCTGGACGGTCTTCCCTAGACCCATATCATCCCCAAGGATACCTCCTTTCTGGTAAACAAACAGTTGATGCAGGAACGCAACACCGTCTACCTGGTAGGGACGAAGCCACTGGGCGATGGGTGCCGGGATAATTCCCAGAGAGCAGGGCAGCGTGATGTCCTTGTATTCGGCGCATGGCTTGATATCCCTGAATGCTGGCTTTTCACGGAGAAACTCCAGTCGGCCATCGTCAGAGAAATAGACTTGGTCGTAGTCTGGAGGCAGTTTCAGGCCAGCGTCCTGTAGGTGTTCCTGCCGCCGATCAAACTGAAGTCGGCGCTTCTGCAAGTAGTCGGGAAGTGTATCTTCCATCAAGTCATCATCAGACAGTACATCTTCCCCATACTCTCGCATGTACTTCGGCAGAAATCCTTTGACTTCCCTCTTCTTGGGTACTCGACCGACGATTGCGTCTTTGGCTGCGACTTTGGTTGGCTTGTTCTTTGCCGCGGCTGTCGAGGTTCGTTTTCGCTTGCGGGATTTGCGATTCTTGAACTCTTTGTATACAGCTTCCCCCTCATTGAACGAATCATCGTCGCTAGGTTTTTCATCTAAGTAATCGTCTATCGGAATCTTTTGGTCTGGGGGTGATGATTTTGGGACCGAGCGCGTTACTCCTGGTGTAGAGCGGAAGGGCGAAGGAGAGAAGTTCTCAAGTTTGGGTGTGATCTTTTCAGGTTTGGGAGAAGGATCTAATATAGCTCAGTTAGTTTGCTGAGGTTAGTATAGGATTGAACGACATACGAGCGTGAGTAATGGGATGCGTCGCGTCCAGATCATCGTCGGACGAGCAGACCGTGACTGCATCCAGGTCGTCCAAATCAAGGGTAGAGACCATGGCTGCTACATGTTCGAGCGCAACCCGAAAAGTCCAAGAGTATTGGGTGAGCTGCGAGAATGAAGGTAGAAAAGATGGGGGAGGGATGATGCGGAGAGCCGATAAGTGAGTGATAAGAAGCTTGAGATCAAATTTGTCGCGGAAAAGTTGGACTCCTGCCATTCTTTGACTTCACTCGACCCAGCAACTTTACGCCGTTCAGTGGAGGACCGAGGCCCTCATTAGACACTTCTTCTACCAGAAATTTGTACGATATATCAATTCCCTCTGCGATCACCAGGTTCCTCGACAAACGCCAGCGACTCGAGTGCGGGGAACAATTCATCCAGGCCAAGACGATCGCATCAAATCACATATAAACCGAATCTATCGCATCTAAACAAGTTGATAGCGGAGATTGACCGAATCCATCCATAATGCCTCTCGATACATCCACGACATATCCTCTTACGAAGCTGCGCCTCGACGGCCGGCGATGGAACGAGCTCCGGTTGATCCAAGCACAAATATCTACGAACCCGGCCAGCTCAGGGTCATCTTACTTGGCGATGGGAAATACAACTATCCTATGCTCTGTACACGGTCCCGCGGAAGGCCGTCGAGGCGATGCGACCGGTGGTTCGGCGGGCTCATCAGGCGCAGTGGTGGAAGTCGACGTGAACATTGCAGGGTTTGCGAGCGTCGACCGGAAGCGACGAGCAGGCGGAAGTGACAGGTAAGACATAGCCCAGCAATACGAAGTGACGGAACTCTGCTAACAGCCTTGATTCGATTAGACAATCCGGCCGCATTGCCTCTACACTGCGATCCGCCTTTCAGTCGCACCTTCACACATATCTCTACCCACACAGCACGATCAGCATCCATGTCTCTGTCTTGTCAGCGGACGGGTCAGTTCTTGCAGCGGCGGTCAACGCCTGCACGCTGGCACTTGTGGACGCCGGGATACCGATGCCTGGGTTGCTGGCCGGATGCACAGCAGGGATGAGTGGCAGTGCCTCGACGCCAAGAGATCCGATGAACGACGAATTGGATCCTCTGTTGGACGTATCACTTCCCGAGGAGCAGGAGCTCCCATTCCTGACCGTTGCAACGACGTCGGTTCCTGCCGTCGGGCCGGATGGGGATGACGACGATATGAAGGTATCGATGCTGACGATGGATTCCAAAGTGCACCACACATATATCGAGACGATGCTGGCTGTGGGAGTGGACGGATGTAAGCAGATCCGTGAGATCCTGGACGGTGTCATCAAAGGCTCGAGCCGGAGATGAGATGATGTGGCTTTATTGCTTTTTACTTTGCGCAGCAGCATGCATGTTACTCTTCCATCTCTGTACATCAATGATCAGCGCCGGGTATGCCCAATCAATCCAGTTGACAGTTGCAGCTTGCATCCAAAAATAAACTCTGCGAGACCTCGTGGTTAACTCGAGTAGCACGGCCTTTTTGACGTCGGGCCCTTGAGTCCTTGACACCGGACCGGACGACCACGTTCAGGATGGAGACGATGGACCCTGGCCTTGCGCTCAGAGCCAGTCCTTTCTCCTCTATGGGCTTTGGTGGGCTCACTTGGGTCAGAGTCGAACAAATTAGCTCCAGAAAATGTGCTCAATCTTGCGCACAGTTGAAGCCACCCGATTGGCTTATCTAGCTTCCCGTTCCATTCATCTTATTATCCCAGCCAGCTTCGCCAGCATTTTCAGCGAGTTCCTGCCATTCCCTTTGTTGTTAGTCCTGTGGTAATTACTATCCTCTCATCGGCATCCTCAGTTGGGTCAAAGCGAATGCATCAGACCACGCCAGATAAAGACCGAGCAGAGCTAATGCGCGCATTTAATTGAGTGCTTCTAAGCTAGGGATAAGGTAGGTAGGGTTCTAATCCTATGTGCCCCAGTACGTGCAGCGTTGTGTTATTAGCTGTGGCACCTCCAGCTGTGCCTATATGTAGCCCAGCACCCACCGGTCTCCGTTCTCTTTTCCTCTTCTTGTTGCCAGCACTCCTAGACCACTTTGATCGGCATCTTGTTGATCATTCCCTACGGAATACGCCTGGACCAGACATACTCGACCTGGTGCTGATACTCTTATCTACCGACAGCAACAATGGACATGGACATGGGAGGAATGGACATGAGCGGCGGCGACGACACCGGAGCCGCATGCGTCATCTCGGTACAGCCTCTATCCTATCTCATCCCATCCCATCACAACCGAAGCCAGAACCTCGCTAACCATACCAGATGCTTTGGAACTGGAACACCATCGATGCCTGTACGCCGCCCAAATACCTAAGCATAAGCCCACGCCGCGAGAGTATGGACTAACCAGAATGGACAAAAACAGGCTTCCTCGCCAGAAGCTGGCACATTCGCTCGCGCGGGATGTTCGCAGGCTCCTGCATCGGCGTGATCTGCCTCGTGATCGTCCTCGAGTTCCTGCGCCGCATCGCCCGCGAGTACGACGCCTTCATCATCCACCGCGCCCAGATGCGCGCGCAGTACCTTGCCCCCGCGCAAGCTCAGTCCTTAACCCCAGCCTCACACTCAGATAGCGCCGCCGCCAGCGACAATGGAGCCGATACCCAGATCCAGAAACCCAACGCCACGGCTGCCACTGCGCCAGCAGACGCAGCGCCCTTCCGCGTCCGGCCGAGCCTCATCGAGCAGTTCGTCCGTGCGCTGCTGCATATGCTGCAGTTTGCCGTTGCGTACTTTGTCATGTTGCTGGCCATGTATTTTAATGGGTACATCATCATCTGTATTTTCATCGGCGCGTTCCTGGGCTCGTTTATCTTTTCGTGGGAGTATATTGGGGGTGGGGTGAAGGAGTACGTTTTACCCCCGGCCCTATGTTGTCTATGCTCTCTTGGGTTGTAGGTGATGCTAACTGACTCCTTGTTTGTAGGAATGATGCGACGGCCGTTACCAAATGCTGTGGTTGATATTCCACGAGAGTACCCGGGTACACTATCACGGTTGCGGGTGTATTACCCATCATTCTGGTACGAGAGGCCTTACTGGTTCCCATGATACATAGTTGCATCTTAGAGCTCTGGCGAGCTAGACCACCATCTTAGGCCTTAGGCTGTGGTTGAGAATAATGTAATGCCACTAATGAACATAAAAGATTGACATGGCTGTGCCCCAAAATGAACGAGTATTGTGTGCAACCATCTTTTCCTTCGAGCAGTCCTTACTGTAATTATCTTTATCATCGCAGGTAGGTATGCCGAGGATATGCTGTAGCCTGGATAGTTAGGGCTGGAGAGTGAGGAGGGGTAGCGGAATCACCCCACCATGTCACTCGGAGAGCGCCGAGCGGGGTTCAACAACTGTCGGGTCTTTTCGTCAAGAGACAATTACAGGTGCATTAAAACCCCACGGTAAGGACTTTCAGAGAAAAAAAAATGGTTATGTCAACGCTCTAAATTACACTAGGCTGGAAGAGAGCTATATTGTCGTCGACCAACGTGCGACAACCACAATACGCTCCTATCCGCATGGGTTTCATTTTAGGTAGATGTCTTCAGATTGGCGTATCCATGCTGCTTACAGCTCACCGCACTCGACGATGGTGGGCTTGACGTTGGAGCGGGGGGCACCGGAGGAGCTGCCGAGAGCCTCGATCTCCTTGACAACCTGGTAGGACTCGTTGTCGGCAACCTCACCGAAGACAACGTGCTTGCCATCGAGCCATGAGGTCACAACAGTGGTGATGAAGAACTGAGAGCCGTTGCTAGAGTAGTTGTCAGCACTTGGTCCGCGTTATGACATGCGCGAAAAGAACGTACGTGTTGGGGCCAGCGTTGGCCATGGAGAGGAGACCAGGCTTGTCGTGGGCAAGCTTGAAGTTCTCGTCGGCAAACTTGTCACCGTAGATGGAGCGACCACCGGTACCCTAAGACAAGGTCAGTGATTAGGAAAAACAATCTCAAGAACAGCAGGGGAGTACTCACGTTGCCACGAGTGAAGTCACCACCCTGGAGCATGAAGTTGGGAATGATTCGGTGGAAAGAAGAGCCCTTGTAGCCCTCCTTGGCGGGCTTCTTGCACAGCTCACGGAAGTTCTTCGCGGTCTTGGGGACAACGTCGTCAAAGAGGTTGAAGATAATGCGGCCGGTCTTGGGGGCTATAGAGTGGCAAGGCAAACGTTAGCGACGAGCAATTGACTCTTAGTGCCTAATAGTATCGATATTATGTAGAGAGCTGGCGTCTATGCCAAATGGATGCGGGGGTCGACATGTCAGTGGGAAGGAGGGGTAGTGTTGCGCGGAGACTTACCGCTGGTGCCGACAGGCGCATACTGAACGTCGAAGAAAACCTGGTTACCCATGGCTGCGTTGGACTGGTGGAATCCGCGGAAGGAGATGAAAGAGGATTGAGTGCAATTGAACGCGGAGGAGAGGGGACGAGAAGAGAGAGACGAGAAAGGTGGGGTTATTGTCGACTTGAGGCTTCGGGCGAACATTGTTGCTGGAGGGGCACTACGGAGGATCCGGGTTAACTCGGCCGCCGTCTGCAGGAGGTACGTCAGCCTGAGTACGCCAGACACGCAGCTTCAACAAGTGCAGTAGTGACTCTTGTGGTGAACTCTGCTTCAAAAGGATCAAGAGCAAGACATAGAGTTCATAGCTCCAGAAGAGAGTGAATTGAGTTAATTGACCAGGAAGGTACTCACATATAAGATATAGATTGATAGAAGGTCAAGGGACTGTAGCAGTGCAAAAAGCTTGGAGAGAGCTTCAAGAAAACAGGGAATTTGGAGACAAACCGAAAACAGTATGGTACAGAGAGATATTGATTATATAATAAATGATGGAGAAAGATGATCGTACACTAATAAAAGTACAAGGAACGAAAGAAAGCTGGAGTCTTGCTGGAGAACAACGCGAAAGCTCAAGTTCCGGGCCGGACCTGACTGGCTTTTGTAGCTCCCCGGAGAGCTCGGCACGTGATTCCATACTTTGCCTGGGCCGAGCGTCTTGGGACATTGCAAGTTGAAAGTCATTGAAACTATTAGATAGGAAAGATAGTTGAATCAATAATATATATCTAAATACAAAAGTAGAAACAAAAGACGGAGCCAAGCGTCCATGTGGTACTTCAAGGACCGACAAGAAGAGAGGTAAAAAGGAACGCTAAAAAAGAAGTTGTAGAAAGTCAGAGCGTTCAAGAGAAGAATAAACACATAAAAATACAGCTCCTGAAGCTAAAAGGGGAATAGATCGAAGACAAAAGGTCATAAACCACCAAGTCTAAATGTTCGTTCCACATAGTTGCTCATGTTCATGCATGATCAGTGCAAAAAATCGAAATCGCGAGATTGGGCAGTTGGCGCAGACTCGATGATGTCAAATCAGTGCTTGGAAATGAATAATGGAAAACAAATCAACAAAAGTAAAGCAAACACGGGCCGTTGATAAAATGGCTAAGCCCGGTTGTAAAACGTCTATCGGAAGTCGTCGTCCTCCGCATCACCATGATCCGTCATGTCCAACCGCTGGACAAGCTCTTTGGTCTCACGCGCGATCTCGAAGGCGATAGGCGGGAGTTGGTTCGTGAATGTACGAAGCTGTTCAGGGTCAGCGGCGCCTTCGCCCTCAGCGGCTGCGCCGACGAGACGGCTCCTTTGGTATTCGAGAGTTTCAATGCTAGCACCAGCACGTTGACGAAGGGCTTGGTTGGTGTCCGGCTTGGTGATGAGATGATCTGTGGAGGACGCAACGTTTGTGACTATCGAGGCAATGGCCGACACGTGGGTACGAATAGTAGTCATGCTTTCCTCGCCACGGATGCTCGCGACCAGAGACTGGATTGATTGAACCAATCCGTCGGCTTGATCCTCCACGTAGAACTAGGAACGCGGTCAGTATTTAAAAGTATCGAGTCAACAGAGGAGCGGTCTCAACTTGCCTTCAGCTCTTGAAGCTCATGGTTTTCTTGCTCGGGGTAACCATGTTTCAAGCCAGTGGTAACATGCTCTGACTCGGGAGGAGGGCTCATGGCGCTATATACAGATCCGTTGCTCATCCTGCTCTGGCTGGGCGCAACGCTGAAATAGTCGGGCGACTTCATTTGCGCGAACAGATCCTCGTCATCGTCGTTAAGTTCATCAGCCGGTGTTGGCCGAATCTTTACAAGACGAATGAGGTCGATAACGGCAGTCGACATGTGCGAAGCAGCAGCATCCAGGAGAGAGATGGGAGATAGGCCGCTCGAGCTAGTGAAATTCTTCGAGGCTGTAATCAGGTTGTTCGCTGTTGCAGACACCTTGCGTGTAGCTTTGGCGCATTCCGCTGATTCAGCATGTTTAGTCTGTTGAACGTCCTGCAGGATGTGGCGGACAGAGATAACAACGGCCTTGATTTGCTGCATAACATGCTGGTGGTCGTCGGATCGTGCAATACGTATAAGTTCGTCAATGGAGATCTGGAACTTCGTAACATGGACATCTTTGATGACGCCGTCTTCGTGCAGGAATTCGTTATCCTTAGCCACAGTGTTGACATCAGAACGTAGATCTGAAATTCCAGCAGAGGATGTACGAAGGTGCCGCAGTTGTGCCTTCGCTTTGGCATACCGACCCTTCCAGACATTGAGTTCATCTTCCAATTTGTGCACCTCTTCTGATAATCGCTCTTCATGCTCCAATCTAGAGTGGCTTTGTTCTGATAGCTCTCTCATCTCCATTAAGAAACCAGCAGCCTCTCGTCGAACTTCTTCCGTCACCTGTTGTTGCTCCCGCAGCTCCATTTGTAACTTCTGGTGCTTGATCTCGAGATCAGCGAACTGAGCCTGCAGTTCAGCATCTCCGCCTTCACGCCTTGGAGCCCCCGAGAGTTGACCTTGCAGATCCCTTTCGACGGCCTCGTGTTCTGCTCGAACCTTTTCAAGCTCTAGCTGCAAGGAGCTATTCAGGTCTTCCGCCTTGTGTATCTTGTTTTCAAGCTCATATTTGATCCCATCCCATTCTTGTCTTTCAGCGTTGCTTACCTGTATAATCTCGTTAGGAGACAATGTATAATGATATCACTTCGATGCTTACCTGAGACTTGTCCTGATCCTCCTGGTACCTTGAAATTTCCTCTTCTTTTTCCTTGAGCAATTCCTCCAGCTTGTCCACTTCCTGGCGGCCTTCTTGAAACTTGCTGATTTCCTGGTCTTTCGTTTTAAGCAACTCTTCGAGTTTGCTGACCTTCTCTTGCAATGTTGATACCTGTGATTGCGTATCTGCCAGGAGTTTTCTGTCACTTTCGCCGATTGTCGTTCCAGTTCCGCGCCTACTCCGAATGAATGAGTCAAGAGCGAATGCATCACTCCGCGAATCATATTCATCTTCGGTGCCAGCCCCATCGTCATCATCTTCCACCATGGTGCTCTTGTTGGGAACAATCATGTTGCTCTGGAAGGACTTGGCCATGGGACCCTCACCATTCATACCCGCATTGCTACTAAGAGACATTTTCCGAGGAGGATACATCGGGCTTCCAGGAGGGCCGCCAGAAGGATAACCTCTTCCCATCCGGGGCGGACCTCGCGATTGTGAGCGCCGACTACCAGGCGGTGGAGGGTATCCTCCAGGTCCAAGTCCGTTGGGCGGGGGGCGGCCGCGAAGGCTAGGCGCAGGGCTAGCTCGGCGAGAGTCCCTCGCGGGAAAATGAGGAAACCGTCGTTCTAGTTCGTTGAAGACATCGGCACCGAGGTCTCTAAAGCGCTGGTGCTGGAGCGAGGCAAGTTTCTGACGCGCCTGGTTGCGCTTTTCGTGGAAATCGCTTCGCGGCGGGAGAAAAGGTGGGACTTCGGGGCGCGCTGGCCGATTAGGAGACGGCATAGCCTGCTGCCGCCGAAGCAGCTCATCGTAAACGTCTGTGCTGAGCTCATGGAACTGGGTCGGCGATAGCCGGAGGAGCTTATCCTGTGCTTTGCTTGACTTTCTGTTCGACCGCTCGTCTCGATAACTCGAATAGAGGAACCTTCGTAAAGCGGAATAATGCTGGGCCAGAATCTCCTCCACCTGCCGCTGCCGCCTGCTACGCTGGTCGCCCAGTGTGCCGTTGCTTGATCTTGCAGCAACGGAGTTAGGCGGAGATGGGTTGCCCGAGTCGCTCAACTGCGAAGATGAGCCACTTGGAACGCCAGTACCGTTGGGATCGGTCGGTACTCCGGAGGTAGGAGGTGTCGCCAGATTGCTGCGACTCGAGAAGGTTGGGGAGAAGGGCGCATCCGACTTCTGGTATTGATTGAGCCCCGACCAGTCGCTTCCGTCAACTGAGACGGGCGACATGGTCCCTGGTTGACCATTCATGGGGCCAAGCGACATTAAGCGGTATTATTCCCTTGCGACGGTTGCGTGCGACAGCTATGTTGTTCAAACCACCTATTGATCTCGAAATTACTCGTATACATCCAACATTCGGAGCGATGGCATCGGGGGACGTCGATTACGGGGTAGCGGTACCGTCGGGATTCAGCAGGAGTCTTTGTTTGTAGCTGACAGTTATAAAGCAACGCCGTCCAAGATTATACAGCGCGAACGTATTTCCGGGCAAGAAAGGGGAGGTAAGACAAGCTGATCGTGAGAGGGTCTGCTGTGAAGCGAACGAGTCAAAGCAGACAGCGACGTAGGAATGAAAGATCACTGATTATGAACAAGAACACAAAGGAGAACAGATTATAAAAAGCGAGAATAAAGGATCAAAGGAGAGCACTGGGCAGGCGTCCAAGGATGGATCCAGAGAGTCCAGAGTCCCGAAAGTGGAGGACGGACGGAGGCGAGACTCCCGAAGCCTGAAGGTTGAGGGGAGATCTGAGACAAAAAGATGACAAGCTGGAGAAGAAGGACCCCGGTCTCAATCTTGACTTGACCTCACTCACAGAAACAAAGATGAAGAGAATCCCAGCTCTTCATCAGAAAGGACTACTGCTGCTCCCACACTACGCTCTACTCTTGGAAATTAATGCTAGTCAGGCTCCCCACGAATCACTGGCCTTGAAAGGGGCGGAAGGAAGCAATTCCCCCATGTTCAAACAGGTTCCTGCATTTCAGTTCAGACTGCTCAATATACATACATGCATACAATAATCATGGTCGGATTCTTGATCCTACGCTTTTCTCTCCATCCCGTCTGTGCGACAAGTTACAACAACCCCTGGGCCCGGAGTTCAACACCCTCAACCGATCCAGGAACCACCGAGCCGTGAGTCGGACCAATCAGTCACTTCATGCAGTGCAATGAAGGCACCGGTGTGGCGGTGCTGGGGCTGAATCTACAACTCTCCAGACTCCGAGTCTCCGTCGTAGTCTAGTCTCAGGGGTCAAGACACAAGCCAGGCGACTTTCCTACACTCTCCCGCGTATCTATAGTATCTACTCCGTACTCCATCATATCATCAATAATGCCCTAAATTTGTTACCTGCCAGGCTTCAGAGAACAAAGAAAAGCAAAGATTCACTCTTTAGGAAGTGAATTGCAGCACCTGTTGAAATCTCGCCCCCAGCCGCTCGTCTATCCATCAATCGTTTCTTGTGCTCTTCATCCCTTTTGGCGCCATCGCGCCACAATCCTCTCGCTCTGGCCTAGTTTCACGAGTCCGTCATGAAATTGATTCTCGAAAAATACACTACATATCTGATTCATAAAGATCATGCGGCGAAGTTGATGCGATTAGTATAGGTATTATCCGTACACAGGTTATCATCCATACATTGCGAACAATCATCTCCAGATTTAGTCCGAGTGATGGTCCACCCTTCTGTTAGGACCGAGTGCTCGTGTCCTCTGCTTTTCGGTCTATTGCGGCTCAGGTCATCCCCGCAGCAAAGCTCTATGTATAATGCCCAGACTCCATTATATTTGCTCCCAAAAATCAATCGTGACCATATCCTTGACTTATCGATTGCCATTAAAACAACCCACATGTAATCAAAAGTTCAGAAAATGTGTACCGGAAGGAAGGTCCGGGTGAGCGAACCGAATGAGAAGGACAGTTGGCCCCGGGTTGGCCGTCGTGAGAAAGCCTAGCGGCATCGTGGTGTATCGTAAAGAAGGTAGAAAGGAGAAAGGCGGTTGCTGATGATGTTTATCTCGAAGATGTCATGGTCAGTCCCCGGGTGGCACCTACAGCTGCTGAGACCGGTGTCGCTGACCGGGTTGGAGCAGAACTGCGGTTATGGGCCATGTGCGCTCTAACTAGATGTCCTGCCGCAAGTGCAGAGCACAGACTCAGTTCTCCGGCAAGCACTGCGGCTGCCACGATACGAGCCAGTTGGCGCGCGTTGTCGCCAGGGTTGGTGGGGTGAGAGCCACGAACGCCTAGGAAGTCAAGCATGGCAGACTGGGCTTCAAGAATAGTGCCACCACCGATGGTACCGACCTCAATTGAAGGCATAGACACAGCGATCTGGAGATTACCGTTTGTACTAAAGAGTTTGTTAGCACCATCCATAAGTGGTGGGATGTCAAGTGAACTCACTTCTTCATTGTGGTAATGCAGCTGCTGCTCTCAACGTTCTGAGCGGGATCCTGACCAGTGGCAAGGAAGATTGCTGTAACAATGTTCGATGCGTGCGCGTTGAATCCACCCAGACTGCCTGCCATGGCACTTCCAATCAAGTTCTTGCTGGTGTTCAATTCAACCAAGGCATCCACGTCACTCTTCAGCACGTTGCGAACGACATCACCGGGAATAATAGCCTCTGCCACAACAGATTTGCCGCGACCATCAATCCAGTTGAGAGCAGCTGCTTTCTTGTCGGTACAGAAGTTACCAGACACAGAAATTGTGGCCATATCGTCAAAACCGCATTCAGTGGCCATGATGTGGAGGGCCTTCTCAACACCCTTCGAGATCATGTTCATACCCATGGCATCACCAGTAGTAGTCTTGAATCGAATGTAAAGATAGGTACCAGCAAGAGCAGTCTTCAGGTGCTGCAACCGGGCGAAGCGACTAGTCGAGTTGAATGCTGCCGTCATGACACTCTTACCCTCCTCAGAGTCAAGCCAAACCTTGGCTGCAGCCGCCCGCGCAAGTGTAGGGAATCCGACACAAGGGCCGCGAGTCATCCCATCGCCAGTCAAGACAGTAACTGCACCACCACCGGCGTTAATAGCCTTAGCGCCTCGACTGGCACTGGCCACCAGGACACCTTCAGTAGTCGCCATGGGGATGAAATAGCTTTGACCGTCAATAGTGAGAGGCCCAGCGACACCAAGAGGCAGAGGCAGGTTCCCAATAACGTTTTCGCAGCAAGCACCGTGGACAAGCCCGTAGTTGTAGTCTTTGAAGGGCACCTTAGACGTCTCCAACGAACTCGTGACAGCAGACGTGGCGGGTGTCCTTGAGATCACAGCCCTGCGAATCTTGACTGCCCGGGTGAAGGCATCAACACGGCTCATCAATTCCTCGTTTTCCAGCGACTTCTCCAGAGCGTATCCAGGAAGTTTGCCGCAGAGGGACAGTTCAATCAGTTCTTCATCACTAAGGTAAGACGCCTTCTTCGCTTTCAGCATTGCCTCACATTCCTCCATGCTCCTCTTAGGACCTGCGTTCAGATCAACTTTCGGATAGACCTTGGGCTTAACCGGTTCCTTGGGAGCGGGAGTGGGTTGCGGTTCCTTGATGCTCCACCTCGCAGCGTTGAAAAGATAGCCGTTCAAAACAATGCTCAGAGTCAACACAGCAATAATCCACTTGCTGATGATTGGGTCTTCGATGCTCTTCAGAACGCCGTTGAGGACTTGCCCACCCACTGCATCCAGAAGCTGATCAGTGTACTCAATCTCAAGAGACTGGCTCTCTCCGAGCTTAGCGTAATGCACCGAAGGATATTCAAGTTTGTATTTGATAGGCGGAACAACCGTCACAATTGTCTCCAGTTTCTGGCTCTTGGCGGAAACATAAATCGCATCCAGACCGTTCTCAGCAACCTTGAAGGGATCAATAGGCGTAGGTGCAAAAACATTGCACAGAGGAGACAAGCTCGAATTCCGGAAGGGAATTGCGGTCATGTTCACCACATTGACCAGTACGAAACCTCCGACCATGAGGAACTTGAACCGGCGCACATTGTTCGACTTGATTTTTCGTCCAAAAACACTGGTATCATCAGCATCACCATTGTCTGATCCTGTGCCAAACCAATCATTGCTCGAAGCAACCTTCTCAGCAACGCTCTGAGTGATGCCATCCTCCTCAAGAGCCTTGCGAAGGGTAACATGGCGTCTAATACGTGTAATCTCAAGTTTGATGCAGAGAATGGTCGTGTAGAAAGTAAAGAGCAGAAGGCAGTCGAAGAAGAGGATCCACGCCGCAAGGAAGCAGAATTGTCTCAGACCACCCTGGACTCCGGAAGCAGCCCCCGCGACGAGGATAGAGATCTCGATACAGTAGTCCCGAACAATTTCGAAACCTTGCTCTCTGATGGCAGTCTGGATTGAGTCCTGGATAGAGTTGGGAGTCGATGTGGCTGAACCTTGTCGTTTCTTGTCAACTGAAGCATTGAGAACGGCCCTGGTGAGAATGATTGGCTTCTCAAACCCAATCGTGGTGACAAGGAATGGAAGGCCTTCAGACAGAAGGAGTACATTGATGGGAACGCCGAACTTGGTGGTAACGAGGAGACCAAATAGGAAAGCGAACATGCCGGAGAAAAGGACAGTGGTCGCCAGCCAGAATTTCGATCCCAGCTGTTTCATAGAGAAAAAGAGGGACGCGAAACTGAGGTGCATGGCAAAGTAGCCTAGGGTCATGATGACGATATCAATGGTTTCGGCATGCTGCTGGGAGTTAGCAAATGAGATCCGGGACGAGGCTCATACAAAAGTACCTTGATCAGGTCGACGAAAGAACTCCACGCGTCCGAGACCCAGGAGCTGACGGTTCCGTTAGGTCCGCTGATGGGACCACGAGTACCGCGCATAATCCATCTCTTTTGCTCCTCTTCGTCATCTTCAACTGTAGGGTCAGGAAGCTCTTGGACCGCCCTTAAGAATTGAGGGACTTGGTCAAACGGGAGAGTGAAGACAAGGGACGAGTCGTGTGAAAAGGGAGAAAAGAGATTAGGAGTATGAGGGAGGCGCTGAGCGGATGCATTAGCGGGGACCGGGATGGTGTCGGCAACGGGCGCGATCGACGCGGACTTGGATACAGAATCCGGAAAGATCAAAGTCGTCAAGGCAAGATGCTGGTCAACCTGGGAACCAACGGTAATCAGATTCAAAGAGCAAAAACCGCCAAATTACTTCAAGAATTCTCACCTTGTAGTCCTCCTGGTTCAATGAATCTTCCACTTGCCACTTCCAGGACGTGCCTTCGCCCAACCGGAGGCTCCTATTCCCAAGAAGAAGGGAGTCTACATCCACCTGGCCGGCACCATGTTTGGAGTTTCTGAATGAGTCAAATAAGCTACCTTCGAGCAGGCCAACATAGGTCGTACTGGCGAGAAGGGCAATCACAACGATTGTGTGGATAGGATGAATGCAAGCGCGACGAGAGATGGACTGCAGACAACCAGTCACTTGGCGCTTCAGCCACGAAGGTTCAGCTTCGCTGTCTCCTTCAGCTGTCCCAAACTTCCTCCGAATCAACACAGAAGCCATGATGGCTTATGGATGAGAGGCGGTGTATGTGGTACAAAGGTACAAGGTACCCAGCCAAATGCTGATGCGGAATTGCGGATGGGTCACACCGAACGAGAGGCCCTATCCGATATGCTCAATGCTCGCAAACTGTAATGCACGAGTGGAAAGTAAATTAAGTCGATTTTCTGGGGTTGAGTGACATATGGCGAGGGAAGAGGGTGCTATACGTTCTGGCATCTGCGGGTGACGAACTTCCAAGGACCTAATGATTTTTTGCCGTCAGCGAATCATTTCGTCCAATGGCCTGCCACTAACAAGAGCGGAGCGAAGCCATGAGAAATAGGCAGCGAAAGCAACGAGAAAGGGAGAGAAAGAGCCTGGGCTCGGGCAGCAGACATACCCTAAGACGCAGCAATGCCGTGAGACGTCGGTGTAGGACCGCGTAATTCAACGATTCCGATTCCGATAGTCGCAGTAGTCCCCCAGAACGATTGCCAACAGAGGCTCGTCCTCGAAATCTGTCTGTCTGCGCTCAAGTCAGTCGAGTCGTCACAGCCACCGAGCCCCTGAAGATGCGCACACTCAACCAGAACAGAAGAGCTTGAGCCACCCGTGACCCTTGGGAAGAAATAGTTAGGTAAGCCGGCGAATTTCGCCGCCGAGAGAGGCTTACTCTTTTAGGAAGGAACAGAACCGGGGGAACCAATCAAAAGCCGCGCTGGGAGCCACAGCACTATTGACTGAATTATGGGAAAGGCGTATGATCGCCAAGCAGGCAGCCCAGATGCGTAGGAGAGGATTCCAGGCGTGGGATCCAAGGTTAGGTAGAGGGAGAAAGAAGGAGAAGGAGAAACGGCAAGTCAGAAAGGGGGGACTGGGGGGAATAAAAAAAGCTGGCGGAAGTGAAAGCTGGTTGCCGGTACTCGCCCAGGCCAAACGAGGCTAAGTGGGAATCCCACCTGCAATTCCCAACCGACGGGCCACAAGCTGTACCTCCAGCACTGACGATCCCTCAGCCTTCAGGTCCAACCCTCCAGGACCCAGGTTATGTAGCTCACGTTATCTCTCACGTTATCATCTTATGACGGGCTGCGGACTTTGTACGGGAAAGCAGTTTGTTGAAACTGCCAATGGACGGTGACTTCGACAAGCTTGATGCGAATACTCCGCTGGATGAGAGGTCATGCTAGACGCGGAGTAAGTCTTCCAAGGAGCGGTATCACAAATTACTCCGCCAAAACAAAGCAAGACGGCCTTGTTATCTACGTAGGGAGAAGAGGCCGCAATGATGGATTGCCAAAAGCAAATACGGCTCTCGGCTCTGTCGGGATTCATCCTTTTAGGTGAACAGCGAGTGGCTCTAACCTTTGGGAGTCCTGCATCTTGCATGAAGGCGACCATCTCAGCCCGACAATTCCGCAAGGCAATCGTCGAGTGATATATCCGGATACCGGGAAGCCTTTGGTGACCAAGGCTGGTGGCGCATGGCGTTGTTGTACACAGCACCGTACTGTGAATAGCGGATGACAACCTGGTGCATAGCTGAAGAACCAGAGTACAGGATACCCTGGGTAAAGTGGTTTTTGACGCTTCTGGGCCTCCACTTTGCTTTCTGAGACAGCTTCAAGCCCAATAGGGCAGCAGTTGGTCCCTCCACAACGGAGTCCGAGGAGCGTTCCCGGACGCCTTGACAAGTAACAATATCATGTCGCGTCCCCCAGCCTAGCTAGAGTCGGGAACAATAGATGCAAGGATGCAGGGTTGTGCAGGGTAAGCACTTGGAATGCCCACATTCTGGACGATCAAAGAGGTGCAAGGCCTTAATGTCTGACGGCAATATGTCGTAACGAGGTATGGCCATGGATCTTTGAACTCGCTACTGAGTTGAACTTGCAATCCATCATGATTCATCAGTGGGACGCTCTACACTTGGGCGCCACTGCACGGATAATCGCTCAATACCCACTTTTTCTTAATCAATCTAATCAATCAATCTCTCATCTGCGACACCGGACCTTGGCTGTATAGACTACGTACCTTTTGATGTTTTTTCCGTTGTGGAGATGATTGTGCGAAGTAGTATGGTCGAAAATCCAGAAAAAAATCGCTTAGATCCGGAACGGGATGTGACATGATATTCGCTGCCACCATGTTTTGTCGAAGGTCACGCAAACCGACACAAGAGAAAGGGAGATACGATCTCGATCAGGTTTCCGATTGTTGTGTAGCTCAAGTTGCTCAACAATACCAGGAACGCCAGGCTTGCGAGCCGAAGAGCCGTTCCGTGGATGCTGCAGAAATCCAATGGCCAATGGCTATCCGTGGGCGCCGCGGACTGCGAAGATATATTGATTCTGTTGATAATAGAAACTCGTGTTCGGTAGACGCCCCAAGGACAATAAGAGAATAACAATGGAGGCGACGTTGCTTTGGGCTACCAAGAACTCTTGCAGCTTTTTACCTAGGTAGTAGTGTTGGCAGTCTACTTCGGTTAGGCTGGTAAACTGCAGGTGACCTGGTCTGCGTTTGGTAAAGAACCTTGGAAGCCGGTTGACTTTGGACTTCAATCATCTATTTAACTACTCCCATCATCAGTCTACCTCGTAATTTCTCTCTTCTCAAGGCAGTGCTAAAATTGAACGACTGGAGATTAAGGGCTCTCCCACATTGCTGTTGCTTGTTTCCATTGGCGCCCTGCCCCCCTGCATCAGAGCCGGCGCTTAGATCTCAACCCCACGCACGGCAACAAGCATATTGCCAACGTTAGTTTATCCATCTCAACAAAGTGATCTCAAAAGTCCCAGTTGACCTAAAGTAGACTTTAAGCCACTTCCCACGAAACTCTTCAGGACGTGCTTTATCGCAAATTCAGACCAATCAAAGACTCACTCCTCTTTTCTGTAGATTTCAGATCTGCAGCGCCTAAACGATTATCAAGGGTCCAGGAAGCCTAGAGTCATGCAAATATCCGCTCAAGGCTACTAGGCGCCGATGCTATTTCTAGATTGCCATGCGGCTGGTGGTCTAACGGAGCTAGATGCCTCACTGCAGCAGAAATTGTGAAAGCATGCTCCTACAGCCAATCGTACCTTACCCACTCCGCCAGCTTGAGCATGTCAACAAGATCTTTGCCAGCCGCTGATCGTCAACCATGCGCCGTACGAATTTAACCTCACATGACATCCTCAGACGGAAACAACGACTGTTCATTCATTGGCTCTGGCCTTCTCTTTATTGTAGCTTTGCCTCTCCTCTTCCCGTCTCATCAAGCGCTCCAATTCTGGGTCCATGTGTTTCAATAATGGTGTGCTCTATGAGCCAAAGTTGTCTATCGAGATATCTTAAATGGCTGGCTTCCTTTGACAGCGGCTGCTTTATTCCCCTCGTCTTGGTTTAAGCTGGATAAACAAAGTGGGTGGTCACCTGCGGATGTTTATTGTTTCAAGAGCTGTCATTCGAGCCTGATTTCTTTGCTGGGCACCACACCGATAGAGCTTCTACTGTCTCCTATTTGACAGATTCAGCTTTGTACTGGACTCCTTTGTGACTCTTGTCATTGTCCCGAACAAACCAAGAACACAAGATACTTTGAGTGGATATCGCGGCTGTTGACCAGAACAATGGACATATAAAAGGTCTGCAACCCTTTCCCAGCTAGGCCATTTTGAGAAGGTTTCCCAGACAGTTACACTGACTTTTGAGCCTAGCGATTCTGATCTAACTCGCTGGACGGTGTTAGGCTTTCTTCTTGATACTCCCAGAGCCTCTTCGCAAACAAGTATTTCATTCATCTTCCTATCACAACATGCATGGCATTAGCTGGAGGTTGATCCTCCTTGCTTTTCTCTTCACATCATCCTGGGCTCACTCGTGGGTGGAACAGCTTATGGTCATTGCACCAAATGGAACCTTCGTGGGTTCCCCAGGCTATCCTCGTGGAAACATCCTTCGCTCAAATCCTTCATTTAGCGACACCTCCATGACTTACCTGCTCCCAACCGATGGCAAAGCGGAAGCCACCAAGGCTGATTATCTTTGCAAGGACACTCAACGGAAACAAGCTCAGACGGATGGGAGTCCACGGCTACAGGCGAGCGCAGGCGCCGCCATTGCCCTCCGCTTCCAAGAAAATGGGCATGTAACACTCCCGGAAACACAGAAAGGGAAACCCAAGAACCGCGGGACAATCTACGTCTACGGAACGACGGACCCAAAGGAGGACGAAAAACTTCTGGATGTCCACAAAGTGTGGACTGAAGATGGAGCCGGTGGTGATGGGCGCGGAGTCTTGCTGGCACAACGGAACTACGATGATGGCCGCTGCTACCAGGTCAACGGTGGTGAAATCTCCACAAAACGACAGAAGGAATTCCCGCACGAGGCCGACAAATACATGGGTGGCGATTTATGGTGTCAAGCAGACATCGCGTTACCGAGCAATGCCCCCTCAGGCAAGCCATATACGCTCTACTGGGTTTGGGACTGGCCTACCGCCGCCGGGGTAGATCCCGGTCTCCCTCACGGCAAGCAGGAGATGTACACAACATGCATGGATGTGGACGTTGTCGATCACTCAGACAGCCGAATGAGCAATAGCGCAAACTACGATCACGACCAATCTCTGAACGGTGCCTCTATTCCTAAGCAATTCAACGAGATCTTCGCTTCACAATCCGGGAGTTCTTCGGAAGCAACTTCTACGAAACCAACGCCGACTCCTTCGAGACCGGTGACACCAGCACCATCTGGGCCAGCAACGGGACGCCCAGTAGCGACGGTCACGGTGACCTCCTTTGTGACCTCTGTGCAATGGGTACGCCCGACCGGCAATGCTTAGACTCGCCCATGAAGTCAGTCTGTTGTTCGGGAGCGCTGCATCTGGGTGTCAAGCAACTCCTCGCGGTGGCGGCATTTATACATGGCTGGACCAAGCCGATAATACCCTACGAGCATTGCCTTATAGCTGGGCGGGCCTAGCAAAGGGTTTCCATATCTTTCGAACGTGTCTGCTGCCCCTCTCATTTCATTTGTCCCGAATTGGTTCTCTGGAAGACCAAATGGTTGTATGTAGCAATATCCGTCGAATATACTGTCAAGTTATACGAAGAATCTCAGTTATAAACCTAGAATAAGATAATAGATTATTGTAAATGCCAGAGGTATGTGACCGTTATAGTTGGCAGTCTCCACAAGAGAGGATCAGTTCGTGCCTAATTCTCAAGGCATGTACGGAGTAGATCTGAAACAATCACGTGCGAGGGACCGTCGAACGACTCGAAGTGGATGGAGTAGCGAAATCGGAATCGAACGCCCTTTGCTATGTGTCTGTGCTTTCTGACGTGACAACTTAATTATACATATCCATCATCTTAAGCGTGGTGTGCTTTTGTTGGGCATATCAGAGTCCCGCGTTGAAACGTCGCAACTTGTTGCAGGGAAGGCACCGAGAGACAGACACCGAACTCCACAGCAGTCCCAACTGCGCCTCGTCCGCTTCGTTTCCGTCCTCAGCGTTGTTGAGAGAGAGGTTGAAGGCAGGGTCAAAGTGACCTACAGAGCACGGCAAGGGGTTCATTGCCGCCGAGTACCTGTCTTCATCGCTCATCGCCGGCCAAGTAAGTCCCCTCGCCACTTCTCCGAATCTGCTGGCGCTGGCAATTGGACGCGGGTTACAGCTCCTGTGTGCAATTAGACGCTCATCCCCTCGTTTTCCACTTGCTGTGCCTTTTACCCCCTCCCTTCTCTTCCTCACCTTTCATATCCCTTCGTGACCCGGGTCCCGCATCGCTTGAGTTGGTAATCAGCATTTCTGACATTTACTCTGGCGCGTAGCTGCGCTATAATTAGCACCTAGGCTTGCCCTCGATAATTCTGGCTCAAGCGCGGAAGAGACACCAATCCGAAACATCTCGTTGCAGCGAGCAAACCTCCCGCTATAATTGGTCTTTCGCAAGCGAAAGGGTCTTCGAACTGCTTCAGGTACCCGCCCGCAGGAACCGCCTCGCTGTCGCTTTTTCCACGGCCTCGGTACTTCGCTGTCGCTTTGCTACAACCGTGATCCATTGGAGGGGGTTCGTTCAATCTCTTCGGCGTCTCGCTACTCTTCCGTATCCATTATTGCTTGATTTACGGCCTCAACCACCCTTATTCGTCCTGCCTATAATAAAAACAAGGCGCTGGGTTGTGCTTTCACACGCAAGGAGTCCGCCAGGTGCCCCTCCCAGCCGAATCGCAATTCCTCGGACCATTGTTGCTTGTCCCTTGACTTGGAGGGTGTCGGTCTTGCCCGAATAGACTGCGGAATCTTGGTGTCTCAGTTCGTGGGCCAAACCACGAAGTATTGCAGAGTGTGGGCTGGCCATCGCAATGCGAGTCTAGGGTGAACCTCCAACCACCACCATTGCCTGAATTGATATTCCCTTTGATCTCTCCTGGACGCGCAATCATCGGATTTTGCTACATCCTACATTGGCTTTCTTGCCTCTCGCGGACCCGATGACGACCACCATGACAACAGCAACGTCGCCCCCTCCGTCACAGCAGGCTGTTTCGTCTCCTAACCTCACAGTTCTCCCTCCCATTGTAACCGACACACCTGTCAGGGTGACGAGTCGCCAGCGATCGTCATCTTACGGAAAGGACCGCCTCTCCACATTCTCCAATCTTTCTGTAGCCTCGCAGAACCGGTCGAGACCTGGGTCACACGTTTTCCCTATATTTCACTCCAGCTTGCCCTATGCTCTAGTGCGGGATTTCGCGTATCCCACTATCCACCCTTTTCATTACGGCCCGCTTCCGCCTTCTGCGTCTGGGCTCTCGAGCCCTGTAAGCGAACATCGGCGGTTGTCCGACCCCCCGGCGTCTTGGGACAGTTCACGTGGCCAATGGTCAACTCAACCGTGGGGCAGCGATACTGGTCATGGACACCAACCGCTTCCAGCGATGTCGTTTGGCGATGGTCCTCCTTATAGCGAAGACGAAGACTTGCACAGTCCCGTGTTCTCTGCGCCGCGCCATCGTAGAAACAAATCCACCGGGAGCGACGTGAATGGAGGAGGCGGCAGGATATCCGGTGGTAATAACTATACTCGCCATCTCAGCATTATCGGGGACAATGAGCGTGGTCGTTTGGTCAGCATGAACGCTGACGGTAGTGAGACCTATTACGTGAATGATGATGACGACGGGGACGATGGGCCGGGGGGTGACCTTGTCACCTACCCACCGAACCAGAGTCGATATACCTACCTTGGCTCATATAATGATGAGCATGGTTACGACAGACAAGCAGGCTTCGAGTCGGAAGAAGACTATACTGGGACTCACCGGTACTCACGCGAGTTTCAGTTCTCAGTCGGATGTCCGGATGAGGAGATGCACGGGAAAGCGGTTGCACTTTTCGACTTTACTCGTGAGCACGAGAATGAGCTTCCGTTGACCGAGGGCCAGGTGATCTTCGTCTCGTATCGCCATGGCCAGGGGTGGTTGGTGGCGGAAGATCCACGAACTGGGGAGAGTGGATTGGTCCCCGAGGAGTTTGTCCGCTTGGTCCGTGATATCGAAGGCGGTCTCACTTCGTTGAATGGCGATGATGAGGCTGAATATGAGGATGATTACCATAGTCCGGACTCAACAGACTCCCAGCAGGAAACCACACCGACCACCTACTCGGCGGCTAATGGGGCCCTGAAGAACCCCGGGAGTGGCAACGAGAAAGAAAGAACGGCAGCTCCGTCAGAGACGGAGCAGTTACCAGTGAAAAGCCAATAACCTATGTGGAAGCATAGAAGAGACATGAACCGAGCAACGCCACGGTCCCTGACCGTCTCTCTTGGTCGGTATGATTTCCTTGATTATCTCGAGAGTTCCCCGGTCGGAACTCGAGACTGTCGTATATCTGCATACATGATAGAACAGTCATGACTAGAAACCGTCATGGCTCGAAGGGTGGGATTGTGCTTTAATAGCATATCATACTTACTGGTCTAAAAACCGCAGAGCCAGCCTGCGGTTGCGCAACGCTTGTTACGAGAGTGATGTGAGTGAGATTGTACATATTTTATATCATTTGGAGTACTGTTCAGCGCCAGCGTCGGGAGGGTCGTCCATATATCAATACCAACATATCAGCCATATCATTACCAATTACCATCACAGTTGCTTCTTTTTTTTAGAATGTAGGCCGGTTCGGGCACGGGAAGAAGGAGCAGTGGCGGAGTTGAGAGGCGCATTGTCAAAAAGAAATGTAGGAAGAAATGATGAAATATGAGCCTGGATCTCTGTTGTTAAGTATGTACATCTTAGCCGTAGGAAGAAGAAGAACGGAATCTATGCATATGTGCCAGATACTGGTCAAGTTCTCTGCGGGTCCCAGCGTGATGAAGAGATCAAGAATGTCGCTGCATCCTCGTCCGAGTCCCCATATCCGAGAGAACGGGACCACCGGGCTTCGGGTTTCAGGAGCGTCGCAACCAATAAGGGTCAATTCAGCTCCCATTGCGTTAAGTGATGCGGATCACAGCATGGAAAACACGACGTCGTGGGCCACCGGGCACGGTAAACTGAACTTGTTTAGACGTGCTGCTGAGATGTGCTGGCTGGAAGACCCCGTGGACGGGCGGTGCGGCGCCGTTGCCTGTTCAGGCGAACCAAGGGACCGACCTGAGAGCCTGGAGATTTCTCAGTGACGGTGATGATTTCTGCCCAGGTGATGTTGGAAGTAAGACTTGCGGGGTGAGGCTAATGGAGGGTTGCAGTGATGACCAGCTTGGGGTGGTACTTTACAAACTAAGCTGGAGCGGAAGAAGTGCCGGGAGAGAGATATGACGAAGACCAGAAATACACAGGGCGAGCGCTCAAAAACGAAATTGCCGTCAATTGAAAGAAAAGAGAAGCAAGTTTTATTTCCACCAACATAATCACAAAGGGTCAGAAGATTTTGCATAGCAGAGAAATAATGCCCAAAGAACTGCAGGGTACGAGCTGAAGGATGAAATAACAAAAAGAAAATCTAGCCCAGGAGGTCATCTAGGTTGGAGCTGCCTGTCTTTGCTGGTTGCTGTGGTTGCTGCTGGGGTGTTGGAGAGGACAATCCGGATGACGGCGCTCCCCAGATGCCTGCACTCGCCTTCTCCTTGGCCATGCTGGCGAGGTTGGGTCCTTTGCTGGCGGTGGACGATGACTTCTGAATTCCAGCACTCGCACTGGCTGTGGACCACAGTGACCCGAATGCATCACCAGAGGCCTTCGAAGCCGCTGGCTTGCTGCCTACAGCTGGACTGGTAGGGCTCGTGGCAGATGAGAAAGAGGAGGTGGATGGCATGGATGGTCGGTGGCCAAAGGCAGCAGAGGGCCCTTGCTGCGTAGCAACGGACGTGAAATAGTTGGGAGTTGCCGCCTGGTAGCCGGTAGGTTTAGGTTGAGCTGGCTTCGGGACTTGCGATGAGAGGGTAGGAGAAGTGAAACCACTAGATGTTGGTGTCGGAGTCATCGAGGTGAACCCAACAATGCCGTTAATGTTCGACCCTTGTGTTCCAGACACTGGACGAGGAGCAGCGAACTGGGTGGTGGAAGTGGTGCTGACAGTGGATGCGGGCGGGGGAATGCCGAATGTTTTGGATGACGAGGGAGCGGGAGCTGCTTGAGGTGCCGACTGGAAATCGTCAAAATCATCGTCGTCATCAGCCGGTGTAGGATCAAGCATATTGAGGCCGTTGCTGCCCGCGGGCTGCTTTCCAGTGGCAACAGACGATGTAGGAGCAGGAGCGGGAGCGGGCTCGTCATCGAGAAAGTTGACGAGATCTGGTTCAGGGGCCTTCGGCGCCTCGGGCTTCTTCGCTTCTCTTTGAGCGCGGGGAGGGCTGGCCGCACGTCTTCGGACTGGAGCAGCATCTGCTTCATCGTATTCGTCATACTCCTCAAAGCGATTTCCTCGTCTACCGGTATCTTCAAACTCCGTAGTTGCGCCTCCAAAGCCACCACCATCACCATAAACACCGCCGCTGTAGCCACCAAAGGAGAGACTGTCGCTGCCGAATCCTCCGTAGCGACCACTTCCAGAGCTCCCGATTCCACCTCCAATGCCGCCGCCAATGCCTGCTCCACCCTCAAATCCGCGAAACTTGTTACGGTTGGCCCTGGCCTTCTTTCTCTCGGAGCGGATCAGTTCGACATCGCCCAGAAGTTTGACCAATTCCTGCGCACGGTTTCGGACGTTGATTCCCTGATCTTTGCCATTAGGGTCGATGTAGTGGAATTGGCGAAGCATACGAATGAGGGACAGGTGTGACCTGGCATCATCAACGACACGTTCCGATCCGTTCTTGATGAGAAACTCGAGCAGTTGAAGGCCCTAGATTCGGCAAGAAGACACCGTCAGCAGACCTCCAAAGAACAGCCATTGAATGCTCCGCACCTTGTAGATTTGCCGCCACTCCTCTGATGTCTTGTCCGTAAACCGCTTGTAGATCATGGGCATAATCTCATTGAGTAACTGGCTGTCAATCCGAGACTCGGATCAGTAAGAGCTCATGAATCCGCGACACCATTGGAGCAGGGATCTTCGGAGTAACTGACTAATGATGAGTTCCAGTAGCGATTTCCTGCATCAACGTCGTCGAGGCACCCCATGGTTCATTGTTTGTAGCTTCTCGGACCTAGGAGGTATGAGTGACTGACACCATAACAGTCAACCCCACACTGAGGGCGCGGAGTGACGCCGACATCGCGGACGGAAACGATCGGGACGACGAACCTTGGCCTCCATTTCAGTGTAGTTCATAACAGCTACATGAGAGCAATGTTAGCACATACGCTAATCTCAGTAACAAGGAGAAGCTTAGGGGTCTTGCTCCTTATGGCCGGGACCTACCATTCTGGACCTTGCGCACTCCCGCCTTGAGATCATACAAGGTCAGGTTGCTGACTTGGTTTTTGAGGGAGTCGAAATCCATGATGTGCGTATCAGGAAAGTATATGACAGCGCACACCTCAATTCAATGAGCGAAACAGCCGAGTTCTAGAAACCGATTGAGGGTCAGGGCAGATGGCGCCTGAGGGAGAATCAAGTTCCAGCTGGCCACCCCCATCGGGCCCCAAAGACGACGTCACGTGGCACCCCTGACTCTCGGCACGACTATACTTCAATTTACAGGAGGACTTGACTTGCATTCATCAAAGTCATTTAGTCGGTACGTACACACATAAATACATGGGTTCGTTCAATTCATCACAGAGAAGGTAAAGGTGTAGGCAGTCGTATAGCACCGACTTTATGACCAGCATGCAAAGAATGAAATCACAGGGAATCATCGCTAACAGGGACAAACAAAGAAAGTAGGCAAAACAAGGAAGGGTTATTCGGCTCGAGTCATACGTGGGTGCTTTTGCTGTCTGAACCTTGAAGACAAACGGGGATATCACTGGAAAAGAAAATGCATGAACAAGAATTCATCACACATTGAAGGGGGAAAAAAACCTCCCAGAATCAAAACACCCAAAGCGATCATTCGTTGTAGAATTTCCTCATAATCAGATGCAGGAAAAGGTTGACGTTAACCCGCAGGTGTCCGTCAAAGAAGTCGAGGAACTGCATGTTGTTGAACTGAGCTTGCAGGAGGTCGTCCAATGGGACCTGGGCGTTGGCCCCGGGGACCATCATCGGACCGCTGCTGCCATCGAGCGTGAAGACACCGACCTCATTACTCGAGATCGTCAGGTCCACTCGGTCCCATTGCCGCTCTGTATAGCCCTTCCAGTAAACCAGGACGCCTTTATCCGCCAGGTTTCGGGCGGAATATTTATAAGAACCGAACTTGAATACTTTGCCGGATTTTTGAAGCTCGCGCTGGTGGTCCCATTGCTTGGTGAAAGGCATAAGGAACCTCTTTTTGCCCTTCTTGCTCTGTAACGTCACCATTGCCTGCTCAATATAGTCGTTGTACGTCTTGAGCTGCTGATCCAACCAGACAGCTTGGTCGTTGAGACGAGTGAGCGTCATATGGGCGCTCTCCAGTTCTCGCTGACGTTGAATCCTCCGACGATGCTTTGTCCGGATGTCGATAGCAATGGCATTGAGCAGATCCTGGTAGTGGTTGCTGCGATGGATCTTCCCTGCACGTTCAAGCTGCAAGATATTTTCCAGGGCTGTTCTCTTCAGCTCAGAATAGCTCATTGAGGCAATGTCCACTAGGCTGTTGGCTTCAGAGTATGCGCTCCGCTGCGTGTTGTGAGCACTCAACTCATCGCGAACGAGCGTCATCCACTTCTCTTCATCCTCTTCAGTGGGTGGCGTTACCATGATTTCTAGAAGGTTGGCGCCAGACTGCACACGGATGATGTACAGAACACATCTCTTGGTCTCCATGAACAAAGCCTTAACATCAGCTTCCGGATCTAGTAGAAATCTGTTAGTATGTATGCCGGAGAGCTTGGTAGAGTTGCCTCTTACCTTCTGTCTGTGCAAGCTTTGGGTTCAATGTCAGATTTATCTCAGGAGAATTGACGCTCATCAGCTCATTTTCATTCGACTTGACATTTCCCAAGTCGCGAACCACCTCCTTCAGGATGTCATCTTGGTTGGAGCAGATAACTTGAATATTGGAAGCCACAAGCTGGTGGATGGAGAAGATATCAGACATCTTGATGTACAGTGTTGGCTTGGTTTTGGCGTAAAGGTCATTAAATTCGTCAATGTCAAAGTACGTCTCGGCATCCTGGACGGAGATCACTGTTGCATACACGTTAGTACCACGTTAATTCGTCGGTATGTCGGATACTTACAGTCGCCCCAGATGTTTCCAAGCCGCTGAATCGAGTCTGCAATATAAGTGTTTAGAGGCTGGAGGTACACATTCTCTGCACCGAAGAGCCTTCCTGAAGCCGCTTGAGCGATTACTTTGGCGATCTCCGACAAGTTCCGCTTCTGCTCCTGCGTCAATCCCCTGTCGACGACCCCATACTTCTCTGGTTCCATAATGGCCGGTTGGAAATAATTCTTCCACACCCAGTGTCCGACGGTTTGGAGAATGAATCCTGGATCTTCATTCGAGAAGCGGGAAAGGAGACTCTCGTACATCTCTTTAGCGATGTATCGGATCCCGAAAGGCATGCGGTAAAGCAGCTCTTCCAGAGCAGCAAAAAATTGGTCGGCAATATCTCTTAAATCTTGCAAGTGCTGGATGAAAGTTGCTCTGGTTTCGGGATCCCGGATAGCTTCTTCTCTCGGGATATCAAGTCGGCGTCGACTACGCTTTCCTGTTCGGAGTTCTTCATTGTTGATGCCAGACCGGTAAATCTGCATGGGGTCGCTTTCCAGGTCCAGTTCAGCATTCTCAACAATGTTTTCCTTCACAGCGGTGCTAAGGACGTCACGCATGAACTTTCGGTCGCGAGGGGACTTGATATATGAGGCAAAAAGCTTGTTCCAGAAAGAGTTACAACGCAAGTACTCCTGAAGTGAAGTGAAGCTCTCAATCTCCTCTCGAGCTGAACGAGCTAGCAACTTGATAAGGTAGTACTCCTCGCGCCTCTTCTGAGAGTAGCCAAAGAGTCCCATCATCAAGTGTCGTATTCTCTCATACTCTTTTTCCGGGGTGTTCACCTCACGCAGGCGCCGGAAAAGCCTGGCGAGATACTGAGATTGCGTTTGGAGCAGGAAGAAGAATACTTGGTAGTACTCTAGCTTCTTTCTTGAAGTTTTGTTCAAAGCCTTGAGGTCGAAAGGATCTTTAGAGGAAATCTCGGTATTGGATAGAAGATTCCCCACATGGCCACCGAAATGCTTTTGGTGCTTGACAACCTCATCTAAAGTAATCTTGTTCTTTACCAGAAGAGCAATTTTGATATCAAGCTGACTGATATACTGCTCAGCGAGCTCGTTCTGCCGGACCTGCTGCACCACCAACTTTCTCGCCCGTTCGGATTCGACTTCTTCGTCAAAATCGAATTCGCTGTCGTTGAGAAGGTGTACGAAGCCCTTAACGGTTCCAACGGGAGGGTTCTTGCCGCTCGTGAGGCTCTTGTACGCTTGCCCCTGAATCCTACCCCTTATGAAACTCTGCGCTTTGACCACTTTCTCCATGTTCTCCTGGTAGTAGCGTCGCTTTTCGTCGAATTTAGCCCGTACTAGGTGGCCTCTGATTTGAGACTGAAGGTCCGCAATGATGTCTTCTTCAGCTGCCAGATCAGCCAGTGTTTGACCGACGTCGACTCGTACGAGCATGGCTCTGATCTGCGCCTGCAGTTCGCTGATCTCCTCATCACAGTCGTCCAGATGTTCGAGAATACCACCAACATAAATGCGTAAAATAGCAGCCCTAGCGAGCGCTTGGAGATCAGTGATAGCAGCTTCCTCTTGTTGCAGCAGTGCTGCGTCTTCAGCTAGTCGCTTCCTTAGAATGACACCGCGAGCCATTGATTGAAGCTCCAGAATAGACTCGCTCTCTTTGTTCAGAGCCTCTCTCTGAAAGTCCAGGAAAGATCGCACAGCCTCAGCGCGGGCTGCGCTTTGGATGTCGATAAACGAGGGTACATGCTGCGTCAACGCTTCTCGGATAAGAGCAAGCTCCTTCCGCACAGCACGACCACGGACCATAGACTGGAGAACAACAAAGCTCTGCTCCTTCTGAGCGAGAGATTCCTTTAATAGTGACTGTGACTTTCTGGCAGCTAGGGCGCGGACATGTGCCTGGAGGGATATCACAGACTCCGTCTCCTCGCCGAGGGAAGCAAGGGTTTGAGTAATATCCTGACGTACAAGCATTCCACGAATCGCCGCCTGGATAATATTGGCACTATCTTTAGTCTGCGAGATCTCCTTCGACTGGGAACTCATGCGCTGACGAAGCAATGCTCCCCGAATAGCTGCTTGCAATCCTTGAACCTTGTCCTCAACAGAGTATGTCTCTTCGTACTGCTTTGAGACCAGTGATCTCTGTAAGGCTCCTCGAATAGCAGCCTGCAGCAGCTGAACTTGGTCTTCTGCGCCCCTGACATCATCATGGAGGTCGTAGACAACCCTACGCTGGAGGGCACCCCTGACGGCAGCTTGGATCTGCTTGATATCTGACTCCTGCGTCCGCAATCGGCTGCGGATAAAGTCAGCCTGGACTCTGGCTTTCGAGCCGCGAATTGCGCTTTGCAATTGTAGGATGTCCTGTTCGAGCGCCTTGTGGGTTTGCTTGGTATTCCTTAGACGATGTCGTGCGATAAACCCACGGCAGATCGCTTGGAGGTTGACAGCAAAATTCCGCATATCCATGCGGTACTGAACAATTTGCCTCGCCCAGTCTCCTCTGATTCTGGATTGAAGCTCGATGAGCACCGGCTCAAAGTCCCAGAGGTCGTTCATCAGGTTGCCTAGATTCAGTCTTAGAATCGCACCTCGAAGTTGAGCCTGAAAGTCGGCGATCGAGCTTTCGTTCTCGTGCAGTTCGCGTTCTATTCGATCTTCCTCGGACTCGGGCTCCGGCTCGGGTTCAGGTTCAGGTTCAGCGCCAAAGTTGGCGGCCATGCCGCTGAAACTCGGCATGCTTACACCGGCTTTGTCTAGGCCTTTCTGGGTCTGCTCAAGTTCGTGGTGTTCGAACTCCAGCTGACCAACAAGGTTACCCATCCGAAAGTCGACTATCCCCTTTTTGAAAAGGAGCCATGACAGAGCGTGGATGCAGTGTATGACTTTCGGGATGTTTTTTTTCTCGTACAAATCAATAAGCTCAAACCTGAAAAGCTCGGGTAAGTCAACTTCGTCGAGGAATCGAAAGAACAGGGCTATGTTGTCCGAGTGTCGGTATTGCAGCCTTGGGTGTCGGAATATTCGTAAAGGCCTGTTAGGGTACATTGACTGGACAATTTCTGCTAGGGTAACACCATCGCGCAGGGCTTCTTCGAGTTGCACAATGGGCGGGATTTGTTGTTGGATGACCTCTTCAATCCACTCCTTAGCTTCTCCAATATGGCAAAGGTATTCGTACGCTTGTAGGAATTGCCGCTGTTTGTCCATCCAATTTCCCGCTGCCCAAGCAGAAGCGATTGGTTTTTGGGCGGCTCGCGAGCCATGATTTCCGGCTACTGAACCAGACCTCTTCAGTCGCCGTCGTCCTTGAAGCCCCACAACTGAAGGAGTGTGAGTGTCGAGAGAGAATTCATCGGTCTCGCCAGACTTTGCAAATCTTGATAACGCCCGAAGGTGGCCGGTGGTTGATTTCTGAAATGTCTCGAGCTCTGGGGTTGAGAACGTGGCCGTTAACGGGGGTGGATGAGTGCCAGACACGCTATGGGAGTGATTTGCCCTAACACTCGGCCTCGCAGGCGGGGCCGCATGATGTGGTGAACTAGGTTTTGGAGGGGTCATAACATTGGGAGATGCTCTTTCTTTGAGCGGCTCGGCTTCCTCGTTGTGGCCGTAGCGGGCTTCGGGGGTTCGCGGGCGGTTCTCCTTCCAGTATTGAGGGTTGTCGAGGGTCTGGCTTCTCGCGTGGCGAAAAACAGCATTCTTGCTTGCTGGAGGAGAGGAGTTGGGAGCTTGAGAGAGCGGGCGCAACGAGCGGCGGATATTTTCGTACGTTGCGCCTGCATTGGCCCATTCTGGAGCTCCTCCGCCCATATTTTGCTGAATTGCTGTCGTATTTACCTCACTTTTGCCTCGCTTGTGTCCAAATCCAGTTGCCGACCCGGCAGACGCGTTTGATGAGACGGTGCTGGTGCGACTGGGAGCAAAAGAGTTGGATGAGAGCGAGTATATAGACGAATTTGTTGACGCGGTCGAGTCATGGCGAAGAGGACTCGATGTTTGTGTGGGAAGGTCGGTTTGCGCACGGCGAAGCGGAGCTGTATGCATGGACATTACTGGGGCCGTCCCGAGGACAGTAATGCGACTAGAAACAGATGAAAAGAGTTGTTGGCTTCACTGGGCCGCATGCCTGCTTAGCAAAAAGAAGCAGTTTAGCAGTGAGATGCGAAATCTCGAAAGGTGCTGTTCTTGGTGGGAATGTTCAATAATGCGCATTCAAGGGATCAAGCTGCATAGCTCTCCGTCGGGTAACGGGACGGTTGGTTGATATAGAAACGGGCTGGCTGTCTCCGTCCCGCAGAGAAATCCTGATTCCAGTTCCGTGGCGGGAAGAACGAAAACCGAAACAAATAAAACGAAAAAGGAAGAAGTCGTGATATAATTATGGCCAACTGATGGATCGTGACCCTTGAGGTTCAAGGAAGAAGAAGAAATCACACCAAGTCAAGTGGAGGGGATGAGGAGATCGATCGGAGAAAGCGATTCCCAGCCTCCCACAAACAAATCTCCCGATCGGGTATGGTGGCTGGATGGATCACCAGCTTATCGCCCAGACGCCCAGCCACAAACAAGGAACTACAGACTCCAACAGAGCATAGACTCGATTATCTGCCAATTAAGGAGGGTCAATAACCTCGCTGGCTTACAGAGTAGATGTATAAAGATAGCCTAAAGCTGCTGTAAGATTGGGCCATGTCGCAGATGATTGAAGAGCTGGATAGATATAGGGACAGTAAGTCCCTCGCTTGCGGATATATTTTCCCATACAACATGCCCAAGACTATATGTACTTTGAAGAAGTGGCACCGCAAATACTCCGTAGTAACTGTTAATCAACGGCCCTAGATCTCTACTCCACGGGTAAATTATCCTAAGCCTGTTTTAAGATACAACGTTGTGATCAATCCCATGGTCAAGGAGCAGGACCAGGTAAGGTCCAGCCTTGGCATTCGTCCCCTCATCAACGCCCCAACTTGCATCTTCAACCTGCCCCTCTTTCCAGCCTCACATCCAGCAATTGCACTTCAGCACCCATAAAATCAACAAAATGTCCGGAAGCGAGCCATCCTTTCTATATAAACTTGTCCCATCCACAGCCCCCGTGCGGGAACCCCTTCCAGACCGTCTCCCCGTCAGTGAGCTCGACGAGAAGTCTGGATTTGTGCACCTGTCCACAGCTCTTCAGGTTCCCAACACCTTGAAGTTCTTCTTCAAAGACGAGCCCCTCGTCTATGTGCTAAGGATTCCCTACGACCGCGTAGCACAAGACATCCGATTCGAAGACCCCGAGGGCCGTGTATGTGGACCGCGGCCAGACGAGGGCTTATTTCCAGTAAGCTTAAGCCAATGTCGCTTCTTCCACCGCATTCCAAGGATTAACACGGGTGTAGCATCTCTACAATGGCCTTAAGCTTGGGAAGGATGAAGTTGAAAGCCTAAGCATATGGACTAACGAGGGCGGATGGGACAAACAGCTCGCTGCGGCAAAGCCGTGGCTTCGGTACTGAGAGAGTGCGTCTACGTCGCTTGTCAATTGAGGATATAAATCGTGGCATCGTCTTGATATCCTTTGAGGTGTTCGCTTCTTCGCTCATGTTGCATAGCATCGTCAACGCTTGGTCAACGGTCATATGTGGATCGATTGAATATATCCATACCTCCATGACAGTCTCCTAAAGCTCTACGGTCTTTCCGCGTGGATGGCTCCTGAGGCATCTGGTCACACTACGTACACCTACATGATGCGGTACCTTCAGAGTACGGAGTACTCAGGCGGGGAACATGCAGTGGACTCAGGGCACCGCCACGATCGGGGACCTGTCTGGCATGACTCGAGCGCTGAGCACGGAGCACGTTTGCCTGAGATTTGAGTTTGTGGAGATGGATACGGGGTGTTGCTGACGATTCTGGCGCTGATTGTCGTCATGACTTGATCAGTATCAGAGATGTGGACCTGATGCGAAGCAACCTGATAGAGCCATCGCACTGTTAGTTGCTGATAGTCTAACTCTACGGAGACTGGAGTATGCACTCAGTCGATATCCACCCACGTAGCTAACTTCAAGTCAGTGTCACAGCAAGTGGCATCATGGCCTCGATGTCGTACATATGCACGCGGTTATCGTCGAATTATGTACAGTGCCATAGCTCCACAAACTGCATGTGCAACAGTGCAAGGCTGCAGGCTAAAGGGGTGGAAAGGCTAAGCTGTGCTACCGCGCTGCTGCAGTAGTACGGATAGCCTGCTGCGGAATAGAGTGTGCTAGCACTAGCTGCTAGCCGCTCAGATTTGAGAAATTAATTCGAATCCTTGTTTTACTTTTATCGTTACTGTCATCTTATCTCAACTCGATACGTGCCAGTGCCAGTGCAAGACTAGCCTCGCCTCGCCGCGCATAATCATACTCTAATAAAAGATAATTGCTTTTTGCTCCTGCAGCTGAAAAGGAGGGGCCCAGCAGCCCAGCTGGAGACCAACTACGACAGACCCCGGTTGAAGCAGCGGAGCTAAAATGGAATATGAAACCGGTTATTGAACTATCGAAATCGTGCATCGATTCGCATGGAAGAAATTACCGGACCCGGACCGTGCCTTGATCTTGTCACCGTCCAGTTCCACTGTCCACTGTAGTCTGTCCAGTCCAGAAAGCAGACCAGAAGGCTGAAACCTTGAAACCAAGCCATTATTGCCTGGCTCAAACTAAAAGAACGATAGCGGCGGCGCAGCGCAGCATTATGCACAGTGCACACCCGCCCTCTCGGATAAGGCCGTTGGAGCTGAGCTAGCTGAGCTGCCTGTCTCCGTGGCTTGCGCTTGTGGCCGCCGGCCGATAAGCTGGAGTCTGGAGATGAGATGGCTGGCGGCTGTCCATTCGGCCGGAGACTTGTCATCGTGAAACTGGGAATTGGGGGCGCTGGATACGATATCAAACCGATATTTTGATTACTCATACATGCTATCCTTGTCTACTGATAGCCGAGAGGGAAACCGCGCTTGGCTGGATGCCAGGTCAATGGGATGCTCCTGGCACCTGCTCAGGTTGTACAATGTGCATAGCATAGCGCACAGTGCGCGCATTCAGGGCGAACTCTTTACTGGATAATAGATGTCTAGGTGCAGGTATGGCTTGGCAGGTCTATGCTTAACGTTTGATGAGTGGATCAAGGATGTCAAATGTTGGAATATCGAGTATTCAAGATCATATTAAGTCAAGATGCGGCGCGCGATGCGCGGTGGGGTATATTAACTCTATTATACAAGCCGTTGCTTCAATCATGGAGACAGTAGGAAAGACAGAAGATGATAAGGAAAAGAAAGAAGATTGGAAAGGAAGCACTGCGCTCTCAGGCCAATGTCAAATCAGCCTCACGCAATCCATCGGGGAGATGAGATAGATTGGCAAGTGTGAGTCAACGATGGCTATGCCCTGGCTGCGCATTGACGTGCTGGTGTCGCGGCAGCGATGATCGATAACCAGGAAGCCGGGCATGCCCACCGAATCAGGGAGCAAGATCGAAACCCCTGGGTCGGACAAGCACATGCAACTGAAACGCGCTGCGGCTGTGCCGTGTCATGATGTTGTCATGGTGCTCTTGCTTGCGGGGTCGGTTCGATTGCTGACTGCTGACAGACAGGGCTGGTTGGTGGTCGCCGGGAGTGGGGTGATTTGGGGATAAGTTATCGTCAAGCAGGGGCCCTTGCACCCGGGTGAAGATCGAATACCCGCGCGTACCGACAGACAGGAATGCGTCGTAATTTGAGAGCGCTATTGCAAAAGAAGTTGGTGCAATGCGCCCGCGCTTGCTCCATTGGTTGGCAAAATGAAGATAGGCAGTAAGTGAAACTGAGAAAAAAGCCGGAAAGTCGAGCCGAGAAGATGGTAGTAGAAAGATTAGGCGCCAGAAATCACAAATGTCGTTGCTTGAGATTGCGCTGGTCTATGCAAGTCCAAATTAAAAGCGAAAGCCGAGAGGCGTAGTAGTAGGAGTAGTAAGGTAGCGAATTAGAAAGGCCGTGGTATAGTTCCGAGAGTGGTATCATATTCGATTCCATTGCGTTGTCCCTGGCGCAACGAGTGTCGCGCAGGCTCCCTGGATGGTGCCGGGGATCGCATAATGGAATCGCTCGAGTCGGTGATCGTCAAGTTCGTCAGAAAGCCGAGAATGGCTTACTTGGGAAGAGGAGGCAGAGGGCCCTTGGGAGGAGGTCCAGGGCAAGGAGGGAAAGAAGTGGTACCGACGGAAGGCATGGTGGTTGATGTGAGAGTAGAAGGTCTTGTTGGTGGTTTGACTGAGCGAGGTAGCTGGTAGCTTGAGAGGAGTAGACTGTGTAGTGCTTGATGTGTTGTAGACTTGTAGCTTGAGACGTGAAGAAAGGAATCGCAAGAGGGCCTTCAGTGCTTAATATATCGTTGGCCTGGGGAGAAACCGAGCAGAAAAAGATTATATCTCCGAACGGGAACCCAAAAAAATCAAATAAAAACGATTTAATGAAAATAGTCGACTCCAAACAAAAAGAAAATAAGTCTCAGTAATATTATTAAGGGCATCCCTGATCGCTTCCAGAAGACGAGCTCCACCCAGACCGGACAGAGGGAGACGAACGACGTCAGTCTCAGACACTAGCGTGGGTGCTGGCCCAAAGCGGGAATTCCATGGAAGCTTTCGAGAACTTCTTCCCGTCTTCGTTTTGCCTCCCCCTTTTCTGTCCCACCAACCGACCATTTCCCGAGGTCTCTAAATCCAAAACACTGCTCCAAAATCCAAATCACCTGCGGCCCACTCTGAGATGCAGTGGAGGTGATGGCTGATGACTTGGCCGCTCTTGTAGGGATGTTAAAATGTCGACATCTTCTCCACTGTGTCAATCTGTCGACAATGTCCATGTTTTTTATGTCAACCCGTATTGACACGCACGTGACTAGGTGGGTAAGGCTAGTCCTAAAATAGCTTAAAACTACCTAAAATTTCCCCGTCTGGCCTAGTAGCTTACAAGCTCACAAAAATAGCTCTCTTTAGGGAAAGTGGGGCGCCGATCGGACATGTCCGACCCACGTTTGTCACCCCGTTGACGGACATACCGGTGGACATATACGACATGACATTTGTCAAATAACATCCCTACGCTCTTGGGAGTCGGGGACTCGAGGTGTTTCTTTCAGCTTCTGCCTGGTCGTCATGATTACGAAGGAGCCGTGTCCAGCGGTCAACCGGGCAGCGCCGTTGCTGTCAACCTCGTATCGCCAGAACGCTTAGAATACGCGCTACCACCGTTTCAGGGAACGGCTGAAAGGCCAAATGTCAGCTGGCCGCTTGATTCAGACTGTGCATTCTTGCCGACACGTGCTGGTTCGTAGATCCTTGGGAGGACAGGGATAGGAACGACAAAGAAAGCGGGCTGCAAAAATATCAGCCAATGGTTTCGCGCTTGGAGGGCGCTGACTGACTGGCCGCTATGAATAATCATCAGGATTCAGGATTCAGCATGAGCGGAGATCTTAGCCTCAGGAGTCAGCCAGTCTGCCAGAATGCCGGGACAGCTTCCAAGCCACCACAAGTTCACCACCAGAAGCCTCAAGGCTCAACCACTCCAGCAAAGGCAAGATTAGCCGCTGATCACTCAAATCTCAGGCTGTGCCGCTGTGGACGAACGGCAAGGCTGCCCTTGCAGCCTTGGTCAGGGGTGGTCACTGGTGTACTGTCAGTCTGTCAGCTCACGAGATTCTGACAGGTTCCGCGACGGTTGCACAAAGAGTGCCTCTGTGACCAGTGATTATTACTTTACAGCTAACAGATATTATGTCTGCTCTACATTTGCCGGTCGTTTCAGCTGATTGAAGGAAAATGTCCATCCGCCAACGAGAATTTGCTTTTCCTTGCAGGTGATCATGCTAGCGGTGTTCGTCTGTCCTTGAGTCATGACTCATCCCCAGCTAATTTGACCAGCCCTTATTGAAACTGAATCTTGATGTCACTCGAATCGCGGGGAGCTTCCCGATCCTAGTCCCGTTTTTGGGAGAAACACGAGTCCTGAGACATCGATCAACATGAACGCTGAGCGATGAACAGAGGCCGCTGACCTGTCATTTCCTGGCGTTCGCTTGCGGGAAGATCCAAATTTGCCAAATACTGTCCATTGACCCATTCGCCAACAGGCCCAACACTGGTCTTGATGTTGCTGTCGGATTTGCTGCGGTTGCGATTGTCCGAGATCTTCCCGGGCCTTAAAATTTCCCGCGACGGATAAACGTCACGATAGCAACAACGGCGACCGACCACTCCAGCGGTGAAGACTCAGGAGTCTTGATTTGTTACTTTATGTCGTCCATCTGCAACTCCACGTACAAAGTAAGGGCGACTACGGAGTACGACTGCATCATCCAATCTCCAAGCGCGCGCCCATGCAAGTCTTCAGATCCCTGTTGATGACCATATACTATGGGCCATGGCCCGGGCCCGAGTCGATCATCTGCAGGTGCGAGGGCAGCATTTGATGCCTTGACCCTTATTCGGTACCTGCACTCCTGCAGACTGCATGCGTTAGGACGTTAGGTTATTACGAAGCCCGGCTCCAAGCAGTGGCAAAGCACAATACGGAGAAACGGTGATTCCTCCAAGATAATTATGATCACCATTGCAGGCGATGATGAACTGGTTGCCGCATCGATGAGCTCCGCTCTCGGTTGATGAGCGGTAAATCAAACAGGATCAGACAGATCACATGGGTCGCCAATCTGGAGCAAGATGGTCATCAAGTTCGTGGGCTGCCGGCGGCCGCTGGCAACAAAACACATGGCGACGACGGCGGCCCCAACGCTTCCAAACTTCCAAACTTCCAAACCAAGTGGAGGAAGGTGGTCCTCCTGAAATGAGCGACCCGCAATTGGTGCTAGTCTTCCGCGCCGTTGATGAAAGCGAACGATGACTGGATCACAGTTCTTCCCCTGATTCGGGAGGGTCTACCTAAATCCTTCTTGCAGCTTGGCAATCTGCGAGGTTGGCGACGGCGTTCCTGAATCCCTGCTAGTTATCCAGATATTCAAGGATGCCTCGCAGCCTGCGGATGATAATTAATCATTATCATTGCTAATGACTTCGTAGCAATATATCGGAGACTGGCATGCTGGCGGCCGATTATCGTGATCATCCACCATCGCGATGCGGAAGACTCGGAGCCAATTCACCCGGAGAATCATGCATTCTCCGGAGATACGGCGGACGCTCGGCGTTTTCCAACTAGTCTAGCAAAGTGGAACTGCGAAGTCTTCATCCTTTGCACAGTTTGCACTTCCCCTTCGAGTTTCAACTCCGCGACTCCAGCGGTCTGGGAACTGCGGGATTGCTAAGAATAATCATCTTCGACCATGGTTCTCAACAATCCTTAGCAAGCGGACCCTGAAAACCGTTGAGACATGGCACTTGGAAGTCTTCAAACGGTCAGCTCCGGGTTTCACTTGCTGTGACGGAACCATGTCTCATCACTATCTCAGTTAGCCGGGGTCAGCGATTCCGTCATGGAGAAAAAAACCGATAATATTAATGCTTCTTCTAAGGCTTCTGCCGAGCTGCCGACGAAGCTCCTAAGCTCTTAGCCTCCCAGGGCGTGAGCGGGCCCTTGGCTTATTACTGCTATCAGATATCTAAGACTACGTCCTACGGAGTACAGTTTGCGGTGTGCATGATAACAAACCCACTGGCACGGGAAGCCAAATAAGCTTGAAGATATTTCCATGCAGCTGACCGCTAACCGCGTCAACAGTAATATATCGATATCAGTATCAGTTATACTTTGTACCGGTAAGGACGGGCGACGACGGACGCCTCTGGAGTCTGACCAGTGACGACTTGGCAACATCATCACTCAACTCGGATCCACGCGGCTTTCACTTGCGCAAGACCCATGTCTTCAGGTCTTGGTGTTGAGGCTGTGGTCCTGCATACATCAGCACATTTACTCTTTCCTTGCTTCTCGCTAAACCTTGGAAAGGGCATCCGGGTTTCCAAGCAGACAGAATTCCTTGGAATCGTCATATTGCTGCAATATAGTGGACCTCAGGTCATCCGATGCCTTGGGTCACCAACATCGCTACGACGCTACCATATCTCGTTCTCGTCGGACGTCGATATCATGACGTTGAAACCTCAAACACCCGATATCTCCGGGGTCAGTGCCACTCTGGCAGTGGCATCTGCAAAGTGACCGTTAGGCGCATCACGGAGTTACTCGCCGGAAACGAACCGAAACCTAAGCTTGGAACATGCCTGGTCGTGGCCCCTGTTCCCGCGCATATTAGGCTGTCATAATATTATCATTTTCTGCAAGCCGACCCGCCAGGGTGGTTATATGGAATGAATCTGATACTGCCCAATAGAGATGTCGGCGCTAGGTTTCAGACTTGAAACTTGATATTCAGCATTATTGTGCCACTACTATCACTTTATGACTTGCAGGATTGCGTGCGATTGACGCGCGTGTAGATTTCGTGGGGTCGTGGAGTAAGGTTTGCAGCCTTGCAGACAGATATGATGGGCCAATGACATGCATAGTAAGTCTATGGCATCAGGTTCCAGCGCACGAAGAGTCTACGTGGCAAGCCATGAGTAGTCTGATTTACATTTCTTGCCCATCGGCGCTCGGAGAAACGCGACAGCCAAGCTGATTCCAAGTCTTCTTGTCTATCGACATGATATCGTGACGCGTCTGCCTATTCTTCCAGGTTCCCTGTAGCAAAGCCTGCCCGGTAACGATCCACCTGCATGCTGGCAAAAGAGGAATCGTTACGGATTGACACGATCCCTCAAGTATGAAACCAGGTCTTGTATACATCAGACATACTCCGTATCTGCTGGGCCTTGGCCGGCCGAATCTCGAGGGAGCCTCGACTTCAATATCGTTTCGTGTTGAGTGCATCCTAGCGACGCGGAGTCAAAGCTCAGCATCGAATTGCGGCTTCTCCGGCGTGGCTGCAGCGAAGTAAATACGCGGTTGTGATAGATCTCTTGTTGATGTAGCCGCGTCTCACGAGAGTATGATGTTCCCATCTCAACGGGGCTAGTCCACCGGGTATCGAGGACTAGCTGGTACCAACATCTTGCGTGATAATTCTTCGTATTTGGTGAGATGCGATCATGCGACAACACGTGCGTGGGCTGGTGCGGAGGCGTTCCCCACGAGTGTCGAACAAGTTAGAGTCCATAGCATCTGATAAGGAAGGATTCTGCAGACGCCATACTAAACTACCGTCATCCGATAGTTGTCGGGGTGGCGCATGTTGATGGCTTAGCGGCTCGAATATACCCTGGCTGCCAAGTCCTAGTTTAGTCTTCATCGAGATCGCCTTGCGCCCGGGCCCCTTGTGCAAATTCCGTGCTGAGCCATCGTGAGCCGACAACGGTCTCATGTTAATGACTCGGCGGCTTAAATATACCGCAATTCCCAAATCTCACTTAGTCTTCATCAAGATCTCCTTGAGCCTGGGTAGATATCCACTCTTCCATCAGGACTTGACGCTTCGGCTCTGCTGCCTCCACCCTGGCCTTGCCCTTGTTTCCCTTGCGCGTAACAAGCAAGCAGAGCATCCAGCCGTAGATGTTGAAACCCTCGTAGTTCGTTCTGAAACGCATCTTCTTGTCCTCCGTCCCGTCTGTTTCCTGCACGGGTTCATCTCTCTTTCGCTTTGCGCGCTGGCCTTCTGTGATATCGTTGACTTCCTCTGGATCTGCTCGCGGAATGGCATCCATGTTCATTTCCGACTCGCTATCGCTTTCGATTAGGATGCCGGCATCTGGCTGCCCGCCATTTCCTGCGCTTGATTCCACCCGAGTGCGCTTATTTCTCTGATCTCCAAAGCTCTTGTGCCGCGTCAGAAGCGAATGGCGAGTGCGCGATTCTCGAAGAAACAATGCGACCTCGAAGTCCTCTGATTGTGATCACGTTAGCCATAGCTAGCGCAGGGCGCGGCTTAGAAGCACACCTTCCGCAATAACATCCTTGACCGGCTTCCCTTTCTTCCGAGCAGATAGTCTCTCATTCTCCTCTCGCAGTTTGGGAAGGACTAATGGTCGAATGGCGGCGAAGATGCGAGGCAGGACAGGGTCGCGGCTATCGAGGAGCCATCGGTTATCAGAGGGATCCTCAAGGTAGATCCGACATTCGAGTACGGAGAACTTGCTAATCCGTAGATACCGTCGGATCGGGGCCATCACGACTTGCGGACAAGATGAGTGTCGTGATAGAGTTGTGATGGATGACGTGACGCCGAGCTTAGTCATACTAGAGGCTCCAGCACGTGACTGACCTTGCCGCTCTGGCCAATCATCAGCAGTAAGAATAAAGCTAGCCTTGGCGCCCCACCCGTTTCCCCCAAGGTCCTCAAAAAGTCTTCGACATCAGGGCCGGATGTGTCCTCCAAGGTCCTCAATGCCCACTGCTACCCGGATTAGCCCGCTTGAAGTCTCTCCCACTGTGCCCGCCATGAGCCAACCTCTCCTCTCCCCCGCCTTCTCTTCAATTCCCATCTATATGCTGCTCTGGGACTTTTTCAGTTACCACGGGTCTTCTAGCTAACGAGACGAGCCGTTCCTTCCAAAGTATTCTTTGATAACAGTCCTTACTCTTTGTGCGGTCTATTCTGCGGTGCTTCAGCGCTCGTGTTGCATCCCACGAGCCACCACCACGAAGGTACTCACGCTAGATCCTGTTTGCCCACCTTTCATGTCAGCTTGGGACTCTTGATAGGCCTAGCAGTCTCGAAGGACGTCAACGAGCACCACATCTACGGACATTGCCCTTAGAGGCGCGATATCCGTGCGTGGGGGGTAATTTTATAAGACGTATAAGAAGCACACGACAACAAAGACCAAGAGTCCCAAGCATACCAAGCATACCGATCTCTGCGCAAGGGACTTGGCTCCGATTCCACGTGGTTGCGATTCCGCCTGCATCGCATTCCTGTCAGACATTTGACAGCTTCTGCCGGGGTCTGCCTGCATTGAGAGACTCAATTGGCTCCTTGTGACCCGTTTTTGTCCAAAATTTGTGGCATTTCAAACGAGACCAGTGCCCTATCCATTGCTGTGCAACATATAGGGTCGATCTTTCCTTATCGGACCACGCCCACCAGGATGAATCCTATCCATGCTCTTCTTCGCCGAGCCGAAGATGGTTCTCTGCCCACCTGTGAAACGGGCAACGAGTATGATGGGCGCATGGGCGTTCGCATCTCCTCTATCTTCGTGATCATGGTCGGCTCCGCCTTTGGCGCCTTGTTCCCTGTCTTTGCGAGCAGGTTCCAGAATTCCAGGGTCCCTGGCTGGGCTTTCTTTATCGCCAAGTACTTTGGTTCTGGAGTCATCATCGCTACAGCCTTCATTCACCTCCTGGGTCCTGCTGAGGAAGCTCTTCGAAATGAGTGTCTCAGTGGCCCCATCACTGATTATTCATGGGCGGAAGGAATCATCCTTATGACCATTGTGGTTCTCTTCTTTGTCGAGATGATGGTTATCCGATTTTCGCGTTTCGGTTCAGGTCACAGTCACGACGACGATTCTCACAGCGACCACTCCCATGGTCATAGTCACCATGGTGAGCTCAAGGGCACTGAGCTTGCATCGAACGATGTGAACCATCACATGCCTGGCGAGGACCACCTTGGTCATACTCGAGAGCATCGCGACCTCGAGCTTGCTGACAAGGGTGTCGACCTTGAAGAATACATGGCTCAGCTGACATCCGTCTTCATTCTGGAATTCGGTATCATCTTTCATTCTGTTTTCATTGGCTTGACCTTGGCAGTATCGGGGTCTGAGTTCACAACTCTTTACATCGTCTTGGTCTTCCACCAAACCTTTGAAGGTCTGGGTTTGGGTTCCCGGCTGGCCACGATCCCATGGCCGCGCTCTAAAAGATGGACCCCTTACTTCCTAGGTTTGGGATTCGCAATTTCCACCCCCATCGCCATTGCCATCGGTCTGGGCGTCCGCCAGTCGTATCCTCCTGAAGGCTACACCACTCTTATTGTCAACGGAGTGTTTGATTCAATCTCAGCCGGTATCCTGATCTACACTGCTCTTGTTGAGCTGATGGCCCACGAATTCATGTTCAGCACGTCGATGCGCAAGGCGCCGCTCAGGGAGGTGCTTGCCGCATTCGCACTCTTGTGTTTGGGCGCTCTCTTAATGGCGCTCCTCGGAAAATGGGCTTGATCTTTTTGTACTTAGAAATGAGCTTTACCATCTACCCCCTGCTGGTCGGAACGTGTATATATACGGATTTATATCTAGATGGTCTGGGCTTTTGTTTACATGTTCGTTCTATCTTGGGTGTCGTAATGAAATATCTTATGACTATTCATCAGCAGAATTTTAATCATGGTATGTTGTATCTGTACTCTCAGCTTCGTAAGTAAGAATTCGGATGACGGTGTGCCTACAATACTGGGGATTACATAGATATATAACCGCTCCGCCCCCTCACCCCTTTTACGACCTACAACTCACCGTCATTATGTATAAGGGAAGAGCCCTAGAGCAGAAAGCTCTTTTTTGGAGCTGGATAACAATTGGGTATATGTTCGTACTGCGTACTGTGTAAGACGCGGAAGTGTCAGATACGCTCCTTGCACATTTGAACCTTGATTGACAAGCCACCATATATTCAAGATCGCTATATTCTGGGTATCATAGCCTGCATATCTAGTAATCTATCTATACACAAATCTCTGGAGTCTAAAGAACATTGTGCAAAAAAAGCGCGGAGACGTTGGAACCACTCGCCCCCTCAGTCCATCGCATCCAGCTTATTCTCCTCAACCGCCTCATGCTCCGAAACCAAAATCCCCACCAAGCACTCTCCCAGGATCGCATCCCAGTTCACCCACGGATGGATCTCCAGGAACAGCTTCCCCGAATCCTTGCCCGCCCCCCTCAGCAGCTCGCCTTTCCCACCGGGATGAAACGGCAGGTAAGGACTGATATTGTACACCTTCCCCTGATAGCTCGTCCAGGCGTCCGTGCCCTTCCGTCCATTTTGGACCTTCAACATGCTAGGTGTAACTTTGATCAGCGTGTTTGGGAGGTTCGCGCCGCGGAGCTTGTGGTTCGGGTTTGAGGTAAGCGCTGCCCAGTCGAGCGGGGAGAAGCCTGGTTCGAGGACGGCGCGCTGCGAGGCCTTTTTGGCGGGCGTGAGGGTGACTTTGTTTGGGGAGAGGGAGTTGCTGGTTGTGCTGGCGCCGGGGCGCATGCCTGGGGGCACGCGCAGGGATGATGCGGCTGAGGGGGGTGGGCCGAGGGTGCGGGCGCCGCTGCTTGGTCGCGGAGGGGGGAAGCGGCCGGGCGGGGGAGCGAGGCTGGTTTGTGGTTGTGGTCTTCGTTGATTTTGGAGACTTGGTGGTTGGAGGCGTGAAGGGGGCGGGGGAGGGGGCATTAGGGAGGCATCGTTTGTGACGGGCGGCTGCGGCTGCTTTGGTGTTGAGCTGGGGGGTGCCATAGTGATTGATGGCGCGGGAGTGGCTAACGATGGGCTCGGGTTTGGTGAAGGGCTCGTTGGCTGCTGAGCTGTATCTTGCTGCGCCTTCTGAGCCGTGCCCTTGTCTGTGTCGTCGTCGTCAAGCTGGAAAGAGGGGACGTCTAGGACTGGCGTCGGCGCGGGTGAGGCAGATGCTTTCGGCGTTGTCTGAGTTTCTTCAACAGGCTCATCCTTTGCTGCCGCCAGTTGCGACGTGCGCTCAATATTGTAGGAAGACTCTTCATTATTCGCTTTCCTCTCTTTTCTCTCGGGGGTGGATTCGCGGCGGGCTTGATGGGCGACAGGTGGCTCGGGGAACCAGCTTGCGGGAGGATGGCGATAAAGGAGGAAGCAAGTAGTCGCAACGACTATGGCGACACCTACCCAGCCCATCATGGGCAGATAGCAGCAGTGGACAGGTTGATCTGGAGTGTAGGTAGTGTTTTAGGCCTGACGATAATTGATGACTAGCGAAGGCCGCGGCGCGCAGCGCCGCGGTTAGAGGTAGTAAATTATTTCCCTTAGTAATTTAATATTAATAAACTATTAGAAGGCAAGCTAGTTTTTATTAGTATTATAGCTTGTTTCCTATAGTATTAAAAGGGATTAATTTAATTTAGGGGCATAGTTATTTTTGCGTGGGGGGATATTAAACTTAATTATATACTAAAATACCTTTATCCCGCGTGGCTAATAATATATAAAGTAGTTAAGGCATGGCATTATTATTTAACTAAAAAAACACCCTAGTTAATTTTAGTGCTATAGTCCCTGGTAGTTTATTAAGTAAAAAAGCTTTAAAAAATAGTGGCCTTTTATAAAAAAGCTAAAAGGCCTATTAGTAATGCTAGTAATTAAATTTTAGAACTAGTGTAGTTTTTTAGTAAGTATTTAAAAAAAATATTTTTTAAGCCCCCGCTAGAATTTACAATAGGCTTTTAAGGGTTTAAAAAATTTTAGGGGTTTAAGGGTTTTAGGGGTAAGGGTTTTAAGGGCAGTTTACTTATAACTAATAATAAGCCTATTTATTATAAATATAATAAAATTTTTTTTTAAATTTTTAATAATAGTAAAAAACATACTTATACTAAATAAAAAGTCCTATTAACTTCTTAGTATACCAGGGGCTTAAAAAGGTTTTTTACTAAATAAGATTATAGTTAAATAGTTTAGGGGCATAGTTATTTCCGCGTGAGGAAATATTAAACTCTAAGGGAAAATATAGTATTATACTAGGTATAATTTAAATATTTTAATATATTATAATGTGGGAAAATAGCCATAAAATCTAGTTTAGTTATAACTACTAGTTTTTAGGTTAAAACTGCTTAAGCAGGCTAACTAAGGTAGGTATAAAACATAGTATTAAAAAAGCTATTTATAACCTAGGGTGCCACGGGTAGTACTTATTTATATTATATTTTTTAAATATATTATTAAAAAAGTAATAATTATATAAAGTTATAATTTCTACCACTCCAGCATGTAAAAAAAGTAATAAATAGGGTATATTTATAAAAAGTATTAATTTATTAAACTTTAGGGGGCCGGCCCCTGGGCTAAAAGTATTTATTTAATAATAATATAAACTTAGGGGCTGGCTTTAAACTAAATATTAAATATTAATTAAGACCGGGCTGCATAATCTATTTAAAGTATTATTTTTTAATAATAATAGTTAAGGTAGTATTTATTATAAAAAAAAGCAAGGCCCTTAACCAAAGGTTATAAATAGCTATTTTTTAATAAGTAAGTTCTTTATTATTAAACTTTATTATAAGATACTAACAGCCTATATTTAGTTGCCTGCTTAGTTTACCCGCTTAGTTTATTTATTTAGTTTACCTACTTAATTTACCTACTTATGGCCCTCTAGCCTTATTTTATAGGCTATATCCCTTTTTATTTTATATAGCTTTATAGCTAATTAGTTTTTTAGGGATTAAAAAATTACTAGGAATTAAAAATATACTAGGAATTAAAAAAAAACTAAGGGCTGTTTATAAACTAATTAAGTAAAAAATAAATATACCTATATTAAATAAAAAGTTTTACCAAGTTCTTGGTATACCCAGGGGCTTAAAGGGGTTTTTATAATTACTTATAATATTAATAATATATTTACTAGTATTAGGGGTGGTTCCCGGAGTCCTAACTTAAATATTTAGCCTTAAGTATTTAAAATAATTCCCGGAGTTTTAACTTAAATATTTAGCCCTAAGTATTTTAGTAGTAAAGGTATTTAAAAAATAGTTATTTATAAATAATGCTAATAAAGTAGGGCCCTTGCTAAATATAATAGTAAATAAATTTAATAGCTAAAAGGGATTACCTTATAAACCCTATTTATAATACTTACTTTTAGTGTTTATTATTTACAGGCCAGTAAAATTTATACCTAAAATATTAAGTACTAGCATATTTAAAAAAGTGTTTTACCTTTTTTTATATTTAACTAGCTATTATATAAGCTAATAAGCTTTAATTATTAAAATTAGCTTTTAGCAAGGTAAATAGCTTATTATTATAGGGTAAACCTATAATATAAAGTCCTTTTTAAGGTAAAAAAATAATATAATATTTTTAAAAGTAGCTATTCTCCAGGGTATAACTCTTGTGTATGCTATATTAGTAAGCTTGTTAAATTTATTATACTTTAATACCACACCTTTACACTAGTATTTTAAAATATAAAATACCTTAGGTTTATAAGGTTATTTACCCTAAAAAACATACTAGCTAAAATTTATAATATATTAATAATTAATAATATTATTAAAATAGCTAGCTAGCTTTAATACTGCTTGCGTAATTTAGCTTTAGTACTTTTTATAATTAGATTTAGCTTTAGCGCTTTTAGCTATAGTATTAAGGTAAGTTAAGTTATTAAAATTAAATTAAATAAGGCTTATTACCCTTGTTTTATTATATATATAAAGACACCAAGGTACCAAGGTTTAAAAGCCATGTTTACTAAAATAATAAATATATACTATTTTAGCATATTATAAAAAAAAATAGTAAGTTAAATTTTCCTGGCCAGGGGCTTATTTTTAATAAATATACTAATTTAATAGCCGCTAGTATTATACTTAACTAAAAATATATTTTATATTTAATAGCCTTTAAGTTACTGGAATAGGGCTTTGGAGCCCTAAAACTTTTAAACTTATTATATTAAAGCTTTTTTTTAAGTATTATACTTTTAGGCATGCCTTTAAGCATTAAGGGTTAGCTTAGGGCCAAGTTAAAAAGGGTTATTAAAATAATAATACTTTACTATTAATTATATATTAATTAATTAAAATTACTATAGCAAAGATTTTTAGCTTACAGGAAATATATATTATACTTAAATACCTATTTTAGGTAATTATAGGCTGCGGGAATTTAACCTAAAGGGTATTATAAGGCTAGATAGGTAATTTTATTTTAACCTAAACTTTAAAAAGTAATATATTATTTATTTTATATAAAAGTATAATAAATAATAAAGGGTTTTATAAATACTTTAAATTATACTTTATATACCCCCCTTATATAATAATAAAGGCATAGGCAGTATATTATAGTAATATAAAGTAATAGTAAGTAATAATTTTTAGGTAGCTATTATACCCTGGGTTAGCTAAAAAAAATAGTAACTAATAATACTTTATAAGTATAAAGGTATATTATTAGTAGTAGCTAATAGTGTTAATATACTAATACCTAGGAATAAGTTAATATACTAATACTTAAAAATATTTTATTTTTTTAGTTAGCAAGGTTTAAGGTGGCCTTACTATACAAGGGACTAATTAGCCCTATTAAAATATATTATACTAGTTTAACTAGTTTAAACTAGTTAGTTTATTTAAGTATAATAAATAATTAATAAATTTAAATGCCTATTATTTTTTTTTTTAGCGCTAAACATAAACTATAAACCCAAGGACTTTAATAAACCAAAAACTACTAATAAATTAAAAAAAGCTAATAAACCTAAATCTAAATATTTAATTTTTTTACCATACTTTGCGTTACTACAAGTGTTTTTAATTTTTTTAGTTAGCAGGCCCCTTATTAAGTTACTAATATATTTAAGGGCTTAAAGGGGGGTGGATAACCAAAGTTACTAGTATAACTAAGGGCTTAGGGCTTAGTAAGCAAACTTAGTGGGTAAATTAATATTAAAATAGGGGTAAACCAAAGGTAAAACAGGGGTAAATTTAAAGGGCAAACCTAGTAAATAAATATGGCTTATTATAAAATATACTAAAAATATATTTAATAAAAAAAAAGACAGGTATTTAGCACATATTAAGGCACTAGTTATTAAAATAACTAAATTTACTAAAAAAAAAAAGGGTTTGGTGTTAAACTAAGCATGGGAGTAGTAAGTAATTATTAATTTTAAACCCTAAAATAGTGCTTAATTACTAACCTTATATTATAAAAAAACTATAAATATAATATTAATAATAAAGTATAACTACTTAATTAAATATATAATTATTTTTTTTTAGCACCTCTTCCTGTAGCCCTAAAAGTTTTTAAGGGGGTAATCTTTATAAAAAAGTTAGTAATACTTAAAAAAATAATTATGTATAAAGCAGGCGCCCCTAATATTAATTAATAAATATAAAATTATTATTATTATTAAAACTAAAAAAAAACAAAAAAGTATAAAAACTAGACTACTTTTTATTTTTTTTATGCTTAAGCTTATAAGCCCTTAAGTTTTTATACTTTTACTTTTTTAACTTTTTATTCTTATTTCTTGGGGCCTTTTTATATTTTATTAAAAAGTATAATAATATTAAAAATTAAAAAGGCTTATAGTTACTTACTTTTTTTACTTTTATATTTTTATTAATAAAACCCTTAATCTCCTGCTTAACACGCGGGCTAAAATAAAAGTAATTAATATAAAATATAGCATGTAAAAAAAAATTAGTGTGTAAAAAGCTATTAAGGTTTTAAAAAATAGTAATATTAGTACTAGTATTAATTTTAAAAAATTTATTAAGTGGCGTGCCTGGCACGGTGCTTTTTTAAAATTATTTAGTACTAAAAATAAAAATATATTAATAAAGGTAAATATAAAGCATAATATACATACTAGGAAGTAATAGCAAGTAAAAAAGTTTTTATATTAATAATAGCAGGTATAACCTAGGACCCAGCCTGCAAATTATTAAAAAAATAATTAATAATAATTACTAAAATATAAATAAACCTTTTATTAATAGGTGCTATTTATTTAATAATAGTACTAGTTACCATGCACTAATAACCTATAATAAAAATAATAATATACTATTAACACGGACTTAGGCGCAGGATATAATAAATATTAAACTTTATAAACTAGGGTTTTTCCCTCCCGTGATAACTTTAAATATAAATAC